AATGGCCAAGGATTAGATTACTCTTGGTAAATTTAAGAGAGTTAGCTATTTATTAACCGTGTTTGGATTTTGTTGATCATTATTATTAAATATGACGAGATTGTGTCCTAAGAAATGTGATACCCTGTTTTTAGTTTATTCAACTAAAGAAAGTTTATCAAACTTTGATCATCAAAGAACTAGTGAAAAAAAATTTAAATGTGGTATAACCTTATTTTTTCTCAATTAGAGTGAGTTTCACTTTAATAATCGGTTTAATAAAGGTTGATATTAAAGATTAGTATATTTTTTTGGTAATGCCAAAAAAAATATACTAAAAAAAATTGAGAAATTATAAGATATACTAAAATTAAGTATATATCTTTAAATTTAATAAAAATTATTTAAATGACAACTTATAATAAAATAATTTTATAAGTTCTAAGAATAGATATATAAATTTTGACGCAATAATGTTGCTTGTTATTATTAGTTTATTATTAGATTAAAAAACAATGGTTTGATAGAAATCACGGATGATATTTATTTTACAATTTTCGTATATTTTTCTTTCATACTATTTATTATTTCTCTTACTTAATGTATATATTTTTTTTTTACTTTACCTAAATGTTTTTTATTCGTTACACACTTTCTTAAATGTTTGCCAATGAACAAAGTGTAGGTAGGATGTTTTTATTTAGCAAGCGAACGTGATATTTTCTTGTAATAATAACGAAGTTTTTTTAGGGCATTAACAAATAGTATTTTAAAAAGTGTAAGCAACAATATTTTGATAAATGATAGCTGGCTATGCCATTGAATTTTTGGGGAACCTGTTCGGGTTGTCATACGAAAGCAAAATTTTCCGACCCGACCCGTTCGACCCGATTATCCCTTTCCCTTAACCAACAACCGGAAGGTCAAGAAACAGCGATGGTGCAGTGCAATGCAATGTTTGGTGGTGGCGTCTCTCGCATATCACACCATTTTCGAGAGTGCGACCTCCATTTCCACGTGGGTCTCGGCTTTAGATTCAGTTACTGTGCTTTTCAAAGTTTCCACCTTTCGTTCCCTCGCCCTTTGAATCCTTGTTGTGGAGGCATCACCATTACTCGCAAGCACAACAAAGTGCCATCAAAATACTTCTGTTCTAGCACCCCACCTAAGTCCCCTGGAGAAATTCCCCTCCTTTTCGATTCTTTCAGGTTCTATTCTTCATTTTATCAAATGGGTTCTCTCTCTCTCTCTCTCTCTCTCTCTCTCTCTCTCTCTATTCCATAGTTAACCATGTACTGATGGTGCTTCCTTGTTTTTTTTTCCACCCCTATAATTCTGTGTAATGTTTGGTCAGCTAGATAGTCCTTGGAGTTTGGGGGGAAATATAATTTGGTTCTCCTTTAAAATAAAAATAAAATAAAATTGAGGTGTATTTAGAAGTTGATGATTTGGTATGAGCTAAACTTAATTGTGGTTATAAACTTTGTTTAGATTGGCTTCTCAGGTTATGCTGATCATATCGAATTATCTTGAGATAGGATATCAAGTTAGCGTTCTTTGTTCCCTTCGATATACCAAGTTAAACGTTGGAAGTTCTATCTTCATGTCCGAGGAATGAGTTGCCTAAAGTATGCATGATAATAAGTATATTTAGTTTTATGTGCTAATCATTCATTAGTTTGGTCGTTGAATATTTTAATTTTATATACAAACCCGGAGCAAGATGATTTCAAAATGGCTTCTATGTGCTTGGCTGTAAATAATTCAGATGAAAGTTGTTAAACAAGATCTATGTGAAAATTATGGAAGTAAAATCAAACAGATATTCTGAATTTTTATGCGCATTATCTGTCATCCTGCTTTAGTAAAAGATCTTATTTTTTATTCCTTTTCGTTTGTGAAGCCAACAAGAAGATGAACGAGAAATTCTCTCTGATGGAATATCTGCAGTGGCAGGTTTTTAGCCTCTTTCATGTTATGGCTTTTTGACCAGTTTTCATATGCATGTCAACTAGGTAATGGGTAATCTGTTTTCTTAGAATATCCCTGTTGTATGGATGGATATAACATACTTTTTCAGAGAGTATAAAAAAGATGATGTTTGATGAGATCGTGGATCTGGGTCTGTGAGTAATCATAGTTTGTTTTAGGAGGAGGGCATCCTTTTGGACTTCTTGATTTTCTTAGCTTCGTATTGCATTGCTTCCCAAACTTTGTACATCTTTTAATCTGTAGGCTATTTATGGTCAATTAGTCGTGCATGTAGATTTCTTGCTTTATTTGTCAAATTAGTATTGATTACTTAAGTGGGGTTCAGAGTTAGTGAAGGACATGCAGAAAACCGACTTTTGACTTTGGAAGTTGGTAGATATGTTTATACACTATTATTAACTCCATCTTAATCATTACCAGGTGGAATTGTAGCATTGGGGAAGTTTGATGCTCTGCACATAGGTCATCGAGAGCTTGCAATTCAAGCATCAAGGGCTGGACCTCCATTTCTTTTATCATTTGTTGGTATGGCAAAAGTACTTGGTTGGGAACCTAGGTAATGACAGTATACATTTGTATCTAGCTAATTAAAGGCTTATTTTATTTGGTTTATGTGCATGGAAATTTTGTTTGGCTGGTGCATTAATATATAATCTTAAAACTTTTGGCTAACTGGTTCAACAAAAAATTGATTTGTATTAAATTTATGAATATAAAAAAAGTTTTCTACGCAGACTAAAGCATGACGGTGAGGATGGTGACTTGTGACCTAGAAGTCACAGTTGAAATCTCTTCACTGGTGATTGGAGCATCATAGTCATTACCTCCTTGGGAAAAATAACGTATATTTTGTTAAATGTTTCCCAAACAGGGCTCCTATAGTTGCTAAATGTGACCGAAAGCGGGTTCTTTCATCTTGGGTTCCTTATTGCTGTAACATGGTCCCAGAAGAGTTTCAGGTTGAATTCTCAAGCGTTCGGCATCTTAGTCCCCGACAATTTGTTGAAAAGTTATCAAAAGAGCTTAGGGTGCGTGGAGTTGTTGCTGGTAAATAAGTAGCTCCATAATTTACTGTTATTTGCCCAACATATACCAACCCCTTTCTCATTAACATAATTTACTGGTATTTGCTATTTTTCCTGAATAGCAACATTAACACGATTTACTCTCATAAACTGAAATAAATATCTGTACTGGATTCTGGAATTTCTGGCAGGTGAAAACTACCGATTTGGGTATAAAGCAGCTGGTGATGCATTTGAGTTAGTAAAGCTGTGTGAAGAGTATGGAATGGAAGCATACATAATAAAATCTGTCATGGACATGAATCGTTGCTCTGCAAATATCAATTCTTTTACTAGCTCCAAAGAGAAAGGACAGGTCTCGTCAACACGCGTTCGTGAAGCCCTTGCTGTAGGAGACATGAGGTATGTCTCAGAGCTTTTGGGTAGACAACATCGCCTCATATTAATGGCCACTGATCAAGAAAGATTCAGTTTTGGGCAATATAAGGTGTCTGCTCCTAAATCCTGCTCATTGAATCTATCTCCAAAGGAAGGTTTATATGAGAAGTGTTCACTTTTCCTTGATCATGAAAATGTTGTGCAGTGTAGAGTAGTTATTGACAGCAAGTTTGTCCATATAGAAACAGATTATGGAGGTGTGAGTGATATTTTTGGTTCTCAAAATTTGCAGTTCTTGCATATTGAATTTGGTGATTCCTGCACTTGATTCAGTTTAGATCATTATTTCTATTTAAATTTATAGTCTATTGAATTATAGATGATTTTCATCCATCCCCCAAAGTGCTTTGGATGAAACTGCTGAATCTTAAAGCTGATATAAGTAAAGTATATATGTACATTTTCTTTTTGCCACCTTTAATGCATTATGCCTGCAAACCAAGTGATGAGATATGGTATACTAAATTGATTATTCCAGTCATTTTTCAATCTCTTAACGTCTATGAAAGTAGTTATGTTTTATTTGGATCAAAGCCAGTTTGAAAATTCAGCAGAGAGAAGAATCATTGATTTGTGACAGGATAATTATTTGTAGAATTTCACACCATGATTCTTACTAACATCTTTCAACTTTTGAAGGAAAAATAGCTCAACTTGTTTGTAGGGGGGTTAGATTTGGAATCATTACACTACGAATTTTTTGACTTTTTAAGAATAACTTGTGTCAAAACATAAAATATTTTCTAAAAGAACTTGGTAAGAATTTAGATTGAAAAATACACGCCATTCATTTAATGCAAGAAACCACGACTCTAAAGAAATATGAAACGATAATGATAGTTATTTTTCATATCTATTTCACTTTTATGAAGCCAAAGGATATATGTTCTTCTGATATTTTAAGTTCTTCCATTTTTGTTGTTCAACTCTAATGTAGACATGATCGAAGCTTTTTACAACCAATCTAATTTTTTTAATGAACTCCTCCGACAGTTGCTTTAGAATAGTAGTTAGCAATATTTTAAAAAAATTAATGTAAACTATTAATAAAATTATCAATGTTATTAAGACACTTATCATAAATTTTAATATATTTTTTCTATAATTTTAAACCTTAGTCAGTTGCTTTAGAAAACTAGTTAGCAAGGTTTTAAAATAACGATTAAAAAAAATTAAAATTTTATATATAGCAAGTAATTATATAAGTACTAATTAATTTTTAATTTTAATTAATATAATTTAAATAAATTCAAAATCGTTTCAAATTTGAAACTTAAAATATGTGATTAATTAATCTAATTGTTTGATTTAAAAGTTAAAAAAATAAATTTATTTACTATCTTATCACGTTATTTTATTTCAACAAATACTATATTTTTAAAATATAAATTAATATTAAAATTTTAAAAATATATTAATAAATATTTAAATTATGTAAAATTTAATATATATTATTAGAAAAATAATATAAAATAATTAAGAGTTGAAGTGTGTTATATTAGAAATTATTAAACTTGTGAAGAATCGTTACTCATTTAAATATAATATTTCTTACAAACTTACGGCAAGATATCAGTAACACGTGCAAATACGAGTCATAGTAACATTTGAAGAAGAGAGGTGGTCTGAAAACGGCGAACCTCAACCGCAGCAAGTGCATTTGGCAGTCGCCGTCGGCAGCAGCGTTGGTTCTTCGGCGGTCACCGGTGCCACATCCTCGTCGGTCGCGCGCAGGTGCATTTCGTATCCTTTCATGTATTGCTCTATAGATCAATCACTCCATCTCACTGAATCAACTTTAACTTGCCTATCAGATTCGCAATCCCTAAGTTTAGGAGATTGCGTCCTAACTCGTAAATCAACTAAGGACAGACCAAATTTGATTCTTTAATTTAATGTGTAAAAGGAAGAACAACTAATATTTTCTTCAATGAATCTCATTCCACAAATCAAAACACACGGTATAAGTATAGGCAATTGCAATTAGTTAATTCAGGAGGATTATTCTGTACCCTCTTATTTTTTATGTGAAACCATGGTTTTGGGTGACGAGATTTTTATTTCGAGATAAATATTTCAACTTTGTTTATAATTTCTGTTTCTTACAATTCTGTTTGCCTAAACTCCTGGTTGAATCTTTGGGTTATACTACTTGCTGCTTTACTACAACAAAAGTAGTAATTTTATGTTTCTGGTATTTTAATTTTTAGTATAGATATAGAATTTTGCAAAGTAATGAATTTCTTTTTAAGACAAGATCAATATACATTCTAGTCTAACTTTCTTTACTCAAAAATGCTAATATTTTTTTAGACTTGTGAAGTAGAACTAGTGCAACAGTAATCATTTCAGACATGGTAAAAGCACAATATCTCCCCTTCCCCTTAACAAGTAGAGACTTGAAGATGTTACCATTCCTCTCCAACCAAAACCACCAAAGGGCTTACATGGTCACAAAATTTTGCTTCTTTCTTATTGCCGTAGTTTCAAGTTGCTGAAACTGTGCTAGAGTAAAACTCACCCAAGGATTTTCTGTGACAATTACCTTCTCTTCTAAATGTTGAGATTCCTTTGCTTTATTATTTCACCTCGGCAAATGTACGTTAATTAATTTTTCTTTTTCTTGCAGCTGTAGAATAAGTTGTGGAACCTGCTTAAGATGTTCGTTCGAAGAATTTTTGCTTCATGTATTCAATCAAGAAGGATGTTCAGCTCTTCTGTTAGCCATAACTATGCAAGTGCTATTCAAGAACTAAACAAGGTAAAGTTTTTCATTGCTTTGTTCTGCTACTGAGGTAAAGGCAGTGTCTCTGCTTTTTTGGGCACAACACTGATATAGTATATGCCTTAATAAATTACCTATTTCAGCATGATTTCTATTTTGCTATTCAATATATACTATGAAGGTTTGGTTCCACCTGTTTACAAAGAAATATTGATTGAAATACTGTAAATCATGTTAAATTACTTACTCCATTTCAGGAAATGGAATCAGTATTTGGTGAACCTCCAGCAAATGGACTAGCTAGTTCTGCAAGCAATAGTTGTGTGAATAATGCATCCCAGTTATCATCTCAAAACAGAGGTGAAAGTTCTGTTGAATTGACTCATACTGGCAATTCAGGGGAAGCTCAAATGGTCGATGTGTCTCCAAAAGGCAATAGTAATAGAACTGCCAGTGCTGTTTGCAAGGTAATTCTTGGAAAGAAGGTGTTTGATTTGGTCCTGGCGAATCAAATGGCGAAAGGAGATGTGCTTACGGTGGCAAAAATTGCTGGCATAACTGCAGCAAAGCAAACTAGTAACCTGATTCCGTTGTGCCACAACATAGGCCTTACACATGTGCAAGTGGATTTGAAATTGAATAATGAAGACTTCAGTGTAACAATAGAAGGAGAAGCTGCATCAACTGGTAAAACTGGGGTTGAGATGGAAGCAATGACAGCAGTCTCTGTTGCTGGCTTAACAGTGTATGATATGTGTAAGGCTGCTTCAAAAGAGATAGCAATTACTGATATAAGACTTAAGCATAAATCTGGAGGAAAAAGTGGAGAATACTATTGGGGACAATGATGGTTTTAAAGCATTCCAATGGATGACGACAAACACCAGAAATGCTATTCCTCAGCTAGTCTTAAAGGTCACCAGCATAGTTCTCTACACATGAATTTCCCTGTAACGGGATGCATAAAAATTGTTGGGGCTAGCTTTGATGAAACACGTTTTAATAGTTGGGCTTTCACTCCTCGCATTGTAGACATTGTCAAATTTCAATAATATATGAAAACTTTGCAGTACCAACCAATCATGCATAGATTTTTCAGGCTGTCTTGAATCTTTTTAGCTAAAATATAATATATTTATAACTTCTTATTCGTGTAAAAGAATATTTACTATTAAGGGATTGTTCGGCGACCAGTATATGATAAGGACGAATAAGATGGAGGAGATATACATTAGAGTAGGAACGAATATGAGCCCGATATGCTACTTAATTATCCAACATTTGAAGTGCACCAAATAACTTATCAAATAGATAATCTTTATATCGCATCTAAACTCTTATGAGAAAGTTTCATATTAATTTTAATATATTTTGACGCATTATTTTAATATCTTTCAGTCATGTCATTCTCACTAGCGCATTTTTATTCTTTGTAATAAAAAATTTCCTTTTTAAATTTTAAATTTTATAATATGTAAACTCAAATCTTCAAAATTAAATTAAATTTAATAACCGTCCAAATAGATATTAAAACGAAAAAAATGTGAGTACAGAGTTGTTGGGAAACGGGTTGACGTGACTAATTACATCAGAAAGCATGCTTTGAAATTTGACTATCTTTCCTTCCGAACTACAAGGTCAGACATGACGACGTATACAGAACCATAAAAGGGTGGAATTGTAATTCACAGTTACTTTATTTTTTTCAATGGATATTTTATTTTGTTAAATTAACTTATTCTTAATTTTGAATTTTATTTATTCATGTGAGAGCTAAGCTAGGTACTCTTTTTGACCATTCAAGCGTTTATATTTGTGGATCCCATTTTTCAATTTTACCCACAATTATTTAAGGAGGGGCAAAAGGGTCTTTCAGCACGCCATTGTGGGCTCAGTCTCTCCCCAATAATCTCGGAGCCACACGTTACAGGGCCCCAACAATGTCTTCATCTTTGTCACGTAGGAAAAGCCCAACACGTGGCTCAATCTGGTTGGTCCATTCTCCTTCGTTACAATCACAATTTCACTATTTCTGGCTTTTATTCTTAGAGCTTGCGTTACAGAGAGGGTTTAAAATTCGATTCCTGTAGTCGACCCAAGTGAAGGAAGGTTCGGTGAGGGTCGGCGTTTTGAATAGGGCTGTCAAAACGACGTTGACGTTTGACAGCCCGGTTCCTTGGAGATACACACTTTCGTTTCAGGTACCATTCCTTAGGAATAATCTTTTGCATAACCGAATATCCCTACCCTACTCTTTTTCTATTATTCTCATTTATTATTATTGTTGTTCTTTGCTTTGCGTTTGTTCTACGTGTGATTTGTGAGGTACACGTTTTTTTCCTCGTTCAAATTGGATTCTATCCCCACCTACCCTTTTTCTGTCTCCCCGATTTTTCCTTAATGTGTTCTCTTTGTTTTCCTTAAAGCATTGTTTTTTAGTATAAAAACGCGTGATTCCCATTCTGGGTCTGGAATTTATTGTTGTAGATAAGGACAAGGGTTGCTACTTATTGGTGATATGGTATTGTGTTGACAAGTTCTTGCGTTGTGTTTCTGCGATGAGTTCGTTTTCTGGGGCCATTCAGCGACCTCTTGTGGCCGCTGCTGCCGTTGCGGTTGCTTCTTTCTCTGCTGATATTTCGGATAAATTGCCGTTCAATGGATCATCGCGTGATTGTTCTACCTCCAGTTTGACACATTCTCCGCATAGTAATTCCATACAAGAATCGGATTCGTCGTGGGTTTCTCATATTTCTGATTCAAAGCTTGCTAACCTGTCTTTTGTGAACCGAATTCGGGTGCCTGTACCTAATGTTCAATTCCGGGTGCCAAGTTTGGGGCAAATTTGTGTTTCCAATTTGCACCATTCTTCGATTGCTTCGTCCCCATCTCTTCTGAACTTGTATCACTATGCTGACTTGCCTAGAGTGCCGAGGCCGTGTGTGAATTCCCATGGTGTCTCTAATTCAACTTCTGAGGTCATGTACAAATGGCATTTGCCGGAGTCAAGTGCTTTGAGTGATTCAAATTGTTCATTCACAAAGTCGAAGACAGTGGTGGTGTTGCTGGGATGGTTGGGAGCAAGGCAAAAACATCTAAAGAAATACGCAGAATGGTACACTTCAAAGGGGTTTCATGTCATTACCTTTACGTTTCCAATGGGTGAGATTCTAAGTTATCAGCCAGGAGGAAAAGCGGAACAAAATGTTCACTTGCTTGTAGATCACTTGGCTGACTGGTTAGAAGGGGAAAATGAGAAGAATCTTGTCTTTCATACTTTCAGCAACACCGGATGGTTAATGTAAGTGAAATTTGTTATGCACAAGCACAAAATTTGGCAATGTTCTTCTAATATGCATGCCATTAGTTTATTGCTTGATTGCTTTGGTACACATTGTTGCAGATATGGAGTTATGCTGGAGCATTTTCAAGAGAAGGATCCATCTATCATGGAAAGGATTAGGGGATGCATTGTTGATTCTGCACCTGTTGCATATCCTGACCCCCAGGTAGGGGCTTGGCTTTTGTTAAACTTGATGAAGATAGCCGTCTGTTTTTTTAACCTTCTCTGGTGTTCATGTTATTTTTGCCAGCTGTCCTACTCCTACATATCCTCACTGTCAAAATGATCAGATAAATTGCCTTGTTGTTGAGTTATAAACTATTAGGGAATCTAGACCTTTGACCCTTGAGGAATTAAGATATTGTCATTTGAACATTTGGTTGAGATGTTTGATTTTTCAGTTTTATTTGGCGTTCTATCTTGGTGTGGGAAACATTAAATAGAAAAAAGTGATGCTGATTTCATTAATTTTGAAGCCATGAAGTTTCTTTTATATTTTGGGTTTTGATTAAGAGTAAATCGATAAATGATTTCTGTTATTCTTTTATATTCTCACCCTGGTTTTAGAAATGGTGAAGTTTTATGCTAGATTAATAGATATGATATTAATTATCTGATTATTGTTTCAGGTCTGGGCCTCAGGTTTCTCTGCAGCGTTTCTCAAAAAGAATAGTGTAGCTACAAAAGGACGCGTATTTTCCGATGAATCTGGCATTAAAGTATCAATTGGCGGTGATGAAGGTTTAGGAGTCAAACCTGCGGCAACAGAAGCAGCTTTGCTATTGATACTAAAGAAATTTTTTGAGGTCATTCTGCATCTTCCTTCAGTGAATAGGTAATGACTCTAAAATTATTGTTGTGCTTGATTGTTGATTTTAAAAAACACCGATATGTCATCCCAAGTTTTGCTTTTGATTCTTCTAGAAATTGCTGTTATAAGGGTATTAGACCATTGTTGTCAAGACCAAGTTGATATTAAACTGTCATGACCCTTGAATATTGAGCAGTATGATTGTACTAACAATTTAGAGTTTCAAGCGTTCTAACGTAGGTGTAGGAGTATGTAAGGCATTAAATGATTGTGTCATTGTTGAATTTCTATAATAGAACATAAATAAATTACTATGGAAATAGGTTCTTTCGAGAAGTGATGTATTGCTCTAATATGTAATGTAGTACATTTAAGATCTTAGTAAAATCCACTACAGGAAAGATGCATGCATGTGATTTTTGGGAATAGCAGAACATTCCATATTGAGCTATGTTATGGTCCTTTGGGTGTTGATTCACAAGATATGTCCACTCATCTATAGATATTCAATGTTTGATACATATATGGTTGGCTAGTAGGCTGTTTCATCAATAAATGCCGATCGTTCTGTAGTAGTTTCCCATATGACAGCAATGCTCCTAACTTTAATGATCATATTCAAATGCAGGAGGCTCTCTGATGTTTTGATCATGTTATCATCAAAGCAACCAAACTGTCCGCAGTTATACATTTACAGCTCTGCAGACAGAGTTATTCCTGCTGATTCAGTGGAATCATTTGTAGAGGCACAGCGCAGGGCTGGACATGATGTGAGGGCATGCAATTTTGTTTCCTCACCCCATGTTGACCACTTTAGGAATGATCCCAAATTGTATACATCTCAGCTCAGTAAATTTTTAGAGGAGTGTGTATCTTAACCGTTGTAAATCTTACTAATTCTTTACATTCCTTGCCTTATTCATATAGCATATAGTTCATTCATTTTTTTACTTTTTAAAAGCAGCCATTCCACTAATTGATGGTGGATTGGACTGTATCAAAAGTCAACCCCTCAAGGGGATTAAATACTTGTTCCTTGACAGCTTATAATTGATTCATCGATATGTTGATAGTTCAAATGAAAGGCATAGCATTGCAACTTTCTCTTCAATTGTTTCTTCCATGTTTGAGCGGGTGCAAAAGTGTTTGAAGCTCTCAAGTACAGTCGTAAATTATTTTGTTAGTTGATGGCAAATATTTTTCATTATTTATATATTTTCGGATCAACAATGGCTGATGAACATGAACTAGAAGGTAATGTGATATGGAATATGGAAATAAATGATTAGAACCTGCATATTTGAGCTGCGAATTCTTAGATAAGGGATTAGTTACATATTCAAATGGCATTTAGATGAAATTTTATAGAATTTATTTGTACCTGTTAAAATGCTTTATTATGATTTTCTGAAGTTTTTAGTAAAATTGGTTAAAATAAGTTTTTTTTTACTATTTTGATAAATTTTATGAAAATGACCATTTCACATTTGAAGAGGCATATATTTACTCTTAATTGGAGTACAGAGATTAAAAAAGAGTATATGATGTAAGAAAAGAAAAGGAAAATAAATACATAAAATTATTAAGTGATGTGAAAATCAAAATGTAAAAAATACTCTTTTTTTACCAGATATTTTCACAAATAAAATTTGTTTAGTTTATAATTTACTTTCATTAAAATCAATTATAGTTGGTTAAAGAGAATCATCTATATATATATACTTGTATGTTATGATATTTTATACATAATTATAATTTGTTTATTTTATAGATATTTTAAATATTATATTTGTTTATAAGATTGAACTTGCTTTCTATAGTTTAATACCCTTCTCATTCTTCTAAATGATTCTCAATAGATCTTGTAAAAATAGGAAGTAAACAGTAATAACAATATGATGTGCCTTTAGTTTAAGATTTATTTATTTGTAATATGATTTAAAATGGTGAAGTTCTTGCAGTAAGACTTGAACTCAAATTTACTCAAGAATAAAAATTGTAGTGCTAAAAAAAAAAGATTAGCATTCGAATGGATTATGTGATCCAAAATTGCATCAATATTGTCGTGTTCGAATTTGAACCTCATATTACTATGACTCTTTCTTATTATTATTGCATAATAAAGAGAATACAATTTTAGAAATATTATAAATAAAATTCTCACTCATTTACTTCACTGATTGGTGGTGATCGATGATGGTAATTTTTAATAATAATAATTTTCAAAGATCAGAAATGAATAAATAAAAAGTTTAAAAAATTAGCAATTAAAATATTTATTAATAATAATATTAAAAATTAAAACGTTTTTACCGATAATAATATTAAAAACTAAAATAAAATATGATAATGTATAATATGTTATGTGTGATATTATTTTTATCATAAAATCAATTATATATGTCTTAACAAAATATATTAGCATTTTATTAGTGTTATTAATAATTTTTTAGTATAAAAACTAAAATGTTTGATAAAAAATGGAAGTAAAAAACTAATAATATTTTTAAAATTTCAAATAATACAATACTTGACTCTTATTATTTCATGGGACTAAAATAATTGATTAGTAAAAATATATATTTGATAAGTCGAAATTACCCCTTAACTAAAGAGATGAGTGGGATGAAAAGGGGCATTTTATCGTAAATTAACGGTGGGGGCGCTTTCCTTCAATCTACGCTTTGTCGTTGATAATGATTGATGTGAAGCAGCGCCGAATTAGGGTTCTTCGTTTTTACGTCTCAGAACTAAGGCTCTGTGTGTTATTATGCGAATAACAAAATAATTCCCATCTGCATTTAGCCCCAAATTGTGGGGTTAGGGTTTCCAATGGCTTCGCATTCGACTGACGACGACGCCGTATCGGGATCGAGGCTGTGCATTAACGACGCGTTGAGGGACGACGAGTTGCGTTCGATCCTGGCTCGTGTGGAGAGCGAGAAGGACAAGGAAACTTTCGGGTTGGTTTGTAAGAGATGGCTTCGGTTGCAGAGCACTGAAAGGAAGAAGCTCGCCGTACGTGCGGGTCCACAACTGCTGCAAAGAATGGCTGATAGGTTCACATGCTTGGTGGAGTTGGACCTCGCTCAGTCCGTTTCCCGATCCTTCTATCCCGGCGTCACCGATTTCGACCTCAACGTCATCGCCAATGGCTTCAGATGCTTGAGACTCCTCAATTTGCAGAATTGCAAAGGTCAACATTCTCTATTATTATTCTGCTAATTTAATTTATATTTTTATAGTTATAATTTTGTATAAATTTAATTTACACTGCAAGTCAACAATTTTAGTTAGTGCCATTGTAATTTCTCTCCTTTTGTTGATTCATGACTGTGAATTAGATTTAAAGGGTTTCCTTAATTATTATCATTACTGAATTTGAATTTGGTGAGTTCAGATTTAGAATAAGATTGACATGGTATTTCATTGTTTGTGTAATATACAGGAATTACAGATGTTGGAATGAAAGCGATTGGTGATGGGCTTTCCTTATTGCAGTCATTGGATGTATCCTACTGCAGAAAGCTGACCAACAAGGGATTATCAGCTGTTGCGAAAGGGTGTTGTGATTTACGTGTATTGCATCTGGCTGGTTGCAGATTCGTTACTGATGGAATGTTAGAAGATTTATCCAAAAACTGTCATAATTTAGAGGAGTTAGGATTGCAAGGGTGCACCAGCATTACTGACAATGGACTGATAAACCTCGCAAGCGGTTGTCGACGGATCAGGTTTTTAGACATCAATAAGTGTAGTAATGTCAGTGATGTTGGGGTTTCTAGTATCGCTAGGGCTTGTTCCTCTTCTCTCAAGACGTTGAAACTGTTAGATTGCTATAAAATTGGGGATGAAACCATACTGTGTTTGGCTAAATTCTGTGATAATCTTGAGACTTTGATCATTGGCGGTTGCCGGGATGTCTCCGGTGATGCAATAAAGTCACTGGCTACTGCTTGTAGAAGCAACCTTAAGAACTTGAGGATGGATTGGTGTTTAAACATTTCTGATTCTTCATTGAACTGTGTTTTAAGTCACTGCAGAAACCTTGAGGTTCTGGACATTGGTTGCTGTGAAGAGGTGACTGATGCTGCTTTTCATCAGCTTATAAGCAGTGAGGAGCCTGGTTTGAATCTCAAGATTTTGAAGGTAAGTAATTGTCCAAAGATAACAGTGGCTGGTATAGGCATTCTTGTGGGTAAATGCGAATATCTGGAATACTTGGATGTGAGGTCCTGCCCACATATTACAAAGGCTGGCCTTGATGAGGCTGGTTTCCATTTTCCTGAATGTTGTAAGATTAATTTTAATGGTAGCATCAGTGAGCCTGTTGAGCTTCTTTGATACTAGATAATTATTTTAAAAGATTGGCATCATCATTAAATCTTCCTATGTGAACTTTCTTGATAAGAGGCGTGCCTTTGTATTGTTCTTGGTGGTGTTAGTTTTATTGTGCAACCTATATGTATCATGTATGTGACTGCATTAATTGTTAGTGGATGTATCATAGTTCATTGATCAGTTCGGTTGTAAATTCGACCAATACAAATGTATATTGCTTTTTAAGTTTACCTGTTACAAATTTGCATTTGTCACTTGATTCGACCTGAATATCCCCGGGTTCAGTATGCATATTATTAATAAATAATTTTAGAAGAAAATAAAAAGGTAATGTATATAAAATTTTCTTACATAAGTTGAAGAAAATAACTTTTGGATTTATTAACATATATTTTTTAAATATTGATGTATATAAGTTAATTTTATCTTACAGAAAAGTTTGATTTATTTGATAATATTTTTTTACAAGTATGTGTGTATAGAGAGAGGGATTGACAAGAGATGTGAAATGTAAATACTTATATTATTTAATAATTTTTTTATAAAATATGAAATTAACAAATAAAATGTTGAATCTTATGTCATATTTATAATTATATATATAAAATATTATTTATTAAAATAATAAAATAATGTAATGAAAGGTTTATTATTTTTTTTATAAAATTTGGTAAATTTAATTTACTTGATAAAAAATTTTAAACAATTAAATTTGTTGAATATATTTTTGGGTAAATTTATGAACTAAAATTAGAGAAGGTGATACGACAGAAGAAAAAGAAATAGATGTTGTGTAGTTGCAACTTGCAAGAAAACGAAAAGAGAATGATAAGGGATTGGAAGGAGGTGGGGATTAGAAAAGATTGATTTTCCTAACCAGTAAATTGTAATTGTCAGCAAGTTAAGGCATTTATTCTTTATAAATTGGTTTATCCTGAAAACGAACCGTTAAATAAGACCCACTAATTAAAAAAAAATAATAATAATAATAAAAATGAGAAAGATCCTTTACCAATTTGAACGATAATAAAAAACTTGAGAAGTTGTATTATTATTCAATTATTCTAATCCCTTAGAAATCAACAAATCCAAACCCAAACCCAAATCACCACTCTCCGCTTCTTCAATCGCCGCCCTACAATGTCCGAAGCACCGTCTCAGCCACCGCTCCCAACAACCGACTCGCCGTCGTACTGGTGCTACCACTGCGAAAAACGCGTCTCCATCGAAACGCTCGCCAATCTCCCAGACGTCATCTGCGGCGAGTGCAAAAACGGCTTCGTTGAATCCATCCCAACTCCTTCTCGCTCTCGCTCCCCTTCATCCTCCTCCGACGACCCCTACTTTGGCTCCCAGTTCCTCCAGGTCCTTCGCCTAATCGCACAATCGGCGCGTGACGACGACGCGTCTCCTCCTCCTCCTCCCAACCGCTCTCCGGAGAACGACTTCCTCAGGATCGAGCTCGGCGGCTGGGACAACGATGACGAGAACGACGACGACGACGACGGCGTCGAGTTTCACAACGACGGCGAAGAACACGAAGGAGATGCGGAGGAGCAGGAAGAGCGATCCGGCAACGAGGATCCACACGGAGACGATGAAGATCTGAGGCGAAGACGGCGCGAGCTGCTTCGGCTTCGGATTAGGGATTTGGCGACACGAACGAGGAGCATGCGGAACCGGATCTTGGATTGGGCCGAGATTCTGATGGGCCTGGAAGATAATTCCATAGAGTTCCGGCTCCAGTTGCCGGAATCGGACCGGTACGTCGGAAATCCGGAGGATTACGTGGACGCGGCGGAGTACGAGGCGTTGCTGCAGACGCTGGCGGAGAGCGACGGAGGAGGGAGGAGGGGAGCTCCGCCGGCGTCTAAGTCGGCGGTGGAAGCGTTGTCGACGGTGAAAATATTGTCGGGAAGTGAGGTTGTGGTGTGCGCTATATGTAAGGATTCACTCGGCGTTGGAGAGACAGCAAAGAGATTGCCGTGTGGGCATGAGTACCATGGAGATTGCATCGTTCCTTGGTTGAGTTTTAGAAATTCTTGCCCTGTCTGCAGGTTTGAGCTACCAACGGATGATAAAGAATATGAGGAAGAGAGAGTGGTTAACGCTTCTTCTGATTCTAATAACGGTAATGGTGCTTCAAGTTCAGGTGGAGCTTCCACTGTTTGATTCCACCTGGTATGTTCTGTTCTGTTCTGTTCTGCTCTGCCATTTGTGTAATATATTTCGTTGCTGGCTTCTTCTATCTTCTTTTGTTAATTTCTCTTTTTTGTTATTAGTGGATTTTTATCGATGCTTGCACCATGTTATTTATTTGGAACGTTTATGTAGTTGGCTTCTTAGCTCTCGGATGCTAAGATACTTGTATATAGCATTTGGATTAATGTGATCAGATCACACTGCCTCAATGTCAAAATTTGCAGTTTCTCCCTATCGATCTTGTTAGAGTTTTGATTGTGAGCCGTGGCTTGTGATTTTCTGCTCAAATTTTGTTTTTCATGAGATGAACGATCTTGTTGTTTATGTAGAAGAAGAAATATTATTTAGGACATAGGGGAGGGAAAAAAGAAAGAGTGCAAGACAAAGCTTAAGATAAGTAAAGAAAATGACAATTACAACTGATCATAATGACAATGGAAGCATATTGACCAGATAGCGGACCTTTTTGCATGTCTGATAAAAATAACCATCTATTGTCTATTATGTTAGCAATATATATATGTATATATGGGTTAGGAAAATCACTTATCCCTCGAAAGAGAGGCATCGGCAAAAATTTGACTTCTGAAGATACACTCATGAGAATTATGCTAGAAGATAAAAGTAAAACTAACACTTTCATCATATAATTTATTTCTGGAGTCATTAGACTTGGATTGTGTGTTTTGTGAGCATTTGATTTCATGATGGTCACTGCTCTAATAACAAGCTAGGATGAGAATCTTAATTCGAAACTTTTCTGTGGCCTGGAAAGAGGAACACAATAAACAATGCCATTTGCCAAACAAGGAATAAGGAAGTGGAACATGACCTGACTAATTGGCCTGAAAATATAAGTGAAATGGAACATGATATTAATGTATTAACAAGTTGACCATTTTGATTGAGAATATAAATATGTAGCAGTGCTAAATAGAGTGTAAAAATGGGAGAACAGAGTCTTGAACTTGGTGTTTCAGGAGATTATTTGTCCATCTTCACAGGATAGATTGATCTCTAAAGGTAACGTTTCTATTTAACTTGGCAATATTTTAAATTTTAAGCCTTCCTAAAAATGACAGGCTGCAACTGTGAATACACACACTAGATATTTTCTCTGCATTTTGGACAGGGAGAGAGGAGTTGGGAACTGATTCTACAACATGTTACATTTTGTTCCTTTGCGACTCTTCAACAAGAGTCTGATAATTTGGTTAATCAATTCACCTTCGATTCTCTTGTGTAGTTAGTTTGTCATCTTGTAACTGTGACACGTGTAGTCATAGCTTATCTTCATATTCAGTAAATCCATTGTCATAGCCTTTATTATATATTTTCACAGTACGCGTAAGTTTTAGGTTTGCTAGCATTTCCTTTGGTTCTTTTACCGCATTTCAACATTTTATTCTCTAGGACTACGGCAGATTGTTGCCTTCTTTTCTGTCGTGGGAAATATCTTCGATAGGAATAACTTAGGTTCAGATAAGATTATTATTAGCTTTGCCAAAATTTGCCTCTTATTATTTATTAAACTGCAAATGGAATTTCAACCTGGATAGTGGATTGTATTGTGGATCTTTATAAGCCTCCGGTTGGAGATTGAAGTCTGAGGAGAACGGGGGAAGGATTTCAAAACGGAACTCAAGGGGGTCGGTGTCCAATCATTGTAGTTTGCATCTTCGCATTGTTTACAACATTTTTAAAATTTTGTCTTTCAATGTATCAAATTCTAAATTTTGTGCTAACTTAAAAAAAATGTACACTTTATAAAGATTGAGAAACATTGCATCTGTTAACCATAAAAGGTAACAAAAAAGGTTATCCGTCATCCACTCCACCCATTTTGTTTGCCAAGGTTACACACACAAGATACTTACTCTTAATTGGATCTTTATGAGATAAATATTTTCAGCTAGGTCCTACCATACATTTTTCATTTTTTAATTTAGAGAGTAAAAGTACCATGTTCTCTGCTTTCACATGCAAAAATGTCCATATTTCGCCCTTGTTAATACAGCCAAATTTAATTGAAACGAAGGATATCATACCTTGATAAAAAGTGACGATAAATCAAAAATATTTCTTCTCTTTTGCCCAACAAATAATTAATCATCTTTTGAGAAGAAGGGTACCATTATAATTTGCTTGATTTAATTGTAGGTTTGTTCGTTGATCAATCAATTAAGGTCGAAGATGGCCTGTAATACTCTTGAAAAGGTCCTTTATTATTAACAGAAGCTCAGAATGTTACATTAAACAATATTGATTATTCCATCAGAAAAGGTAAAGGCTAAAAATATTTTAGAATGTTAAATACATGGAAAAATTTTAGGGGATGGCATCGTCTTTGACAATAAGAAAGCTCCAGTCCTCTAGTAATAAAATAAGAAATTAAGTTGAAATAAAGAGACCGTTTACAAAAAATTGTAAAACAGACCACTTAACCAATCCGTGATAGATTGTTACAAAATGACTCCTATTTTATGTTTATTTAGCACGTGGCTTTTTTGTTTGAGAATAAGTGAATGCCAAATCGTTCCCTCATAATTCTTATGCTCCACGTGTAAACTACTTCTCTATTACGGAAAATCCAAGTTCAGAAAAAAGATAACAAGCTGCATCCGAGATTATACACTTGATGAAATTGAAAAGCCACTTTCACTGATTTTTAATATCTTAAAAGACGCGTGTCAACTCTACAACAGCCCATGCATGCACAAGCTTAAAGGAAATGAACCTTCTCTAGTCAGAAACAGCAATGAGCAAATGCCTTTGTCACCGGTACAGGTTCCAAGTACCTGTGAGTGAGGCTTGCACCAGTTGTAATTCTTCCTTTTATTTTCTGAGCTGGATACATTTTTTTTTATTGATGTACCTCCAATATATTAAGTGCAGGGAGTTTCGTGCCATTGCCTTTTAATCTGTTAAGCTTAATATACATTATATATGAAAGAGTTTTCTAGACAATGTTGTCATTTAGACTTCAACTTTTAATATGTATATTAAAATATTTGTCATTTGAAATCTTACTTTAAAACTTGGAAATTTTTCTTTGCAAAGTTGCTCCACTACTAATTAAAGATGCCTATTTTATATTAATTCACCAGTGTCATGCATTTAAGACAATCACTTCATATTAATCCTTATATTTTTTAAGATTTTAACTTTTTATTTTTCCCTACAATTGCACTCTTATAATTGCTGATAGAAAAACGAGCAAGAAAAGAGACTGATTGCACAAGTAAATACGTTTGATTCAATGAATAATACCCAAATTAGTTTCTGGTTCATCGGACATCAAAGATTTTAGCAAATTCTGCCAGAAATGTGCACAATATTTAATTTTGTCAATAGTTTAATTAACAAAAAATTTATTTATGTAAACATTTGTACATCTTTCAGCACCTTATACTTCTTCACAAAATATGCGATGAAGCAAAGGGAATAAACAATTTTAATTGTGCAGTTTTTTCCTCTAATCTTGAGAGATAGCCTCCTCAAGACATCTCAAAGCTTTCTGATAATTTAAGAAACCCATAAACCAGAAATCAAAACCATCCACAGTGACAATTTCTATGTACTTTCGTGAGGGCTTCTCCACATTTTGACTTTGGTTGACAGACTTTATCTTTTCAAGGGGAATAGAGACCTGAAATGACAAATACATTGAATTAACACATTAACAAAGGATGAAGAAAGATTTAAGAGATAGAAAATATTTGCATAGATTAGAGACTGCAAAAATTATTAAGAAAGTTACCTTATAATGGACCCTCATAAATTCTCCTTTGGCAGTAGAAACTTTGATGGATCTCTCACTGCAAAAAGCAACTTTATCAGTGGATATGAAGAGAAGGCCAGCTAGAGGACCGGATGTGGTTGATAAGTAGCATTGTGACGCTTTCAACAGTTTCTCCCCTTCTCTAACACCAAAAAGTTGCATGAAGACTTTCTCTACTCCACCAACCTGAAGAATTCTGGCTCCCAAACTTAATTTACCTTTTACTGTATCGGTTATCTTTGGCCCAAGTCTTACTGCATGTCAAATCAAACCATCAGTTAGAGCTTCATTTTATTTTCCATGCATCGTACATATTTTGTAAATTTAGTAATTTTGGAGGCAATGCAAAATGTTTGCAGTGTCATGAAGTACTATGTCATATAGTGCTTGTCCAATATCTTGCAAGTTTCATCCAAACAAAAATAAAAAAATTTAATGTTATTCTTTAAAGATTACATACCATGCTCTCGGACCCTCTGTAAAAATCCAGTTTTGTGGTGAAAGGGTGTCCTACTTTGCTTTGATTTCATGATAGACTTGCTGTATTTGCCACGAGAATCAGGCAAATATCTCCTTGACGACTTCCCAGCCTGGAATGTTGTGGCGACAGAAATTCCATTAGCAAGTTCTTGAAGAAATGAGGACTTCATATCTGTTATTATCTTTCAGGAGCGTTTCTTGAGCAATGACTAGCTTGTGAAAAATGTTCAAAGAGCTATTGAAACTTTGGTTGATGAATCCTTGTGTTCTACAATGGCATATAAATGGCTGAAAGGAAACAAGTTGATTGCTGACTTTTTGCTGGATGAGTCAGCTATGGATCATCATGAAGACTAGATGATTAAAAGTAATTCAAAATTTGAAGATTTGCATGTTGGGTTGCATATAGAAAAAAGGCAACATATAGAGGTACACGTCCTCATTGATCCCACAAGATAATGAAAATGAAAGATGTGTTTATTAATTAAAGAAGGCAACTTTTTTATCTTCAAAGTCTCTACTGTTGAATTTAAATATAAAACCTACATAAACATAGAACGTGGTTGGTTGGCTGCCTGCCTGTTACTGCTTGTATTCAAACCAAAGGTTCTATCATTTCTTTTTAGCTTTAAGCGCATTTGGATATTGACTCTAGGTTGGCCATTGGTTTGCATTATGCCAATATACATCTGTGATTTTAATGATTTATAGGGAACGTAGTTTTTTTCTTTTATCTACCGATATAATGTTCTCACGTTTACTATTTTTGGCTGAATGTTCTGTGAACATGATTAATTGATGCAAATAGAAAAAGATAAATAGTTAAGAACAAAATCCACCTACCCCATGTAAGAAATTAGAGGGAGTGAGGAATTTTTTCTGGATCCTTAGGGGGAAAAATAATATTAAGCAACCGTTTAGCTTTAGGAAATTGTCACCCTTTTGAAAATGGGAGGAAGCAAATAATATATTATGGTTTGTTAGGACAATGCCACGTGCATGATGACAAAACACGATCTATTGCCACTTTATTTTATTCATAAATGCTAATCAGAGGGTGTCATTTAAACTTTCTGAGCTGGAATTTCACCTTTCTGATGCCAAACATCTCAAAATTTTACTCGTATCAGATAAAGTATAGAGAGAAAAAAGTTTGCTTACATCCACCAGAATTACAAGCTAAATGAATAAGGTAATGCAGCATATTCGGGAAAAGATTCTGCCTTTATGTTTTCTACCAACACATATAAAATATTATAAACTACTTCATCAAACTGTAGTAAATTATATAAAACATCACCCATATTGTCTAATACCTGCCCTTCATATATATATATATATATATATATATATATATATATATATTAAATTCCTAAACGTGAGGACCAACATTAATTGAAGGTGCATATTTTATGTGAAAGGCTTAAAGAAAAAGAAGCTATGGAACATGATATTACGGGAAATTGTTTAGGTAAAAAGGAAGCTATGCAACAATGAATATCCAACGCCAGCTTTGGACATCATGTGCTAGAAGCAGTGTAGGGGAAGACACACTTCAATGTTTTTTTGCTGAAAAGGAACGGCCAAATCACTCCCACATCACCCCTATGCCCCACACGGAAAGCTCACTCTTGAAGTTCCTTCTTCATCACTTTCTGTTTTGTATTTTATAATTAGGGAAAACATCATGATTTTGTTATAAGGACACCACGGTTGGCTTTGCGTAATAAGAGGAATTATTTTTGTGCTCGTTAAATTTGAGGGGAGTGATTAAAATTACTGACGAAAATTTCTTTCGATAATTGTTTTGCTTTTGATTAATCACAATTCCTGTGTGTGTGTGTGTATTCAAGCGTTATGTTGTGCATGTTGTCAAATGGTGTGATCGATTGAAAGAGCACTAACTAGTACTTCCAAGTTGTCAAATGGTTTACAGGTATAAGGAGTTATGGTTGATACTCAAAGATCCTTATCACGTACCCACCAAAATTAACTTTTGCATCCAACAAATCCTTTCCACTAACCATTTAGGGGGTCTTCTACAAATCTGTCTGAAAGGTTGTGCTCGCCAGAATAGCTGTGTGTCACAACAAAGTTGTACCAATTTTTCATAAATTATAAAGGGCAGTGATTCGTCATAATCAAATACGAGTATTTCACTATTTATAACTAGGGGGAAAAAAGAACAGCAATAAAATAGGGTAAATAGGATGAGAATTATAATTAATATGCATTTTAAAAATCAAAGATAGGATCTTTTCCTAAAAGAATTGTCCAAGAAATATCTTTAAAAACAAGAAAGAATAGTTGTGGAGCAAGAAAGTGAAACCAAAGTCAATAGATTATTTGGTCTTGGCAGCGATTTCTGAAGGTAGAAATCTTGCTTTCTAAAGGAATGAAAGAGAACAAAGACGCAAGTTATGTTGAAGCAGCATCTTTTCAGAATCTCTCTCAACCAGGCGTGGCAAGGAAAGAAAAGTGATGAAATTTCAGGTTACAAAACAAGATCCTATCGTATTAAGTTGTAACAAACTAACAATCAGGCACTGTAAGAGACAAGTACTGTTTGCAACAAATAAACCAATCAGTCTACAGTATCTTTTTTACGTTCTCTACATTACTGAAAGGTGAATGAGAATATTAAATTAGATTTGTGAAAAGTCGCTGCAGAAATGCTCATGAGACTTCTCAATGGAATGTGTGTGAAGGTTCTATCTATGAGAATAAGGAGCTTTCAGGATTTGATGCCTAGCAAGTTAAGCAAACTGAACCAATAGTGAAAGTCAAGTGGGTCAAATCAAAATCAAAATACTTGACATGGCATGACACTCCCCTCATAGAATAGGCCAGCTGACAGCACACGTGCACACTTGTTGATGTGGGAAACAAAAAACAAAGGTCTTTTGCTTTTGAGACCAACACAGAGAGAGAGAGGACCAAAAACATTGTATTTTAGGAAGGCGCACATGCTTTTGTGTTTGTGAAAAAGGGTAATTATTACCAAATGATTTCCATATGCATCAGGGAACTATCATGTATGGACCATTAAAGACAGCAACACACAACACAACTGTGTAGATTAGGGACAAAAGTGGATTTTCCCATCCACTAAGTGTAAATATATCAATATAGAATGTATGTTTGTTAAAAGAGTTTATATTGTAGGATTTGTCCCTCTCGTTGTGCACATTTTTGTTTTTTAATCAGGATTAGTGTTGCCCATTTTCACTCTGTTTTACTTGTATTAGTTAAAAAAAAAACAAGTGTAGAGAGATCGGCAATTTGATATATCAAAATTTTAACAAGGTGAACTGAAATATATGTATAATAAATGGTGTAGTATTGTCAAATCTGTATGTTCTTAAACATTGAAATGAAGGTTGATATTTTGTTTGTAAGATCATTAAGGTATTGAAAATTTTGGAAACTTCTGGATCGTGGGAATTGAAACTAAACTAAAGCACATCCACAGGCAGTCTTTGATGAAGCCATTGATATTTTTTCTTTTTATGGGTCAAACAATGTTACTTCAAGGTTTTGTGGAAAAGTAAATTGCCAAATCATTCCTACATCATCCCCATGTCCCACATGTAAAGTTGATAGCAAAAGTTTCTTCTTCACCACTTTTTGAATTTTTTTGAACGGGAAAACGATCAAGTTACTATAGGCATATCATCACACTTAACCTTACCTAATGATTATTTAATGGTCAAATTTTAGCCATTGATATAATTTTTTATTTTATTTGCTGCATTTCTTAATTCCTCTCAATTAATTTTTCATATATATATATATATATATATATATATATATATATATATATATCTGGCAGTAGTTGTCAAGTGGGTACCTGCAAATGGTTTACAGGTATAAGAAGTTATCCAATGATACATTAAGACCCTTATCACCTGCCCATAAAGTTAAATTTTTTTTTTCGCTAATCCCATAGAGTTAATTTTAATACCCAAAAAACCACTTTCTGTATGGCCGTTTGTCATTAACAAAATCTCCTGAAAATTTGTGATCACGGTAGTAGTTTTGGGTCACAAAAATGATACCCTAATTAAGTTTTTTTTTTTTTATACATTAAAGGAATTACGTAGGAACATCATTCACAAAATCTGCATTTAATGTTATCTCAAGTTACCAAGACAGAACTCTAGTTTTAATAGTTAAACAGTACCAAAAACACTTAAAGAATTGGACCTAAGTTTTGTCCTAAAAAATAATGTATGATATAATTTTTAAAAACAAAAGAGACCAGCTACAGAGCAAGATCTACTGTTAACGAAGTCACTAGTAATGAAAATTCCTGTCACAAGCATGTGAAATCGTTGTTGTTTGAATTATTTGGCTGATTTCTTGCGGAATAGTCCTTTTGCCTTCAGAAGGCTGTAGATTTAGTAAAATTGTGAAAAGAGAACAAACAGAGTTAGAAGATTTGGCGATAAGCTTTTCAGATTCTCATGCCGCCAGCCTCATTTATAAGATGGATCCAGTGATATTTTCAACCAAAGTTAAGTTAAGATAACCAAATTTCGCCCCTCTATAACCAACTGGAACAAGTAACAAAGTCAAATTTATAGTGATTGACGAAATCAATTCAATAAGTATACTAGAATTGTCCATTTATCAATGTATTCTATCATACTTCCTGGCAATTATTTAAACTAATTAAATGAAACAGAATCACTTTTAAATAATTATATACAAATTTGATTAAAAAGTTAAGATGGTATGAATACAATCTGAATAACAAACTCTGGTTCTGAAAACATTTACACAGCAAATAATCCATAAGTAATTGAGCCTAGAACTTCTACAGTGGGGCAACTAACATTTTTCTTCCCCCCTGTTCTATGTATTTTTATAGAGCTCTAATATTGCCCCATCCCTGGATCAATACCTTCTCCAAAAGCAGTCTGATTCTTAGCACTGCCATCCAATCAACCATTGAATACATATTGCTTGGATTCTGCAGCAGATCAGGCATCAAATGGTGAACTCTTGCATTCACAATTTTTGTCTACAATCTGCAACTCCGCTGATATGAACCACATCCATTTGCTATCATAGGCCAAATGTGGTGTCTATCAGGATGGATATATACAATGAAGTGAAATCCCTTTCATCAGATACAATGCTCAGTATCTTCACTGATCACTTTTTGTATCTTTATGTTTGTGCTGAAAACATGAAGTTTAAAACTCAAACAGTGATTTTGCTACTCATCTAAGCTTGAGAAATCGCCTGCTCAAGATAATTGAAAGTTTTCTGATACTTTAGCACACCCATAAACCAGAAATCAAAATTGTCCACCGTGACTATCTCTATGTACTTCTGTTTTGGTTTCTGAACATTTTCACTTTGGTTCACACACTTAATCATCTTCAATGGAATGACAACCTGTAAATGATGACATAATTATAAACTTTTCAGAACCTCAACAAATCTAGGATTAGGAGAAACTGGGAAATATGAAAAGGTTTTTGTATATATTAATTCATGATTGACCTTATAACGGATTCTCAACATGTGGCCTTTCTGAGTGAAGACTTTAATTGATCTCTTGCTGCAGAAGGCAACCTTGTCAGTGGAGATGAAGAGGAAACCGGCTAGAGGGCCAGATGTGGTGGAAAGATAACACTGGGAAGCTTTCAATAGTTTTTCCCCTTCTCTCACATTAAAAAACTGCTTAAACACTTTTTCAACTCCACCCACTTGAAGAATTCGAGCCCCTAAGCTCAACTTCCTCTTAACAGTTTCTGATATATTTGTCCCTTGTCTCACTGAAGTTTCAGATTTATATAAACAGAATTAAATATGTTCACAAAGCAAAGATAATGCATGGTTTTCATATATGGTAGCACATCAGTGCCTTGTCACTTGGAGACATATCTAAGGCTTACAAGGATACTCACCATGTTCTTGGACTCCTTGTGAAAAACTGTCAGCATTCCTTCCATGCTTATTCACAATCGAATATGCTCTACCTGAAACATAGAAGCTTTTGGTGTTGGTAAAACCAACAATACTTCTTAATAAAATTAGATGTTTGTATGTAAAGGAAAAGAATAATTTACTTTGCTTTGTTGAGGTTGAACATTGGTATTGAGTGGCAGGATCAGGTAAGTATCTGTTGACTGACTTTTGGAGCTGATCATAACTTGCTGAGATGAATGGAGTTCCAACAACTAGCTCATGAAGAAGTGAGGTCTGCATGTTTAATGATTGATGAGGTTTCTGTTTATCAAAGAGACTAGTAGACAAAGAGGAATGGTCTGAGCTATTAGATTACAAAGGAAACAATGCTCACTTGGGTTGATAACTCCCTGGTATTTCCAAGTGGTATTTAAAGGGATGATAAATAGGAAGTGAATCTTGACACTTTGGTGGATGACTCAACCTTGGATCATCAACCATGTCATGATTGATAAAAAGGCACTGGCATAGCAACTTGAAGGACAGCTATTCAAGATAATATTTTAACATCATGGATTGTTTGGCTACTTTTAGAATAAAGGTGGTGCCAAAAAAAATTCATGCCTACTTTTTAAAAACTTAAATCCTTGAAAGGTTAGTTTTAAGAGGCTTTAAAAGAGGTTTATATATCTTCAGGAGCAAGATACCTTGGTTGTTGATCGAAGTAAGAAAATAAAACCTGTGGCTTGTAGTATATGGCCATGTTGTCATGAAAACCATTGGACAACTGCTCTGTTTTCGGAAAGGGTAAGGAAATTAAGCCAAAAGAAAGTAAAACACTGATTAGTTGCAATACTTTTCTGTTACATCTGCTTATGTGGGGATGCATCACCAAGGCTTTATGAGCTGGAATTTTAACTTTCTGATTCCAGATTTCTTTAAATTCTCGTGATTAAGGTAGGAAAAAAAGGAAAAGATGGTGAAGTTTATGCGTGCGACTATCCAATATTTATGATCTATTTGCAATTAACATATTAGTCAAAGTTAAATGTCATTTTCATTTTCTCTAACACAGTAGAAGGTTAAATAATTTTATGACTTATTTTATTTATGAAAGTTCAAAGCTAAAATACTGTTAAGACTTATTCAACCTAAAGTTCAGTGAGACTAGGGACGTGTCAAGATGACATGACATGTGCCTACATGCTGATGTGGGAGACAACACAATCTCTTGCTTTTCCCAGGGGAAAAGGGGAGCAAGCATTCCATGTACATGGTAGATATTCCTCTAGCTTGTTTTTGAGTGATTGACACATTTTGAAGAGAATGATATCAGCAGCAAATAAACCATTGCATTTATATTTGCTTTTATGTTTATAGAGAATAGAATAACATAACATACATAATCATTTCCATATTGACTTTTTTACCTTGCAACTCTGAGAAAGGGTTACTTCTACCATGGGCTATTGAGAATATCTTACATTGATTTTTGGGAGCAGTAGGGGCAAGAGAAGAGTGTTGGACATACTTAAAGGTTTTGTGGAAAAGCAAATTGCCAAATCATTCCCACATCATTTCCATGCTTCACACGTAAAGCTGATGGCTAAAGCACCTTCTTCAGCACTTTCTTTTTTTGAGTTTCTAAAGGGTCTATGCTACTTTTGGTATGACACACTTGACCTTACCAAAGAGGAATTAATGTTGTGTGCTTTTAAATTGGGAGGGAGGGCTCAAATTTAGTCCTTTTTATAGATTATCAAGTTTTTTGTATACATATTCAAGTATCAGTTGGGCATGTTATCAAGGGGGTACCAACAAATCGTTCACAAGTATAAGAAACTATCGGTGATACTTTAAGACCCTTATCATCTCCCCATAAAGTTAACTTTATTAACCCAAGAAAATGAACAAGAAAAGCTGGAGAATTGGCCATATTCTTGGTTGCACATATTGAAATATTTTGGGTTGAAAAAGGAATGCTCTCTTAGAAAAAAAAAATAACTTTTTTCCAAAATATTTCTATTTTTATAAACAGGGCGTTGTTATATATTTATATTGGTCGGTGACAAATTCTTCTTGAAGTTTGTTTTCACCAGAATAGTTTTGGTTCACAAAAATGGTATCCTAGCAAATAAATTTATCTTAATAGATTTAAAAGAAGTAAGTATCTATATAATTTGTTAAAAGAAAACTAGTTTGGGTAAATCCAAAGGCTGGGAATTAATTATTATGTGATTTTAAAAATCACAGATAGGATATTATGGTCTGAAAAAGTGATGAATGGTAGTTTTAAAAGTTGGAAGTGAGCAGCTGCATGGTAAGATAAAAGTGTTAACAAAGTCACCATTAATGAACGTTCCTGTCACGATTTCTTGCGGAATTGTCCTTTTGTAGACTCAATTAAAACTTAAAAAGAACAAAGTTAGAAGCTGTGATGATTAGCGTTTGGAATTGTCTTTTTCCCAACCTCCATTAAGGAAATTAAGGTAAATAAATGGTCACATTGCCACAATTTCTTAAACTTAAGTTTATTATCAAGGTTATATTATCCTAAAGTCCAAAATTATTTGGTGATTTTTAAATAAGTTCACCTAGTTTAAGTTTGGGTAAAATTCTCAATCATTTTTAATCGCGTCTTTGACCACATTTTCGTTAAGGTTCTATTAAATGCAGGACCAGATTAATTTTTTTAATTAATTTAGAGATTTACTGTATAATTAAACTTGTAACGTAATCTTTAAATTATTTGAAGAATTTTAATGGTTCTTTGTATTTAATGGAACGCTAACAAAATGATATAATAAAAATAATTAAAAAAATAAAGAGCTAGTTACAAACTTTGATAATAAAGAGACTTATTTAGAAATCTCCAAATAATTATTAAGGAACCTACAAAATAATTTGACCTATTATCAAGTATCACTCTACTATAACTAACTGAAATAAGCAAAATAGTTAATTAACAGTGGTTGGTTAAATATATTCACAAACTATACTAGAATGTTTCCTTTATCAATTTAATCTATCATCTTCCATTTAATTATTTAAACTATTTATTAAAACAGACTCACATTTAAAAAATTATATACAAATTTGATTAAAGAGCTGGATTGTAAGTATACAGTCTGAAATACAAGTTCTTGTTCTGAAAATATTTACATGATCAATTCATAAGTAACTGAGCCTGAAACTTCTACAGTTGGGCAGCTAGCAGTTTCGTGTTCAAATTATCTTTCATTCAATCTTTTCTTCTACTGTCATCTGAAGTCTCCCTTCATAGAGATCTAACATGAGCAAGTCCCTGGATGCATCCTTCTGCCAAAGATACATAATGGCTTGCATTATGCTACAAAGCAGGCACCAACGATGAACTCTCACATTCACCAAGTTTGTCTACAATATGCTGCAATTCAGCTGATATGAACCACATCCATTCGCTATCACAGGCAAAATAATGTATCCATCTGATCAGAAGAATGGATATATACAATAAGGTTCCTTTTATCTTAGTTTGTTTCTGATCATCTCTTGTATCTTCATGTTTATACTGACAACAGAAGTTTCAAGCTCAAACGGAGGATTTTGCTACTCATCTAAGCTTGAGAAATGGCCTGCTCAAGATATTTGAAAGTTTTCTGATATTTGAAGACACCCATAAACCAGAAATCAAAATTGTCCACTGTGACTATCTCTATGTACTTTTGTCTTGGCTTCTGAACATTTTCACTTTGATTCACACACTTGATATTCTTCAGTGGAATGACAACCTGTACATGACAATACATACCTCAGAATTTCAACAAATCATGGATCAATAGAAATGGAGAACTATGAAGAGATTTATGTATATATGTTACTTTATGACTGACCTTATAATGAGTCCTCAACATGTGGCCTTTCTGAGTGAACACTTTCATTGATCTCTCACTGCAAAAGGCAACCTTGTCAGTGGAGATGAAGAGGAGACCTGCTAGAGGGCCAGATGTGGTGGACAGATAACACTGTGAAACTTTCAACAGCCTCTCCCCTTCATTCACACTAAAAAACTGCTTAAACACTTTCTCAATTCCACCCACTTGAAGAATTCGAGCCCCTAAGCTCAGCTTCCTCTTAACAGTTTCTGATATATTTTCCCCTAGTCTCACTGCATTTTCAGAGTTATATAAGCAGAGTTAGAAATGTTCACCAAACAAAGCCAGTTCAACTGATCTATGAAGGAAGGAGAAAATTAGTTGTAGTGTTAGAACCGCAGTCCTTTTGATGTAAACTGAGCATGGTACTCATAATAGCACCTTATCAGTACCATATTATCACGTGGAAACATAACTAAGATTTACAAGGATACTCACCATGTTCTTGTGAGAGACTGTTGGCCTTCCTTCCAAGCTTGTTCATAATTGAATATACTCTACCTGAAACATAGAAGCTCTTGATATTAGTAAAACCATCAAAACTTCTTAATAAAATTAATATTTCTCTGTAAAGGAAAATAAAATATTACTTTGCTTTGATGTTGTGGTTGAATATTGATATTGAGTGGCAGGATCGGGTAAGTATCTGTTCACTGACTTTTGAAGCTGATCATATGTAGTTGAGATTATTGGGGTTCCAACAATTAGCTCATGAAGAAGTGAGCTCTGCATGTTTGATGAATAACAAGGTTTCTGTTTTTTGAAAGAGAAATGGTTTGAGCTACTTGATTACTGAGGAAGTTATGCTCAATTGGGTTGATCAGTCTTGGGTATTCCCAAGAGGTATTTAAAGGGATGAAAACTAGGAAATGAATCTTGACACCTTGGTGGGATGACTCAACCTTGGATCATCATCCATGATCATGATTGGTATAAAGGTTAGTGCATGGCAACTTGAAGGACAGTTATTCAAGATAATATTTTTACATCATGGACTGCTTGGTTGCTTTTAGAAAAGATAGTTCATAAAGATCCGAGTCAACTTCTTAAAACTTAAAAATGTCCCTCTAAGGGTTAGTTTTTAGATGCTTAGAGAAAGATTTATATACCTTCGGAAGCAAGATTCCATGGTGGTTGATGAGAGGAAACAAATCCTCTGTGTCTAGTAATATATTTCCATGCAAACCTTTGGAGAACCGCACACTATTTTTGAAACGGGTAAGGAAATTGAACCAGAAAAAGTAAAGGATGAAGCACCCTGATTAGTTGCAATACTTTTCAGTTACATCTGCTTATGTGAGGATGCGTCATCAAGGCTTTATGAGCTGGCATTTTAACTTTCTGATGCCGGACTTCTCTAAATTCTCTTGTGATTGAGTATGAAAAAGTATAGATATGGTATCCCATGTGACTATCTAATGTATACGACCTATTGGAAAATCAACAGAATGCTCCTCCAAAAATATCATTTTCACTTCTGTAACATGGATGAAGGTTGAATAAGGATATTAAATGTGATATTTTCACAGCTAAAATACAGTTGAGACTTTTTCAACTTAAAGTTGAGACTTGGGATTTGTTATGAAGTTTCTAAGGATTACATGCATGGTAGAACATAATCAACCAACAATAAAAGTCAAGTGTAAGTTATTGGGTCAAGATACATACACACAACATTCTCCAAGAGCAGGTATTCGGCAAGCTCACAGGAGATGCTGATGTGGAGATACAACACAATCTCTTGCTTTTCTCAAGGAATAAGAGGAGCATTCCCTGATTAAAAATATAGAAAGCCTTTATCTTGTTTTTAAGTGATTGACTCGTCTTTGAAGAAATTGAGATCAGTGGCAAGTAAAATCATTGCATTTATGTGTTTTTGGGTTTGTAGAAAAAGGAATCATCTAAATCATTTCCATGTTGACTATTTTTCATTGCAGCTCTGAGAAAGAGGTACTTCTACACGGACCATTCACCAACAATATTTGTCATCCAACAGTTGGAGACTAATTCCTGTGAAGGTGGATATATCACCTCGAGAAGCCTATCTTGATGATAGGTATAGATAGATTTGACAAAGATAAACAAAAATGAAGAGTCTACGTACGTACGTGACATAAGCATTGATTGTATACATAAACTAGATATATAATATTATAATATATAATATATGAGACCAACTATGTGTTAAAAATTCTAGTAAAGGGATGAAGCTTGTGGATGTGTGAATTGAAAATAAACCCAAGCACTAGTCATGCGTGCTTTTTGTTGAGTCAAACTATATCATAAAGTGAAATAGCTGACAAGGATATGATGGAAAGGGATAAATAAGATATACAAGACAAAGATATGAAACATGAACTTGTCTAGTTTAGGTCAGAAATGGACACTAACTTTAGTTCTAGGTTTTGTGGAAAAGTAAAATGCCAAATCATTCCAACATCATCCCCATGCCTCATATGTAAAGCTGATGATAAAAGTTCTTTCTTCATTACACAATGCTACTGTTGAAAAGGAAAACACAATGCAACCTTGATTATCATTCTTTTTCTTGTGTGTGTGTGTATATATATATGACTATGAAAGAACCGAAATTTGGTAGGAGTTGTCCAGTGGGTACCAACAAATGGTTTGGTTTACACTTACAGTTATAAGAAGTTACGAATGATACTCAAAGACCCTTTTCATCTATGATCTACCCATAAAGTTAAATTGAATACCCAAGAAGCAAGAAACCATATCTTTGTTGTTAATGTATTTGCCTTTAAAAAAGAGAACAAAGTCAGAAGGTGTGGTGATTAGCGTTTTGGTCCAAAAAGGAACCAATATTCAGTAATGAAAGGTAATGAAAACCTACAAACATTGCCATAATTCAATCACAAAACAAGACTCAAACTGAAAAGCCTTGCATTAAGAACACAAATTTCTTTTAAACCACTTAAAAGTCTTAATTACTAATATTAAATTCTCGTGTTTATTATTTTCATTGAGATTTTTTCAACAAAATATTTTCATACATGGGTGAGAACGTGAATTTTTTAAGCAAGTATATTTTTATATTTTTTAACATTTTAAAGTTTAAACTTAATTTATATTATATTGTTTATTTTATTATTTTCTGCCGAAAGCTTCTGATATTACATATAAGCTTATTTTTTAATATAATTTTTTCTTTTTACATATACATAAATGCACACACTTTTCATATTATAAAATTTATATTAAAACTTATTTTTAAATTTCAATTTTTTTGTGAATTTTTGAATAAGTTTAATTAGTAGTTCAAAAAAATTATTAATTATCACAGTGAGTAATATTCTTAAGAAGTTATATTTTAACTAAATATGATATAGGAACATTTACATAAAATATTGTATAATATTTTTAAAAATAGTATAGACACATCAAATATATTTTTAACATTCTAAAAAATATATTTTTAAAAAAATTATTCCTTTTTTTTTGTTAATAAAAAATGATTCCTTTAAAACATAATTCTCAAGACCAAAAATAAATTATACTAAAAAAATATTAACCGATTACAAGATAAATTTAAACTGAAAAAATATTTATCATATTACAAACATGAAATAATAATAAATATTTTAATAAAGATATCTAAAATAAACTTTAACGACAATAAAGCAAATATTTTGTTAGTATAAATTAACAAGATCACATTTTTAAAGGAAAGATTTTTTGTTATGGTCAAAGTCAAATATCTTGTTAATATAAGTTAACTAAGCCCAAACCACTAGGAATGGACAAAAAACACGAGGGGCTTAGATAAGTTTACATGTGATGATAGGTTCAAACTTCATTGCCACCATATCTGTAGACTCTATCATTTAGACTATACAATCTTTTTCTGTTATTATGGATTTACCTTCATCTAAACATATATATATTTTTTAATCACATAGATATCTTTTACTAGAGAAAATCATATTCGGGTCAAATAGATTTACTAAATGCGACGACAAGCTCTAAACATAAGTTTAATTAACCAAATGTCACTCTATTATATAACTAACAGGAATATGTAAAAATTTAGTTTAACACTAGTTAATAAAATAATTTCACTAATTATACTACAAGTATTTGTATTCATGTTTATGACTTAAACTAGTTAATCAAAACAGACTCACATTTAAATAATTATACACAATTTTGATTCAAGAGTTGATCGTTAAGAATACAATCTGAAATACAAATTCTGGTCCTGTAAACATTTACATGATCAATTCATAACTAATTGTGCCTGAAACTTGTACATTTGGGAGGCTAATATTTTTCTTTCCTCTTTTTCTATGTATTTTTCCTTTGATCTACTCTTATACTGTTCATAGAGCTCTCATATAGATCCATCCAAGGATGGATACCTTCTGCAAAAGTCCTTAGCATTATCAGCCAATCAGTCACTGAATACATATGACTTGGATTCTGCAACAAAGCAAGCACCAAATGATGAACTCTTGCATTCACAACGTTTGTCCACCTTAAGTTATATCCCTCAGGATGGATACCACAATGAAGTGAAGCCCCTTTTATCAGATACAAATCCAAATTTCTTCGATGATAGCAGCCATTTCTTAGTTTCTTCTGATCATCTCTTGTATCTTCATGTTTGTCCCGAATCCTGACACAACAACCCAAACGGAGGATTTTGATACTCATCTAAGCTTGAGAAACCGCCTGTTCAAGATATTTAAAAGTTTTCTGATATTTGAAGACACCCATAAACCAGAAATCAAAATTGTCCACTGTGACTATCTCTATGTACTTCTGTCTTGGCTTCTGAACATTTTCACTTTGATTCACACACTTGATATTCTTCAGTGGAATGACAACCTGTACATAACAATACATACCTTTCAGAATTTCAACAAATCATGGATCAATAGAAATGGAGAACTATGAAGAGGTTTGTGTATGTATGTTGCTCTATGACTGACCTTATAATGAGTCCTCAACATATGGCCTTTCTGAGTAAAAACTTTCATTGATCTCTCACTGCAAAAGGCAACCTTGTCAGTGGAGATGAAGAGGAGACCTGCTAGAGGGCCAGATGTGGTGGACAGATAACACTGAAACTTTCAACAGCCTCTCCCCTTCATGCACACTAAAAAACTGCTTAAAAACTTTCTCAATTCCACCCACTTGAAGAATTCGAGCCCCTAAGCTCAGCTTCCTCTTAACAGTTTCAGATATATTTGTCCTTAGTCTCACTGCAATTTCAGAGTTATAAAAACAGAATTAGATATGTTGATGAAGCATAACAAGTAGAAGAAAATTAGTTGTAGTATCACAAGTGCATCACAGTCCTTTCAATGAAAAATTTCGAGTATTCTCTTTTGCTGTGCCATCCACCAAAGAAAAGACAGAGTTTTCATGTGTAGTGCCTTATCAGTTGAAAACAAATGTAAGGTTTACTAGGACACTCACCATGTTCTTGGACTCCTTGTGAAAGACTATCAGCCTTCCTTCCAAGGGTGTTCATAATTGAATCCACTCTACCTGAAACAAAGAAGCATTCTATATTGGTAAAACCCTTCATACTTCTTGATAAATTTATCTGTAAATGAAGAGAAAGTGTGTATTACTTCGCTTTGATGTTGTGTTTGAATATTGACATTGAGAGGCAGGATCAGGTAAGTATCTGTTAACTGTCTTTGTAAGCTGATCATGTGTAACTGAGATGATTGGAGTTCCAACCACTTGCTCATGGAGAAGTGAGATATGCATGTTTAATGATTAATAATGGTTTCTGTTAGGGGACTAGCACTAGGGGAAGAGAATACTAGAATACTAAGGAAACTATGCTCCCTTGTGTTGATCAATCCCATGTATGCCAGAGGTATTTAAAGGGATGAAAACTAGGTGGGAGTGAATCTTGACACTTTGGCAGGATGACTCAACCTTGGATCATCAACCATGATCTTGATTGATATAAAGGCACTGACATGGCAACTTAAAGAACAGTTATGCAAGATAATACTTCAGCATCATGGATTGTCAGTTTGCTTTTAGAAAAAGTAAAGGGTGAAATACACCGATTAATTAGTTGGAATACTTTTCAGCTACACCTGCTTATGTGAGGATGCGTCCCAAAAACTTTATGAGTTGGCATTTTAACTTTCTGATGCAAGACTTCTCTGAATTCTCCACCCATAAGGTAGGAAAAAGCAAAGGGGTGGCTAATTCTAATAGACAAGTACTATATGGAATCAACAAATTGCTAAACTTCAAAGATCATTTTCACTTGAACTATCATGGCTGCAGGGTGATTGAGGATTTTAAATTTATGATAGTTCAGTGCTAAAATGCTGGTGAGACTATATCAACCAAAAGTTGAGGTGTGGTGTGTAGGTTCCAAAAGAATAAGAATGATAATCATGTTTCCCTGTTGGTTTTTTTCTTGGAACATTATTAGCAAGTACATGGCATGGGCATTGATTTTATGCAGCTTGTCAGCAAAATGATATAGGAGAAAGGATGAAATATCAGCTTCTGCTTTTCAATAATTCTCCAAAAAAGTTTCATCCAACTCCAATTTTTCTAATAAAATATTCAATAATTAGAAGTCATAATTATAAAACAAATTTTCATAATATATAATAAATTAGCAGTAATAAATGTTACATTTGACCACCATAAACAACGTCCTAAGAAGCACCAGCCCCCAGTTTTGACTTTATTAGACTGTTTCACCTTGATTAATTGATTTATCCATCACAATCATGAACGATGACACATTATTTATGTTTTGAGTTAAATTATAGATATTAATTCATCAATCTTTGATCCATTTTAAATTTCATCAACCTGATTAATTCCTTTTATCATATGTTAAATAAACTATTAAGTAAGGATAATAATGGATATAATTTAGAGAAGGTATTTCTTAAAAAAAAAAAAGAAGAAGAAAAAGAAACACACAACTATAAAAAGTCTTTCACTTGAAATTTCATGAAATAAAACAACAAAAAATACGTTTTTTTTTTATAAATTATATAATAACCCTATTTTTTTAGAAATTTCATTTAGTTGTGATTAATTAATCAAGATTCGAGAGGAATAATGATAAGCGTTTCTTTCTTTGATCTCAAACAAATCACAAGAAGCACGAAAATCAAAGTTCCTGCAAAAAAAGAAAAAAGAAAAAAGAAAACCCTAGTTGCGAGCAGGACAAGATTTGGAGGGTTAGCTGTTAAAAAGTAATGTAAAAATCTGAATTACGAGAAGATGTGATTCAAGAAAGAGAGCGTAAAGGAAATGTGAATTGAAAAGTTTAGTTTGAGATCTGTTTTTGGTTGTGAATGCAGCAATGGGAAAAGCGTCGATATTGATTTACGTAACCATAGCGGTGGTGCTTCTTCTGTTCCTCTCATATTCCCCCAAGAACCACCCCAACCACCGCCACCGCCGCCTGAAGCTCCGCTCGAACTTCACACTCTCACCCACGCGCCACCACGCCGTGGCCTTCGACCCCCTGGTGGCGGAGCTGGAGCGTCACCGCGAGGACAAGCAATGGGAGCAGCAGTACATACATCACGCGCACCCGGAACTGGAGTCTGCACCCGCTCACGAGTCGCAACCGGAGTGGGAGGACTTCATGGACGCCGAGGATTACCTCAACGATGAGGATAAGTTCAACGTCACCAATAGGTTGGTCCTTCTCTTCCCCAAGATTGACGTGGACCCCACCGATTCCTTCGTCACTCAGCACGAGTTGACTCTGTGGAACCTCCTCCAGGCTCAGCGTGAGGTCTTGCATCGCACGCAGAGGGAGATGGAGCTCCACGATAAGAACCACGATGGCTTCGTTTCCTTCGCCGAGTACGATCCTCCCAGTTGGGTTCAGAATGCAGGTCCTTCTTCTGTCTTGTAATTTCTAGATCTGTTTCGTACGGTTTCTTTTATTTCATATTTGGCTTTGAATTCGCGGTTTTGGATAGTGAATTGAATTCAGGCTTGTTTGTGCTTAACATGTTTTGATAACTTTGCAAATGTATAAGAACTGCATTGTGTTTTGACTTTTGTGCTTCTGGTTCTTTGACCTTTATGACTGTGTTTTGAATGTTTTGTTTTTTTTTTGTTTTTTTTTCATCAGATAATGAGTCTTTTGGTTATGATATGGGTTGGTGGAAAGAAGAGCATTTTAATGCATCGGATGCAGACGGAGATGGGCTTTTGAACTTGACTGAATTCAATGAGTGAGTCTTTACCAGGAAACCTTGTTGTCTCTCCGCTTGCACGTTTACATGATGATTCCTTTCTCAGTTCGTGCTCATGGTTTTCTTTATATTCTTTTTTCCATTGCTCTCTAGCTTTCTCCACCCAGCTGACAGTGAAAACCCAAAGCTTCATCAATGGTTGTCCAAGGAGGAAGTCAGGTAATCCAAATCTTGTGAAAATCTGTAATGCCTGAGAGTTGAAATTGTAGGTTTTAGGTGTTGAGGGAGGACATTGAGAGAATTCACTTCGAATAATATTTTCTTGTGTAGTGTGATGTTTTTACAATACAATGTGATACAAAACATAAGTACTAACCCTTATTTGTACTAATACTAGATCATAATACTAACTAAAAAAGGAATCAAGTCATGAAATAAAAAAGAAATATAGAAACTAATCCAATCCAATTCACATTAGGTGGGGCACATGTGGAACTGATAAACCAAGAATAGACTGAACATAAAAGTAGGAACTCAAGTCTTTCATTCCTTCAGAGTCTTCAATAGGAAAACTTGCCTATAAGTGGAAAATGTTTATGTTCCAAAAAGAGAGAGAGAGAGAGAGAGAGAGAGAGAGAGTTTTCAGTCTCTGATCAGAACAAGGAAACAAAACCTAGAACCAGAGACGGCAATTGTGGTTTTTTTATGGGTAAGCTATCTTACTAACTAGTAAGTAAAATGGTTTAGGTCTTTAGGCTTAAATTCTTTGAGGTCTTTTGATGGGTTAGCTATTTTTTTATTTTCGATGCCCCCATCTTTGTTAGTGTTGAACAAGTAATCTTTGATTTTTACCAGATACAACGGTATATGATGATTATCGAAGGGATATTTGGTATGAAATTTCAATGGTAATCCATAATTTAGGAATTGGTAAAGCTTTTACTCAGGCATCTTATATTCACACATAGTGGGATGTAAGTGTTACCTGCAATTTGTCGGATCTTATGTCTGGCATGTATCTTGAATATCCTTGAAATCATATTCCTGGATACCAAACGCAAGTATCTAACTCATGTATTTAACATATCAGGGTATTGTAGATGCCTGTATGAAGCTAATGGTATTCCAAATAACTCCTAGTTGCCATTTGCTTGTTTTTTAGTCTTAATGGGGAACTTCCGTTAAGCAGCAATGCTGGTAGAGAGATGGGGATATATGAGTGTTTGCTTCAGAAATATGCAGTGCTGCTAAACTATGATGCGGTACTGTTTTTTATCATAAAGTATCCTTCGTCTTGAATCTTTCTTATATCCTTCCTTTTGTTCCTAAAGTATCTGTTGCTTAATATATCCTGAATAACTCCCAAAGCGATATTTAATCTCCATAAAATTGTGACTCATGAACTGAAGACTGGATTTCTTGTGATCACCCAACCCCATGCAACCTATTAGGATTGAAGTTGAATGTTTCAATTCTTTGTTTAGCTATCCCAGCTGATTACTTGTAAGCGATGGATGTATGGTTGGTTGGTTTGTTCTTGAAAATGATTTTTTCCTTGCAGACATTTACCTCCTCTAGAAGAAGTTTCAATATTAGAATAATTTTTTAACCAACTTTTATACCAAATATTAGAAACAGGGACAATATTTGTAGTTAATTTTATTTGTCTGACATGAATAAAATTTTCAGATTGTATGCAATTAGCTTATTTATATCACTTCCTTGGCTTACCTTTGCTTGATTTACTCATTTCTTTCTCACAGGGAAAGAGATTCAGACAGAGATGGGAAGGTCAACTTTAAAGAATTTTTCCATGGGCTGTTTGATTTGGTAAGAAACTATGATGAAGAAGCTCACAATGAGTCACATCATTCTGATGATTCAATGGATGCTCCAGCTAGAGTGTTGTTTTCTCAGCTTGACAAAGATGGGGATGGGTATTTTCCTTTTTTATTGTCATTAGTCTACTTTATTTGAATCATTATGGTAGCCTGTAGTCTCTTAATAGCATACTGCATACCACCTTTTGATTTTGGGTTATCATCTCCATCTTTGCAGATACTTGTCAGATGTCGAACTACTGCCTATAATTGGGAAACTCCATCCATCTGAGCATTATTATGCAAAGCAACAAGCAGAGTATATCATTTCACAGGTACTGTATTTAACTTTATAATCTACACTCTAATTGTTGGCAAATGTACCAATTCTTTCTTGGAATTCATCTGATCATGCAAATGACTATTTATTCAAGTGATATTCTCTTAACATGGATTACATATATAACTTTTTTTATTATTTATTTTATGTGCTTTTTGATAAAAACCCAGGTATTAGATTATTAAAACTGGAAATGAATCCCAATCCCAATAACAATAACAAATTCATGAACATAGTCTCTCCCTCATTCCCAGCAAACAGGAAGATAATGAAAACACTTGAAAACATAAAAGAAAAAGAAAATATAACAAGACCATTCAAGAGACCTGCAACCCATCAAAGTGCACACTCGATTCTTGCTTGCTTCTCTCTTTCCCGCTTCATCCCCTTTTATAGGATTTCCTTTCTAACCACCTAGCTGATTTTTCCTTTTTTCCTCATGATCGTCCTGGCATGTAAGCAGGTTATTACAGTTAGAATCATCTTACTGACTCCCATTTCCCTTACTAACTCTTTTTGAGTCATTGATTCCCTGCTATGTGGACTTCTTCTATTCTGCTTCACATCCTAGTGATGGGTGAATATCTATTATGCTTACCTTGACAAGGTGTATTTACTTTTGAGAGAAAAGTTTTTATAAAATATTGCTAGATACTTTCAGTACTCGACATATCAGAAGTAATAATGTCATATAGTTGATAAAGCTGATAAGTTTTCTATAGCTTGATGGTTATGAGGGCAATTCTTCATCTGCTCTATCCTCAGTGTTAAAATGACACTTATTTCTGAGATCAATAATGTATCTTACTGTAGCCATGTAGATTGATAGCTGCACTTTAGGGTATTTATTGGAGATAGCGTGCTGGCCAGTGCTTCTTAGTCATTGAAGTGCCTATGGTTGAATAATGTCTCGTTTCTGATATACTTAAGTGCATGGATCACTATAGCCAGATTTATGTCCACTCATTGCTGATACAAAAACTTGTTTTAGTGAATATATACTGGGTCAGGAGAGAGGAATGGACTTTTTTCCACTTTGATGTGAGAGTGGGGATGCATATCTTCTATTTAACAATGTAAAGTATTATATATTAACAACCTTTCCATTATATTTTGTTTTGGGAGGGAGAAGGGAATGGTTTTCTTTTCTTTGGTGAATGTGAATTCTAAAGTATTTTATTTAACTATTCTTTCTATTTCTTGGAGGGGTTATATATTTCTCGTATGCTCAATTTACATGTTAAAGAGCTTTTAACTAGACACCAGCATTGGATTAAATTTTCTTTATGACAGCCTCAGCATGCACTCCCTCATCTGTTGTGTAACGTCTCATTAAACATTGTGATAATGTTATGACTACCAGTTGTTGATAAAGATGCCTCAATACGCACTCCAACATCTGTTGCATAACATCATACATTAATTTCATCCATAACCATGTATGAAGTCGTGAAATAATGTCATGACAGGCAGATGTTGACAAAGATGGCCGCCTTACTTTGACTGAGATGATTGAAAACCCATATGTATTTTATAGTGCTATTTTCAATGATGATGAAGATGAATATGATGATTACCATGACGAGTTCCGGTAAATTCATTTTAGGTAAAGGCAGCTCTTTCGTCCCCCGTCCATTTTAACCAACGTTTAGTGAATATTTTCTATATAATGTTCTATGATGATTGAATGCAGCATAAAGAGAAAAGCTTGGCACATTTCTAGTGACAAGGAACACGGAATCAGTATTTGAAGAATTTTGATGTTTTGGCCCTTAGTAGGTTCCTAGTCTCAATCCTGGTGGGATTCTTATGCGATGGCAACATTTATTGCTTCTTTCCATTCATATTATGTGCGAGTTCTTATTTGCTGAATGGGATCCACCGTGGCTTGTCGTAGAGTCACACCTGGATCAGTTGGAGGATAATGGGATCTCAACTTCATTGTAAAATTTGTAGAATATACAAATTTTCAAGTCACTGGTGAAGCCATCATTAATTAAGCAGAACATTTCAATTCTCAATGGATAATACATGTACTATATACATATAATGACCATCATGATCCCAGAAGTACTGTCAGAATTTTTTTTGGACCCAAGTAGCAATCGTGTTGTTTAGCAAAACGTTAATGACAAGCTCATCGGTTTTGGATTTTTCATATAAAAGCTCAGTAATTCAGTAAAACTCCATTTCACAGAAGTGCATATGCTATCAATTTGGTCTCGCAAATTTTCATTAATATATCTCATTTTAAATTTTAAATATCTTTAATCTAAAGAGAAAAAGTGGTTGATTTATTAAACAATTAAACTAAAATTTATAGATTCAGTTTGTTGAATCGGAGTTTTGTCACAATTGAAAAAAAGGTTTTTCTTTTATAAAACCTCTGATGATAGGTATGAAGAATTGTTTGAATGTAGTTTACGGTTGTTAACAAACAGGCTCTTGCTAGTGGAAAGAATAGTAAAAGTCACAATCAAACAAAAACAAATAAAGTGGAAGATGAACAATTTATTTAAAACCAAATTAAAAAAAATTCGTACCATGAAAATACCAAGAATTTTGAGAGCTGGAATTTGAAAGAGGGAAGGAGGCTAATTTTTTATATATCCAATTAACATTTCTAATTTCATAATTTTTTAAAATAAAAAATTAAAAATCATAAAATAATAAAGTAATATAAATTTAATATAATAATTTTTTGTAAATATTATATAAATCTTTAAATTTTTTTTTAAAAAAAATTCTTGTGTTTCTCTCTCATCGTCTATAAAACTCAACTCTTCCGCTGGGAATTCAACGACTAACTTAACATGGATTGGGGAGATTACGGCTTTTGTCTCCCAAGAGGTGGGGTGAGTCTATTACTCCCAGTTGTTGGCTTGGTGAACGGTGATGCTTTAAATGTCAGTTTAATAATTGGCTTATACATTCTCTAATTTCTTCTGTTTTAAATATTTTTATACTAGGAATATCTCTCAGTTTAAAGTCAAAAATTATTTTTTTCCCAAATACTTCTCTCCACGAAGTATTTTCTATACACACAACTAATATTACTGAATTCAACTCTCAATTGCTTAAGAGAGTCTGTTATGTATCAAAGATTTTATTAGTTATTTAATGAAAAAAACCAAAGTAGTTACAATAGCAAATCCATAAAAATCAACTCAAATTAAATGGGAATTAGTACCTAACTGCGCCTCCATGCAAATGATGCAGTATTTCCCTTCCATAAGCAAGCAATAATCTTCACAAAATTGCTAGCAAACCAATTTTTTTTTCAGAATAAACGACAAGAAAGCATATATGAGAGTACAAAAAGTCATAAAATTGTCACATACATATAATGAATTACAACTACCAAGTTTTTGCTTGCAAGCGTGCTTATTCAAAGGCAGATATCAGCTATTGTCAACTTCAAAATTAACTCTAGCATTAGACCTGCTATATGATATGTCAGAATAACCGTCCAATTTAGCCTAAATAATTCTAATTGACAACAAACAAGTCAAGCAAAGGATAAAAGAAGGTACTACATAGTGTTGGATCCCCTATAAGAAGGTGCACCATGATGTCCCTGCTACAACAACCAAAGACAAAATTGCCTTTATTTATATATGTATGTATGCTTTTACCTCCTAAACAACAAGCTTTTGTAAGGCTAGTTTTCTCCACTCATTCTAAGAACCCGCGAAAGCTACCAACTTCACAGGGATTAGAGTTGGAATTGTCTTTATCCAGTTTTTGAATACCCCATCATCTAAGGAAACAATAAGTTTCCCTACTGTATTTAATACTCTTCCTTCCTTGTCACCTCGTGCATGCTTTTAAGCTAAACGTAACATAACCACACTTTTTCATAACCGAAACTGCTAAGGATTTTTTTACTCAAAAAACAAAGCTAATTCAAATTAAGGCTTGGAAGTTTCAATGGCTGAAACCAGCTATATTAGTAATAGAAACTCAAGCCATTGGATTTGGAAATATGTGACTAATGTTACTGATAGAGTGAAAAGACTTTCATCTTTGGCATGGAGAACAGCATGGAAAGTAGGTGAAGAGGATCCAAGAAGGGTGTTCCATTCTTTGAAAGTGGGTCTAGCTTTGACACTAGTTTCTTTGCTGTATCTAATAAAGCCATTGTTTGAAGGGATCGGCCAAAATGCTATGTCAGCTGTCTTGACTGTGGTAGTGGTGATGGAGTTTACTGTGGGTAAGGCTATTCTCATATAAGTGATAGTGACATTGTTTTGTTTTTAGATCATAGTCATATTTGAAGAATCTATATCCGTTTCATTTAATAATTATTTTGCTTATATATTTCAGGAGCAACATTAGGCAAAGGACTAAATAGAGGGTTGGGGACTTTGTTAGCAGGATCATTGGCATTTCTTATTGAGTATGTTGGGGATATCCCTGGTCGAACATTTCAAGCTGTTTTCATTGGTGCTTCAGTTTTTATTTTAGGTAAGTATGAGCACTTATTATGTCATAAAAGAAATCCAAGTATCTGTTTTTAGGATAAGGAAAGACACAATTGATACATATAAAGTTGTTGCCCATTAAACCTATTGTGAGTGGAGCATCCCAAATGTTTTTGCTGGGTCATTGTTTGATTTTTTTTTGGTTTGCAGGAACTGTAACTACTTATATAAGGTTCATCCCCCTTATCAAGAAAAATTATGACTATGGTGTTATGATATTCCTCTTGACTTTTAATTTGATAACTGTATCGAGTTTTCGTGTTGATAATGTGTGGGACATTGCAAAAGATCGCATAGCAACAATTGCCATAGGGGGTGGCCTATGTCTTGTAATGAGCCTAGTGGTCTTTCCAAATTGGTCAGGAGAAGACCTCCATAACTCCACCATAGCAAAACTCGAAGGCCTATCCTACTCAATAGAAGGTAATTAAGGTGAACTTTTAAGATATTATTTTTGGTTAGTGTTAAAAGAAGACATGAAGTCAGAGAAAACAAATAAACTGCTGAATACTATTTATTATGAATATACTAAAAAAATGTTACTATAGTTAGTTCAACTAGTGTCTTGGTCAACATCATTGATGGTCGAAAGAATCATGCAGCTTGTGTCACGAAATATTTCTGTGATTCTGAAAATCAAGAACCTCATGATGATTCATCCGAGGATCTGATTTACAAAGGTTACAAGGCTGTTTTAGATTCCAAAGCTAAAGATGAAACACTGGTATGTGCCCCTTGAGTAGCAAAGTTAAACACACTCGAAATTAGTGATTTTTGTGGCAGCGAAACTTACATGGATGTGCAATTAAACAGGCATTACAAGCAAGCTGGGAACCAAGATGCTCAAGATATTGGCACAGAATCCCATGGCGGCAATATGCGACAGTTGGAAATGCCCTTCGCCATTTTAGTTACACTGTTGTTGCACTACATGGGTGTCTTCTGTCTGAAATTCAGGTACTATATCTTAATCAACTAGTTTATAAAAAAAATAAAAATACACTTTCTAAGTTACAATGGATGATCGATACCATAAGAAAGTCTTTCTTGCAATATAATCTGCATACTACCCCATTTTGTCATGTGGGTCTGGTCTATCAATAAAAATTAAAAGGCCAAAACATAATCCTTTTGGCTAGCATGTTTGCAATAATTGGTTGGAATAACCCCCAATGTAAAAATATTAACTTTCTCATACTATGGTTATTTTCATAATATATTGATATATGCTTTCACCTTGTTCATTAACTAAGACACCAGGGTCAATTCGAGCCCTATACAAAGAATCTTGCATCAAACTTGCAGAAGAAGTGTCTAAAGCACTGAGGAAACTGGCCAACAGCATAAGGCACAAACGTCAATTCTCATCTCAAGCACTGTCTGATGATCTTAATGAAGCTCTACAAAATCTCAACAATGACTTGAAATCCCAACCCCAACTCTTTCTTGGCTCCAAGAAAGTTGGAACCAGTGAGAAAAAGCATGAAGAAGAAGATAGTAGAATCTCATTCTCAAGTGTTATGAGCGATTGTTCTTCAATTTTTGAAAGTAAATCCAAAGAGCTTTCTGGCGAGTTGTCAATGGAAGGACACAAGAAGGTTTTAAAGCCACTGCTAAGTAAGATTGCAATGACTAGCCTTCAGTTCTCGGAAGCACTACCATTTGCTGCTTTCACTTCTTTGCTTGTGGAGATGGTGGCAAAGCTGGATCATGTTATAGATGCAGTTGAACACTTGGGCAAATTGGCACGCTTTAGAGAGTTCAATGAGGATGATGATGAGATTGTTGTGACTTGTGAGAGGCCAAAAATGCATATAGCAAACAATGATTTGCCTTCTTATGGATTTTGATTAATTACAACATAAATAATCACTTTTTCAAATGAAGCATGCAATAAAAATTTATGAATAATATTTATGAAAAATGATAATTTTAATGATATTGATGCACTAGATCTTGTGATTTTAATGTAAGATTTTGTTTAGATAGACAATTTATTTAAGTATTTCGTTAATAGACTTTTTAAAATTATTACATATGCAAGAAATTTGGCGAAGAAATCTATTGAGATAAGTTGAGAATAATTTATTGAAATCATAATTTATTTTTTATAAGTTATTAATAATTCGTTCAGGTAAGTCCAAAACATATTATTTATAAGTTCTTATTATATATCAATGATACATACATTAAAGAAATGTATAATTAATCCACTAAATGCATTTTGGGAAGAGATTATTAAAAAAAAATTCTTTTAAAAATTTATTTTAAAAAACTACTAATTTTTCAAAATAAATTAATTAAATAGGCCATTATCTTATCTCACATAAATAGGCCATTAGCATGTTTGGAGTGATGTTAAATTTTCTTTTCCTTTATTTTGATGTTAGTTTTTGAGAGAGAAAAAAGATTTATGTGATGATAATTTTTGTTTGAACAATCTTTAAATAAGAGAAAGATTTTATACACTCTTAAATTTATATTTTTAAATTTTTCTAATTTTAAAAAAACTATTAACCATCTTTCTTTCTTTTTTTTGTTTTCTTCTTGCCTTTTAAAATTTTTCCTTATCTTTCTTTCTAAACTCTCCAATAAAAGCTTAAATTTTCAAATGTGAATCTAAAATGCAATTAACCTGATTTTATGGACTTTATTTTTGGGTCTGAAATTTTTTATGGACTTTCCAAACATGGACTATGTTTATCATCCCCACCTAAACGGGCCGTAACTGTGAGATGGGCCATTTAACTCAGGTCCTGATCACTTGACCAATCCCTTCGGCCCGTAGATTAAACATGGAGTAGCTTTATGTTAGAAATTAATAAACATTAACCTTTTTGTTATGAATCTACTGATCACACTGTTATTCTTTTTGTTCACCCGTAATTATTCATAGGATTATTATGTTCCAATGCATGATTAAATATAGAGTATTCGTGCCTAGCCACTATCAATTCAGTACTAGAGTGCCAATTACGGAGTTCATTTAGCATTCAGCGAAATTATATCTCACAAATTACAACTATTCTGATTAAGTAAATTTTCAGAAAACATAAAGGGATTAGAACACGTTCCTAAGCAACAATCACGATTAAACACACAAAAAAACATGTTTTATTTTTGTCGGACAAACACCTGAAGATGTGGTTTTTGTCGAGGTTAACTAACGGTGGGTAGAATTCCTAACTTCATTATTTGATGCGAAAATCAGTTAAAGCTTTTGAAGATCTTTTCCATTTTTTTATAAACCATTATGTTTGGCATTTCTTCCACACAACATAGTACCCTGATTCTCCAATTTTGATGCTTAATTAAAGAATGTATTAAGCTTTTAATGTTCTCAATAGCCACCGTATAAATTATAATTTATACCTTCTTTCTGTCAAAGATAAGCAGGTTAGGTTTGCTTTGATAAGTGACTAAGTTTTAACCTTAATCATCATGACTATCAATCTACCATTAACAAACTTATGTTTTTTGTCTCAGAAGAAACGACAACTTAGCTTATTTCAAAGCGCTAAAATTAAGTGGGATAAACTAGTCACATGCATACAAAGAATTACAACTGTACTTAGCAAGTCAAAAGCAGATATCAGCCATTGTCTTTCAAAATGAACCAACTTAGCACTAAGCCTGTGTTATCCCATGTTACCACTCCACGTTAGTCTAGACAATTCTATTTAACAATAAACAAGTATAAACATGTGCAGAATTAATTTTTGTACAATTGAAGACCCTTTTATATTTGTGTATTTTTAGAATATATGTATATAAAGAAGATTGAAAAAACTGAAGAGTGTATATTTAGAATGTGTATATGAAAAAATAACCAAAATATAAGGAAAAAAAATATAAATATTTATATACAATACTATATTTATTCAAAGCAAACAAAACTGCCCTTGTATTTTTATTATATAAGCTTCTGGACTGATCACCACCTTCACCAATATGATAATAACAGCTAGTTTTTGTGAGGTTGGTTTTCTCCACTGAACATTGACTCTAAGTACCTGTGAAAGCTACCACCTTCTATTTCTCTTTTATAAACACAAACGGCTGGAACTATCTCTACCCACTTTATAAATACTATTAGTCCCTATCATCAAGGGAAGAAGAAAAGAAAAGTTTCCCCACTGTTTCTAATACTTTTTCCTTGTCACCTTGTGCAAGCTTTTAAGCTAAACATAGCATACCCTTGATCATAACTGAAGCTTTTAATGAGTATCTTACTCAGAAATTAAAACTGATTCAGGCTTTGAAAGTTTCAATGGCTGAAACCAATGCTAATAGTAACACAAATATTTATAGTTTTGCTAAAAATGTGAAAAGATTTCCAGGTTTGGCAAGGAGGGAAACATGGAAGGTTGGCAAAGAGGATCCAAGAAGGGTGGTTCATTCTTTGAAAGTTGGCATGGCTTTGACACTAGTTTCTTTGCTGTATCTGATGGAGCCATTGTTCAAAGGGATAGGGAAAAATGCTATGTGGGCTGTCATGACTGTGGTTGTGGTGATGGAGTTCACTGTCGGTAGGCTATTCACTCTATATCAGTGTCGTTGTGTTGTTTTTAGATCATAGCCTCATATATCATAGGTATTGAAGGATCTGTTCTTTATCATTCTTTTGCTTTTGCTCTGATTGCAGGGGCAACATTATGCAAAGGACTAAATAGAGGATTGGGGACTCTGTTAGCAGGATCATTGGCATTTCTTATTGAGTATGTTGCAGATGCCCCTGGTCAGATTTTTCGAGCAGTTTTCATTGGTGTTGCAGTTTTTCTGTTAGGTAAGCATTTACTATTATGTCATGAAAGAAACTGGACTAGTAGCATAAAAGTAGTTAAATGTTTTTAGAGAATTATACCAAAATAGAGATAGCCCCTTCTATTGTTTTCAGTGGTTAATAAATTATCTTGTTTCTTTGTCCTAACCATTTATCCAAATAGTGCCATGCCACAAAAGTATCTGTTGAAAATTTAAGAGCAACTCAATTGATATGTAAAACTTGAGACTATCATGCAAAGTTTGATTTAGAATCACATGTCAAACGATACGAAGTATTACAAATCACATTGTCCATTTGAACCTGTCGTTCAAGTGGGAATGGTGTTAATATTTGGCCGATGCTTTTGTAATTTGAATTATCCTAAGGAGTAAAGAACTTCCAATCAAGTTTTCTGTTCTGTGACTGAGGTTTCCCAAACGTTTTGCTAAGTCATTTTTTGACTTTTGATTGGCAGGAGCTATAACTACTTATGTCAGGTTCATCCCCTATATCAAGAAGAATTATGACTATGGTGTCTTGATATTTCTCTTGACCTTTAATTTGATAACCGTATCAAGCTACCGCATTGATAATGTGTGGAACATTGCAAAAGATCGCATAGCCACCATTGCCATAGGCTGTGGTCTATGTCTTGTAATAAGCGTAGTGGTATTTCCAAACTGGTCAGGGGAAGACCTCCATAACTCCACCATTTCAAAGCTCGAAGGCTTAGCCAACTCTATAGAAGGTAATTAAGGTATACTTAAAGACAGAATGCCATTGCCAGGTCACTACTTTCTTATGTTAAAGAAAAGCACGGAAATTACAATTTATTAAATATGAAAAAGTTGCTTTGGTTCTATCATTGATGATGAAAAGAATCATGCAGTCTGTGTCAAGGAATATTTTTATGATTCTGAAAAACAAGCAACTCAAGAAGATTCATCCGAGGATCCCATTTACCAAGGTTACAAGGCTGTTTTAGATTCCAAAGCTAATGATGAAACACTGGTAAATGAGTGCTCCTTTCTAGTTAAGTTACAATATATCAGAAATGAGTGATTTATGATGCAAGTTCATACGTGGAATTAAACAGGCCTTACAAGCAAGCTGGGAGCCAAGATACCTAAGATATTGCCACAGAATCCCATGGCACCAATACGCAAGAGTGGGAGCTGCTCTTCGCCATCTTAGTTACACTGTTGTAGCATTACATGGATGTCTCCAGTCTGAAATTCAGGTACTAAATAAACTATTTTAGCAAAAGTTGAAAATATGATACAAAACAGACTATTCTTGTGACTAAAAGAGGTAGCAAATGTGCTTCTGCTTTCTTGACTTAACTTTTAACCTAATAGAAAAAATGTAAATAAAAACTTTATCATTCCCTCAAAAATGTTACTATATCTTTAAAACGTCCTGAAATCATAACTTTTAATTTAATGCTTATTATTATAATTTTATCATATATACCTTAAACTTTATTTATTTATTAATGTTTGATTCTTAAGACACCAAGGTTGATTCTTGCCGTATACAAGGACTCTTGCATCAAACTTGCAGAAGAAGTGTCTAAAGTACTTGGGGAACTAGCCAACAGCATAAGGAACAATCGTCAATTTTCCCCTCAAATATTATCTAATAATCTAAATGAAGCTTTACAAGACCTCGACAATGTCTTGAAATCCCAACCCCAACTTTTACTAGGCTCAAGGAATGGTCAAACCACCAACACCCCATCTCAAGGAGTTGCACATTCTGACCAAAAGCTTGAAGAGAACACTAGAATCTCATTACCAAGTGTTGAAAATGATGCATGTTCCCCGCGTGAATGTAAATCCAAAGAGCACTATCTTGAACATTCAAAGGAAGGACAAGAACACAAGAAGGTTTTAAGGCCACAACTGAGTAAGAACGTCATCACTAGCCTTGAGTTCTCAGAAGCACTGCCCTTTGCTGCTTTCACTTCTTTGCTTGTTGAAATGGTGGCAAAACTTGACCATGTTATGGATAAAGTTGAAGAATTGGGACGAATGGCACATTTTAGAAAGTTCAAAGATGATGATGAGATTGTTGTGACTTGTGAGAAACCAAAACTGAATATTAATATAGCTCAGAATGACTTGCCTTCTTATGGAGCAGAGTAGTTAGTAGAATCCATAGGGACTAGTGGACCATATTCTTCTTCTGCAGTTGGTGTATATCATCCATTGAGTTATAGTTATACGTACATAGATGCATGCATGTGTGTGCATGTGTAAAAGAACTTGATCTTTTTTTTCTTATGTGTAAAAGGAGTATCATCAAAGTGCAAAGTGGGTTCACTCAGTTTGTTACAGCTTGATTGCTTTGATTTAATGCGGTTCACATTAACTATGTTTCAACTTAGATCCATTACTAGCCTTTTGCGTAGGGAAGAGTAAGATATATACAATATCTGGGTATAAGATTTTAACTTGTATGAAAGATTACCACATGGGATTTATTCACTTTGAAGATCCGGAGAACTTGTATGAATTCTGATTTGTTAATGGGAAAAGGAAGGCGTATTATGTGGTTGAATCTTATGATTTAACTTTCTTCCACCAAAACTGGTGGAGAATAATTTAATTTAATATTTAATTAGCCTCATTGATGAATTTAAGATTTACAGCAACTTTAATATTGCTATTCTCTTTTTCTTTCTAGTTCCACTTAATGGAAAGAACAAACAATTACTAAGCAACTCTCAGGAAATCATTTCTTTCCAACACCTCGACCAGTGAAAGAGAGAAAGATAGTTAGATTTAAGTTGTTCTTAGTGTCCTTGTGAGGCACTTATGTTTTTTTTTATCAGAAATGATAAACAAATCTCACACGTGGCAAGAAATTGTTAACCTATCCTCAACAAGAAAACTTTCCTCCCACTTTTCTTGTGCATTTATGCAACCTTTTGAGATATTTATTTATAATATATAATTTTTGAAATGTGGAACTAATACTTATAGCATCATTTATTTGTTATTTTTTGGTCATGTTGACATATTTATTTAGGTTTCATCCTTCTGAATCAATTAATATTAAACATACCAATGTTAGCATTTATGATTATGAATTGAATTTCAAATCTATAAAGCATATTATTTATTGACATGACAATTTTTATATTATAAAAAATATTGCTACACAAATAATAATAATAATAATAATAATGATGATGTCATATTTTCAAAAACTAATCACTCAACAATATGGGTATATATGTCGTACCATTTCACACAAGATAGCAATCTGTTTATTACTCAAAGTATCAACAAGCTCTTATAAAGAGAGTTACAAACACAAATTCAAAACAGGGACTACATTATTCATGAGCTACTAAAACCACTTGTTTGCCACCACTACGGCCTGTGAACATTGCTTCTAGTGCAGCTGGCCCGTTCTCAAGTCCCTCAGCTATGTCTTCAACGTATGTTATCTTCCCTTCCCTAACATAAGGCAAAATAGTATCCAAGAATTTGGGATAAAGGTGATAATAATCATACACTATGAAGGCTTCTATTTTGATCTGCTTAAATACAATATCCACTAAGTTCTTGATGCCTTTAGGCTCATCAACATTATACTGAGAGATCATTCCAGCCACCACAATTCTACCCCTCCTTCTCATGTTAGAAAGGGCTGCCTCAAACATGTCTCCCCCAACATTGTCAAAGTATATGTCAATGCCTTCAGGGAAGTACCTAACAACAATAAAAAGCATTCAGAAACAAAGTTGCAAGAGTAGCCCTTTGGTTCATTTAAAAACAAATTCCTAACTTTAGTTGAGAAATTTTGATATTCTTATGATCTTCTTGAAGATCAATTGCTGTTTATAAGGACAAATAAAGTTAATTTTTGTCTCTGATATAATTTCATGTTTTGGATATGCTAAATGTCAATTATGTAGTACTCACTTCTTCAAAGTTGCATTCAGGTCTTGTTCTTCCTTGTAAGTAAAAGCACCATCAAACCCGAACTTTGTCTTCAAAATTTCAACCTTATTCCAATGAAAAACAGAACAGTTAATTAGGATTGTTGTTCAAACTAGAAAAATACAATAGTTGTTTCACACAATCTCTACCTTATCTTTACTTCCTGCACTTCCAACAACATAACATCCCATCAACTTTGCTAGTTGCCCAACAAGTTGACCAACTGCACCAAATGCTGAAGAGATAAACACATAATCTCCTTTCTTAGGGATCCCAACTTCATAGAAACCTGCATAAGCAGTCATACCAGGCATACCTGCAATTGAAAAGGTTCACAAATAGGTAACACCTTGTTAGTATTAACATACTGCTGTTAAAGAATTGCCATGCTGACCATGTAATGATGCATATATGATAAGACAACTCAAAGAAGAATAGTCTCAATTGAGTCAATTCATATACCAAGAAGTCCAGTATAATAGGAAAGAGGAACATCCTTATGCTCAATTTTGATGAGGCTATCAGTCATAGTTATAACACTGTACTCTTCCCATTTTGTGACTCCCCACACTAAGTCTCCTTTTTTGAAGTCTGGGTGTTTGGAATCCAACACTTTACATACTCCATACCCAATTATTGGCTGAAAAAAAAAGAAAATCAACCCCACAATATTAAATCTTAAAAAAAATTCAGACACATATTTCTTTCCTTCTATTAATTTAAAGTTCCTTACATATTTGATCACATAAAAGAAGTAAACGCAGACAGAAAAAAGACAACATGATTATATATAAAGCGTGTGCTTACTGAATCAGGAGAGAAGGAATAAAAGAGATTTTTTCTATCTGTTCTTTTGGATCCTCTCATGTATGGATCACAAGATAAATACAGGTTTTTAACCAGCACAGCATCTGAAGCCTCTGGAGGAAGTTGTAAGCTTATGGTAGAAGTGTGAAAATACATGTCTGCTTGTGTTGGATTACCAGTTATGTAACCTACAGCCAGAACCTGTTTGTTGCTTACTAGCTCTTCCACTTCTGCCATTTGTTTTGGATTTTGAATTGATCTTAATGTCCCTTCACTTCTCTTCTATGTTCCTAAATGTATGGTGATGTCTGAGGCTGCTTCTTTCGCTATGTATTTATAGGGAAGTATAAAGATTCAATCGAATGATGAGGTCAAAAAAGTGATTCTTCAATTTGGTCTATTCACAAGAAGTTCATGTAGACTTTGCTACTGACTTTTATGAAGCTGAGTATTACGTTTATATGTCAGTGCTCACGCCATGAGTATCTTGCTCATTCGTTGGTGATCACGATAGAGAATAGATAATGCATCATATTAAGAATTAAAAATAGTTTAATGTTGGATTCACTGGTTAATGCATCATTATAGTGTTTAGCAATTCGGGTGTTAAGTTAAAAAATTAAGACTAGAATTATATTATATTTTTTGAATAGTGTCACAATGCACTACTCTATAATTTCTAATGCACCTCCAACATGATTTTAAATTAAAACTTTTTATTTACTGATTCGTTAGACCCCTTAAAGAGTTAAGAATGTGCAAGGAACGTTAATAAGGTCAAAAAGAATTTTCTCAAATGAATAGGGTTGTCGACGGCATATGTCAGCACCAACTTCATTAATAATCAAAAAATTGAATTCAAAATCCTTTCAAAACCAGATTAGGCAAACAATTCCAATCAGATATGAAACAAGTTTAGATCTTCTGTTTTATGAGGTTTGGTTTTAGTGAATAAAGAGAGAACAATTCTAAGAAGATTCTAGTGATGCAAGAGTCTAACGGAAGAACCGTCAACTACTAATAATGTCTTTTGTTAGGCACTATTACATACAAGTACTACGCACGGGTGATATAAATTGTTTCAGTGACACTGAGAACCGGCATGCTAAGTTCGAGGAGGAAAAAGAACGTAAAATCATCAAATCTTAGTGAACTATATCCGTAGTCACTTGTTCCAAAAAGTCGAAATATCGAAGGAATTTGGAAAAGAAAAATCAGGTGTACAGTCTAGTAAAATAATAATCAAACCGTGTTTCAGAAATTCTCAATTGAGGAGTACCTAAAAGTTAGAAATTTGAAATGTTTCAGTGACATCCATGAAAAACAAATGTTAATAAAGTGAGAGGTCCTAATTCATGTTGTTTTATTGTTAATAAACAGCATGCTTCAATTATCAAACTAAACGAATTTACATTTGAAAAAGTTCATCATCAAATGAAGTGAATCGTTAAACGACACCAATAATAAGTACCGTAAAAATGAATTAGTTAAATATCATTAACACCGTGTATCAGTTCATTCTATGAATATTTTTACAGATAAAGCTCTTTAGCATTTAAGGTTACAAAACATGATGGATATTTAATCAAACCCGAAAAACTAGAGACCAAAAGAGACATCTGAAGAAAAGCAGGAAAATTTTCATTGTTCCTTCGCTTTCTTACGTGCCAGAAAGCGCTCTTTTGCTGCAGCCAGAGCATCTTGATTTCTTTTGTGATGATCGGGCTTTGGTTGAGAGGCTGATGGCTGTTCAGCTGAACTCTTTTCTTCAATGGAAGCCTCAGGATTTGGCTCTGTATCCAAGGGATTGAAACTTTTATTGGAAGGATTAGAACCTTCACCCTGATTCCCAATATTTTCTCTTGAAGACTCCACCGGTGAACTAGAGTTGCCCAATGAATGTTGCACTTCATCTGATGTACTAGTATGCTGATGCCGAATTGATGCATCGGGGCTCACTCCCTCGTGTGTCTCTGGAACTCTATGCTCAGCCCGATTTTCAGCTTTCCGGGCTCGAGCATCTTTTGCACCATAGGCAACATTTTTATCAAGGTTCGCATAAAAATCAAGCAAGAAGTCCTTCTTCTTTGTAACCTATGCAAATATTGAAATACAAAATGTCAGTAATTTTAAAATAGAGACAGGAATTAAACCGGAAACAAGCATGCCAATCAAATTAAAATAATATATACTAAAATGAGGGAAAAACAAAGGAAAACGCTAAGCTATTTAAAAATCTATTACCAATCTATGTTGACAACCATAAGAGATGAAAACATGGTAAATATTGCAGGAAAATTTTGAAAAATAGCAACATACATCGTCTCTTTCCTCTTGTAGTTCACGCAGCCGTTCTAACTCCATTTGTCTCTCTCGTTCAGCAAGCTTCTTTCTATATGCTTCTGTAATAAATTTGTCTTTGTCAGCAAACAGATGGTCATCTTTGCTTCTCTCTTTGGCAATCTTTTTCTCATAAACAATCTCGCGATACTGCTCTCGCTCTTTTGCTTTCTTAATCAGATTTTGGATATATTTTGGCTGCACCACAAAGATTACAGGTTGATGATTACCAATGCCATTTAGCAAATAACCCAAAATGAACAAATTTCAACACAAGCTCTCACAAAAGTAAAACAAGAAAATAAAATTAAATCAGAATATTAAAGAGAAATAAGCATAGGCTATTTGAACCCGCTATCGACCATTTTCACTATTCTAACGCTATTGACAATGAAGTTCCCACGCCTCAAGAAATAAGTTGTGTCCGTGCATGTCAGATACCAATACCCAGACCAACACTAACACCTTTATAAAGTACTCTTGGAAAGGTGGAAATACTAAATCTTAGTATTTCACAATCTTGATCCAATATAAAGATACTTTAACACATCAAAAATATTTTAATTACGTCCCCATAAGCTACCTGATTATCTACCTATCTATCATCTGTATATACACCTCCTTATAACTAGAATTTTTCTGTCAGTGTCATCTTCCTTTTCCTATTTTGTGTCACAACCCTACCAAACAACGATGATTTTGAAAATTTTTGCTATATAAAGAACATAGATCAGTAATGTTATGTTGAAGAGAACCCATCAGAAAATTATTTGATAGCAAAATATAAAAGGATTCGCTGTTATCTTAGTGCAAACAATGCCAAATTTTAAATAAATGTGGAAAATTTTATCAAAAAGAAAGATACAATGATGTATCTTCATGTTGCTGATCGGCAATTGCCAGAGTCATAATTATCAAGCAAGTCGGCAGAGACCCTTAGTTTCTCCATATCAGATTCTGTACTGAGTTACAAGCATAATGCAATGGCTGTTTGATTGTAATTAAAAAAGAAAATGAATTAGAACTGGGAGCATACCTTTCTCTCTTCGCGATCTTGTGCCAATGGAAGAGCAACTTTCTCTTTCATTTTGTCATAGACTCCATCATAATCAAATATGGATGGATCTTCCTCCAAGGCTTTCTTCTGCTGCTCCTCAACCTTAACAAGGAAAAACATAAAGGAATTTAAGATCATGACATAAACAAACAAAAACAATAGTCATAATAACAAACACCAAGCAAGCAATTACAAGGCAGCAAGGTCAACATACTTCCTTGAGTGTTTTATTCTTGCTAGCCTGAAGAACAATTTCTCTCTCAACATCATTCTCATCATCATCATTAAAGCCAAAAGGGGTGGCAAGGGAAGGCCTTGGAAGCTGCTTCTTCGGCTTCGCCCTAAGGTTCAAGCCATACTTGCTCATTTCACCGGGCTCCTTCACTGCAGTTTCAACACAAAGTCAAACATCTGTTATTAGTATCACTCAAATTTTACTTGTTTCATAGCAGCACGCTTAATCATTAGAAAAATACATTTAGAATAAAAATTCAAAAAAACTGGTAACACATGGATCAGAATATCAAAATTTTCAAGTAGCGGTAACAAAATTATTAATAATAAAAGTAACAAAATTAAAATCGTCTCTTCCACATTTGAAGAAGGAATTACCTCGGTTCGTTGATAACGTAGGGCTTGAAGAATCTCGTGTGCAAATCTCGTGATTTCTTCTGCCTTTGAGCAAGAACACGATATAAGAGAAAATCAAAAAACAGTCCCTTAATGAGATTCCGGCCCAAAAGTTTCATAATAGTGGGCTTGGGTCGGGTTGATTCGGATAGGGAATAAAACCCATATCCAGATTTTACATGCCATTATTTGCTAATATTTTTTTTACAAAATAGAAAATAATAATTTAAAAAATTGAGTGTGCAAGAGGTATCCTAATTAGTAAATTTCTACGGTGCCTTGAGAGAATATTCAATGTTATCTCATATATGATAATTTTATATTAAATATATATATTAGACATTAAAATTAGTGGTATACTTAAAAATATATAAATGTTTTTTTAATTTTTAAAATATTAAAAAAAGTAAAACTATCCATTCAACTAAAATATAAAATACTTTCTCAAGTTGTTTAACTATCATTACAAATGTTAGAATATATTATCTTATTAAAAAGGGTATAAAGAAGATAACAATTTTTAACACAAGATTTTAAAAAAGAGCAAGGACAAATAAAAGTGGATTAATTTTGATTCACTTGATGAATTTTTTTATCAGATTGTAGTGTAGACGGCTAAAAAGAAATGAGACAAGGAATTAAATTTAATGAAGAAAGATGTAAATATTCATATACTACTAAATAAAAATATATTTGTTATAATTTTAAATTTTAATATATTTTATATTAAATTAAATTTAGATTACTTCAATAGAAAAATATCTTTAATTTGATACTGTATGGTAAATTTTAAAATAAATTAAAACAAAAATAATATTTATAAAGAATAAACTTTGCTCAAAATTAAATATCAACAAAAGAAATTATGTGAAATAGTAAGAAAAAAACCTGAAAATTTGTCATTTAAAAATAAGGACTCAGATCTAGTACATAGAGATAAATAGAAATAGATTATATTGAGTTTTAAAAAATATATGATTAACCTTGTTTTTAAATACCAAGTAAAGAGAGAAGGGGAAGAAGAAAAATTTGTAGCGACAATTGATAAGTTCAATGAATGGAGAACATTATCGGAGACCCAATTGGGAAGCTTTGGAATCGTCGCCAACTTTGACTGTGAAAAGATGAATCTCATTATAAAAGTTGCATCTTGCACCTTGTCCATTGCAAACAGAGTAACCATGGGAGATGTGAAACTACTAGGATTTTGGTCTAGCCCTTTTGTTCATAGAGTGATATGGGCTTTGAAGATCAAAGGCATTAGCTATGAGTACATAGAGCAAGAGAGGTATAACAAAAGTCAGCTACTTCTGCAATCCAATCCAGTTTACAAGAAAGTTCCTGTGCTTATTCATGGAGGCAAACCCATTGCAGAGTCTCTTGTCATTCTTGAATACATTGAAGAAACATGGCCAGATAACCCATTGCTTCCAAAAGACAACCATGAGAAAGCCTTAGCTCGATTTTGGATTAAATTTGGAGAGGATTCGGTAACCTTTATGTATTTTCTTTCTATTTGACAATTAATATATTAGATCACTCTCCAAACTTTTTGAATGGGTTTGTGTTGGTTTGGTTTTCTAGATTGCTTCTATTACTGATCTGTTTCTCCGACCCTCTAAAGATGAACAAGAAAGAGCAAGTGCAGTGAAAAAAGCAAAAGAAGCTATTGCTGTGATGGAAGAGCAAGGTCTAGGGGACAAGAAGTTCTTTGGAGGCAACAATATTGGATTGGTGGACTTGGCATATGGATGCCTTAGTCATTGGTTAGAAGGATTGGAGCAGATTGTGGGGCTGAAACTGATTGAGCCAAACGAATTTCCCAGGTTGCATGCATGGATTCAAAATTTTAAACAAGTTCCTGTGATTAAAGAAAACCTTCCTGATTATGAGAAACTTCTGCTCCATCTTGAAAGGCGCAGGCAAGAATATATTACTTAGTATCACAATAAGTAAGTCATAGTATTGCTTTTGATACAGTTTCAGTTCATCTAAACTTTTAGAGAAGTTTTCATAAAATAAAATCAGTACTGAATTAAGTTTCATTGTATGGTTTTGCAAGTATTATAAAGACAATTTTATTGTAGATTTTGCAAGTGCTATGAAGTCAGTTCTATCAAACTAGATAAGTGGCTGGTAGTGAAGAAACATGGGTCACTAGGCTAAGCTATGATATTGATTAGTGTTAGTTTAAATGTTCAAGTTACATCTCACTATCAGAGTACTTTTTAATACATATTTTATTATTGACTAAAATTATATGCATCTTTTTTTTTCTAAATTAATAATTTTATAATTTTAAAGAAATTTTAATTAATAATAAAACATGTAGAATGTATACAAAAGAATACGTTGTTACCATTAAATGATATAAATATAAGCAAGCGAATTAAAGAAAACTAAAGTGTTAATTTCATAATACAAGATGGTAAATTAAGGAACTGAAATCATTGAGGTTCAAAACCTGATACTCTTAAAAGAAAAAAGAGCACCTCTTTCCTAGTCCAAAATTTCATATTTGTTAATTATTTCTGGCATGCTTACTTTAGAATTTTTATACATACAGTGGATAACATGAATGTAATGAAAGAAAAATGTTTCTTGAACTTTTATCCTTTTGATGATTATTTGTAACTAAGAGACTTTAAAATAAGTACAATTATTTATTCTTCTTTTAGCTTAACTTTTTAATTATACTTTGGTCCCTCATAATATTCAAAAATAATTTTCTTTTAAAATATATTGTAATTTTTATTTTAATTTCTATATTTTTTATTTTAATTTTTACACTTTAAAAATTTACTAATTTTGACACGTCTTATTAATGTATTTTTATTAAAAAAAATCACATAAGATGTAATATAAAAATAATCTAAAAATAATTAAATAATAATATTAATAATTTTTTAAAATATAAAAATTAAACCAATAAATGTTAGTTTAAGCGGCTCAGAATTGATTAAGAAATGTCTCAAGTTTAAATTATTGTATATGAAAAAAAAAATTAATAATAAATTTACTCACCATATTCAGATATGCTACTCAGATCAAATTCAAGTTAAATTGATGAAAAAAAAAATTGTAAGAATTAAAATATTTTTAAAATTAAAATATAATGTATTTTAAAGGACCAAAATATATTTAATGGTTACTTCTGATTTTTATAGACATACCCATTAGTATTAAATTTAATAAATTAATTTTTTTAATTATATTTATTACATTTTTTCAATGTTTACTTGTACAGAAAAAGAATTCAAAATAAAGGCTTCCTATATTTTTAACTTTAACTTTTTGTTATCTTTGATTTTATAATAATTGTTGTCACCTTGAAAATGTTTAAAGAAAAAAGAGAGGTAAGACCCATCCTTAATGTGAGATCTATCGATTGAAGTTTGTTATTTTTAATAGTTGGATGTTTAAACATGAGACCAATTAAATAAAATTCATTTTATTTCTACCATATTTACTTTGGATGTTTACAAAAGTACTCAATAACATGAATTTCAACACAATATTTGTTTCTTAAGCTTATTCCATTATATTGTGTTTATCTATACAATAATTCAAAATAAACTCAATAATTTATTATATTTATAATTAATTTTATATATTACCTTATAGTTCCTTTAAAAGAGAAAAACTATTATATATATATATATATATATATATAGAAAGAGTTAAGACTTATTTTGAATGTGGGCCCTACCTAAACAAAATTACCTTAGCTTACTTTGGATTCTTACAAACACAGGTATATCCATTATCATGAAAAGAATATAACAAAACCGTTTCATAAATTTATTTTATTTTTATGCTTATTAGTATAATAAATATTTCAAAACAAATGCTTACTTGCTTAATTATTTCACTCTTTTTATATATTTTTTAAAAAGCACAATTAATATTATGATCCTAAAAATGTTTTAAAAAATAAAATTAAAAATAATCTCAAATAAATTATTACAACCTTAATTAAAAACAATGAGACTTATCTTCAATATAAAACCTACTAAAAAAAACTCACATTCTTAATTTGAAATATTTTTTAACATTTACAATAGTAAAGTAAAAATGTTAAACTTATCTATTCTTTTAATCCTTATTTGTACGAAAATAAACAAGTAGCCTTAATTTTATCTCTTTCTTTTTTTCGAAAAAGATGTTCATTTATCAATAATTTAATAATTTTAAAACATAAAAAATTTAAATGAATTTTATTTCTTATTTAAAATTAAAAAAATGAATACAATATATAGATTTGTTCTTATTATGTTATCAGTGTGGTCTTTAAATAGTTTGAAGTAGGGAACCATAATTAAGAAGAAACCTTCAAAAAAGAAAAGTAGCAGAAGAGAAGGGTCCGTTTAACTGAACGCCGGAGAAGACTCAATTCTTGTACCTCATTCTTATCTGTAACTGCCACCGTCGATTCTGTTACGGTGAAGTAACCGCCACCAAATGCAGCAGCCTGGGGAGCAGAGCGACGTGCCATTCAGAAGGATTCCACCGAAGCCGCGCCGACAGCGTCGCCTCAGGCGATGGAGCTTCGGTTCGCGTGCTGCCTCTAGGGTTTACGAGCTTCAGCCTCGTGAAGAAATGCAGCAAAATGCCTTGCAAACGCGGGTGACTAGAATAACTGACTTGGACAGAGCCTATTTCGACTGTTACGCTCACATTGGCGTCCACGAAGAGATGATAAAGGTCTTCTTTCTCAATTTCAACGTTTCCTCTTCCATTCTCTCGCTCTTTTTCTCTCACTCTCTCTCTCTCTTCCACGGTTTCATCATTCTTCATACAATCCTGAACTTGATGAAACACCAGATTGTGGTTTCTTGCATTTTCTTTACAGGATATGTTTGACATCTAAGTTTCTTTTTCTTTTTTTCATTAATTAAAAAATTATATTATATTTATAAAAATAAAAATTATATTTTAAAAATTGATAATTAGAAATAAACATTTCCTTGCATGTCCTTCCCTTCTCTTTATGATGCGTTTTCAAGATTCTTTTCAACGTATAATGAATGCTGATATCACGTTTTCTTGTTTTTTTATTCCTTTCTTGCCCCTTGCTTGGTACAGGATCGTGTGCGGACTGATGCATATAAGAATGCAATAATGCATCATAAAGATTTTATTAAAAACAAAGTGAGTTAGCTAACTTCAAGTTTTTTTTTTTTTTTTTTTTTTGCTATATTTTTCTCCCTAAAGGGTTGTCTCGTTCGCATTCAGGTTGTACTTGATGTTGGATGTGGTACAGGGATCCTTTCTATATTTTGTGCTCAGGCTGGTGCCAAGCGGGTAGGCTCTCTCAATTTCACGTAAATATTTTTATTTAGTTGACATTTTGATTATTGATTGTTTTTCTCTCTTCTCCATATGTTTTTTTTAACTAATATTTCAAAACTTTTGTTGTTTTAAAAATTAAAGATTAATAGTCGAATTTTTTTTTTAACTATATCCTTATTTAATATTATTGAAAATTACTTCAACTAATAATATAATTATATTTCTTATTTTTCACCTCTCTCTCTCTCTTTTTACCTATCAAATAATGGGTTTGAGAGAAGTTGAAGAACAATAAATGAAATGACTAGAGAGTAAACGAGGCTATTTTTGTCAAAATGTAATAAAACTATACACCAACTAAAATTTCTTAACTTATGTGCATAACTTTGAACAGCAAAAGATGTGAAACGGAGAGAGTATTTTACAAAAATAAAACTGTAAAAGCAAAGTTAGTTCGTATTAACAGAGACAACTTCTTGATTTCTTTCCTCACATGTCGTAAAAATTGCACTTTGATTTGAGTACTTAAAAATTGCAGCTGTTGCCTCATAATCTTTGGAGTTAAATCTTTCTATTACTTTATGTTTTGACATTTGGCATGCATGACATTGTGAAATATTGTCTTGCAGGTGTATGCAGTTGAAGCAAGTAGCATTGCCCTGCAGGTAATTGTCCAAGATCATAGTTCTCATTGGTCATAGTGGCTATGTAATTAATCAGTGTTTTGTTATAGCAATGTGCTCTTCACTTTTTTCTTTAAACTATGTACATACATCGTCAAAAACCAACTCTCCGTAAATCTTAAGCCATTAGGTGAATGCAGAAGTATGGTTTTGTATCTTTTTCATGCCCCTTTCTTGCAAGAAGAACCCTTGGGCTTAAAGTGTGGACAATGCTCAGGTCCACTATACCTTGTGCTGAAAATTAACTATGTTTAGAAGAATGTGGGCTGCAAATATCAGGACTCCTAAGTCCTAACTACACAGTGTTAAAGGTTGTAATACCATGTCAAAGGACAACACTCCTAAAAGCTTAAACTTTAATGGTGGATGCCAACGGTTTATTTTATATCCCTAACAAACATTTTTGTCATTACGAGTTAAAACATATCTTTGTCATGTAACCAATCGATCTATGCTCTTTATAGTAGCACTTTTGAGTTTGAGTTCTTGGGTTCAATTGACTTTTTTTCCTTTCTGCAAGCAGGCAAGAAGGGTTGTTGAAGCTAATAATCTTTCAAATGTTATCATGGTATTGCATGGACTAGTTGAGGTAGGTTACTCTGACCAATATATTTTTAACCTCTGATTGCAATAATTTTCAATTTTCTATTATGATGGTATTGAGTTGTTGTTGAAAAAATAGAATGACCACACCATCTTGTTATGTGATCCAAAATTATATGGCAAGTATTTTTTCACCCTGTGAATTAGATTATTAGATTTGATATTCAAATGACAGTGTAATGAGTCCTCATCCTACATCTCCAATCCATATGAATCTAGAAAAAGCATAATGGCCACTGGGTGAATCTACATCAAAAGAAATAAGACGACTCTTTTGGGTGTCAATGTCCTTGCATGTATGCAAGGTGTGTGAGCATAGTAGATGTTCTTGTTACCACTTTCTTTGTGAGTTTGGATTGGTAGTTTTAATAGAAAAGGTAAGCTAAGCAGACGGAAAAGGAAGAAACTAGAATACAGAGAGACAATTGTGGATAACTGAGCTGGATGTCAATGCCATTCTTCACTAATTTTCTATCAGGAATAACAGGTCCTGGAATAAATGGAAGGTTTGTTCAATTCTATAATAGTAGAGAAATCAGACTGGAATTCCCTGTTTCATTGTTTAACAGGATGCATCCACCTGTCACTTTATCTTCTCTTTCCTCTCTAATCAAATTTCTCCCCGACAATTATGATTTTTGTTCAATTTATATATTGTTTTCTGATCAACTTGTCAATGCCATTCTTCACTAATTTTCTATCAGGAATAACAGGTCCTGGAATAAATGGAAGGTTTGTTCAATTCTATAATAGTAGAGAAATCAGACTGGAATTCCCTGTTTCATTGTTTAACAGGATGCATCCACCTGTCACTTTATCTTCTCTTTCCTCTCTAATCAAATTTCTCCCCGACAATTATGATTTTTGTTCAATTTATATATTGTTTTCTGATCAACTTGTATATTTTCTTAATAGTAACTAGATGTTTATTTTTCACATATTTACTTTGTTGTGGTGTCTGCAGGATGCTGAAATCAAGGAAAAGGTCGATGTTATAATTTCAGAATGGATGGGCTATATGCTTGTATATGAGGTGCTTATTAGAATTCTTGTGGTTGACTGATTAAATACATATTTTTTATAGTTCAACATTGAAACACATTATTATAAAACTAGCGGCAAAAAGCCAGATAAATTAGCTCTGGAAGGGTAAAAATGATGGTTTAAATATTTAAATGAATTGAAATTAAAAAAAGTATATCAGCTCTAGGTAGAAAAAAGAAAAATATTTAGAAAGACGTAGAAATCTGTTCTGTATTTACAAACTTTTATGTGAAAAGGACGTCTCATAAAGCAACTTCCTTTTTCACTAAAGCAAATTAGAAAGCAAGCATCAATATAATGAAACCCTCAAATCCTGTTGAACATTGGCTAAGCAATAGACAGACAACTCAGTGTCATTATTGTCATAAAAATATTTTGAAGTGCAAAAATGACATGACCCTTGTTTATTTGTTGAGGTGAAATGACCTTTAGTTTTCCTGCCTTTTACAGTACATTTGCCTTTATAATTTATATTGGTTTGAATACTTGCCTTTACTTGTAGAGCATGCTTGGAAGTGTTATTACTGCCAGAGATCGATGGCTCAAACCTGGAGGTCTGATTCTTCCTTCAAATGCAAGGGTATATTTATTTATTTTCTACAAAAAGATAGATATATAGTAAATTTCCTTTGCAGTTGTTTCGTCAGATTAGGCTTACCAAAGTCTAATTTTTAACTTTTAATTTGAGTTAATTTTGTTAATTGTATTTAACATGAAGCCTTTGTTTGAATGTGAGGGGGGACTTATCAGTTGCTTGATTCAATACATCTTGTACAATATAAACTGATCTCTTAGTATTCTCCTTTGTAGTTGTACATGGCTCCTTTTACCCATACCAAAAGATACCATGAAAGTGTTGACTTCTGGCGCAATGTTTATGGAATTGATAGTGAGTACGCTACTTGGTATTTAGTTTTGTAGATGTCCATATTTATGTTGTACTTCATAATGATTATAATTATAATGTAATAAAATGCTTTAGAAATCAGTACTACACTATCTTATTTGTCTTGCAACATTTCATTTAATATAGACTAATGGTTTCTCTGCAGCTTCCCTTTTTTTAACAAGCTTTATTGATTCCAGTGGAACGTCATAAAACATTTTTAATTCTCTTGTTAGATTTTTTTACTTTTTAAACATGTTTCCCATGAAATTATACAATTGATCTGCATTGATACCGTTGGCAAACTTAGCATAGCTTAATACTGATTTTTGTTGCAGTGTCTGCCTTGCTACCATTAGCAAAACAGGGTGAGTTTGAAGAACCTTCTGTCGAGACAATTACTGGTGAAAATGTTTTGACATCGCCACGTACAGTGAGTCGACTGGTGTTACTGCTATTGTTTCATTTCTTTACTTCACTTTGCAACTCTCCGATGCTGAAGTGTACTTAGTTCCACGACTATACACATACTGTTATGTGCTTGTAGTTTGGTATGAAATTTAGTTCTGGAATAGGATAAGAAAGTTGGTTAACTTATGCAATATAGAGGGTCCGCTTCACATATTCCATCAAGAGTGCTCCTCTAGTACTCATTTCATAAACCTACTGTACTTCTTTAGAGCTGAGTGTTCCTCCAACTCAATTATCAGATATTCTCTAAATAAACAAAACTCAATTTCATATAATAATCAAGAGTCCCAGAACCAACTGCCAGAGTAAACCAGTTCAGTGAAGGTGATTGGTTGGTGATCTAGATGCAAGGAACAACTATTTAAGATGACAGCTTACATGCCACCACAGGAGGTTGAGACGCAATGCAAGTGGAGTTTTCAGATGGAAGAAAATTGGAGCATGTGGGTGTGTCCTAAGGCTGCTAGACCTGAGATTTTAGTGTAGTCCAGCTGACAACAACCAAGATGGTGTTCGTTTTGGCTAAAAAGTCACCAGAAAATCTTTCAGTGGGAGTGAGGGTGGCTAGAAATTGTCTAAAACATGCCACTAAATGCACGATGGTAGATATTGGAATCCATAGATAAACGTGTGATAAAAAAGTGTCTGAATCATGCCAGTAAAATGTGTAGTGGAGGAGATCAAAACATAGGGAGAAACACAAAGGCTTGGAAATGTATGAAACATGCCAATAAAATGCTAGATGGAGATCAGAACATGAAGAGAAGCACAGGTGTTAGGGCACATTGGAGATGTTACAACAATGGATGAAACCAATGAAAGAGTTGTGATGAACGAAGAACATGACTGAGGATTGCTGAAAGGAGGATACAATCATACAACAGTGGTTACCAGACATTGGAGAAGGAACATTGGCGAGAGAAACAATTGATTAAAGAAACATGAAAATAAAGTACTTATTCAACAGGAAACTTGATAGCAGAGTAGTATAGGATAGATTACAAAATATGATATCACTTTGATACCATGATGAAATCACAGTGTTTTAGGTATAGAAGGAGGAAAGAGGGAGAGGAGGAAAAAGAGAGAAGAGACATCAAATATTTTCTTGAATATTTTAATGTGATGATATATTCATAAATCCTACAGTACAAACTCTGAATTATACTAATTGAATTCCTGACTTAATACATGACAAAGCACAAGTTAAGGGAATATGTTATTGAGGAAGTAAGAATATTAATCTTAAATGATACTCTTAGGATACATATGATCTTTGTATTTATACTTCCAAGTTCATGTATATATATATATATGCTGTGTGGCTTAACGCACATTTTACTGCATGCCTCTCATCTCTCTTTCAGCAGATAAGAATGTCTTATTTGTAGGACTCTAAATCATAAGTTTATGTTTGTGTTTGTATGTATATATATATATGTTTATTTCTACATGAGTTGTGTGATGATAATCCAATGTCATTTTGAAGTAGTGATAATATATATTACAGGTGAAATATGTCAACTGTTACTCTATTACCATTCCTGAGCTAAAATGCATAACGACAAGGTTTAAGTTCAACTCATTGGTGAAAGGTAATTTTCTTATGTTGTCCCTTCCACTTTATATATGTATTTACTTATGAGTCTTTCTGCTAAAATTTCTGTTTACAGCTAATGTGCCACTGCCACTAACCCCCTTGTTCAGATAAATGATGCTAATTTTTTCTCTTCTTGCTTGCTCGTTCAAATTCTGTGGGTCCATTCCTAATTTCCTTGTTGGGATTCACTTTAAACATCTACATAATTTATTCAAGATGTGCATACACTTAATCATAATCTTATCTATGGATTTTTCTATTGTTATAACTTCTCAGTTCTCACTTTACTCTATGAAGTGAATCCTTGCCTTTAAAGAATTCAAATCCTTTTGTTCACTACTCAGCTCAAATAATTTTCGTTTTAGATTCTCTCTACCAATTTACTAAATAATTCATCTGCATTTGATGATTTCCTGTAATATCTGTATTTATTAATACATATTTTCTGTTTTTTCCAGCACCACTACATGGTTTTGCATTTTGGTTTGAAGTTGAATTTGATTCGCCAGCACCAGTGCTATCACCAATGCCAATCAATTTTCTGTTACCAGCTTCATCTGTTGACAATGATCCAGTGGACGGTAGTCAGGGGGAAAAGTGTAGAAACCGAAAGCTGCTCCTGTCAACTGCACCTGAAGACCCGCCAACACACTGGCAACAGGTGAAGTATATATTTTCAATTTACAATTCCAATATGCAGTCCTAGTTTAATTGTTTAGAGTGGTGCACATTCAATTTTTTTTATCTGTGGTTATCTTAAGCATATTTGAAGACAATTGCATTCAATATCTAAAAACTGGTTTCTCTTTGTAAATAATGGGTGATGGATGAGGAGTTCCGACGTGGAGTGTTGCTTATAAGTTTGTGCCGCACTATGGTAACCAGTGCTTCTGGCACCATGGTATCTCTTATTAAACTACAAATATATTTTACAAAAAATATTCTGTATGGTTTTACCCACTTCATTAGGAGGGTGAGTAGCATAATTTCAATCATGATTTGTCTTCTGCCTGGAGGGGGAGGGGGGTCAGCAATTGAGTTTGGCATGATTTTAAAATAACTTTCTAGAGAAAAGGAAATTGAGGTGGACCCTGAATCAGGTTGGCATTTATTCCTTCAGTGCTTATTTTGCTTGGTCTACTGCTAGGTTAACATTTATTATGGTTATTCAACTGTGCTGGACTACTGGTATCCATTTTGAATGTCTATACTATCATCACATGCTCGAACCTTGATGTAGTTATTGTGTTTTGCAGACCTTGATATACTTTTATGATCCAATAGAGCTTGAACAAGATCAACTTATTGAAGGAATGGTGGCACTGTCACAAAGCCAAGAACATGCCCGGTTTATAAATATTCACCTTGAATATACGTGAGTCTGGACAGCCTCTTTCACCATAATGCACCTTCAGGGTCATTTCTTATTGTAAGCTTTTGGACTCTGACATTGTTTCCTGCCATTGCAGTTCAGAAGGTCGATCCCATGTGAAAGAGACCACTATGAGATGATCAAGTAGTTTTCAATTGTCTTGTGGGTGAAGATCTCAATCTCATCCAGGTGAATATTGTGTCTATTCTCACTTCGTTTCCTCAACAGAACTGAGATAACAAAAACCCGCTTAGCCTTACATGCTAGATTACTCTGAAGCAACTGACGAGCTGATTGGCTCAACCAATTGAAATTTTGTTGTAATTTTTTTTAGGCTCCAAAATGTAATATCATATTTGACTGTTCTTGATAAATACTGAGGAGGATAATTCATTGGTAGTCAAGCCGTTGTCTTTATCATACAAACTATTTGAGTTAAAATCTCTTTCGTCCACATAAGCACCAAATGAAGAAGATGATGATAACAAATTTGTGATGACCGGACTGGATTCTTGCACAATATCATTAACATGCCAAAAATAAGAAAAACAAACTAAAGAATCTGAGAATGGAATGGAGGTTTTATTATTTGGGTTAACTGAGATAGTATTTCTCAAAAAAAAAAAAAAAGAGTTCTCGCTCTTAAAATATTGAATGACCTGTCATGCATGCACTTCTCGCTCTTTTCCTTATAAAAAATAGTAATCTTGCTGCGGAAAGAGATTGTAATTCTGATACGATCATGGTCAAGATTGATATGAAATCAACACCACGGATTACTCAAATTTCGAACATCCCCTTAAAAGAAGTAAACTTAAATTACTTGCTTCAGCATCCAGAAGATTAAAGTGAACTCATCTAATTGGTCCAAGGCCACAGCATGATTACTCTTGGTCAGTTGGTTCTGCAAAAAGAGACAAAATGATTAGTTAAAAGCAACCATTCTCCCTGCCATTGACGTATGTACAACACCAACAAAGTGCCATATTTTGATAAAACAAAATTTTCATCTTGAGAAAGATTAGTTTTAACAAAACAATTTATTTTTTAAAGTACTCATCAAAAGTTGAAAAGCAAAAATTTTGTATAAAACACATTGAATCAATCACATGAACTTCCAGCGATTTTAGATTATTCCACTAACAATTAGTAACATGCTTTGAAAAATTATTTGTTTTTTAAATCTTTATATATATATATATAAACAATGGCATGTCTATTGCCACTTCTTAGTCTCTATAGTTACTTCTTTTTAAGTTATTTTTTTTTATCTAAAATATGGTTTTTTTCCTCTTATAGTAGAGATACTTGAGATAAAAATTACTTAAATAAAAGTGATAATAAATATATAAAAATGGCAATAGATACTTCTTAAGAATAATAAAAAACAAGTTAAAAACAAAATACCGTGTACAATATAAAATTAAAAATTTTCCAATATAAAAGAAACTAATCCTATATTCCTCACTCTCTTCCACGTCAAAAAAAAACCTTATAATTATAACTTTTTTCTTCAATAGTGCATATTATATGATTATCTTCCCTAAATCTTTTCTTTTTTATCAAATGAAGGTGAAATTAAATTTTTTGCAAGTTAATTAAAAAAAAATCTTGAGAAATTAAATATAACACAGAATAATATGTGAATAAATCAGAATACTGAAAGTTGAAAGGTGCTTAAATTGCTTAAATATAGTTGAGATTATAAGCACTAAACTGGTGTGTAGCAGAGTAAATGGAACATAGGAAGACTATCTTGGGAGAGTAATCCATGCTGTGTTAGCAGCAGTTAGTAGATTTGAAAATTTTGGGCTATATATCAGTAACTTAATTTCTAGAATTATTCTCTATTAAAAAGATGCATATTCTTGATCTCTTGTTACGTTGAGGTGTTATGTTGTATAGTTTTGTATATAAGTGAAATTCAAATTATATTTCATTCAAATTTAACAAAAACAAAATGCTAAACTCTTAATATTTACACACATAACATGCAACAAACAACTACTTGACATTTGATTTTGATAAGTTCCATCAAGCGTATTTAAAATAATTGCTTATCTTTCATCGAAATTCACTTTGTATTAATCTTTATCAAAATCTTTACTTGCTATAATGTGATCATGCCAATTCAAATTATCTGATTATTTTAAAGGATACATTTAGAAAAACTTATAAATAAAATATAAATTTCATAAGTTATTTTTAACTTATCTTAACAAATTTTATCATTAAGTTTATATAAAAATTATCTTTTAAAAAGAACTTATTCAATAAATGTTTAATTAAATATTATTTTCAAACACGCACCTGTGATATGAAATCATTATAATGGCTTTCATTTCACGCGCAATTAGGAAGAAAGTTAGTAATTATTTATTTTATACGATATCCTATTTTATAAATATGGTTTTATGCCCACTGAAATATATATTATTCTGTCTAATGAAACTAGCAAAAACTAACACACAATCTTTTTTAGGAGTAATCTTCACAGATTTTAGATAACGACAGTATATTAAAGAAATGGGCAACTCTTAAAACTGATTATTAATGATTTTTCTAACATCAGCTCTTAAAACTAATTTTAAGTATTTAAAAATATTTAATTTATCTTTATATTTTCATTATAATAAAATTTTAATAAAAAAAATAATGATTTTAGTTGCTTAAGCTAACCTAATCATTAACGTTAACATATTTCATAAACTAAAACCCCAAGCCAAACCTGTAAACTATAGCAGAAAATAGTTATAAAATTAACATTTGTATTAATTACAGTCTTTAAAACTAAATTTAAACATTTAAAAATATTTAGTATATTAAAAAATCATATCTAACTTGGATTTTTAACAATTAACTCACTTAAACTCTTAACATGTGATAAATATAGTCTCTTCCATATATTTCATGCATTTAGATATGAGGCATACCCTGGTGAGTTTGAAAAGGCTAGAAAAAAATGAAAAATGATTATAATTAATGGTTCTCTTAAAATATTAGATCGAACAACTTTTAGGTAGTAATAATGGCTCAATTATTGAGAAGTCGTGCATATCTTTGTACATTCCTAAAATTCTTGTAATTTTCTAATGTGTTTGTGACAATCCCACTATTATCTCACAATATTTATCAATAATATCTTTCATGGTAGGTCTTGTCGTATTAATCACCATTAAAGCATTTGAATATCCTTCGTATCTTGTCCCTCTTGCCCCTTTTATCACATTATTTGTGCTTCATATTCATGTTTACTTAATTATATCATAATTCAAAATCTTTATGAAATTTTAATTGGAAGTGGAAACATTTGTTTTTAATAGGACTTTATCCAATGGTATAAGCATTAAATGGTGACACCTCCATCCTTTATTCTTTGGGCCTGTCATAAGGTTTGCATTTAAAATGGTTTCTTTTATGATGAAATAAACTACAAATACTTATCTTATAAAGTAGCCATCATTCGAATATAATTGTATCTTGCGTAGTTAAAATTTGAACTGCAGAGAATTTATTTCCTGAATTTCATACATTAAATTAGAATACACTTTATATATTTTTTTCAATTATGTTATATTATATTTCAATTAAGAGAGTACCTTCTACAATAAATATTCTTAAATGTGTCCTTCTCCTACCTTGTTTCCCATCAATAAATCATTGAAATTCAATCACATTTTGTATTTAACCATTTTTTTAATCCTAACCCATTTTAACAAGGAAGTTTTGTTCAAAAAAAAAATGAGAGAGAAAAGTTTGCCCTAAATCCCTAACCCTAGATTACCTTTCACCCTAATCAATATTTGCTGCCAAATATTGTCATACAAGGATGAGCTCAGCCGCCATTTTAGAGTTTTTTTAATAATATCAAACGTGCAAAAGGAAACCGTCTACTTTTAAACTATCAATCCACTTATTAAGGGAAAAAGGATGATGTGAGCTTTAATATAATTTTAACATCTATTTAATCAACTAATCGCAATGGAAGCTTAGGTTAGACAAGAAAAGAAACATCACTTTTTCAACCAACATATATATAATGTAAAATAACTAGCTATAGTCAATACCTTACAATTATCAAAGAAATTATAAAACAAAGTCCAGACTAGCTTTTTGCTAATAAATGATAGAATTGCATTTGAAATGTGGGTAGGTGTAAGTAAGAAACCTTGAGCAAATTTCCCCTATGTCATGTCCAGCAAGATGAACTCACTATCTCATTCTATAATTATCATAAATCCTTTTTAATTAGTGCAGTTTCTAGCTAGTGCTAATTCTGATTAACTCTGGCGATTCATGACATTATTCAGTATAAAATGCTTTTTATAGTTATTAAGTTAGTCTTAAGTTTAAAATTTTCTATTTTACATAAAATTATCTAGTTAAAGTTCTGTAATATTTTAAATACTTGTAATAATTTTAAAATATGTTTTTCAATCATAGTAAGTTTCTTCATGATTTCAAATGAATATTCATGATATAAAATTTCATTGTTTTAATCGGTTCAAAATTTGTGACTCAATATATGATGAGTTTTGTTGCAGAAAAAATTACCTAAGTTGTTGTCGTTTTTCTGCCTTTTGTCCCACAATTCCACTGAAACATTTGCTCTCAGTGTTGGGCTCTGACGGATTGCAAAGTTCTTCATGACAAGAGAGAATGCACAGGTACATAGCATGTCCCACTGAATGGCTATGATTGTGCTTGTGTAGAAGTCCATGTTGTTCAATTATTGTATTGTATGTATATATAGACATGCACATACATATGATTGTAGAACAAACATGTTGTGTTTATACACACTTCACTCTTCTTTGTGTCTCTTATGTATATATATTGTCCTTTGCCCAACTGCCCCTCACATCATGCGTGCGTGTCTTAAACCACAGCAGCATCACCAATATTTGCTTGAATCATTAGGTACTGCACAGAAAATTTGCATTCAGTGGCATTTTAGAATTTACCAACAAAGAGTATGGGGTGGCGTTTTAGACTCATTAGTTTAGGTTTGTGATTGCTTAAAGGTTTATTATTGAAAGTATATCACCTTCTAGAAATGATACATATTACATACACCTTAAGTGAGAAAGAGAAATATGAAGAGAAAAAGTATAGAATAGATGTAAAAGTTGTGGCGTGAAAAAAATCAAAATTACTTTATTGATACCACATAAGGATGGGTGACTCTTTCATAATCATTTTCTTTAATGTTGTATGTACCCAAAACCCATTGAAAGATTCCCATTGAAAAGGCTAACATTATAAAATCAATATTCAATAATATTCTCATTAAAAACTTAAGTCTTCCCCTTTTGAAGTTTCACGCTACTCTAGGAGAACCTATTGGATTAGAGAGAGAGAGAATGAAAAAGTAAGGGGTATCTTTAGTCTTTATTTTAAACACAAGGCAAAACCTGCAAAGCTGGCGCATATCCTAGTCAATAAATAATTAAGTTTTCCAATCCCCTCTTAGTGAACCCAAGCAAGGGAAAAGAACAGTGATTTGCATGAATGCATATAAAAAAGATGCGTACAGACTACAAAGCCTAACAGCAATGGATTAATGCATGGAATCAACATTTTTTTTACTACTTTTTCAAAATCATTGATGGAAAAGTTAAGCATGTATTCCACAACTAATAATCCTATTTCTTCTTTGTACATCATATAAAAAATCAACATAGTTTTTTTTATTTATGTAGTTTTAATGCAATTAAAAATGTACAGTACTCTGTTCACCAACTAAACTTAAGATTACGGTACTAGAAATGGAGAAAGTGGAACATACATTTTATAGTTCCACTTGTGTGGCTTGAATAGCTGCTTATTACATGATAACTGAATAATATACCTATTTTTCCTTTTTCCAATAGATTGAACAACAGCAGGAGACTTGATTTCCATTTTACCTGGCATATTAACCTTGGTGGGTTCTTTTCTTGAAAAGAATCTACGTTTCTTGAAAAATATATGGAAATCATAGAGAAGAAATTCGAGAAGAGTTATTCTCTGTAGTATGTAACAGCTAATTTTGTGAATTGTAACATTGCACCCTACGTTCCCTCTTTTCTGATCCAAGTAGGAAATTTCTGGCAAATTTTACCGTATCTAAATCAAATACAACTTGTTACTTGCTTCCCCCACGAAACAGTGCTACTAATTCTCCTCTTCCTTCCAAATTAAACAGATTATGTTGGCATGACAAGAAAAAAGGCCACACGCCAATTGGTCCCCCTTTCTTCCCGTCCAAGGGGACGTCCTTTTCTCCAAAACCATGACACAAGTTAATTGTAGTAATACAGAACACCATGGAGTCGACAAAATCCAAATAAATGTAAAAATGAGGGAGCACATTATCAGTCATTTTTAGCCATTGAGCACTTAGCATTACACACAAGTAAGTAGCTAAGTAGCATGTAAAGACAAAACATGCACAATCAGTGTACAAAATCAAAAGTTAATGAGCACGATTTAAAACACCAAACCAAATCTCTTAACAAAGTTTATGTGCCACCACCAACTACCTTTCCATCACCATGCCTCCCTCTTCTACCCTTGGCCACAAAAAAGATACAGGCGCCTTTCCAATTCCACTCACCCTCTCAAACTCAGATAAAACCATTCCAAATACTAAACTACAAAAACAGAAACTTCTCTCCCCCGTTCAATTATTTCCCCAGTGAAACTTTTTCCCTCTTCACACTCCTAAACCCAACCCAATAAATCTCTCCTCACTCCTCACTCCTCACCCCCCAACCCACCACATTCACAACACTCCATTCCCAACTCACACACACCAGCAACAATGCTTCTTCTCCTCTTACTCCTTCTTCTAACAACCTCCACTTCCACTTCAACCTCACCACCTTCATCACACAACCTCTCAAACCCTCATTTCCAACAACTCAACGTCAAAGAAACCCTCTCAGAAACAAAACCCAAACCACACCCCACCCAAAAGTCCAAACACTCCAACAAACACCAAAAACTCAACACCATCACCGAAGAATCAGGAAAATGGAAACTTAAGCTACTCCACAGAGACAAAATCGCCACCTTTAACACTTCCCACGACCATCGCAGCCTCTTCAACGCACGAATGAAGAGAGAGGCCAAAAGGGTCGCCGCCCTCATCCGCCGCATAACCGCCGGGGGATCCAACTACGAGGCCTCAGCATTCGGGTCGGATGTAGTTTCGGGCATGGAGCAAGGAAGTGGCGAATACTTCGTTAGAATCGGAGTGGGTAGCCCACCCAGAAACCAATACGTGGTTATTGACTCAGGCAGTGACATCATATGGGTCCAGTGTCAACCCTGTACCCAATGCTACCACCAATCCGACCCGGTATTTGACCCGGCAGATTCTTCCTCTTACACCGGTGTCCCTTGTGGCTCCACCGTATGCAGCCACGTGGAAAATGCTGGGTGCCACGAAGGAAGATGCCGTTACGAGGTTTCTTACGGTGACGGATCCTACACCAAAGGAACGCTCGCACTTGAAACACTCACTTTTGGGCGAACCGTTATCCGAAACGTGGCAATCGGGTGCGGCCACCGGAACCAGGGCATGTTTGTTGGAGCGGCTGGGCTTTTGGGCCTTGGCAGTGGGCCCATGTCTTTCGTGGGCCAGCTCGGTGGCCAAACTGGCGGAGCGTTTAGTTATTGTTTAGTGAGTCGGGGCACCGAATCGTCCGGGTCGCTTGAATTCGGGCGTGAAGCGATGCCCGTTGGCGCTGCATGGGTTACTCTGATCCATAACCCACGGGCCCCGAGTTTTTACTATGTCGGGCTTTCGGGCCTTGGAGTTGGTGGGTTGCGGGTACCCATATCCGAAGATGTTTTTAAGTTATCCGAATTGGGCGACGGAGGGGTGGTGATGGACACCGGCACCGCCGTGACGAGGCTGCCGACGTCGGCTTATAACAGCTTCCGGGATGCTTTTATTGGCCAAACCACAAACCTGCCCCGGGCATCGGGAGTGTCCATTTTTGACACTTGTTATGACTTGTACGGGTTTGTGTCGGTTCGGGTCCCAACCATATCCTTTTATTTCTCGGGTGGGCCTATTCTGACCCTCCCAGCTAGAAACTTTTTAATTCCAGTGGATGACGTGGGAACTTTCTGCTTTGCATTTGCTCCTTCTTCTTCTGGGCTTTCCATCATAGGGAATATCCAACAAGAAGGGATTGAAATTTCTGTTGATGGAGCTAATGGGTTTGTGGGATTTGGACCTAATGTGTGTTAAGTGATTAATTAATTAACTAATTAATTAAGCGTGTATATGAACCAACCATCTGAATTTTGCTAGCATTAGTAATGTTACATATTGTATTATATGATTTACTTTTACATATAGAAGAAATAATTAAGTCTTGCATGTGGTGGTACTTCACTATTATTGTATTTATGCGTTCGCTTTTGATTATTAGCTGCTAAAAGTGTGTGTAAAAGGCAATGCTTGTGGAACTAGATGTTTATAATCTTATTTATGCAAAAGTGGTGCACCCTAAGATGTAGAGGAGAATATATAATTTATATACATTGAGTGGTCAAACATTTGGAGGGTAATAACTCTAAGCATAGTCAAAAGAATGATAGAAAAGTTGATTTGCTCTATTGGGTATTAGAGTCACATAAGGAGGATCCAAGAGAACACTTTTACTCATTTTGAAGAGTAGAAATGATTCAGCCTCGCTATTGATGGTTGGACATAGCCCTGACATCTTTTCCTTTTTATCTTCCTTTCTTTTTTCTCCCCTTTCTTTCACATAAACAGATTCCCCTCTCTCTGTGTGTGTGAAAGCTGCAAGAGCAATTGAATCATGAGGGAAGGGGAGCCACCACCATAATGGACATGTGAAACTATCACTAGGGACACTGTTCTACCTTTGTTGGGACCTCTCAACTTGAAGTGCATTCAAGTAATGACTTTTGCAGTTGCTTTTCCTCTTTTGAGAGATCTAAGATTAAGATAAATAAGAGTCTTTGTCATTTTTTTCCTTAATGTGGTTGGTTATTAGCAGGAAACAAACACAAGTATTTACATGTCCTATTCACATTTATGTAATGTGCGTGGTGATGATTTAATTAAGCGGTGAAAATGATACTTTTTCTTGTCCATTCCTATGTCTTTGCAAGCACTTTATAGGCCCACCTAAAGGTAGGACTGTGTTGGTGAAAAATGGTGAAAGGAAGGGAATCAAGCAATGTACGCTTTGATCAGAGATTAAGATCATATAGGATATACTTTTGAATTTTTCTTAATGGATTTGAGGAAACTATGCCCATTTTTCGAAAAACGGCATCTGAAAAAGCACTTGACAGAATCATCAGTTTATGATATGATACCATCCTTGTTATATTTCTACCAACCGGTTACTAACTAAACCTATAATTACTAGACACAATATCTGATAGTTAACAATCTTGTTTTCTTTTATTAATTTCTGCTCATTTTGAAGATCAAATGTTCCATGAATATGAACGTGATCACGCATCCAGTCACCACAGCTAATGTCTTGCCTTCTTCCTAAATTACAGCATGTAGCACAAAAAATAATCTGCTTCTCCAAATCAACCATATTGATTTCAGTCTTTTTCTACGATTTAAATAAATAAATAACCTGAGAAGTCTATAGTGAAAAATATTATACTTTTGATTAGATCAAACAAGAGGAATATTACGATTTCATAGAACTTGAAAACTCATAATGAATTTGATTAAAAAAAGAGGGTCATTCAACTGCGTGCGTACAAAATTTGGTTGTGTAATCATGTGAGTAGTAGAACTAGCTGAGGTTGGTAGTCAGGTTAACACCCCCAATTATTTAAGGTGTCTAAAAAAAATTACCATAAAGAAGTTTATTGTTAATTTAAAATGTTGGGTAATAAATTCTATTGTATTACTTGTTTTCAATTCGCTAGTAAGATTACGCAATTTTTAAGAAGTTACAGGGAAAATAATTTCGTATTCAGTTGAAGATTATTGTTATTTTTTGTTTTAATTATTTTATACATATGTTAACCCAATCAGTTTTTATTTATCAAGAGTTACAATCTTTTATATATGAAATTGTTTTATTTTTTTTTATTTGAATATCAAAAATTCAAAATTTTAAATGAGTTAATTAAAAAATATTTTCTCAATTTTGAAAATTCTTTTTAAGTTTTCAGGAATATTAATCTAATATCAAAAATTAATTCCCTAACAACAAATGCAATTGTGTTAAATAAATGAAAGGAAAGTTTTGCCACCCACAATAATCTTATCCAACTCAAATAGGCTTGTCTTCAGTAAAAGATACTTATAGTATAGACCAAAAATTAGGAATAATTAATTTTTTTTTAGAATTGAAGGCACTAAAATAAGTCACGTAAAAATTTTTTAACATCAAAATAATATTCTTTTTAAATATATGTAGTACTTCTAAAATATTGTTGCCAAAACTTGTAATTATTAATATTAAAAGTTGTTCAACCCTAAAATCACTTAAAACCATATTTGATATCAACTATCCTGTAAGATGTATTGAACAAATTACCAGAGTAAAATATTAAAATTATCCAACTATAAAACTTTGACCAAGAATTTTACACTTTTTGGTCAATCAACAATTTTACAGTTTAAAAAAAGCTAAACCAAACTGATGAGTTGGGTTAAATATAAAATTTGGGTCCTGCTACTAATCAAGATAATTGTCACATGGTTAGTGATATCGAATGAAGATACAGCGAAACAAACAGAACAACAAATCTAACGTTTTATCAGATTTTAAATTACAAATAGAAATGATTCAATTAAACTTATAAATTTGTTCAAAAATTCAAATTCATGTTGTCATGATCAAATTTCACCGGGGCAATACGCATGGAAATTGGAAGCTGCCAGCCAGCTCGCCTATCTTTGCTTTTCCTGCACTGCACACGGTTCAAGATTATGAAGAAAAATTTACACTTCCAATTACAAAAGAAAGGGCATTTGCACAAGCTAATATTTTCATAAACCATATAATTTAATTAGAATATTTACAGGCAGCCTTCAGCTACATAGCAGTTGAGAGGACAAAAATGCCCTTGTGGGCTTCAAAACAAATTATAAGCTGCACTAAAAAACCAGCCATATTCCCTATAAGAACCATCTAAACTCCATGCCAAACTGCCCAAAACAAAACTTGAAATCATCCATCATGGGAAGTCTAGACCATGAAAAGATATTTCAGATCATCCACTGTGAGGCGAGTTGCAGAACTGCCAGCATGGTCTTCTCCAAAAGCAGATGCAACCATTTTTCTCTTTTCTTCCTGCCAGATGGTACACAAAAATATCATCAGAATTCTTGATTTCTCACATACATGCTATCTTCTCCCCATTATTCAGACAAATTTTCTGTAAAAACGCATAATAATAATAATAATAAAAGATCACAACACAACTTCCCTTTTATCTTTTGGAGGAAGCACCTACACAAATTAAGTGACTTGGACCATAAAACAATACATTGATCTCAAAAATCCCTAGACTTTTCTTTTTTGCATGTTAAAAAACAAAGAAAAATATTTGTCATAGAAGTGTCATCTTTCAACTACTTAATTTTGTTCAATGAAAGAAAGGGGAATGAAAGAGAAAACAATTCAAAATTTGTGAATCAGAGCAATTTCCCCGTTGGTTGCTAATCCTCACTCCTGGTGAACCAAAATCCAAATTTTCCACCTAGTATGACTTATTTTGGCACATAAAATAGAATTCAACTGATAGATATTAAACCTGAAGAGCCAGAATCCGATCTTCAACTGTATCTTTTATAGTGATCCGTGTCACAGTAACAGGACGGGTCTGTCCAATTCTATGAGCTCGATCAACAGCTTGGTCTTCAGTTGTTGGATTCCACCATAGATCCAAAAGAACAACATGACATGCAGCAACCATATTCAAACCAAGGTTTCCAGCTTTTAGTGACATCAGCATAACAGTTATCTGAAACAAATTTCAGTTAATCAGACACCAAAGATTACCAAGGTTTAGACATTGAAAACACAGCATATAACACAATTTCAAGCATTAGTTACAAAACATGCTCATTGAAATTGTATCTAGAATTATTGATATAATCATCAAAGAGGATTAAATTTCATACTACTCATCCACTAACAGGTTCTCATATGACTCAGTCGTGTAGATTTGCATATAAAAGTTACAGCTTCAACAATATTGGGAAGGGCCAAACCTCAGGGTCAGTATTGAAATCCTTAACAGCTTTGTCCCTTGCAACCAAAGTCATCCTACCATCAAGTCTCCTGTATTGTATATCAGATTGTCTCAATGATGTTTCCACTAAGTCCAACATGCTAGTCCACTGGGAAAAAACTATAGCCTTGATTGGTCCTTCAGTTGTGGACTCCGAATATTTTCTTGTGTGTTTTGTAACCCTAACATCTGAATCGTCGTCTTCAGCATCAGAAGACAGTGAATCTCCACAGCCTCCCAAGGAATTCGATAAGTAAGAACTAGAAATCTTCAATTTACAATTTGACTGCAAAACCTCAAGGACAGCTTTGATTTTAGATGAAGTGTAGTCACTTTGCTGCACTAGTGAATAATCATAAAGATCCAAATTTGCTGAACTACTATCACCACAATCATCAGAGATGCAACTCCTCAAAGTAGCTTTGGAGAAAACAACATCCTCGCCAATAAGTTCTTTACAATCAACTGCAGGGCACGTATTATCATCACCGGTCAAGTATTCAGATACACATTGATAACAGAAGACATGGCCACACATCGTGATAACAGGATCTTCAGGTGGATCCTGTTGAAAGCAAAATACATATCAGGTGGTGCCCTTACTGACAACTCATTACTACTATTTAGTGTTTACCACTCATCTATGACAGGTTAACTGAGAAATCAAAATCTAAATATTCAACAAAACGGTGATTATAATAAAAGTCACAGATTCAGTAGTCAATCAATTATATGGTATCAGTAAAGATGATAAGGTGTAAAATTCATTCAGTAGAAACTGATGGTTTTGGACATTTACCTATGCAACAAAAACTTTCCTTTGAAAAGCATTCCTGTAAATATATTTCTTACAACTCTGGAGTAATTAACATGTTTATTTTTTGCCAAAATTACAACTAGAACCCCTTCATGTTTTTAAAACTCATTTCCATCATTATCATATCATTTTTTTCATTGAAGGTGTTGAATTGAGCATTAAGCTTCACCCAATTTAGTAAACAACATCCATGGGGAGTGTCTTTGTACCATAAACTTCCACAAAGACTATATACGCAACACTCCTCTAAACAGTGTAAGCATATCCTTACAAATTTCTGTTACACAGTCAGTTAATAATTTTTCAGTCCATAAAGTGTACCTCCAAATGTTGTGTTAGACCTAAATAAAATACAACTATGGCTTCTCCTACTAGGTGAGTAAATACATATACCATAGGAACAGCAAATTCTATAAAATATAATAAAGAAGATCGGGACTACCATCTCATTTGTAGAGGGTATATTCACAACAAAGGAAACAAATGATGAAAACGTCATATTTGAATTTAACTCACATTGCAAACAAGACAAATAGCAAAGGTTGTTTCCAAACGATTAAACAGATTAATGAGCAAATCCCTTGGAAGTCTTTTTGCCATTTCAATAGAATCTTTCCCAACAGGATCAGAATCACAATCTTTAACCAGAAGCGGGTGGTCACAAGCCTGTCGGAGACGTAAAAGCATTAATAGAATATTTGCATAGTTTTGGTTCACTGTCCCAGCAGCAGCATATGCCTACAAAGTCCAAGCTTTTCATGTCAGAAAGAAAAATAAGATCAAATGAATAAAATTATTCTAGACTTTGCACTATTTTAAGCTAGACATTAATAAATTAGACACAGAATTAGACACGGGAAATTCAACATCTTCTGAACTGCAACACCTTATATATCAAGTACATTTATTGATAACTTGTGAATAGTTCACCTAAGCAACTAGGTAACAATCTGAAAGAAAAACAGTTATCAGACTTTACCCAAAGAGGCAGCAGCCACAGAACTGGTTCATAAGTACAAAATTGTATGCTTTAGAAAGTAGTAGAAACACAAAACAATTCAGCAATAAGGCATGCTAAAAAATTTGGAAAAAAAAAGGCATGAAATGAAATTAATAGATAGCCTACATTCTGCAGAATTATTTCTTTCCATAGCAATAAAAATAAAGAGGTGACATTGGTATATAAGATGGATTAAACAGAGGTGGCAATACAGGACACAGGCTAGAAGTAAATTGTTTTCTCATTAATTGCATTAATTTGCTGGATTGATTTGAAAGAGGAGACTCCTTGTTAGGGATTAGGCCTGTGTTAGTGTTCTGTACTACTAGTTCAAGTTTAATTCCAGATTTCTTTCAATAAAATCTCCCAGTTTGCATGTTCAAACTCAAGTTTACCACCATACAGTAAATTGATAACACTAATCTAACTAAATAAAAATTGCACTTAGGACCAGCCTACTGGTGTAGTTTTCTCTTCAACTATCTTGTATCTATGTTGACAGAGCACCACACAGCACATACATACCAACAGATATGTTAGAATGTCTACCAAATATCGCAGAATATCTTAATTCCTTTATATAATATTTTAGAATATAATATGGAATCATTTAATCATCTAACTGGGGAAGCAACATTAGAAGTTGATTTCTAATTTATTTCTTTAATTAATTAGGGTTACTGACTGGTAGTCTATATTAGTTTACACAATTACTTGACCTAATTCTTCCCATACATAGGTGTTACTGATTTGTATTTCAAACACACCATATCAATATAATACAATATAATCCAATATAATACTAGATTGACACCCATGCTCTGCATGTGGAAGATAGCATAGGTTAAAAATAAAAAATAACAACAAAAACAAAATAGTTTCAATCCCAGTGAATAAAAAAGTAGATCAGAATTACTCTTGTGCTGGAAAAAAATTCAGTGAAAATGGACAACTGTCTTGGTCTTGAACAGATCTGATATAGATATAGATAAGAGAGCTCCTGTCTCTTTTTTTCCTTATTCCCTACCAAAACCCTATCATCTCAACAAAATTAATAAAAGAAATTCAGTTCGAGGTCACATTGTGCCTGTCAAATGTATCCTGCAGGCTGGCAACACTAGTGTCTACCCATTCTACCGACAAAAAGGCAATTTCTTTCATCAACTATCAAAACTGTTTCTAATTACTGGGTTTAAAATCTCATTAGCAAAAGGACACTTCAGAATGTTCTATTTAAAAGAACAAAATGTACTATTACAAATTATCCAAGTTAAAATAAACAATTTTGAAGAAAATAAACCTTAAATCGATTGCGTGAATCTGCTTCCAACTTGGTGTAGAATGCCCGCTCCTCAATGGAGAAATCTACCTTAGTGAGGTGAATTGTTTTAGGAGGTAAAGTGATTATTGGTTTCCCATCAATCAAAGTTCCTAGACAAAAGCAAGAAATCAAGGATGAGTTTTACTCAATATAAGGAATAATTCCACCATGTAAAACACATGAAAATTTAGCCAAAAAATATACACTATACTCTGATTGTTAAATAATTCACTAATCCCACAGTCATGAAGGAAAAAGGTTCTAGCAGAATTGTTACTAGCCAGTAACATATTGGTATTCTAGCCAGTGAAGGTTGGCACAATCAATAGTTACAAACAGCATTGATACAAAAGTCTTGGATTCAATTCCTACGTCCCTTCCTTGGCAGGTAATTTGTTAATTAATTAATATAAGCCCTTGAGCCCTGTCCTTGGATTGGAGCAAGGAAACAAAAAAAAGTTAAAAAAAAACCATTTTAATATAATATAGAGAGGCTTGCTGTGTGTAAAATGAGATAGTAGAACATACATTACAGGTTATAAACTATAAATATATGGATTTTCCAAAATTTATACCTAGAAATTCCTAGGTTGTAAAAGGTGAATTGGAGGAAGATACTGGTTCATTTTCTCAGCAATTACTATATGAAATTATACAAAGATGAATTTGATGATAAAGATGACAAAAATCCTTTCATGAAATCAAACCACTAAAATGAAGGGGTATTATACTCAGTATGTCCATCCCCCATGGCAGTTCTGATGGTCACTCTATCAAAACTGACATGATTATTAACACATGAATGAGTACTCATATCAGATGGGTTTCAAACATTAAGCTCCCATTTGGAAGTCAAGGGTCTTCCTACTTAGCAGCCTGGCCTTCAGGGATGTCCCCTCCCCTGTACATCATGCAATTACTAAAGTATTTTACATTTCCACAGCTGCATGTAAAAATAAAAATCTATGCCTGGCATTCTGATAGAAATCTTTTCATGGAATTAGTAAATAACAACAAAGGAACTGAAAATTGGCACCAATTTAAATATCTGGAGTAAGCATTGCCCCAGAAGGCCAAACCTCCACTAAATTTATCAAAATTATGCATTGAGCTTGCACCCCAAGAATTCTTTACAGGTTCACCAATGACTCAGTTTTAGCAAACTCTGAGAAAACAGTATACTTTACATTATTCCAGCTGAATCATGATTTACTTATAAGAAGACATCCTGTACAAAAATGAATTTCTGCTGATACTGGAGTGGCAGTACACTAGTACCAGAGGTTGAACATGAAATGAGAAAAGCATTGAAACAAAATATTATCTAAATGATGAACTTCAGCTGAGATCAGCAAGAATATTGCAAGGACACTTAAAATCTATACCAAGCCAGGAAAAAGGTGAACTCATACGATCTATCACTTAGGACATAATGAAAGAAATTCACCTTTTGTACGACGTAGCATTATGGCCCTTAAAACTGCTTGAAGTTTCTTGTAACCTTGAGTAGAATTTCTGGATATTGGAACTTTTATTGTATTGTAGAACGATTTATATACAGCATAAGGATCATACTTCAAGAACCTAAAGTAACTATACAAATCATCAATAGTATTTTGAATAGGCGTTCCAGATAAGCACCACCTTCTTTTGGCTCTAAGGCTGCAGCAAGCTCTAGCCACCTGAGTTCTATGATTCTTTATTGTTTGAGCCTCATCCAGAATAACCCTGAACCAACCTACTTTTGCAAGAGGACCAGAAGCACAATCGATTGAAGAACTGTCAATTCCTTTTCTACCTTTTTTACTCTTCTTACTTTCATTATATGGCTTTTTCCTCTTTTTACTGGCAGCAAAGTCAGAGGATAACCCATATCTTTCCCCAATCTTTTCATCAATATCATCCTCCTCAACTAATGGTTGCTTTGGAACTTCATTAGTCACAATAGAGTATGTTGTGAGAACCACATCAAATTTTGCAAGTTCAACAGGGTCCTTCGTCCTACTGCCCCCATGATAAATCAAAACAGAAAGCTTTTCGTCTCCAACTTTGTCATCAAGTTCCCTGGCCCATTGCCGTAGAACACTAGCAGGGCAGACAACCAGTGTACCAGCAGCTGGCCTTTTTCTACTAGGCACCTGTGTAGAACTGCTTGATTCTCTAATAGGTTTTACATCACTGGATCCTTCATTCTGTTTATGTTTTTCCACATCAACACTACCACTGTCATCATCATCATCCAAATTCAAAGCTTCAGTTTTATGATTGCATGTATCATCTGTTTTTGATTTTGACTGCAATGACCTCTGCGCTTGGATGAGGGAAATCATCGAAATTGTCTTCCCCAGGCCCTGTTTGAACAAGGTTTTAATGTTCAGGTAACAGTGCTCAGAGTTAAATGTCAAGTATTGTTGATTAAGAAAAAAACATATTCATAAAAGATGACCTGATCATCAGCCAAAATCCCTCCCAAGCAATGCAAACTCTTGGTTTCCTTCTGAAGCATCCAAGCCAATGCAATTTTCTGGAATATAAAGTGATATCAAATAAATAGCCCAAAGGCCAAAACAGAAATATTAAAGCAATTCTTATAATAGTCATAGACAAGCCATTATACCTGATGTCTCAGAAGAGAGACAGACAATAGACCATCAGGTAAATCAGCTTCCGTTTTTTGTTGACTGATGTCCTGTGATAACCAAATTCACAATTGACAAAATTGAATCTCAGCAACTATAGTACACGCACGAGCACTGACGAAGCACCTCCCACAAATCACAGATTCCAGACAAAAATCAATAAAGCACAAGATTAAACACAAAACCATGTCAAACTCAAAATTAGGGTTAAGTTTTATTCTGGATCTAATTGCATGAATTCATATGTTTAATAGATGAATATTATCTAAGGTTACTATTTTTGTGGGGGCGTTACTTCATTTAGTTTGTTCTTTCAGCCCCAGGGGTCTTTTATCAAATTTTAGGGGTTGGGTGGCTACTTGATCTTGAATTTATGTGAAGTTTAAGCTTTAGGTTTTGTTCTATTGTTCAGAAGTTCAAATTCCCCTTATGGTTTTAGCAGCAGTAGCGCTTCAAGCATACCCCTAGTTCTTGCAAGGCAAGTGACATTAGGAAGTTTTCTTACATAAATGTAACATTATATTTGATATGGTGATCATATTTATGATTTATGGTAAGGAAATCCACCGATCCAAAACCCTATTTTCACAAGAATCACAACCACTGATCACAACACCCAACCAATCATCTTTATACTAGTAAACTAATCATACTCTGAATTCAACCAAAAACCCCTTTAATTCACTTGCTTTATACCCTTGATCTGCCCTGTAAGCCCTAATCTTGATCTGTTAAATCCCAAGGTTTCTAATGGCCCATATTACACATTCATGCAACAAATATCTACATCTCTTTATCTTTGAGGCTTTTGATCACCCCTATAGTTCTATATAGGTAATGGCATACAAAAGCATAATATGCACATTTTTTTGCAAATATTATCATAATTCATAAACATATTAGAGAAACCAATCAAGTAACAAAAATCATCAACAACACAGCAACAACCAGAAATTATAGCACAGTGTATTCCAGAGAATTAAGTTCTACTACACCACAACAATAGACAAAGAACATTAATTTTAACAACCTCAAATGAAAACCAATTTTAGCAACCTGATGAGTATGTACAGGAGTACCTGATGCCTAGTATGTAGAGGAGGTCAATGCCTTTTCAAACAACCAATCCAGAAATTGGATGAAAAATGGAAGAATTTTTTTATGAACCCTAATTCCAGCCCTGACCCAATATAGGTACAGCACCAGATTAGAGTAGAATACAAAGAATGATGAATACTCTGGATATTCAAGAGATCCACAAATTTCCCAAGCGCCCACAACAAAACTGAAGTGCCTCCCTCTCTCACTTTTTCCCTTATTTATATTCTCTAACAGAGTCCATATCTAACTAACTAACAGGTTTCCTAACTAACAGTAACAACTGTTAGTTTCATTCCTTCCATTACAGAGGTTATTATTCCCTGCATCCCTCCTCACTCTCCATTTATAGACCTTCCATCACAGTAGGTACAAGACCTGCGTATACCTATTATCACCTTTCAAGAAAGAAAATCATCACTGTTTACCAAAAATTAAGAGAAAAAAAAAGAGGACCAGCTTCACCAATTCTATATTAAGGTGCACTGCATTTTAAATTCAACCCCTCAACATGTATTACCAATTTCCCAATGAAAGATCACATACAAATCCCAAACAAATCTTTACCCTTAAGGAAATAATTTTTCATTGAACTTAAAAGATAAAATGTTTTAACTAAATGGTTTTGAGTCAACAGAGCAAATATCTTCTTCATACATCTTAGAGAATTTAAGGAGTTAAATATACAAATACAATGATACAGCATGCAATACCTGTAATGCTGCCTCATAAATCAATCTCTCATCATTTTCAGAAGCCCTTTCATCACCTGCTCCAGAGCGGTAAGCAGATTCACTAGAACTAGCAAACTGTGGAGCTATACCCTTTCCTAGCATCAAAGATGAAGGAAGAATCCTAATCCCACCATTTTGAAACAAGAAACGATCTTCATCATTGCCCCTGCTAAAACCGTCACGAATGTAGCCCCTGTCATTGGATGTGCTAGGTCCTGATCCATGGCGACGATTCTTGTATGCATCATGAAACTGACTGCTGTTCATGTTATCTTTCAAGTTGCTTAATCTGCTGTCTGATGCAAATGACGATGATGGGAGAGCCCTTGTTGCAGATGCCTGAAGAGATGAGGGAAGGGTCCTCTTGAAAGCTTGTTGAGATGACATTTTCTCATAATCTGTGACATGAGTATTTGAAATTCGGGAATTAACTGTTTGATTCTGACTTGTGTTTCCATTCTGGGTATGATAAGAAGGTTCATCTCTTTGAGCAATTCTATGGTTCAGTGTATTTGTGCTGGACATGGGTAGGGTATGATACTGACTTGTGTTTGAACTATTTGCCCCCCTTGAAGAACTGTCCTGCCTAGACCACCCACCATAATCTGCATAAAACATTGTATTTACAGATTTTACTCATTTAAAAAAAAAAAAAAATCATTAGAAGCAAGATTTTACTAAATATCACACACCTGAATTCCTTTCAGTTGAAGTAGCCCATTGTGGGAGAATCCTCCTTGGATCTTCTATCTCCTCCAAGTCATCGTCTGACGAACTAATGTATATACACTCATCCATGAAATCTAAATAACAATTTTCTCTTTCCTCAGACAACCTAGAAAGAGAACCACCAAATCCTGAGCCAACCTGTGATAAAAAAAAATGCATCGTGAACATCTCATTCCACATGACAACAAATAGAAGAGGTTCTCAAAACGAAGATGTCTTCACTCACCACTATTTTATCTGGCTTTGATATTAAACCAGAAACCCAAGAGCCTAAAAGAGAACAAAGTCTCCAAGTTGAGTTGATGATATCATGAACATGGTCCACATTGTCAAGCATCTATTTGAAACTTGAACCACATTCCACCTTATGAAACAACATATTTATCAGCAAGGTGAAGGAAAAAAAACAAAAACTAAACACCATCTAAGAAACTACATGGAAGAAGACATGCATTCCCCCCCCCCCCCCCCCCCAACCCCTTTCACAGGTTAATATTAGCACTATAAAAATAAGGAATTTCCAAATATGAATGTAACTTGGAAGCACATTAATTATAAACAACATTATCCTATAGCAACCCATCCGAGAGTAGGCCTTGACCAGAATTCCCAATTATATACAATAAACAAATTCATTTTGGAGATTACAATAATTTGATCAACAATCTCACTCTTCCTTTTCATAGAAATTCAGCCACTTTGTGGTACAAGAAGAAAAGGAAAGAAGTATAACACCACGTAATTATCAATACATTATTACAGTTATTTTTTTTCAGATAAAAATAATGATGATGTTATTGACAGCAAAGAACAAATATTACAAAATGATTGACAACATATTGTTACCTAAATATTAGAAGGAGAAGAACAATATACTCAAAACAGCATCTGCATTTTAATAACCCAAACTGTTCAATGCATCTCATCCAGCCACCCTGCTCAAAAGACTTTTCCAGCCAACTACCTTTTAAATTCAGAAGTATAACTCAAATCCAAACAAAAGCCAACATCCACTACAAACTCTTTAATCAAACCCTTTTCCCTCCTCTCATCTACTAGTTTGCTACCCCTCATTAATCAATTCTAACAAAGGTACATCATCAATCTGTTCTAAAAGCCAATGACAAATCTTGCTAACATAGACACGATCACGGTGTATAGTCACCTGAATTCCCACCGACAAAAAAAAAAAACACATACATTTTCCCCATTGAAGAAACCCATTCCCCAATTTTACACCCTTCTAAAAATATAGTATAATTTTACTTCATCCAAACCAGATCACGACCACGTTCGAGTCAACTATAACCCAAAAAGGGGAACAGGGGTACCTAAATTCAAAACGTGCAAAACCACCAATGCATGGAAAAACCATAAAAAAAGAGAAGGCCACAATCAAGTAATTCTCAGTGAATAGTTGGGGATTGCCTTCTGATTTGCCAAATGTAACAAAAGGATTTGATCTTCAGAAAAGAAAATGAAGGATGCAGCAGTAGAACATTGGCAGAGACTAGGGTTCTGGGCAGTCTTACAGCAAAACGCAGAATGAGGATAAAAACGACATATGACGGAGGAAGTTAGAGTTCACTTACCCAAAATCGGTGGGAAATGAGACTAAATTTCGAGAATAACGAAACGATGATTCACCCTCCGACTTACGCTTCAGTCTTGCGTCCACTATTTTTCTTTTTTCCTCATTCTATTAACATATAATTTACTTTAAACAAAACAATAACAAATGGCTTCTCAAAGGAAAAAGAGATCTGCGGGATGGCTTTCAAGATTATGTGATAAATTACTCAAACTATTAGAAAATTCAAACTATACTTTATCATTCTTTCAAATTTAACAAAAATATATCATTTTATTAGTATTTTTAATAAATGTTTTATTTACAAAGAAATTAAATAAATGCAAAAAATACAAAATTAAAAAATAATTACAATTAATTCTTAAGTTTAAAGTTCTTTTTTTATTTATATTGATTTAATACATCGATGTAATATAATTTTTATTCTTATAATTTTATAAAATTAGTTATATTAAAAAAAAATTAAATGCAATCTATTTTTTATTTTAACTTTTTATTTAATAATTAACAATACTCGTATGTACGAGAAATTTGCTGATTAAAAGAATAAATGTGGAACGATCATTGTTCAATACAAGGTATATTAAATAATAAATAATGCATATTCATTTACTTTATATCTTATATTTTAAGTTGTGTAGGAATTTAAGTACTTAATTATTGGGAAAATTGAAAGATTATATTTTGAAATACGAATTCAATAGTCACTGTATATGATTCATCTTCAACCTGAAACCTTGACCTATTTGTCAACGTAAGAAAATTCCGCAACAAACAGAGAATTCAAAGTTGCATGCATTTGATTACAGGAAAGGCCATTTGACACGAAATAAACAACATATGAATTATATAGAAAAATATGATTTTGGTTTTATAGTTACACTTATCACACTTTTTTAAAATGTGTAATTATTGTTATAAAAAAAATTAATAAAATTAAATGAAAGTTTATTTTTATAAAATAAAGTGTTTTCCAGTTGATTAATAAAACATTACGATTAAACTCATCAAACTAACAGTTGACAATTTTTTTTTTATGAGATGTTCGTATCAAACAATGCAACAATGGAACTTATGTTGTACTTCAGAAGAAAAAAAATTATTATACTCTGAAAAATAAGAAAATATTCTATGCTTTTATATATATAAAATAATTATAATCGATGATTTTTATGATAGAGTTACTAATACATCTTCTTGTTTAGGAGAGAAAAAAAAGTTGATATTGCGTGAAGGAAAAAATGTGATTGCAAGGTGAAAATGAAGATCTGTTTTTTTGTCTAATGTGAAAAAAAAAGCTATTTGGCCCAATGTAAAATGGCTCAATTTAAAAAAGATAATAGGCCCAATGTAATAACGAAAAAATGCGGCCCAATTAGAGACAGGTCACAATTGGAATACGCGCGAGAATGAATGGAAAAAAAGGAAAAAGAGAAGGCAAAGGAAAAGGCGCGGTTATTGGCGCTAAAACGAAAACAATGCATATTTGTTTTTCCCTCCTTTCATTCATTTCATTTATTTATATATTGGAATCAATCAATTATTCTCTCGTTTTGATTCGAAGAGTGAGAAAGAAGAAAGCATCGAGTGAGTGAAGATCGAAATGGCTTCGCAATCGAGAAAGAGAGTTGACGCCGTTGATTCTCGCTCCGCTTCCGTTCTCGTTCGTGCTAAAGATGGCAGTGCTTTTGCTCGATGGTTCGTTTCTCAATGTTCACATCTTCGATAACTAGATCGATTTGTTTGAGTTCTTTGTTAACTGTAACCTATTAGATTTCGTGTTTACTATTACGTTCTGCTTTTTGTGTCCTTTGCAACGTCGAGAAAATTGTGTTTCGTTCTAGGTTTTATTGTCTTTAGCGTGGTGTTTGCTGGTGTAAGTGCGATTTGTCGTTGATTGTTCGTTTGCAGTGAAGAGTGTAACAAGGATGTGCCGGTGGCGCTGATCAACATGCACAGTTGCAGTCTTGAAGCTAAAATTAAAATGAACTTGGGTATGATTGGTTTTTTTGTTTCGTGTATATGATTGTTGTAATTGTTTGGTTGCTTTTTTGTAATTTTTATTTTATTTGGTTGCTTAGATGCTCAGGTTGTGGAACAGGCTGCTGAAGCTAAGAAGCCGGAGAGGTGGTTTTTTATTTTTGTGGTCCTTTATTTTCTCAACCTGTTTGCAAGCATTTAGCAGTGTTCGTATTGACTTGTTACTTGGTTTTTCTTTTGAAATTGTGTAGGAAGAAGCCCAAATCTAAAGAGCCAAAGGCAAAGAAGGCCAAAGTTGAGAAGGGCAAGAAGGTTAAGGATCCTAACATGCCCAAGCGTCCCCCCACAGCCTTCTTTCTCTTCTTGTAAGGCTTATTTTTGCTTGCCTATGTCTGTTCTGTTAGTGATGTTGTGATTTTGCTCCGGTGTTTGATTGAGGTAATATGTTGCAGGGATGATTTTAGAAAAACTTTTAAGGAAGCTAATCCTGATTCAAAGGACGTTAAAAGGGTGCGTAAAATTTGCTAAGTTGAAGTTTGCCTAGGCTTTATTAAGTGAATTGATGAATGGATTCATTGATTAGCATTTTGATGGAAAAACTATAGGTTGGCAAAGAGGCTGGTGAAAAGTGGAAGTCTATGACTGATGAAGTAAGTTAATTATGCTGCGTTTAGATTTAATTGTTTCTTAAATTGTTTAACAATGCGACTTGATATCGACCAAATGTTATGACATGGCTCAATGGTTCAGGAGAAGAAGCCTTATTTGGATAAAGTTGTTGAACTCAAGGCAGAATATGAAAAGGCTATGGAAAGCTATAAAGCTGCTGAAGATGAAGTAAGCTTGTTTTTTAAGCTTCAAAGTGTATTTGGTATGGTGTTAATTGTTTATTCTTACTTCTAAAGCTGTTGCTTCTTTTTGGCAGGATCAAGATGGGTCTGATAAGGAAATTGCCACAAAAGAAGTTGAAGAGTTAACTGACGACGAGTAATAGTGGCATTTTGGCGTTCCTTAAACCTCATGAGACTCTGGAAACGGTTACTTTACTTCTTAGACTAGGGTTGTAAATTTTAGAACATGTTTTAGTAGGAATTTTATATTTAGGTGTTACTATTTTGATGGCTTTGAAATTCTCGTGTAACATCAATCTGTGCTCTGTCTCTTGAAATATTCATGAATGGCAGTTACATTGTTTTCTACAAGAGGCTCTTACCGCTCTAATTCTGGTTCTTGCTTAAATATGCTTAAGGCTGCTGATTATTTAGTCTGATATGGCTCTAGCGATTCATTAGTTTGACACGAGGGTTGCATTCAGTAGGACTTAACTTCATTAGCTAGATTAACACTTTTCTGGATAAGAAGATTCTTTGAGGGCATGGTCAGCTTCTGTATTGCGCTCAACCTTGGAGAGCAAGGTCCACGCACTTGGTTTTGCTGTAATATTTTCTGGTGTGCCCACTTAATGTTTACACTTGTTTATCTGAAATCTAAAGTACGCTGTAAAATGAGCGCATCTTTTATTGAAAAAATATTGAATTATAAAATTAAACTTCAGCAGCGGTTGATCTTGAAAAGAAAGATTCAAATATATGGTGGTGCCTATTCTAACTTGCTCATGTAACAATGGTCACAAGCCATGAGCATATTTAATAATAGAGTCAGCGTCTCACTGACCTATACTTGTTTCTTGCATGGCTGTAAAGGTTTGCCACATAAGCACAAATTGTGGGCGTAAGCAACTGCCGGAAAGATATTGAACGGTCTAGTTTGTGGTATTTCTCCACATAGCCTGTTTGCCCTGAAGCTTGCATGCTTTAGGCCAGTGATCTGTGACAAACTACCTGGAATTTGGCCTGTTAGTCCGTTAATGGATACGTCAAGCCATTGTAGTTTCTGCAACTGACCTAGAGTTGAGGGGATGGTTCCCACTATGTGATTTCTTGAAATATCCAGTCTCTCAAGTTCTACCAAATTTGAGATAGAGACTGGAATTGAACCTGATATATTGTTGCTCCCCAAGTTCAGCACCTTGTAGCTTGAGCCTTCCACAAAATCAGGAACGTGACCTGAAATGAAATTGTTTGATACATCTATAACCTCCAAAGAGCTGCTTGTCTCGTTATTTATGATTGTTGACAATGAACCCACCAATAGATTTGCATGCAAGTCTATTGAAGACAGCTCTGTTGGCAACTTAATTTCAGAAATGTCGAACCTCAACTGGTTGTTTGAGAGCTTGACCTTTTGCAAGCTGGACATATTTGTGAAGAAATTTGAAATTCCATCAACCAGGTAGTTATCTGAAAGGTCTATGGAGCTGAGAGAGTCAGGTCTTACGAAGTGTGGAAGATCTCCCTTCAATTTGCACCCGGCTAGGTGGACATCTTTGAGTTGCTTGCTTCTGATCCAATCAGGAACATTTCCAAGACTGAGATTATTATAAGACAGGTCTATGGACAAAAGGGCTGGGATTCCTCTGCTAGGGATTGCTGGTAAGGGATCCGAGAGCCCATTCCTCGATACATTAAGGTACCAAAGGTTCTGTAATCTTGATATGGACAGTGGAACATGCCCTGTGAGCAGATTGCCACTGAGTTGAAGACTTGTTAGGGATTTCAGACTCCCAATCTGATCTGGGATGTTCCCTGTGAGCTTGTTATAGCTCAAGGACAGGTCTAAAAGATTGACAAGGCCAAACAGGGAAATTGGAATTTTTCCGGTTAGAAGGTTATAGGATAGATCTATGTAGGTCAAATTTTTGAACTCCCCAACACAATCCGGAATAGGCCCTGATAACAAATTGTAGCTGAGATCAAGGTATTGCAAACTTTGAAGAGCTTTAAAACTAGGGGGGATAGAACCTGCCAATAAATTTCTCGCTAAGTTAATCTGGTTAAGGTTTCTCAGAGCCCCTAGTGTTGGAGGGATCTGTCCTTTCAGATGGTTCCCGCTGAGTGAAAGGGTCTGGAGCAAGGACAAACGACCTAAACTTGGAGGGATGTAGCCTCCAAGGGAATTGTCTTCCAAAACTAGCTGGGTGAGGCGGGTCAAATTTGAGAAGCTAGCAGGAACTGGTCCTGTAATATGCTTCATACCACTTATCACCATTACCTCCAAGAAATGCAAATTGCCCAGTGAGGGGGAAAGAGTGCCCTTCATATAAGTGCCACTGTCTCTCTCTGGCCTCTGTATCTGCAACACGTTAACTCTCCCTGTGGATGGATTGCATTGAACTCCTTCCCAGCCACCATCACAGCAGTCTCTGCTTGTCCATGAAGACAGTGTCTCTGTTGTGTCCTCCACAATGCTGCCTTTAAAGCTGAGAAGAGAAGCTCTGTCTTCTTCTGAACAGATTGGAGCCTGTGGTGTTGAAGATGTCTGTGCTACACTTTCTGAGAACTGACTGAGAAATGAAAAAACCAGAACAAGGTTTGAAACCCATGTCCAAAATTGCATTTTGGAAGGTGGGTCTTGATCAGATCACGGTTTGCTGTGATGTTGGGATCTGACAAGTGAACTTTGAGTGAGTAAAATTTGAAAAGAAGATGAACTATAATTTAAAAAGGGGTAAGAAAAGTACCACTCTGGCATAGGTTTATTGCATTATTTCACGTAGACAGGAAGGTATAATAATGATAAAGATGATGAATAATGAGGGAGTGTGTCTCAAAATTATGATTTTGTTGGAGATCTGCATGCAAGATTGAGCAATCTCTTATTTATAGTTACATAAGCAAAAAGCTTCTAAATGAAAAGAAAAGAAATTTTATGATGAAGCTTTGGATCAATTTAAAGAAGTTCACATGGAAATTTGTGACCGTTTGATGGATCACGAGGATCCTTGGGGTATTTGAACGTTGGAGCGCACTATATTCAAATTCTTTCAAGTGTCGTCTTTTATAAAATTCACCTTCGCCCGTAGTATGCAAATAACTTTTTTCTTCTGCCTTCCACAATCTAATCTAAACACTTGTTTACATTACAAGGATGATTAACACTCATGTTTTCATCCAACAGATTCTATTAGTTTTACTGCCACTTCACCAAATATTGCTCTGTTCTTTAATTCTTTACTTGGAGGACTTGGGAGTTCTTTTTTAGCTTTTCTTTTGTTGTTATTTCTTGACTTTTGGACTCAGTTTTTTATAATATAAATGGCTAATTTTCTAACAGTATTGTTAGATATTTATTTCAACTATAAGAATTAAAGTTAATAAAAAAAATATTATATATTGTGTACAAAAGTCTTGGATTCAAAGGAAAGAAGAGAAAAACAAGTTAAAAACATATAAAGTGGAATGGCCCACAGAAAACCCGTTGGAGGGACAATAATACATTGGATGTTTGGTACGCCTGCACTTTCTTTGGATGGCTATCTTTTTATACTGATATAGCATTTAAATATGAAAAAAAAGATTGGTTGGTTATATATATATATATATATATATATATATATATATATATATATATATATATATATTATAAAATGCCTCTCTGTTCTTACTTTATTTTGTAAATATGTAGACATAAAATGGTAAAAGCAAGCTTTGGCTGCTTTTATAATTTTTTATTCAACTTTATGAAAATAAAAAATTAAAATAAAACAAAGCAATAAATTTATAACTGTTTATGAAAGCAAACTATATTTTTTTAACTACGAAGTCTTAAATTGCTTCGCAATTTTATACTTTTAGGGGATTTAAAATCTCGATACATACACCAATATTCAAACATTTTCCGTTCTTATTATCTTAATACTTATAAAATAGAGGTAGAGATTTGCTCTCAAGTCTTAAATAAAAGAGAGAATAAAACCTATCGACAGCTGTTGCTCTTGTTTTTCAAGAGAGAATTAAACTTCTGTAAATTGTTAATTTGACTAATAAAAATGAAGTATTTTAATATTTTCTAATGAAAAATTTATAATAAGTCTTATAACAAATAGATAAATAACTAAATTCTTAAAAATGAACACAGATTTATATTCATGTTTTATAACTTATAGAAAGTCTTTCCATACTTAATTAAATCAAATTTAGAGTAAAAGGGTATTTGAAAATGATTTATAATTTTTACAAGTTTTTATATTTATTTTAATATAATTTGTTAAAAAAGTAATCTATATATAAGCTCTTGTATAACAAGAGTTTATGAAGGTTAATTAAATTGTGTTTCTAATGTATCCAATGTCTTCTTGACACATGGATTAAAGGGTCAACGAGGGTGTAACTTACTAACACAAGTAACAGTAAACATATCCATACTGATTTTGCTTTCCAAGAAGAAAGGGAAGTCCTTTAAGCAGTGTGTTCTTGGCGTTTCTATATGACAACTAATAGCACAAGTGATTCTTGAAACCATGGATGTGACAGCAAAAGGAAATATTTATGCATTATTTCTTTTTAATACAAAATAGCATATGCATGGAGCAATTATCACTATTTATTTTTCTCAAAAAGCATCATGAATATTGACTTTTCCTCATTAGTAAGTATGCTTAACTTGCTTCCTTTACCGCAATACAATTTCCACAGTTCATTTAAAACCCATTACAATGGTCTATATCCTGGTTCTGGAAGATCAATGTTTTCTCATTGACTTTTAAATTCAGAATTTGATTTGTAAGAATTTAATATTCTATCATGGTTAATGATATTAGTTTCTAAAACATTAATGATGCATTAATTTATAGACATTTTTGTTAACTTGTATCATGTCATGTTATGACATCTAAAGCTTTTCAAGGTGAGGATATATGAATGCATGATTTTCATACCAAGATAAATAATATTTGTTTAAAATACATACTCACAAAATCAGAATTTCTTATAGACTTCCATAAGGATTGAATTATATTTTTAGTATGCTTGGATGGTGTGAATTGAAAAATAAACAAACACTAACTTTTAAAGAATTGGGTAATAGTAATTAAGATGAATTTATCTTTGAATATATTCGAAACTTGTAATCATGCTTACAAGTATCATTAGTCATGACTCATTGTTAAAGATTTTAACTTGCTGGTTAAGGAGCAAACTGACAATACTTTTACCGACTACTTTTGGTGATAGGATCATTGCGTTTTAGTTAACGTGTTAATTTTATAGCCATGTTTTTTGGATCTTAATTAACCTTCATCTCCTATAGATCACAGACATTTTCATACTCACTGTATTAAGAAAAGGAAAATGATATACGTTCCGTGAGAGCTGCCCAGATGAATTTTCTTTTGTTGTGAAGATGTGTGTGTTTTAATAAAATTTTATTTTGGATGGGTCTATAAGTCATTTCTTGAAATAATTAATTCAATCTTAAGTATACTAATAAAATTAAAATATTATATTAAAATGGGTATGTCTAAAAATTTAATCTTGTGAATGATTTTAATATATATTAAATAAAATTTTTAATGAAAAATATTTATTATATTAAAAATATTTTTTTCCTAATTCTAGGATTTAAATAGGATAAATTAATTTTAAAAGCTGCTATTATCGATTTCAAATTTATTGAAAATTGCATATTGTCTTTAAAAAGTCTCAAAAGTTAACAATAAGGATTTATATTTCATTGTTTATAATGTTCGGAATTGTGAAGAGAAAATAATATTTTTTATTTATTAATAATAATATTAAATTAGTCTTTGTTAATATATGTACTTTTAATTAAAAAAAAAACTAATTTTTTATTACACACATCGTGAGTTTATACTAATGATAAGATATATTGCACTAACAAATAATTTTGTTAGTAAAAATATTAAAATATTAGTATACTATGTTATGATTTATTATTATAAATTTTAAAACTTTATGCTAACTAATTATTTTTTGTTTGACGATATTATACTAATAAAAAATCATCTTAACAATTTTTATTTATTAGTATATGAAATTTTTTATAGTGTTCATTTAATTATTTATATTAAAATAAATTAAAGTATAATATATTTTAATCTTTTGAAGAAGAAGGATTCTGTAATATTATATGTTAGTAGAGGACATAGATTACTCAAGTTCTAAGACATAATTTCAACACATAATTACATAGAATATTAATGAATGATTGTTTCTTGTATTTCTCTCCTCAAACAACACAAACATGCTTGAGTCATTGCTCTCTCTCTCTCTCTCTCTCTCTCTCTCTCTATATATATATATATATATATATATATATATATATATATATATATATCTTCGTGGGTGCTAAGTCTAAACCATGAATCTTTCTTAAATACAAAATAAGTGTACGAATCTTCAACCAAATTAAATCTTATCCATTACCATATCACTACACAAAAAGAGTTACAATGATATAGATTATTTATAAACATCAAATAGAATTTTGCATGATTCGACAACATCTATGAAACAATAAAATAAAAAAGCTTACGTATGCACCCTCAAGATTATATATGTGGCATGTGGGATTGAGACCAAACTTTAAACAGCTAAGTTAGTGACGTCCTATATACTTGATTGGCATGTCTCGTGACCAAGCTAAGCTGATTAACTTCCATTCCCGAAACAGACAAGAGCAATGAGTGATATGATTCTGTGTTCATCTAACTACTAACCAGTTTTCCTGTGCATAAATTAACCCTTTCCGTGGTGCAATATCCTCCACAATCACTGTGTTTTCTATTTGCATCGATGTAGTTGCCTTGAAAGTCCCGAGAGCAGCAACATGTAGCATCCACATTTAGCTTGAAAAAAAGCTGAAGAGCTTAATTCTATAATCCCTAATCGATGGATGATAATTTATTAGACTCCAATTTTTTTTTAAAAAAAGTGAAATTTGATTCTAAGTTTGTGTAAATATAATCTCCGTTGGGTTGATTAGCTAGTTGGAACTTGGAACATTTATGTATTCAGCAGTAGAAAAAAAACCTCTGTAGGAATTAAAAACAACCCGCAGCCATTTTATAGAATCGATTATGTTTAAAGTCAAAAACTAGCGAAATCGGTTAATATGCATTGATGTTTACGTTTAAAAAGTCATAAACGTCTCTTAAATTAAAACATGTACACCAACGTCATGCCAAACAGACTGTAATCAATTGTGATAAAGGAAAACATGATTTTTATTTATTTTTGTATAATCCAAACTCAAACCAATTATATTATGTTACTTATATAAATTTGACAATTTTTTGAAAAAATTGACATATAGCAAGAAATAAGTGGTTGAGACTACATAGTCTGAAATCACCCAGTAATTGCTCGGAGAGAGAAGCTATATGAAATTAAAAAGTAAAATTCCTATTTTATTTATGCTAATGACTGCTTAATCACAAGATTGAGTTGTCTTATTAAGTGTCTAATCACTTATCATAAATGCAAACAAATGTGTTTTTAACAATGGAAGCACTCAACCAGTTGTACCAGTAGGCCCACTGGCCGGTGGGATTGATGTTTGGTTTGGTGAATGAACAGTTATGTTGTGGGCTAAGCCTTCACGAGTTACGGAGGCTATGTTTGGTTTCAAAATTTATTTTATCCTTTATTCATTATTTTCAAAAGATTCATAAGAATAATGTTTTTTTAATCTTTGAACAAGTTTTGTAAAATAGAATAACATCAACACTATTATAATTATTTTCTTAAATTAATCATACTCTAAATATATATTTTTGACACTTTTTTCATTCAATTAAATATTTTTTACCATACTCAAATAAGATTGTCTTTAGTCAAAAATATATTTTGCTACATGGAAAGATTTGATGTGGGAACAATGCGACAAATTGGGTTGAAAATTGCAGACAATACAGTGTCCCTTCTTATGAACAGTGGAAGTTTGAAACCGAAAATATGAGCCATGATTTGCGACTTAATGATCCACTTGGTCAAGAGGGGCAAAAAGTTATTGTGGCTTTACAAGTTGTATAGTGGATACATGAACTGTGCTGTACTCTGTGATAATGTGTTTCAGCAATATATTATATGACAATCAATAAAAGATATAGCAGTTTTCATTTTTTTATTTAAAAATGGATTATGGTTTTTTACATAACTGATTAAAAATTGATGAGTGAATGGTGTTAGATTGCGCTGATTGCGCCATCAAAGACAATGGTCCATGTGGGATGATTGTTGTTGAACTGAAATTTGGATTTTGCAGACTTTTAAGAGACGGTCCCAAATTTCTTAAAAGCTAACATTATAGTCCAAACTGGTGCTTGCTAATAAGGGGTCCTGCATCATTGCCATCCACTGATTTACAGTGTTTGTTACAAAATAATGTTTCAAAATCTTGTTGAGGACAGACAAATTAGCTGCAGGTAGGGAACATCTGAAAAAAGTTTAAGAAAAAAGGAATGCCCTCTTATGTTTCTTCGTTCTTTCAATTTCAAATGTTAATTGATAATGCCGTTGCTGCTGTAAGTGTGTCTCTAGATTTGTTCTATTTTATTTATTTGAACTCCATTGTTCAACATACTCTATGTTTGTTTTCCTTGAATTTGTTTGGCGAACACCATCATTTTAAGAATTATTTTCACATTATTTTACTATTTCTAATGTTAAAGCTAATGAGATAGAGCTTCTATGATCTATCCAATTTTTAAAAATAGTTAATCACACTTAAAATTTCTTTTCAGAATGTTAATTTAAATTCTTGTAAATTTTTAAAACTCAATTGTTTATCAAAAAGATTGAAATGAAAAATGTAACCCTAAAATATTAAGGTAAATAAATATTTTTTTTAAAATATTAAAGATAAAATTATAATTAACAGAAATTAATCCAAATAGTAAATAGTTCAATATCACTTAAATAAAGTCTCAGGTTCGAATTTTTGTGTATGTAAAAAAATTTTAATAGTAGACTCACTCACTACATATAGTTACGTGACTCAAGTCGAATATAAATTAAATCGGATGAAAAAAAAAGATAAAATTATAGATTTAAACAAGTAGTATTTAAAAAAATATTATAAATTAATAAAATAACTTTATTTATTAAATAATAATATTTTAATCAAATAAAATTTTAAATTAGTTAAATAAACTATAAGATTCTTAACACAGCTTGACAGACACAAAATGTGATGTAGGTCTTGGGATGTCGGCACCCATACTCCAATAATATCCATTCAGCATGTATTATTATTGTATTACCATTTTAAGGTAGGCTCAGCTTCTTTTGTACCCAAGCTAACCAATATTTTAGCTGCCTAATCTATATATATTGGCTTCCCAGCATGTACAGAAGTGGTTTTGTTTTATAAAAAGAGTTTCAATTGTTGCTGCTATTTTCTCCAACATTTGCAAATTACTGGCCTTGAAACAATGAAACCTAAATTGATGAGACCATTAGACCGCTCAGGCTATATCACATGTTCACACATGTATGTTCTCATCTGAGTCCTGTCAATCTCTAGCACATTGGAAGCCAAAAAAGTCGAATAATTTCAAATATTCTTATCTTTTATTAATGTAAATATTTTTAATTATTAAAAAAAATATTAAATATATTTTAATTTTTTAAGATAATAAATATTATTAAAAAATAGGAAGGTAAGAACACTATGCTAGATCTTGCGAATGAAAAAAGAAAAAGATTGCGTAAGTTGTTCAAATTAGTGTTTGAGAGTCGGAGCATCTAATGTGACTTCCAAACATTTGAGAGCCAATAACAGACCAAAAAATATTGTGACATATATTATTGTTAATCCAAATCTATGGTAACACATTCAGACATTTTTTTAAAAATAAGCCATTGCATGAAATCCAAAACCGCACAAATGTGTCATCCTTAACTGCCACATCCTCCATTAATAAGATCAATTACTAACAGAATTGCGACAATGGGATGCTTTCTGAATTGTAAATAAGATAACTGCAGGTTTCTCCCGAACTTGTTGGCAATGTAATCCCAACACCACCCAAACGACTGCCATTATAAGCTCAGAGGCAGGGTATATACGCAGTTGATCTCACTCGAGCCATGGATGTACTAATGGGTCCATCTCTTGACTGCATCTCAAGATTAAAGCTGACTAGTTAAGTTTAGAGCTTTCAGGATGAATACATATGTGAAGGCATCCTCCTGGAGCTTCTCAAACCTACAACCACACGCAATATGTTAAAAACAAAAAACGAAATTACAGGACTCTAATTCAATTTAATAAATAAGGTTCGTTATCTTTAAAGTGAGCAAGTAAGAGTACAATCATTGTTAAATTTTAACGAGCTCACGTTACGATAAATACCCTCTTATTCCTTCACTTAGAGATAAACTCATATTAAAGAAGTCTGGTTCTACATTTAAATGACTAGGAAACAACTTTGGAGCTGGTTCATACAACACTAGACAGACTCTTTCATGGTCATTGACAAAAAGAGAAATGTTAGCGGCACAATCTTCCAATTTAATGTTTTTTTACTTATGTTTTTGTAATTTTTAATAAACTTTAACAAATGAGTGAGAGCGTTAAAAATAGTTTTTCTAGCACAAATTACTTTACTTATTAAAAGGATGTACGTAGAATTAGAAAATCAGCACAGGCCCTTGCCCTTTCGTTAAACTAAACACTCCCATCTTCCCCAACCTAAACTAACCGTATCCAGAACAAGAGAGCGGAGAAACAAGTATAAGACGCATTTGAAAACAAATAGCATTAAGTTATCAACTCTTATATATGAAATTTTAAATACATTTAAATTTTCAATTTTATTAACATCAACCTTTAAATTTAACTTCAAACATAAAAAGTAATACGATTTTATTAAAAAAAAACTGTTTTATCAACATCAACTCTTAAATCTAATACTAACCAACTCCAAATCGAAAGTTTTTCTTGAGATATAAAGCATTTATTACATTGAAAATATAAAGTTTGAAAAATTATTTCTTTCTTTTCTCAAGAAAATGTTCTACTTTTAGTTGTTTAAAATTAGTTTTGAATATTGATATTAACAAAATCAATAAAATAATCTTCTCATTGTTAACGAGGATGTCTTCCATTATTCTTTCTTTTTTCATAAAATATGTTATTTCAATAGTTTTTAACAACGGTGATAATTTTCTTTTATATAATTTTATTATTATCATTTATATTTCAAAATTTGACTCGCAATTTAAAAATACTGATAACTGCACGGGTACTGCCAGTAGATTACCTTCCCGACTTTGAAAAATGCCCAGCACCAAGCTCGCATTTAAACAGCAGTATGTTATCATCAGTCTTCATATCCCTCAGTTTTGCCACAAACTTTGCAGGTTCAGAATACAAAACCCGTGGGTCTACAGAATGCGCAAGCAGATAACAAGGTGAACATAACACATGTTAAATCAAAGTATAATTTTCCAGCCAAATTCTAAGTAATTAATGAACAAAAAGAATGCTTATGCTTTACATATTAGAAGTTCAAACAAGAATAGGTTTGCTTACCATTTAATCCAGCTGTAACAAGAATGTGTGGATAATTCTGTGCCCTCACCTGCATAAATGAGAGAAACGTTAAAAAATATCAATTCCCCGAAATCATTTCATACGACAGAAAAAAAAATTGCTCTGACAGAAAAACAATGATAGCTAATGAAGGTTACAGGCCATCAAGCAGAGCCATAAGGTTCTCACGTTATCAACGGGGGAATATGATTTCATGTAGAAGTAGAAATCCTCCTTCCTAGGATCACCCCATTCCTGCAGTAACATAAGAAAACCATCTCATTTGCCAAAAAGAAAAACAAGAGAAATCGCATCATAGATATTCTGTGAACTTGCTTAAATAATGAAATTCAAGAATTTTATTAGCCCATACGAAATAAAGACCCACAAAATTATAATAATCGCTGTTCTCTGAATAATATCGGTGGCTGTATAATGCTCTTGTTAATAACAGTATAAAAGCTGAATGGCTGGCACCACAATAAAAAAAAGCTTCATACTTATTAACTGAGATCTTTTTGACAAATAATATGAAAAAATGTTTAAACAATTTTACTGGCCTAAGGCCCTAGAAAAACAAAAAATATAACACGTGGACATCAGGTAGTGACCATGCATAAATCAAATAGGGAAAACAATATTTCTGAGATAAAATTAGAAAGGAGAAAAGATCTGGTAAGAACCACGTAAAAAAAACAAAGAAAAATGACAGGGTGCACAACATGGTTGAAAAAGATTAGAGTATATAATGAGAAAATTTTTGTAGAAGTAATTTCTCTAAAGACATGTTTTTAGGGTAGTATTCATTGGGTAAATATATGCCAATGCATCTTTGACAGTTACGTTTTCACTGAAAGTGATATTTTCGTAGTCTTCCTGGGCACAACCATAAGCACATTCTACTTTCAGCTGTAATTAATTGACATAATCATTGAAAATATGTAACCGAGAAAATCTACTTTCTAGAATCCAATTAACCAATATTCAATTGTTTTCAAGTCTCAATATTGAATAGCAGACTAAAAGAAAAAAATCACCTCCCATTCTGAGGTAGTGAGAGGAATAGTTGGATCAAGCATTGTTGTCACAACATCCACAAAAGGTACTCCAGCAACAGCAGCCTTGAATAAGTCTGGTCTCATATTAAGAACTGCACCAATTAGCAGACCCCCAGCACTTCTTCCATTAATGCACAGTCTTTCTTTAGAACAGAATTTTTTTTCAATTAAATACTCAGCACATGCAATAAAATCAGTGAAAGTGTTCCTTTTCTTCAACAGCTTCCCATTCTCATACCACTGCCTCCCCATCTCACCACCTCCACGTATATGAGCTATTGCATATATAAAACCTCGATCTAACAAAGAAAGCCTTGCTGACTTGAAACTGGGATCTATGCATATCTGTTGAAAATGTGAGGTCACTAAACTATAGACTCTAGAACAATTAGGAGACAAGCTCAAAGGATAAAGACCAGATTCACGAATGGAAAACCTTTATAACCAAAGAAGCAGACTGACAAACAAATAATGCCCACTGCCATATATCAGAAGGAATATAAAAATAAATAAATCACTATATTTATTGAACAATTAACGGCACAAAGAACTTAGAAACCTATTGATGAAACAGTCAATAAAATCCGAGCAGTATAAAAAAGGATGCTCAGGCATAAAAGCATCTTGCACTCACTAAAACAAGATAAGACAAAGATAAAAGTACGTCTTAGTTCTGATAAGATTTAAAAATTTGTGTTTAGCAGATGCAGAAAAAGGAACAAAAAATTTCAATCCTATTTGGAAGTACGATTTTTCCTTCTAATTTCAGGTAATGAGCATTGAACACTAATTGAGATGCAGCATCAACTTTATCTATTATCCAATTTAAAAATCAGAGCATAGAACTCAAAATTGGCATTTCTATATGCAATTTAATTCATATAAACTTTTATTCTTCTTTTACCTCATATGACCCATAGCCATAAAGTAGTAATGGATCTGATCCATCAAGTTTCACAAGATCTTCTCGGTAAACAATTGATATGGGAATCAAAGTTCCATCAGAAGCACGTGCCCACTGCCTTTCAGTGACATAACGTGTTGCATCAAAGCCTCCCAGAACCTGAGCAAAATAGGACCAATACAGCCACGGAGAATAATTAAACAAGACCCAAGAAAATGAAGAAAACCTACAACAACAATAGAAGCAATTACCTTAATTATTCATATTAGTACCGAACACCTTTTCAAACCTAGCTTTACATGTTCACCCTACTTACCATACCCCTAATAACATGAATATTAGATCAGATTGCACTTTTAAAAATGTTGAATTAAACATCAATCCAGCGCTTCAAATTAAAATTGAGACCACGTCAATTATGTCCCCCGTATTACAAAAATATAGCAAAATTTAGTCCATGACTTTAACAATTATCAATCAATGCGGTCCCTAAAATTGGCATCACTGGTCAATTTGGTCCTTATGATTATGAACCAAATCAATCTAGTCTCAGAATTTGACAACCATCATCAATTAATCCTTAAATTTGATAGCTGTCAATCACTTTGGTCCCCAATACTGATGCATACCCAAGTTTGGGACTAAATTATTTTTTCTCATGAGTCAAGGACTGAAAAGAATGATAGCTGTCAAAGTCAGGGATCAAATTGACAAGACCAAATGTCAAGAACAGAAATAATTGACAATTACTCATTTTAAGGATTAAATTTCATTTTTGAAACTTTAGGGATTAAAATGACTGGTGATTATAATTTTAGGGACCAAATTAATGTATTACTCCAAAAATATTGGTAACTCAACCATCATCATAGACTCCGAGAGTTCCATTCACTTTTCACACCTCAAATTTTAAGTCAAAATTTAGCATTTCATATGCTGTCTTTCCAAATCCATCAAACATCAGTAAACACAGAAGAAAATAATGACTCAAATATGAAATAAAGAATCACTCATGGAATAATGAAAAAACCAAGTTATAAATCCAGAAAGCATGAAAATTTTAAGAAACACAGGTCATGCATAACGTAACAAAAGAACAAATTTATGTGATACCAGAAAGAAGCACTTCAACAAACAAGAATTATAAGCCTTGCATATAACATTATAACCATGATATGTACACAACAAATGCTTAAAACTGAAGTAAGACCAGATGCAAAATTGAACAACTTAGGAGTTTAACTACCCAATTAATTTAACTTACCGAATCAATCTTCTTCAAAACTGAAACACCTGCCTTCATGTCATAATCATATACAGAGGAGGGAGTCCTCAATGAGCTATATGAAAACCGTAAAATACTTGATGAAAACTCTGACTCTGAAGATTCCACTGAGTATACTGGATCAATAAAACTAACCGCCTGACCGCTTTCAAGGCTCTTTAGTGGTTCACCAATAGGTGGAAGGTGATAAACTGTTATTTTTTGTAGACCATCTTCTCTCTCGTACGCAACAAGATGATCACTAAAAAGTTTTATCTCCTGAATTTTAACACTAAAGAAAATTCCATGTAAGTTAGGTGAAAGAGAAAGATACACGCTCTCCAAGAATTTCTACTGTTTACATTTTATTCATGTTAACAGTTTTGGATGCTAAGAGATGATAAGAATCATCATGTGACAGCAAATTAGTTCACTATAAAATGCAATGGTACAAAACACAACATAGGGTTAATGGAAATGGGCCTGCAGATTTTTAAGTTAATTGTCCAGAACCAACTCTCATACAAGCTTGATAGGCTTATTTCAACTCATCCTAAAATTTAATTTATGAAGAGCATGGATAGCAAGGATCAAATGCTTGACTACTTGCTCATATCTCATGGGATCTAAAACTGTGTTAAAAAACAAATCATCAAATGCTTCACTGATATTTTACATCCTTGAACACACTATGCAATGACCTCCACATTCACTAGTCAAGTCACAAGATCATTATAATTCATTCAATATTATGGCCCAAAATGAATGAAGCAATTGAGCAATGATACAGAAATTGAATTACCTTTCCCTGTGGGGAATAAGATCTATAGTTGAGGTCGTGTTATGTACAGCACAAGCTACAACCTCTGAATTGAAAAACTGATCACTTCTCCTCTTAATAAAGAAATGATCTCCACGATGGCTGACACTTGTGTCAATACCATCCACACGTGGTGTCAGAACTTTAAGACCCTCTTCAGGCTTGGAAACATCCAGATAAAAATTGAATCTTGTATTTTTACTCTCTGATGCAACAAACAAATATTTCTTGCTCTCTGAAGCTTGAAGATCGAGAGAAAATGTATTGTCCTTTTCCACATAAAGACAAGTATCCTTTGATTGCTCTGTTCCCAACAAATGAAACCATGCCTACATCACTTAAGACGTTAGCATAACAAGTAGACAATTAAAGGTGTAATGATCTAGAGATGTGACATCAAAAAGGAAATTGGTTGCAGCACAAATGTCAAAGTAAACATTGTAAGTATATTCAGATGCCATGTTGGAGCAATACTTGCTCGTGGCACTTGTTTCAGCCTTTGGGGGAAAAGGCAATTTTATGATATAGATTTTTTTTTTTTCAGAAACTACTATTTTTAACTTACGATAAAAGCACAATTTTAAATTAAAAATGCATTTTTCTTCTTTGAAAAAACAAACAATTGAGATCTCAATCAATCAAAACCTTGTGTCTTAACAATGAATCAAGCAGAAAACATTTAGCATCACTGCCACATTGAATCACACAGTAACCACAAATCTCATCTTCCAGTTTTCAGCATCTTTATCTGGCTAAATTAACTTCTAATTCTATTTGGCCAATTTCACTCCTCATCAGATCGAAATATAAAATGCCTATCCAGTGGTTTTGGATGTGAGAATTTGGTAGACTGCAGCTAAGATGGTTTGGAAATATGAGAAGAAGGCCAAGAAAGCTTCAATTAGAAGTGTTGATAAGATGGAAGATTGTCCAATATTTAGAGGTAGAGATAGATCAAGAGGAGTGAAATCAATAAACATGATCTAAAATTAAATGGTCTCACTGAAGAGGTGGTTTTGGAGTTTGGCCAGAACACAATGGTGTCATTTGATTCATATAGCTGATTCCACCAAGTGGGGGAAAAGACACTGGTTGTTGCTTCTGTTGTTGAAAAATAAATCATAAGAACCAAATATGTCAATACTGAGAATAAAGGAGTATCAACCACCTTGTCAGGCCTGAGAATCTCATCCATTGTGATATAAACTAAAGCATCATCTCCAGCCCATTCAAGGTATGCTGTTACACCAACAAGGGGCTCTCCAATTGGAGCTTGAGTCTCAGCATCAATGACATAAACAGTATATATTTCATCTCCTTTGGTGTCTTCTGCATATGCTACTAACTTGTTATTTGGGCTAACCTGAAAAGAAATGAAGTTTGAAATAAAATAAAATCATGTTGGGACATGGAAGCCAGGAAATAAAACAGACAAAAGTCAGAAAAAAAAATCATAGTAATGAGATGGTCTAACCTCAAAAGCACCAATACTGTAGTATTTGTGATGTTGTGCCTTGACATTCTCATCCAAAATTACATGCTCCCGAGGAGCTTCAGGTCCTGAGGGCATGGTGTCGTACACAGATGGCACCTTTTGGCTATCAGATATAAGGCGCCTACAATGTTGAACATATTCCTTCCCTTCCAAAGTTCTCTCGTAATAGTAATAAGGCCCTTTGCGTAAGGGTGCAGAGATATCATCCTCCTTAATCCTTCCTCTTATCTCAGAAAAAAGCTTATCTTCAAGTTCCTTAGTTTCTATAAAATTAAAAAAATGTGCATAATTTTCTCTGGTAATTTAAAGAGATTTCCTTGAAAAGTGTGTGTAGGCATGTATGCACTATACAGATACAGCAACAGGATTCCTAACTCTACACCTTGCAGCCATAGAGCTTTTACTCTCTTTATGTTTGTTTCGTTTAACAAAGATTTCTTTCCATATATTGCATGCGAAGCGAACAAAAGACTGCCCAATAAGGTTATATCCAACTCATTACCCATCAATCTCCAACTTGACTAGAAGAAGAAACTATATAGACCTGGATGCATCCGATGGTGACATAGTTTCTATAGAGCAAATTATATTATTTATATATTCACTACAAACATGGAGCAAATTATATTATTTGTAATTTTCCTTGCTTTCATAAAATTGCCACCCTATACTTTTTGTCGATATTGCACCTTAATCTAGCCTACAGGTAGTCAACCCAAAAGACTAGTGCATAAATGTTAAGACTTGAGAGAGAGAACCGTTGAGTTTCTTATTCTACTCAATCTTCGATTCATAACAGTATCATTTTTAAGCATAAAAACAAAATACACAGATAAATCACTGTATGTTACTTCAACGAGACCTGGTCTGTTTGCCTATACTATTGCTTTATACTAAGTAAATCCAAACTTGCTTACAGTGTGCTACACTGCGATTCTTGAGCCGATAGTGTTCTCAAAAAAATAAGAAAGGCGAAAGAAAGATAGGATTCGCACCGGACATGATGGAATCGGTGTAGGCATTCTCCTGGCGGAGGTAGGAGAGCACTTCAGGATTGGAGCGGGAATCGTCTCGGAGCCAATAGTAGTTGTCGATCCTCACGTCGCCGAACATCTCCAGCACGTGCTCCACCTTCTTCGCCACAGGAGGAAGCGGAGACTGAGACTGCACCGGCGAAGTCATCGGCGATTCGGTAGCGAAGAGACGGTGCTGGCGGTGGTGATGATTATGAGAGAGGGATACGGCGGCGGAAGGAAAAGAAATCGCGGAAGAGAGGACAACGGTAACGGTTAGCGGAACGCAGAGGAAGCGACCGAAGTGTAAGCGGAGATTTTGAAGTACCATTACTTTATTTTTTCGTAATTTATTAATCTACTCGCTTTTTTCTTTTTCTTTTTCTTTTTCCTTTTCTTTTTTATATTTTATTTTAAAATCTATTGTTTTGGCACAGGAAGAGGAACAAAAGCGTTCATTGCTCTCATAGACTCATACTTGTTCCTTTCTACACTAAAACCGTAGTGCTAAGTCTAAGCTATGGATATGGTACCCTTTTCCTCACCCTTCTCTTCTTTCTATGCCTTCGTGGCCGAGCGTAACTGCCAATGGAGTACAAACACGTGCACGCACTAAAAGATAATCATATATAATATTCTATAAGGTTTATTTTTTATTTTTATATTGAACTAATAATAAAAATCATTGTGTTAATTTACACTAACAATATAATATACTCAAAAATGTGTTTATTTAAACATTCCTTTTTAGTGTACAGAATTATTAAACACAGGTATTGTTATTACAACTATATTCGATAAGCATTTGAGTTAGCTTATAACTTATTTTATTTTTTTATAAATTTATTTATCTCAAAATAAAAATATTTAATAAACACTTATTTTACTAATTTATAACGGAATTCTCTTGTTTTAATACTAGGTCTTAATTAACTCATTGTGTTTAATAATTTGTTAGATGAAATATTTTATAATTAACTACTATTTTTAAAAAATTTAATAAATAAAATTATTTACAATTTTTTTAAATGATTTGATTCCTAAATAAATTATAACATATAATATAATTTATTTTTTTATTAAAAATTAACTATAACATTGTATATTTATAGATGTTTAATTTATCTAAAATTTAACATATGTGTTCATGAACATAAAAATATACAATAACGGCAGAATAAAATTCAATGTACATAAAAAAAAATTATTACGTAAAATGAATAACTAAGGCTTACTTCTGTAGTAAATCAATTCCATCATTACTAATTTAAAACATTTTTATCTTAAAATTGAATTTATATAACTTATATTTTTTTTATCTTTATTTTAATAAAATTATTTGTGTGTCACTTCTTTTAATATTATGCTATTTATTTCAGTTATTACACAGTTTAACTTTTTTTCAGTATAACATTTTATTCTGAAAAATGATTAGAATTCAAAATTAATTAAAAACTTTAAACTATAATTACTTAAAATTGTATTTTTGCCAGTAAAATAGAATATATATATATATATATATATATATATATATATAAAAATCATAGAAGCATACTTTTTAACGTCATTCTATATTTCTCAATTGATTTAATAGATAATTTTATTAAATAATCTTTATTTAATCATTTAGGTTAACGTGGTCAAAATTAGTTTTCTTTTCAAGTAGCTTACTATTCTTGCTAAATATGTTCCACATGTTATTATCATCTTTAATAAAAGTTGAACTTGTGTGTATTAGTAATGTAAAAACTATTAACTAATTAAAATACATTATAAATGTTATATATATATATATATATATATTCGCTAATTTTATAAATTTTATATTTAACTTATATCAATTATTATAAAAAATAAATAATTTATTAAAGTGCCAATTGTAATTAAATGATAATATAAAAATTATATAATTTAAATTAAATTCATTTAATAATACGTGTTTGCAAATTATATTTTCAAGAAAAGAAAAGAGAAAATATATACAATACAAATCCTCAAGCATTGCAAATAGTTAATGTTAATTCCTGATTTTATAAGAGAATGTTTGTTTAGCGTTTCACTTCTGCATGGATTAGAATGCTTGACTCATATAATCATAATAACTAATTAAGAAACTAATCAATAATAAATACGAAAAGACAACAAAAATTTAGTGCTCGAACATTTAAATAACCAATATTTAACTAACAATTAAAAATGGATTGAACCTATAAAATCACTTAAAGATAGAAGAGAATGTGAAATGATTTTAATAATAATAACAGCAACAACTTATATTTGATTTGTATTTTCAATTAATGTTGGGAAAAAGCAGTGTGAAGCAAAAGGTAGTTTGAGATGTGTTGACTCCTTTCAACGAAACCAAACCTATCATCATACACAGCAAACCCGTGCCTCTGCTCTTCGTCGTTCGTTGCCCAAACCGAAACGAATAGTGAACACTGGACACACATGGATTTGGACCGGTGGATCTCCATGGTCAAAGATGGCCAACATCTTCTCGAAGACGAGCTTCAACTTCTCTGCGAATACGTATCTTCTTCCTCTTCGCTCTCAAAAACGCTCTCGTGCCTCTGTTCTTTCCTTATTTTAAACAACATAGGAATCTGATCTGAGTCTTTGGTTTTCTTGGACCAAAGTTAATTGGATTTTTTAAATTCTTGCATTGTTTCTCTTCTGTATTTCAATAAATTGTTTTCTTTCTCTTATGCTAATCGCCTAATCACTTTGAATAGCTTTTACTATGCAACAACGGTGGCCAATAGTTCTGTGAATCGGAGTTTGGACTATTGGCACTTCTAGTAGCCTGTGAAGAAAATATCATAGTTAATTACTGCATCAAATCATGGGCCAAACTTAATTCTCAACTCAAGTTGCAAGGGATGCTCAGCCTTATACTGAAATCCTGCAGAAAACAATAATATTTTCAAATGCATATTCTTTTATTTTTATTGGAGCCATAACGATTTTTTTCTTTTTCAAATGCCTCAGGTAAAAGAGATTCTTATTGAGGAGTCCAATGTGCAGCCTGTCAATAGTCCAGTAACTGTTTGTGGTGACATTCATGGTCAATTCCATGATCTAATGAAACTTTTCCAGACCGGGGGCCATGTGCCTGAGACAAATTATATTTTTATGGTAGTTGCTACACTTTTGTTCATTAAACTTTGTTGATTTGGTACCTCCTTTTGGAGTTCTATGTTTTCCTAAATGCATGGCAGGGAGACTTTGTTGATCGAGGTTACAATAGTCTTGAAGTTTTCACCATCCTTTTACTTCTAAAAGCTAGGTATGTTCTTTTCATGCATGCTTGCACCTGTCTTGACTCTTGACTTGCTGCTTTATATGCGCTGTTATCATCATCACTTGGTATCTCTCCTAGCTTTGCAGGCATTTAAGAAGAGTTTTAAGATTATTGGTTTATTATTCTCCCATAATATCAAAATGCCTATGATACTTCCAAACTTTCTTTCATTGCTCGCACGCTTGACTTTGGACAGTTTACATCCATTTGCTACTGGTGCTATTTTTTGAATTATCAGATGGATGATCAAGTATTAGTTTTAAATAGTTTACTTCTATTTAGTTTTTTTTTTCCTATGGCGCTTGTCCTTCCCATATGAAGTTTATTTATTGTTCTCTTTTTGTACTCAACTCCTACTTAGGAGCTACTATAATTGTGTTTTAATTTTTTTGGATTTAGACTGTTTAACCCCCTGGTACTGTGGTGTACAAAAGGAGGGTAATAGAGGACTTGTGTCTCTTTTAAGAAATGAAGGAAATATGTATGACTCATTTTGGGAATCTGAAATATAACCAACCTGTGCACTTGGTAGTTGGTGTGGGGACAGCTGGGTGTCAGTTAGCATTAGATAGGAGGTAGAGCTGACAGAGAGGTAGGCAAATTGCAAGTAAGGTTTGGGAAGGGTGGAAGCAAACCCTTGAAGTGCTAGCAGTATTTCTACACTTATTTTGTGTCAAGGGTTATTTTGTGCTGTGTCTCTCTTATTGGAATTGAGAACTATTCACATTTTCTGTAATCAGATGCTTGAGTCCCTATCATAGTCCATATACAATTTAGCTTGCATTTCAAAATCTTTTGGTTGCTGATATTTTTTTATTTATTGGTACTCCTACTAAATATAATGGATGATAATTATTTGGTTATTTTCTCTTTTTAATTAATCAAGGAAACTTTAGATTCAAATTTCAAATAATGAAAAAAAAAAATTGGAAGTATAAAATATCATCTGAAACAGAGAAAAAAACAGTCAAATGTAAATAATCAAGAATGCAGTGACGGTTTTCAGTTTCTCTGCATGTGAGAGATAGAAACTCCCTTGAAACAGCCATAAATAGAGAACCAGAGAGCAGCTGCTAACAGAGTTCAGTTGCAAAGCAAATCTAGAGGCAAAGAGACACTGGCATTCTGTTCCCACCAAAGACACTAGAAAACCGCAAACACCTCTCTTGCCAACCAAAAAACTTTTCAAATGAACCATGAGAAACTGTCTGTTGGTGAAGGACACTGAACACGTTGAATATTCACTCCAGCTCACCAAACAGGTTATGTCAAAGTAGTTTGCCTTGTCAAGAAAAGAACAATATTTAGATTATACATCACTAATAAATGATGCTTACGGCATTCATGCAATTATTGGTTTCTTCTCCATGGAAAGAATAAAATTGATTTTGAGACTTCCAAATTTTTCCTAAAACATATTTACAAGTTATACCAAGTCCCAACACACTGCTTACTCCCAAAAGTGATTTGTACTGGTGAAATCTGTTAAAGGCACAAGCTGTTACATAGACGGCTCACTTGGCTGTTCTCTGAACACTGTCTACAACAGCTTAAATGGCACCTGTAAACAGTGGTTGATTTCAACTTCCTAGTGGTTGTAAACATGTATATTTCATTGATCATGTTTGAATTTCAAATGCTAGGCGATGATAAAGTATTTTTCTGCATTTCATTCCTGTTGCACTTTCATTTGCTTTATAGTCAGCTGTGTGATTCTCATATTCTTATTTACTTCTTTTTTCCTTTTAAAATTTACACATCCTTTTATTTCTGTAATTTCATAGATACCCAGCTAATATTACCCTTTTACGTGGAAATCATGAAAGTAGACAATTAACCCAGGTACGCTTTGTGAATGAAATCATGATATTAATTATTCTAAACTTGTTTAATTTTATATATTTTTATTCAAACAGGTTATGCAACCGAGGAGGGGTCTGTAAAATATTTCTGAATCATGTCAGTCTAGCATGGTAGTTATAATCTTAAGTGTTATTAATGTAATTATATACATGACTTAACTGCTTGCTAATTGTAGTGATGCCACCTTACTTAATTTTTCAATATTGCTAGTGTTGTTGAGTTCACTGAGGTAGGTTTACTTTCAGGGACCAATAATTGCAGATGTCTCAAATATTAGATTTTTCTGAAATTGTGATCAAAGTTTGAGGATGGTTGTTTAGGATGAAAATGGCTAGGAAAACTAATCAGTTTATGAATCATTAAGGCTCTTGTCTTCTGTGCATTTAAATTTGAGATTGAATAAGGTAAGTAGTAGCCAGGTCTGTGCAGAGGGATGTGACCTCTGATAGTTGATGGCTTTGGTGGGCTTCGTTAATTGATTTGGTTACCTGATTTTTTTTTCTTGGCCAGTATGACCACTGACCACAGACTCTACACTTTAAGGCAAAGAGTAAAAATTGTCTTTGATATTGCAGAACAACATATTTTACCTTGCCTCCTAAAGACTAAAGGTGTAATTTTTTTGGTTTTTACAGTATGTGCTCACTTGATATTTCTAGATTGTCGGTGATGTGCATCATCATTATTTGACAGTTGAGGTTATGAATAAATGGACCATATACAAAATAGCATTGCATTGGTGTATTTTAGGCCCCTAAAGTTACTTTAGAAAGAAAAGGGGTTGCAGCAGGTGATTTAATTCCTGCATGGGCAATTATGAAAGGTGTAATCACTTGTTACCTGCTGCATGTATGGCAGCAGGGAGCATGGGGCCTTCACTTGGATTTGGAATAGTGCAAAGGAGAGGGAGGCAGGAAAGCAGAAAGAGGTAGGGATAAATTGAGTAGTAAGAACTGGGACTAGGTTATCAGTTTTTTGGTCTGTTTGAGACTGTTGTAATTTTTGTAACTGCATTCATTCTCTATTACTGGTATCACCTAAATATCATCACCAGAGGACAACTATTGCATAATAAATCAATAAAATATTGCTTGATTTTTCAGTTGCTATCAGTGTGCGCAGGTTCTAATTATAAAAGGTATAGTTCTTAGTAATCATGAATTATGTCAGGAAATGCAAGGGCCACAATAAAGTATTTACCAGTATATGTAATTGGATATATTAAAAAGCAAGTGAATTTTCCTGGCAAAGAGATTATTATGCAACCTTGGTTGAAAAGTTCTTGTTGATGTACATGATGGTAAGCCCCTAAGAGGTATAGGCAAGGGAAATTGCAAATAAGCTGTGGTGGTGGTGGTACTAAACCTTATTTCTGATAATCCATTTTGGATTCTGACCCCTATCCATAGATGGATTGATAACTGTAATAAAATGAAAAGTCTGTTGACTATTAATTTGATTCAGTGGTTTTGAGAGTCAAGAGACTTATGAGATATTATTCTCATTTTGTTTTCTTTTTCCTCCACTACTGTTTTAAAATATGTCAATTTATGACTTTCTAATGCTAGATTTCATAATGGAAATATGAATTGTGGAAATGCTAAGACCATAAATGCCAAAATGTCATGCTGATTTATGTTAATTTTGTAATTTACTGTTTTGCTAGGTCTATGGATTTTATGATGAATGCCAGAGGAAGTATGGCAATGCCAATGCTTGGCGGTATTGTACAGATGTGTTTGACTACCTAACACTTTCTGCTATTATTGATGGAACAGTAAATATCTTTTACTCTCTCCCTCCCTCCGTCTTTCTATACCCCACGTGCCTTTTTGCATCTTGGTGAATAGCTTACCGAATTTATTTGGCTTCTGCTTGAATGGTGCTTGCTCAAAATTAAGTCTTCTACATGTTATGTTTGACGCAGGTGCTTTGTGTTCATGGTGGCCTCTCTCCTGACATTCGAACAATCGATCAGGTCCTCTAGCTCCCTTAATTGTTGATCAAACATTATTTCTAAAACTTAGACTCTAGCTTCACAGATATATTATTTGTCCAGATGTCTGATTATGTATTTTCAAAAGATTATGCAATTATCAATGTGCACATTTCTCCATGATGCAATCCTTTTAAATGCCCATCCATGCCCTGTCTGTGGATACAACATAAGGACAGTCAATTTATATATTTGAATGTTTCTGAATTTATGATTCTTCTTGACTCAATTTTCATGATGTGAAATGTCTCTTTAAATTAGTTTACTGGTCCCTTCCCCATGATTCCTGCGCTTTTTAGACTTTATAGAGGAAAATGAACAGTTGATGCATGTATATTTCATGTTTTTCGTTTGACTTCAGAAAACCTTCAATGCTACCGTTTGATAGTTTGTTTGAATTACTTCTTAAATTTTGTCAAACATATGTTCGGAGCACAAAATTGCCTTACTTTTTTAATAACCAAAATAATCAAGCACTTAATTGTTAGTAGAATCACTACTCTATTGTGTATAAATGGAATATTGTTTTCGCTAGTTCTCTAAGAGAATAATCAAGTATCTTTGTTAAAAGGTATTAATAAACTTTTAGTGCAGATACGTGTGATTGAACGGAATTGTGAAATTCCTCACGAGGGTCCTTTTTGTGATCTAATGTGGAGTGATCCTGAAGATATTGAAACATGGGCAGTCAGTCCCCGTGGAGCAGGTTGGCTTTTTGGATCCAGGGTCACTTCCGAGGTAATGTAATTAAGTTGTTAATTACTTTTAAAATGGAATATTATGTTTTAATCTTACTAATGAATTTTTTTCATGCAGTTCAATCACATAAATAATCTTGATCTTGTTTGTCGAGCGCACCAACTCGTTCAAGAAGGCCTCAAGTATATGTTCCAAGATAAAGGACTTGTAACTGTATGTTGTTTCTTGTATGAATTAAATTAATTTAGTTTAATTGCACTTCTAATCTTCGTACTTTAGCCTACATGTGATGTTAGTCTTATTTATTCTAATTGTTTGCATTTAGTCTTCATTTTTTTACAATTTTTACAGTTAAGCATTTCTTACCTCAAATTCCATCCAATAATATATGTAAATGTAATAGAGGTATGATGTAACATTAATTTGTATATAATGACAAGAAAAAAGTATATAAAAAATCTAAATAGAAATACAAAGCAAAAAGTAGCTTTGTTTACATATTATATGTTTTTATTTAAATATTTTGTACATTTTCCTTTGTCAATGCATAATGACTCGTCACATCTTAGTTACATTTCTATATTGGATGGAATGTAGGAAAAGAACTTAATTTTAACAATATGGAAACTATGAAAACATGGTTGGAATTAAAACTACAAAGAGACCAAAATCATAAATAGATTAAAGTATGAGGACTTAAGGTGAAAGTAAATCTAAATTTTATGTAACTTCCAATCTCATGAATATTGAGTGTTCAATAGAGTCGCCCTTGGAATTTTGCAGGTGTGGTCTGCACCTAATTACTGTTACCGATGTGGAAATGTAGCTTCTATTCTGAGTTTCAATGAAAATATGGTGAGTCGTCTGAAGCTTTTGCTGTGTCTAAATCTATTCTCATGATAATCCCGGTTACTACATCATTTGGTCTTCATAATATAATGGTCCTTCTCTTTTTACATCTCTCATTTCTGGAAAGATATTTACAATCAAATCGTAATGAAATTTAATCTTGTATTTTACCTGGAAGAAATTTTCCGTTAACTATTGCTCCATTTTTTCTGTAATGTGTTGGGGATGCCCAGGGATAATAAATGCAATCCTGCATGTCTCCATTGTTTACCGGTAGCTAGTTTTGGAACTACTTAATAATATAATTGCCATGTGACAGGAAAGAGAAGTTAAATTTTTCACTGAGACAGAGGAGAACAATCAGATGAGAGGGCCCAGAACAGGCGTTCCATATTTCTTATAACTCGGTTGTTTTTGTTTCAATTTATTGTAAAATTATTGATATAGTAAATGGCTTTAATATCATGACATTGATAGTCATGTACTAGTGTTCGGCCTTTTAAAGGTGGACCTTGTTGGTTACATGCTTACCAATCCAGTTATATCTTAACATTTGGTTGCTCGGGGGTTGACCCAAAAAAAATAAATTTGGTTGCACGGATAATTTTATATTGAAATTGGTTTTTATGTTTAATTATTATTAAAAATTATATATATTTGAATATAATTTTCAGAACATCTTGGCATACTTTTAAAATAATTTTCACCGTCTTAAAATATATTGTGAAAATCAATCAATTTAATAAGTGAAGTTAATGTAAATTATACTTCAGTCCTAATGTTTTATGCATTCGCAGCTTATTATCTAAACCCTTGTGTTGCTAAATTCTCTACAATTTGAGTCAAATATCATAACATTAAAGTGCATTTAATCTTAACAGGAGATATCATATTTGTATCAACTTTTCTTTTTATATTCAGTCTCTTAGAGTGCATTAAAAAAAAAAACTTTTATAACTCTAATCGTACTAACTGTATGTTTACATTTTAAATTGTGAGAAACAGAAAAAATATATATAAAACATTTTTGTCATGATAACAACAAATGGTAGAAAAAAAAAATAGTCAACCATTTTCAAACTCCCAACAGAAATCAGAGAAATAAAAGTAGATGAGCAAATAACGTATGACCTTAAACATGCATTGAATAATTCTCATGACTAGAAAATTATAATATAACAACTGTGGGATGAAATTGGACAGTAGCGAAGAAAATGGCATGATAGTATAGATTGAGGATGAAATTAATGTGTATTCATTAATATTTCACATGGTAAATTTATGTCTACGATGTTTGCACTTCAACATAAAACAGTCATCTCTCGTAACTCAATTTTAGTATTCCTTAGGCCTACCCATGATTAATATATTTCCGAATCATGCAAGATCAAATTTATAAATTTATACAGGAAGTACTTCGAGTGCCTCTATTATAGTAATAAGGTAAAGATTTTAACTTTAAAAAATGAGTGTGCATCAATTATTTAATTGGTCCCCCTAATTCAGTTCCTTCCTGGCAAATTTCATTTTGCTTTACACACATTGAAAGTGTTAAAGATGAGATGGTTAAGGAGTTTGGAGATTGATGTAGAGCGAAGCTAGATTTAAAGAAGACAGAATTTAAAAAAAGTTCCATTCAAAACTTTTGAAAATGAAGTCAACGTGTGTGAAATGAATGTTGTATGAGACAACAGAGGGCATAATCATAGAAAGTTAAATAAACTTGGCAGAAGAGCTATGAGATCGGAAAAAAACTAGGTGACGGGAATGGATGGCTCTTTGTGTAGGACTAGGTTTAGGTATCGGAGAAGGCAACCGTTAACGATTATTCATGTCAAGTTTACAAAATGTCGCAAAACTGGAATAACTCTCGAGTGTTTTTTAAATTAAATTTTATTGAAATATAACAAAATTATTAATTCTTGTTTTTTTTTACGATAAAAAATTATTAAAATTATAATATAAATTAATTCATATTTTCTCATTTTATTTAAGACAAATATTTTTAAATGAAAATAAAATTAAAAAATTCTAATTTTTAAAAAAATATATGATTACAACTTATAAATTAAAAATTAATGGTGTTGTTGTCAATTATTTTATATTTATCAGCTAATTTTATTAGACATCTTTAATTTAGTCAACTAAATTTTTAACTTTTAACTTTCAAGTAGCTTATTTGTTAATTCTACCAAATACATCCAATATATAATGATTTTTTATTAAAATTTATTTGATATAGTAATAACTTTAAATACTACAATTTTTAATAAAAAAATTTACTATTTGTTGATTTTTATTGTGTGCAAAGCACACGTTAAAAATTCGTTTAAAAGAATTATAAAAGTGATTGTTTTGGTAAATGTTGCAACATTCTCACACATATCATTCCTAAAGTTGCACCATTCCAAACGATTCGGCCATTTTATTCTCATAATTGTTAGGAAAGGTTTCATTCCTTAAAATAAAATGTAAATCGAATATCATGGCCTATCCTTTTGTGGCTTTTCCCAACGCCCAGCACCAACACATGAATTGCAAAACCATGTTATTTCTCCAACTTCTCTTTCTTTCCAAGGAACATAAGACAATGCATTAGTTCTCAAACTATCTTAATTACTCCAATACCATTACATTGAAAACAACGATATTCAGAGTTAAAATAGAAAAATGAATTAAGAAAACATAAATTCTACTTCCTACCATATTCTAATGCCTCTGACAGTATGACTATGAACCTGAGTCCTCTTAATGTATGCTTTGTTAACTCAAACCCGGTGGGAATCTTCAGTGAGTTTATTGCAATAATCTTTCATTTCAACAAAGGGTCGCTCAATGTAGCTTCTAAATATGCACATGGCTCCAAGGATACATCTTTTCACTTTCGTAGCAAACTAGAAATCAGATCATGAAGTTTCATCTTCCACGTTCAATATTTATTTCATCTAGTCCAGATGCTCATTTCAACCCACTCTAGAAATTTTCTTCCATGTTTATGCAAGTTATTTTATCATAGCACATTATATGAGAGTCAATAGAGCTATACATTCCCCTTGCATTTGTTTTACAGAGGCAGATTTTTAAAGCCAGCTTCAAATGAAAATATTTCAGCAACATGGATGCACTCAAAATTTAGATTCTCAAATTTTTATGACACTGGATTATTAGTGACAAGAGAAGGGAATATTTTCTTGGGAATAGGCCATGCTATTCAAACAGGGTGGTTTGGCTGCGCCATAGTAGAAGAAAGCCATGATTTTTGACCACTCTTCTGCACTGCGAATTGCTGAGACACCACCAAATGGAAGTTAAGCAAAGTCAGAAGGAGAGGAACTAAGAAATGGGAAAGATATATTTTTTTGTTTATTTTTGGGGTAACATAGATCAATACCTTTTTCGCGGAATAAAATCTTGCCTGCTTTAGTGAAGATAATCTCTGGGAAGACAGACACTTGAAGTGCAGCAACCAGTTCAGTCTCAACAACAGCATCAATTGCAACACACTTTCATATGATATGTAACAGGATGTGAAGAAAAAAAAATTAGCTTTCTGATAAGGTAACAGGAACCAAAGGCAATAAGAGTTGACTTTACTAATTACTTACTCTTGGCGAGGGAAGTCTGCAGTTCCATATGATATGCACAGCCTTCTCTATTTCATCTCGAATTCTTTCATTCTCCTTTGGCCTAAAAATAAATTTAAAACTTGGCACTTTTATTTGATGCAAATATGATATGGAGCACTGAAACTTCATAACTATAATATCAAATTTCTTCTAGCAGGTCAAATAAATTAAAGGTTTAATTATAAATTTGATTTTTACACCTGAATTAATCCCCCCATCGAGTATATTAAATTTAATCCTTATTCTTATGCTTGATACGATTTTTTGTTTTAATATCTATATATATAAAAGAATTACATTTCATTTTGATCCCTCCATGTAAAAGTTATATATTTTGATCCTTAAACATGACATATAAAATACTTCAAATGGTAGAGACAAATTTCTAAAATTGTTTACACACAGATACCAAAACATAGGATTTTTTCATGCACGGACTAAAACCAAAAACAAGTTAAGTGTAGGAGCCAAAATTATAATTTAACCTAAATTAAATTACCTTAAAGTACTTCAGCTAAATTCTTAGGTTAATTGAACACAAGGTTGATAGTTTAAGAAAGGCCCCGTTAGAGCCCAGTTTCAAAAAATAAGGAAAATACCTGCATGCTCATGTGCATACAAACTATTATGATGGCTAAAGTTGTCTAAGAAGGTCCCAAGTGTAACATGAATATCAACTTTACAGCAAGCTCATAGGAACAAGCAAGAACAGATCAATTAGCATGCAGTTACTTAGACCCAAAGAAGAAAAGATGAACGGAAAACAAAAACAGATTTGGATAACTTTCCTTTAAGCATTAACCAATTAGCATTCAGCTACCTATGAAAACTGAAAACAATTATTGGGCTTAAATAAGTACATAATATTAAAAAGTGTATAACAGACAGAGATTAAATGTAGAAGTAGAGCAAACCTTTTATACCGATTGTGCACAAGAATAATCAAGGGACTTATGTCTTTGAATACAGTCTCTTCCCATTCAGCAGTCTTAATGTCTTTGATGGGGCGAATGTAATTATCATCTTGCCATTCTATCTCTTTATGATCAACATCAACATCATCATCATCCTTTTTTTTATTGTTTTTAATAGTAATTTTGTCAAAAAACTGGCCCAAGTTGAATCCCCACCCATCAGCATCTTCAGGCCAATCAGGATCATCCTCCTCCACAACAAGAGGGTAATTCTCTAGAAGCTTTTGCAGCCTCTTCTTCTTTTCAACAGGGTCTAACTCCTCTTCAACATCAGGTTTCATATCCAACACCTGTCTTATGTTCCTCCTCCATTCGAGTCTCTCTTCAAGACTCATAAGATAAGGGTCATTTCCATCAGAAGGAGGTGCTGCCTCATCCTCATCATCACTGTCACTAGAAGCTTCTCTTCCTCTCTTCCAATCAGCACCACCCGATTTCAGTGCTTCAACTCTTACTGCTCTTGTATCACCATCCTGTATGAGGCAAACAGAAAAGTTTATTCAGCTCTATTTCAAAGGAAATAAAAAAAACAATTAAAATAGCTAGGACAACAAATTCATGTACTTGCCAGCAAAGACAGGTTTGAGGGAAGGCTCAAATTCGAGAACTCCTTCCTAGGTTTCTGTCTGGGAATACAACGTGTGCCACAAAAAGACATGGGCATGCTAAATTTCCTCTCTTTAATAACCTTTGGTGAAGCGCAAGACTGAAAGGGCGCAGTCATGGAATGTCGCAGCGCCATTTCTTCAAGCAAAATAAAAATGCAACTGTTGGTGGATAAATGAAAACAGTTATGCGTATGAATTGGAAGTGTCACAGTAAAATATGATCCTTTGAAACTGAGAAAAACGAAGTAAAACAAAGTAGAACGATGGTTATAGTGTTGAGGTTAGAGAAGCGAATTAATGTGCTCACTACGCTGTTCCCTTATCTGCTTCTATTTGCTGTTTGTTGTTGAAAAAGGAACTGAAAATATTACACAGTTCAATTTACGACGACACTGCAAGCCCATTTGAATCAATGGGTCAAATAAATGGGCATTCACTACGGCCCAGATCGAGGGCCCATTCCAAAATAACAGAAAAATGACTGAAAGTTTTTCAGATCCAAAAAAGATTTTGCTAAAGCGAACAATTGATGTTGAACAAAAAACAAAGAACAATTGTTGAAAAAATATATATAAAAATCAAATTGAGTATAAATAATGGAAAAACAACTATTGCACAAAATGATAGATTATTTATGCATAATTAATCAAATACCTTTAAAAAGTATTATTCCAAAAAATATTTTTAATTTTCATATTTTAATTTATATATAATTTTAGTTTTCTCAATTCTACCTGTGCACTTTTAGTTTTTTTAAATTTTTTTTAATTGTTGATATTAAATCTCTTGTATAAAAATTTAGTTCAATAATAAATATATAATATATCATTAATTAATATATAAACTAAAAATTGTAATAAATGTTAAAAAAATTACAAATGAAATGTTTTATTGTTTAAAATTACACGAATTTAAATTTTATAAATAAAATAAAGAATTGCATGTGCTATTTTTTAAAGGAAAATTAGCATGTCATAAAAATGTAACCATAAAATATCTCACTAGAATTTTATTTTTTTTTACTTTTGAAAAATATTTTTTAATTTATAGAACATTATTTAATATAATTTATATTTTACAAAAGTTTATAAAAAACATGGGTTACCACTACGAGACAAGAAAAAGAAAAACGCGAGAGATAAACAGAAAATAAAAGAAAAACGCAACAACGTTGTCCCCCTTAATTCTGATCAATTCGAGGTCGGTAGCAGTGTGTTCCAAATTCATATTTAATTTTTTCGATAATTAGTTTCGGTTGTGTTTATCGATTTCGTTTTGAGGATTCTGTTTTCTTAATACTTCGAAGGTTGTAAAGTCGTAATTGAAACAGGAAAAGGGTTTTAGGAATGTAATGATCAATTTGTCGAGAAGATTTTTCGAAATTTTAAACGGTTTAATTTTATTATGCTTTTCCAGTGAATGAATGTTCCTTGCTTTAAATGTGTATGCAGATTAAGGGTTTAAAGCCATGGAAGAAACGTCGGGTTCAAGCGGTTCAGCAACAGTAATCAACTCTTCCAATATAGGATTTCAGGTACATTTTTTGTTCCTTTTTATCATTATGTTCCGTGAATTTTTATTTTTTTTTATATCATTCCTTTTTTCCCGGTTCATGTAAATATACACTATGCAGCTATTGAAGAAGCAAGGTTGGAAAGAAGGGACTGGTCTTGGAATCTCTGAGCAGGTTTTCTTTCTTATCTTTCTCTCTCTCTTTTTCTTCAATGAATGATGGAATCAGCAGTCAAAAACATTGTTGTAAACGTTGAATTCATAACTTCCAACCCTTCTGTTAACTCATAATTTGAATGGGGCATTTTCATAATTAAGAAAAAAAATTGATATGAAGTGTGTCAGGGCATTAAAAATCCTAAATGAAAACATGCTTGTTAGATAGATCTTTTTCTAACACTTCATCTCATTTTCTGTTCGTGTTAGAGTTTGTGACTTGTGAGATCTATTTGCTTTACGTTTTATTACCATGTTGTACTTAAAATGGGATCATCGATAGGAACAAGGTTATGTCTGTTTTCTCATCCCAATTACCATAATTGTAGTCTATTTTGATTATAAAAAACAGGTATTTCAATCTTCTAACCATAATTTTTATAAATAAATTTATCACGGAAACAGGGTAGATTAGAACCTGTGGAAACTTATGTGAAGAATAATAAACGAGGTTTGGGAGCAGATAAAGTGAAGAAAAAGGCTGTGAAACCAGATCATTGTGATGCCTCTAAAGGGAACAATCAGCAGGTAATATTTTCTGATGGTTTTCATTTTGGACCATTGCCTAGGGTTTGTATACCATTCTCTGTTTACCATCTATGTAAAATTTTAATCATCTAAGCAACTTTACAATGTTAGAAACGATACATATCCAGAAGCATAACATAACCATGCAAAATGATACATTTTTTTTCTGTTGGCTTAGAATTGGATGGTCATGATGGTCGGCCATGGTTTTCTTATTTGGATAGAATTTTTTTGAATCATTGAACATAATTGGAATGTACGAGGAATTAATTTTATGTTGGAACATCTGCCACGATAAGAGGAATTAATTCTGGTGTTTTGCTAAATAGGTGCTAAAACTCTTGCTTTTAAACTTTTGTCATTCTCATGGTACTCAGAATATGCCTTGAGAATCTGTACATCCAAGTATTGAAGGATTATTTTGTCTAGTTTTTCCCTCTTCCTTTCGAAGTAAAAAGAAAAATAAAGAGCTTTGCTATATCCTCCTAATAATCCTTCTACTACTTTATAAAGTAAGTATTAAATGGAAATGTTCATTTATGTGTTGAAAACATAAAATACATTAAATACTTTCTTCATTTAGTAATTAGGAGGATTTGTAGGAATAAAGAGTAGGAAGATTTAGAATTATTCAATGCCAAAACCAAAATAGACAAAATACAATAATTTATTCTAACAGAGTGGCGAAATTCTTGTACTACTGTTTAATCTGTAAGGCGAGATCATATTGAACAGTTGTTTATTCCAGCCATTTTGGTATCAATACAAGTTACAACACTTTTTAAACTGTATATGATTTCCTGCTTTTCATTGACTTCAATCACTCTCAGGAACATTCGTTTCAAAAGAAAACCAAAGCACTTTCTAAACGGATGAGAAAGATGCAGGAGTTTGAAAAGAAGATGCAGGAGAAGGAATTTGAGCGTGCATTCTTCAGGGAGTTTTGGCCAGAAAATGTGTAAATGAGAATCGGGTGGTTGATATCATTATGTCACCATTCCTCATGCTTTCACTTTCATAGTACTGAAGATGATTTCAGAACCCGCGCAAGTTGGTTCTTCAGGGTATTTTCTCAAGGATGCCAGGAGTTACGAAAGGCTTTTTGCAAACAGAATGAATTCAGAATACCTTCTTAATGTGTAAATCAGTTCCTTCATACTGTTCTGTAACATAGAAATATGCAATGGCGAGGGTGCAATTGAGGGAAGTCCTCCAGCCCCCGCCCCCTGCCCCCTCCCCAAAATTTTTTTTGTCTCGTTACCCATATACTCTGGGTCAGCATTACTCAGCATGTAACATCATGAACATTTTTTTAATGTATTCAGGAGTTTTTGGTTATGCCAAGTGCAATTCTATTACATTATGGAAAAGATAATATCCACCAAGTCCATGTTTAGATTCACGTTTGAAAGATCATGAATGTTTTTATTTAATAAAGTAGTTTTTTCGTTAAATTCACGTTTATATGATTTTCAACGTATTTTCAAGGATGCACTAAATTAGTCAGTATAGGCTCATTTTCCAAAACTTTGAAGAGTCAATTTCTGCAGCTCAAGATAATGACATTGAAATTAAGCTTGTTTTGTCAAGATAATAACAGGATAAAAAAAGGTTTTCAACACCAACGGAGTCCTTCTATCATCTTCTACTTAGGAAAGAGTGTATCTTAAGATGAAACCACATGAAGCCGAAGAAGACTTCCAAACAGCCTCGGGTTTAATACAGAGAGGGCAAATACAGAAGACGTAAGAGAATATACAATTTGCTGCTAAATACGAAAAGGTTGCATTAAAGAATAGAAAAAATGAATAAACCAAAATATACGGTTAACTAGTGATGGTTAACTAGAAAATAATGTAATCTTTGCCGGTATCAAATTATAATTGACTCGTGTAACGCAACATCATTTTCTTTTCTTGCAGTCATCAGGCTTAATGAGCTGAACAGGAGCAGCAGGTATTCTGATCCACCATTCTCTAATTCGCCTTACCCATCTATCACTACTCTCTTTCCTCCATGGCATCTCCCTTGTATAATACTCAACGAATACCGCCAAAAATATGTATTTTGGAGGAACAAAAGCAAACACTGCGGCTGTGAATACCAGAAACAGTGCAACCTTCTCCGTAGCCTGCAGGACAAATGTATAACATAAGAATAGATTATTGAGGAAACTAACTTTCCAATAAACTGGCTGAATCAATTTGTTCGAAAAGCGTAAGACCAGTAATATATTTTAATCACCAGATACTTAACAAAATAGTAGTATATTAGCAATGCTATAAAGGATGACATAATAATATGGTTATAAATTTATTTCAGTCTATAAACAGTATGTCCGGTCGAGATGGCAAATAATTTGCCGTTTACTACACATTACAATTGAGATGTAAATTTCCCAGGGATTGAAATCCAAGGTTCCAACTGTGCTTAACAGCTTAAGTCCTTCATTTGAACAGTGGCATTCAATAAGATTATTAATAATAATTTGTATAACCCAGAAAGCCTCTCTTGGTATGTACATTTTGCATGTGTGCATTTTGGGAACAGTTTCCCTTCACTTTTCATATTGTAAGGTGGACCTGTACTTGGAAAAGATATAGTGTTTAAGGTTATGAATGGCCTTGAAGTTTGGAGTTGAACGAACTTTTACTCATTAACTCTAGCGTTGGCAGTAATAAGGCAGTAAAAAGCTGAGGCAATGTGTTCATTGTGCTGTTAATTTGTGCCTCTGAAATTTGGTTGAGCAGAATACTGCATCTCCAAGTCAACTACAATTTTTTTAGAAGAATGTTTCTTTAGCCTCTCTTCGGTATTCCTTCCCATGGTTTCTTGAAGACTTTGTAAATCTTGTTAAATATTTCAGTGTTTATTTGCAGTTGTTCTTAACATTTTTTGTTCGATTGAAAAAAAAAAAACAACCGATAATGAAGTGCTTTCATTTATGGTCATAACAAGTCTACTTTATTCATAGTGAATATACAAAATACAGTACGATTCTCGTCATATTGGACCACAAGTAATATATGCATATTAATTGATGTTTTGGTCAAATTATATGCACAACATTTTAATTTTTTTTAGAAATAGAGCATGGCTAGGTGACTCACCTGTGGTAATATAGCAAGTAGAAGTGCTCTTAGTTTTAGGAGAGTAATATTTCCAGCTTGAATAAGTGATTCAAACTGTGTAATGGCCTCTTGTAATGTCAGTAGTTGTTCTACTGCATTTCGATTTGGAGGAGGAGTTACTCTGAAGGCTTCTAATGATCTTTCCCTTCTGAAATGCCTACGCCAGAGCATGAGAATTGCTATGAACACAAAAATGGTTGGCAGTAAATACTGGATCCACCCCCTGTACATCAGTGTTAATCAACTGTTTTATTCAGCCAATCCATGGAAGCTAGTTTTTAAAACAAGAATATCATTTATTAACAGTCATCATTGTCTGATCTCGATGGCAGTCAAATTGTTCAATAAAACAAAAGTAAGGCAACTTAATTCTAGATTTTAGATTTAGCATCCTCATCGTTTTGTTGAAGTACAGAGATTGACTGCAGAATGGTTCCAAATCTTGCATGAGATGAGCTTACAAACAAAACAACTTATGGGATAAAGATTAAGTCAAGCATTGGAGATAAGGAGATGTAATACGTGTCAATGAATATAACAGGTTTATGCTGGTATTACAATAAACAATTACCTTAAAATCATATAACAGGTGAGTAGTAAGAAAGTTGTTGATCTGTAGAAGTCTTTCCACGAGGCCAAAAGCTGCAGTCGGTTGGCAGATTCAATGAACGGGAATAGTAGTTCCTACAAGGAATTAAAAGAATTATCCACACCATATGTATTAATAATATAGACTCCTTTTATTTTTACATCATCCAACAATATCCTAACCCTGTTCGTTTTCTATAATTTTCATGATCAAATGGAATTAAGATTTACACTTCCAAAAAACAAAAACAAAAATATTATGGAGTGTAAATAATAATGTACCTTCATTACTGCAACATTTGTATCAATTCCTTCAACCTTCACTTGGTTCACAGTTGCCTGTGCAGCTTCAGCTTTTCCAATGTCCAGAAGGGATTTTTTCACTGCAGCTTCCAAGGGATTTATCTCACCAACTCGGATGTCACTAAAAGCATTTGTTTCTTCCCAAATTTCAGCCAGCTTTTTTGATTTGAATCCAAGACAGAAGAGCGCCATAACTGCTGCTGGAGACACTGTCATTTGCTTCTTTGTATCAACAGTCCCAGGAATATCACGTTTACAAGAAACCAAACTCAAGTTTGTTAAGCTATTTGACAGGGTTTCCAATATTATGTCTCCCCGTGGAAGAGTTTCAGCTAGGTTAAAAGTAAGTAAAGTTTTATAGTTGGATGAGAAAAACCGGAAAGCTTCTCTAACTGCACGATAGCGGAAAATGCCCAGTGCAGCCCTGGCAAGCACTTCTGATTTTTGTGCCTCTTTAAGGTAGTATTTCCTGATAAACTTGTGTGCACGCAGGATCTCCAGACTAATGTCCAACCAATAGTCACGACGCAGGTTTGCTTTAAATTCGGGGAATTCAAAATAAACAGGCTCTGTTCTGTCAATACATTTTGAAAAATCATAAAATTTGAAATGGAAAACAAGTCACATATGATATTTTGTCCACAGATAACTTACACAGAAGTTGACTTATACATCACAGCTTTATCAAAAAGGCGAGCACCAAGGGGTCCAGTCAAATCAGGCTTTATAACCTGTTTCATGTCTGTGTCCAGATCATATCGAATGGCTTTCTCATATACACCAACTCCAAGTGACTCAAAGTAAAGAGCATAATTCGTCAGCGTCAACCGCCCTATAAAGGTCAGAAATTTGAGGTACAATTAAGTAAAGTGGTACACATCGTATGGATCATTAGTCAGCCTGATGAATACGGGTACTACATTGCTCGGGTATAAAGCAGACGGAAAAGACTAGCACTTTACATTGCATGATGTACAACAGTTTACTTCATTCCACAAAATCCAATTTGCTTGATTCATCAAATTATCATTTAAGAGATTGTTTAGGGTCATAAAAATACTTAACTGAGAAAAGTTCCTAGACTTTTCGAGCAACAAATCCACGAGATTATTCCATGTATTTTTCCATGCAATATACCTTTCGTTTTATTTAACCAGTATAAATGTTGCCCTTTAACCACAGCAAACCCTTTAACTACAGCAAAGAAGCAACTGAAGGAATGTTTTAGAGATAATTTACTCCAAATATTTGAGTGCAGCCCTTCGTGACAGATTGGGCTTTTAGTTGTATTAGTATGGCAGTAGAAGGCTTGGCGAAAAATAAATTTAAGTTGTATTCTGTAAATAACACCACCAATAACAAGAAGAAAAAGAACTATCATTTAGCTGAGCAATTTTTTGTGATTTTATCCTACCAGAAGGCTAGGAAAGACAGAATGAGAAAAATGGGAGCTCGTAACCACCTATGCAATCTATTGGAATCCTCTATTACCTTGTCAGTAATATCTCAGCCACTATGTATGCAAGTGACAGTCTATAATCAACGGAGATAAGTAGGCCGTTTCAATGTACAGAATCTATTTTTTGAATACTAGAGCGACTCACCAGGCCATGCAGCTATTCCAACATGTTGAAGAACTGGTTGAGTTGGAATTGTCCCATCAACATCAAGAACAATCTCTTCTTCAGCAAGCTGAAGATTTCCAACCGAATTACCCATAACACTTTTAGAACTCTTGATAACCCTGCACACCACTTAATATCAGGAAGCATACAAACAATGCAGATCATGCAAATAACAGCGTCAAAGGAAAACAATCATACTTATCAAGGAATCTTAAGTATTTGTCATAAACAAGAAAATGAAGCCGACGCGCGGAAGTACTGGTGAGCGCATCAAAGAGGTTGTGCACAGTTATAATATCAGCAATAGGAACACATGCAGGAGCTATCCGCGAAAAAGCCTCTAGACCAACAGTCTTCTTTTCATCAACCTAAATTCCACAATTTCAAATTGCATTTTCACTTAACATTTGAATAAGGTATTGATTTTGATTGTATATGAAGGAATTGGAAATGGAACCTGAAGCGCCATATTGGTGGAACTCGAATAAAACAATGAGGCCTCATCCTCATCCCCTCCGGCTTCATCTTTACTGGAAGTAGGTGTTTCCTGAAACAATGCGTGAAAATTTCACATGATCACAACAACGATAATATTGATGATGATGATGATGATGATGATAGTAGTAATAGTAGTAATTAGAAGAATAAAGGATTTGGAAAATGTCTGAACTGGAAGGTTAGGGGTGTGAACGCTGGGTGCTTCCCATGCAAGCATCATGTCATAGGTTAAACGACGGAACTCTTTGTCGCTCAAATAATCAGCGGTTTTACTGAGTGTGTGTAGCGTTTTGTATGAACAAAACTCCAAAAGGTGTCTAGCGTATGTGAGAAGCTCCTTGACGCCGAGAGGAAGCTCTGAATCGAAGGCGTGTTGCAATTCATGCGTCGACACTCCGAGGATCCTACCAAATACATTAATATTATTATTGAGAAATTGAAATGAAACATTGATAATGAAAATGAAAAGAGAGAGTGAAGCACTTTGAACAGCGAGAGACGACGGAGTTGGCGAGAGGAGAGAGCTGAGGGATTGTTTTGGGGGAATTAACGGAGTCATCGGCGGCGTCGATGCCGTCGGAGGAAGAAGCCTTGTTCCGATGGAATAGGGATTTCAATGAGTTGTGGTGGTTTCGAAGAATGTTCTCCCACATTCCCTCCATTTCCACACAATTCACAATTTCAATTCAATCGTTTTTTATTTGATTTGATTTGATTTGATTTGTTTCGACTTGATCTATCTGCTACAATGCCATTTCCGCGTCATGTTTCCTTCTTCATTCGCTCATTTCGATCTTCGCCGATCAATTCTTGCTTCCCTTGTTCATTTCCATATCTATTTTCTTTTATTCCCAATATTTATTATTTTGGTATTTTAGTGAGAAAAATAAGACAGCAATGCACTATCCATTTTTTTCATTTGAAAATTAAAATTAAAGTGCAAGAAACGTGCTATTTTTTTAAAAAATCAATTTTTTTTTATGTATTTATCCTAATTTAAATTAAGACCTTATGTTCGGAGTCCATCCTTGTTCAATAGATTTTTATTGCATATGATAATGATTTTATCTTCACGTATATAATTAACTCTTATAAGCAATCTTAGGTATTAACTAGTATGGAAAGGAAAACACGCACACATGGTGACTCAAAAATGTCAAAATGAACTTCGTTTATATGAAAAATGTTACAAAACTAACTATGACAACCTCGAGGAGTTGGTATGAACATGTAGCTGAGACTGGTTTCATTTCCTCCAACAAAAATAAATTACAAAAAATGGAAGATATTATCTCTAATTGTTAGCATGGAAATGATGATGTTGAGAAAATAGAAAGGACCTACAAAGTGGGCAAGAGAATTGATTGCGTTCAATCCATTGCTCAATGCATTTGATATGGAACACATGCCCACATCCACCAATCTTACTCACTGCGTCTTCCCCCACATACTCAACCAAACAAATGGAACAAATCTCCTCTGTTTGTCCCTCTTCTCCATTCACAAAGGAAAGGTTCCTCAAATCCTCGTACCTGGTCGCGGGTAGAGAGGGGATTTCAAGCAACTCCATCTCCTTGACCATATCTTTGGTGTCACAGGAGAACAAAATCAAGAGTCTGATTAACATGTTGGAAAGTGCCCTCCTGAGTTGCATAAATGGGATCACAACGCATGTGTACAACACAACAGTGACTACCCACAAGCGAGACTGACAAGCCACAAGACAATTCATCTTGCAATTAATCCAACACCTCACTCTTTCTAATGCTTTTTGTTGTTATCAATGGAAATGATGCTCAACCAAGAACCAAGGTGTGTGTCTATATATAGACATGAGTAGAGATGACTTATATGTATGTGCACACCGGCCCCTTACATAAAAGAATAGATATCATAGACTCAAATTTTCTTTATATTAATTATAAGAATAATATGATGTATTAGTTCTGACTTTGGAGGCTGGCATTATGTATATGTATTTATTAAATGGGTCAGCTTTAAGGATTCATTAAATATTCAAAATTTGAATGTCATAGGTTTTGAGTGTTATTTTATTAGAAGTAGCAGTTAAGTCGTTGCAGGTTAGTATTATGGTATTTGTGCAGTGCGTTGGGTTGCAAGGGCGGTGCCGATCCTAACGTGCTGCAAATCTCAGTTTGAAACGACACAAATAGATAATAATCTTCCGTAATAAGGGGTTAATGATGATTAAATAAAGTAAAGGCGGTGGGATATTGCTAAGTTTCATTTATAATAATAACGGAACGCGTGTCGTATATATGCACTATAGCGTAGAGGAAGCCCTTCGCTTTTGCAGCTCGTGTTAGTTTAGTTTTCATTTTCAATTTACACAGGGTTAAATGTATTTTTAATAAATTATTAATATATATAATTGTAAAATCAATTCTTATTTTTTAATTAAAAAAGTAAGTATATATAAAAAGAGAGAGAGAGATAGGTGCTGAAAAATGCATGTGAGTATTATAATAGTTACTGTTAAATTTTGAGATATTTACTTATATTCAATCTGGTTGAGCTTAGAATTATTTTATCTATTGGGGATATTTTTTTTGCGACATCCATCAAACATATTACCTGTTACTATCCTTTTTTTTTTTTTTTTAACTTTCCATCAGCTATATCTCAAGTGCTCCCTTGGGCTCCTCTGCCAGGCCCAGATGGTGGGTTGCTGGCCTTGCCATAAATACAAAGCACATGACAATAGGGACAACCATAGGTTGTTTGTTTCAGTTGACCAAAAATATGGTTTGGTTAATAAGAATGTTGTTGGATGGAGCCCTTAGGTTACTGTTGTCCCCTTTTTTTCCCTTGGTTCTACTTCAGCTCCCTCATTGTTTCATAGTGATTTTGGAAAAGGACGGGGCAGGTTTGGGAATCCTCTTTTATTTACAAAGCTTACATCCACGTCCATTCACCTACCACTCTTCTTTCATTCCTTTTACTTGTCATTTCTCTTTCAACTCATTTACTTGTCACGCGAATTTAAGGTAGGTAGAGAGGCTCCATTTTAGAACCATTTGCTTAACATTTTTTACTGCATAATCATATCAAGTTGTCTCAAACCTCTTCAGACACACAACACACGTTCTTTTTATCAAATGAGTGAAGAATCAAACTTTTGTTCAGTTATTTGCTATGATAATGAAAAACTTTATCAATTCTTATATTTGTAAAATTAACTAACAAAAAATTTCATGACATGGTAAAAATAACAAGTTCATGATAAAGGTTGAGTTGAGATTATTTTAGTGCTATTTAAAACTTTGACTGATTGTTTATAAATTTTTCAATAAGGCAAGCGAAATAATGATATCATATGAAAGGAACATTTGAACAACGGTCCCACTGGACACAATTTATAATTGCATATTTCCATTTGTTGACATGCCAACAAAAGTCAAAGCAGTTTGTTTTGTTCGGAATAGAAAGAAGCCACTGTGGTCAAAGTGAATGGGACAGAGGGGTCAAAATAATCAACATACAAGAATAAAATTAGGAAAATAAAGGAAAGAGATGACAAATCAATAAAACAGGCTGTGTCACCTCTTCGATGATAGAAACAACTTGAATCTCTTCGTAATAACACAGAAAAAAATAATTTAATTTTAAAGTGAACAAAATTAATATAATAATTTATTAAAAAAATAGTTAGTATATGGATGGGTGTATGAAAACAAGTTTTGTGAAACAATCGGAAGAAGAAGCCCAATCGATGATTTGAATGGGTAACCCTACAAAAGAATGCACAGAGACAATGATGATTCTTTACAAGAAGATAAGACTGGGAACAGTGAGAGTAACGAGCAATGGCATTTGACAGTTAGGTGTGACATAACATAATAAATAATAAAATGGTAAATGTGGTTTAATTTAAGGAATTAAATAAAAAGGAAGAGAGAAAAAGATAGAAGAAGAAAAAGAAAGGACAGAAGAATAGGAGAGACAATCACTCACGCACGGCCATGCCTGCTGTTGATGTTGCTGTTGCTGTTGCTGTTGCTCTCTCTCTCCAACAACTTTTATGAAACGCAGTTTCGCACTAATTAATTAAAAGTTTCATTATCCCGTGACTCTCTCGCCATAAACAAAAAAATCAAACACATGACATGCTTCCAACTTACTATATTACCAGCGCGTGAATTTCAAGCACCGCCACGGCCATGCGATCCCCTCAGCCACAGCCTCTTCGCAACGGAGACGATAACCGTTCGCCGTCGCATCCCTCTCGTTTCCACTCAACGGTGGCAGAACACAAACTACGTCGTTTCAACTCTCTCATCCTCGTCTTCCGTCTCACCTCCTTCTCCTTCTCCCTTGCTTCCTCCGTCTTCATGCTCACCAACACTCGCGCCTCCGATTCTCCTCGCTGGTATCACTACGACACTTTCAGGTACTCTATTCCAAACCTAATTTATCACTCTTCGTCAAAATTCATATTGAAATTTTACACAAGTTCCCGTAATTGGTTCAGATTCTTTCTAGCTGCGAATGCGATAGTGGCGTTGTACTCTATTTTCGAAATGGGCGCGTCCGTGTGGGAGATTTCCAGAGGTGCGACGCTGTTCCCCGAAGTGCTGCAAGTATGGTTCGACTTCGGCCATGACCAGGTCAGAGTCAACAATTTCCACTCTCTTTCTTTCTCGCTTTCACTTCTCGGTGTGTGTCTGTGTGAGAGTGAGTGAGTGATCTGGTGTGGTGCCGGTGCAGGTGTTCGCGTACCTGCTGTTGTCGGCGAGTGCGGCAGGGACGTCGATGGCGAGGACGCTGAAGGATACGGACACGTGTACGGCGAGCAATGCGTTCTGCGTGCAATCGGACATAGCCATAGCGTTGGGGTACGCGGCGTTTCTGTTTCTAGGGTTCACCTCGCTCCTAACGGGCTTTCGCGTTGTTTGTTTCATAATCAACGGTTCACGCTTTCATCTGTGAGTCATGGGATAGAGGGTGGGTGTTGCGTGGGAACGACGTCGTCGCCGTTGCAGGGAGGAGTCGGAAAGGAATATTTTGGGTGGGGTCAGGGCTTTCCTATCACTGTACTCCAAATACGCTGTGATTTGGACTCACATTGGTCAAGCTCATTTTGTATCAAATTATTTTTTGTTTCTCTAAACTAATTATTGTGTTCAGTCAGATTGATTTTTCAGAAATCCCAATAAGATTTTTACTATAATTTATTGTTAATATAGAAAATTTACAATATACTGGTGAGATAAGCAAAACCAACTATATCTTCTTTTTTTCTAAAAAAAAATTATGTTACACTGATTTCTGTATAATAAGAAATTAACTATTGAATTTTGCTAAAGATTATGTTCAAAGCTGATAAAATTAAAACAATGAATAATAGTTTTTTAAAGATAAAAGTATTTATTATTACACTTACATAATTAATATAATAAATATTTTTATTTTTAATAAATTTTTATTATTATTAGTCATTTAAATTTAACCTGAATACTAATTGATTTAATTAATAGTTTTTTAAAGATAAAAATAAACGTATGACGTATCATGAACAATGCCAAGTAAAATTACGTTAAAATACAAAAAGGATTGCAGAAGTTTTTCTGAACATTAATTAAATATTGAAAGCAAGGATAAGTGGGAATTAACGCAACTCCAAAGGGTGTTAGACCGCCAGAATCTACCATCTAATTAAAAGATTTTGTTGTAGCAAACTTTTGAACATTGAGCTTCCGAATGTCAGGCTTGCGTTTCAGTAGTGGCTAAACGCCGAAACGACAATTATAGCGATTGCCTGTCCATTTCCCCAAAAAGTATGTTGAAATAGTGCAAACTTCAGTAGACAATGATATCAAAACATGATAAAATAAAAATACATATTTAAAGCATTATAATTCAAACAAGAAGAAAGTAAAATAGAACTTCACATCACCTCAAGTTACAAGGGATTCCCACAAACACCACAGGTTTCTTTCACGCCAAGTGTCAACATGATTCCAATATAACACAAACAACGAAATAGCCCAAATTAGAATAAGTTACCAGGACTGCAGGCACTGGAACTCACCAACCCAAACGTATAGTGCGTATTAGTTTACACACTTCATACCCCTCAAATGGACATTTGATCCACGGTAATATGTTCTTGCTTTGCTGTTTGGGCACATCGGAACATGTGCTAACAGAAAAAACAAACGTACGCATAATTGCTCATGACTAAAATGAATATAGTTTCACCAAAAGCGTTTCCAAATTTTACACGTGATTGAACACAATACTCGATGATTTCACTAAGCATGAATGCCAGACAAAAGGAGGATAGGAATTTATACTGCACTTTTCGACCATTCAGGATTAGACTACAATTTCGTGCAAACAACTCTATGTGCTCATCTTCCAACGTTAGAAAACACCAGACTGATAAGGCATGGGTGTGGGCCCCCTTCTGGCATGCCTTGAATCTTATCGATCACAATGTGAAACCTGTATGAACAACTGCCACAGCGGTGGACTTTTTCAAGGTGATGTTTACTAACCCTCTCTAGCACCCCATCAGGATCATCGCTATTCCCAAAGGGACAAAAGGCCTCTCAACATCATCTATGTCCACAATTATACTGGGTCACTGATGCTCATCTCCCACTGACAACATCAGGTAAGACATATGACAATATCAAAGGAAAATTCAGCAATGGCCATCAAACCTTTGGTACGGAAGGTCAGTGTTTCAAGACATTTCAAGCCCACCTTTTGGAACCTTGCAACTGAGTGACCTCATAACATCAACTTCACGTAAACACAGGCAAGCTCCAGTTGACAAAAAGGAGCACCACATCTATGCCTTTAGCCAACCACATACCGAACTTCATAACCCATTCACAATACGAAGACTCACAAATAATGTTTATGATGCATTTATTTAAGGCGAGCTGCTTCATAAGAGATCTTTTGATTTCCCAACCTCAAGCCACAACGCCAACGAACTGTAGTTATATGGTCACATTGGCTAAATGAAGTACAGAAACAGATATTTTAAAAGAAATAATTTACATGATGAAGAGAAGGCAATAAAAATCCTAGTCTAAAATGGTTCTCCAAGTAGATCCAGCAACGGTTTATTTGAAACTGTTAGCTATAGTAGCTTCACGTTCCTGACGACGTCTTTCCCTCTGCAATTGACAAAAGGAGCAAGATGATGGGAATGGAAGAAAGAAAACAGGAAAGAGTTGAAAAGAACAAAAAATTGACGAAAAATCTCACCCTTCTTTCCCAGTAGGGAAGAAAGCAAACAAAATCATAGACTGGAGTAATGGTTGTAGACAAAGCTGCATTGAGAGCAGTGAACAACAAAAGTGCTGTCATGGGTCGGGTTCTATGAGGCATACTTGTTTTATATTAGAAAACAAGCCCTGCAATCATATTGATGCTGGGTCAGACATTCGATCAAACACTTCGTGCGCAATTGTCAAGATGCAAACAACTAATAAGTGTGTAAAAATAGTTATAAAAATAAAATTGCTGACAAGTTTATAAGACAATGAAATGGAACAGAGAAAATATAAAACAGATTCAGAGCATTTTCTATAATCCTCAAAAAATGGAAGGCTAAAAGAAAATGACAACAGAGCTGAGTCAAAAAACAATTAGAAATGTCAAAATGCTACACGTATCTACCTCGAAACAGAGAGAATCTGGAGGGAATAAGGAAAACAGAAAGATGAGAGATTGAGAATTGGAGTTCGTGGCAAAATTAGGGTTCACTTAGGCAGACAGCAATTCTAATCACGGAGTCGGATTCGAACCCAGACGGCTCAGGGAAGGCACTTTATGAATTTTCATAGACACTCCTCTTTACTTAATTTGTTTTCACTACATTTGCTGTCACACTTAAACTCTTATCTTTTATAATGTCAAGCTTACCATAAAATAATCATAATATTCGTGTTTTACATAAGCTATTCAAAAAAGTATTCATAGATATTTTATAAGACTATATAAATGATAAAAAAATATTTTATAGTTAAAAAGATACAAAGAAAAAGATAAGAAATTAAGTATCATTCACGTATTGAATTTAATCATAACACTTCTCTATAACTATATTGACTATGAATAATAACTAAACAATTAACTCAATAAAAAAAAAATATAAGTAATCCATTTTGTTATAGATGTTGCAAAAAGTAAATTTAAATAAATATTTATTTTAAGTTATTAATATTTTCGTATACGATAGTCACCGACTTAAATACTAATTCATTAGAAACTTTGGTTAAGGTTTTTTTTTTTTATAACAATGATATTTTTTCTGCCTACTCAAATTAGATACAATTGATTACTAAATAATGTAATATTATTTAAAAAAACCATTAAAAATACGATAATTTTTTCATTTTGATGTTAGAAAATTAATTCTTACACATTCTAAATATTGAAAAATATACACACTCCAGTTTAGTTTAAAATTGAGATAAATTTAAACACTAAACATACACTTTAAAACATTCGAACTCACTTTTTTTTCCTTCTTTTGCATGGTGCCTTGGTATCATGTTAGGTGATAAATTAATAAACACCTTTTGATTTTACATTTCAACTTTTCCTTAATTAAATGGTAACTATTTCATACTTGTTTTGGTTGATCAAACGGGAGCAGAACTTATTATTTGAAAAAAATACAAAGCATGTCGGATCCAAAAAATTACCTCCAAACTAGGTTAAAGGGTTCTGCGATCTATAAATATAAATTTATTCAATTTTTATGTTAATTTTTCATTTCAATTTTTTTTAAAAATTACTCAAAACTCCAACTTTATCAGTTTGTTTGCAAAATTAATAGTCTCTTCAACTGTAAGCTAAACCATGCCGAAAGCTTCAAAATATTTTATTTTATTTTTCTTCTTTTAGACAACGAGACAATAGTTTATGTTTCTATAAATTTTTATATAGGGTAGTATCTATAATTAAACAAGTTGACAATTTCCTTGTCTTTACTACCCACTTTGCTTTTCTTGATGCCTGGATTCTTGGAATCAGAAACGATATCTTTAGTTAAATAATACCCTTCACATTTTGTCAAAGATTAATCTTTTCCATCTGAAGGAATAGCAAACCAACCATCCCTCTTTGTTTGCACGTTATTCCTCAGTCCTCACTGCCAAGTCCTCACTAGTTTCCGCACATTCTGCTTGGTTGCCGGGAAACATGTCCACTGATTTCCCTGATAACAGTGTAATGGTTTCACGGGACTAATTTGACTTCATTCGAAGAAAATGAGATTTTTGTCCTCAGCTCAATTTGGCCCGTGAGTGAGGTACTATGATTGATTGGTAAACATCATTTGACCCAAAACGTGCAAGTAGCTGAGCAAGAAACACCTTTTCTTGGCCCCCCTTTGGTGTTTATTGCATGTTGCCGTGAAATTTATGCATGTCATGCCACTAGCTAGTTAGCCAAATGCATTCCCTCTTTCTAGCCCCCTTTGCTTTTAAATGCCAAGAATCTCCCTCTGATTGAACAAACCACAATTCTACAACCATCTTCCCAAATCTAATAATAGTAATACCTTCTCATTCAGCACTCGGAATCTTTAGTTTAATTTCCTTTGTTTTGTCTTTTTTTATTCACAAAAAATGGGAACCAAATCAGTAGGAAATAAAGAGCTTTCTGTGGAAAGGAAAATGGTAGAAAGAGCTTGGATTGAACCAAAGCATGAAGCAACTGAGCTGAAAGTTCCGGTAATATACTACCTTTCCCGTAATGGCCAGCTTGAGCATCCACATCTCATGGAGGTTCCAATCTCTTCATCACATGGAAAGCTATGTCTGAAAGGTAAATGCTACAACATGATTTATGTTAGATATGCTTTCTCGCTTTTTTTAAAATATATTTTTTAACCCTACTTTTCTGATCAGATGTGATAAATAGATTGAGTTTCCTCCGTGGACAAGGAATGGCCAACATGTATGCTTGGTCAACAAAAAGGTATATCCAATCATGGGCTCTTCAGAATCTTGAAACACACAATCCCATTAGACCCCTTTGTCTTATTTAGTTCACAAGTTCAAACTTCTTGCAACTAACAATGTTTATCATACAATGTTGATCATCTTTCATTCTAGGAGTTACAAGAACGGGTTTGTGTGGCAAGATTTGTCTGAGAATGATTTCATTTACCCAAGTAGTGGTCATGAGTATGTCCTCAAAGGAACACAACTCATAGAAACCTCTTTGAGCTTTCAATCCTATGTAGCAACATCAACACCAAGCTCCAAAAGTTCCACTGAAACGAACAGTTCTAGCACAGATGCAGACTCCCCAACCACCATGAAGCTGTGGAACCAGTCATTTAGCTCGTGTGATTACAAGCTTTACAAGGCAAAGACATGCAGGGAGATTGGGGGGAAAGCTACTAATGCTTCAACTCAGACTGAGGATAAGAGTAGGGAAAGGATAAAAATGGATCAAGTTGAAGAGTGTGAGGGGAATGATGCAAGGGAGTTCAGTGAGAACGGAGGGTCTTTGCTATTTGCTATTTCTAGTGTTGGAGCTTCGGAAGGGTCTTTGGAGGGTTGTGCATCAGCAGATATCAGAAGCCAGAGGGTAGAGAATGAACGTCCAAGTGGGAGGATGAAGGCTTCAGAAGTTTTGATGCAGTTCATCAGGTGTGGATGATCTTAAAGCTTCATAAATATTGTGACTTGTGAGTAAGATAGTGTAAGTTAAAGTCACCTCAAATTGGTTTCGTTATGCAATTTTTAGATAAAGTTAGAGACGGAACAATAAATTGAGTGATCTGTTGCTACTACATCTATCACTTGCTTCCTTTCAATCAAATCAAACTGAAATGAACTATTGTTCCATGTATCTCGGCACCCAATGTTGTATAGGTTTGAGGTGCATGATCTTTGTCTGGAGCAAGTGCTTTTCAATTTGCACAATGCTGTATCAACTCAACTTGATAAATATGAACAAGTCTCTCAAAATTCCTTGTGTATAAATTACTTGGCCAACAATCAAACCACCGAGAGTTTTTATAAAGGAAGCGATATTGATTATCAAACCATAGGTTAATGCAGAAATTCTGAAATTACTGTCACTCAAAACCCTTAGTTCTTTATTCATCTGATTTGTACTTTATTTGCAGAGTTGTCCCAAGAGTATATCTCTCATTGAGCATTTTCTTTTGATTTTGTTGTAAACAGCTAGCCTTGGAAAAATAGTGTGACTGGTAGCATTCTCTTTTGGCTAGATGCTCTGATTTTGGTGTAAAAGTATAGGTTTTGTTACTGTGTTATTGTTTAAAAATGTTGTAGGTGTATTCCAAGTAAGGGAAGACTTGGGTTCTGCAACTAAAACATCATTTGGGAATGGATTTGCACCCACCAGTTAGATTGAACAATTTGGTACGTTTTTTAGTTAGATTGGACAGTTTTGAAATTTAATTTTGTATTATTATTTTCTCTCCTTGTGGTTGCCTTCCAAATATCAGGCAAATGTCAAGGTTGCTTAAAAATTGGAATATAAATTATTATATGATATACAAAAGCCCCGCAATAATTTATGTTTTCTTCTTTCTTGAAGGGGTTTCTGTCAAGATAAGATTAACTTCAAACAAAAAAGTGTAGCTTTTATTGAAATTTATAGCAATAAATGCACTCCTCTTTTGTATATTTTATAGGCCTTTTTAAAACTAATTTTGTTATTTGAATTATTAAAAATAAATCCTGTATATGATACTATATATTATTGTTTTTGTCTTTCATTTACTTTTTTTTAATATTTCTTTTGTATGTACGGATCTGAAAAAATGCATCTCAATTACAAAGAGACATTTATTTTCCTAATAATTAAAGAAATACTTTCCTTTCTTAATAGGAAACCATGTTTTGTCAGCAAAAGAAAATGTTACTGTGGGGCAATGTCTGTTGATGGTGTCCCATAATTCGTACATTAGTTGATCCGAGTCGTTAACATTTCATGGAAAAACATGTCACGTTAGAGTAGCATGAAACCAGATAGACACTTGTTAGAGTCAATAAGTTGGGTATCTAGTGCATGATAGGAACAATAATTATGGGATAATGGTTTTAAAATTCTATTTAATAAGTTAGCAAAATATAGCATGTTTTTAAAATAAGTGAAGTCAAACACACCTAATAAAATACAATTGTGTATTTTTTAAGAGATTGAATATATTATAATTTAATCTCTTTGAATATAAAGAAAATTCGTGGTTTTTTTTCTTTTTTTTTACATTTGTTGATTAATTTTGAGCTTCTATTAGAGGTTTTAAAGCTTTTTAAAAGAATATTATGAAAATTTTGATTGAAGTCCAATAGCAAATAGTAGGGAGTGTTAGAAACTTTTTCCTTTTCATTTTATAAAATTACAAAGGCAATATTAAGAGCGTAAATATATTCTTTTAACCATCCTGAGCAAGAACAAAAAGAAATTGGGAAATTTGGCCGAAATTATTTATTACTGTTAAGAAATTTGTTTATATGAAAATATATTTAAAATATTAGTATAATTTTAAATAAATAAATAAAAATAGTTAAAGTTGAATATTAAAAAGAATAAATTTGAATATTAAAAAGGAAATTTTGAAAAATTGGAGGAGCTTTGATTGGTCAAGATAACATGGAAATTAAATTATCTTTTTATTTTAAAATTAATTTTACAAAACAAAAATAAAGTTGTAACATAAAATAAAATAGTTGAAACAATATATAATAATGTCTTCATCTTGCTTTTGAATATACACACAAGCTTCTAAAGTCTAGTATTGGGTGATCCAGACTATATAATTTTAGCCAGTCATATTTGTTACGTGTCAAAAATTTATAATTAAAAAAATGCATAGATATTACTAATTTTGGACAAGAAATAACAAATTTTTGTACATAGAACCCTGGATCATGACCAAAAAAGAAAAACTAGGTCATAGTTAGAGGTAATGGTTATATGTGTAGGGGTAAATAACAAATTAAAAAGGGATTTGTTTGTTGAGCATTGTCATCTTGTATTCTTTTTTCAGGCTTCCCTCGGAGTCAGACATGGAAGATTTATTACCATCCAATAAAGATTCGTTCTTTTTTTTTTTTTTTTACAGTTCCAGTACAGTGTCAGATATGGAACCTCTAACCTTAAATGTCGCAAATCAATGGTCATTGAATCACTTGTCTTGTTTCAGGGTAGACATGAATTGTTTTTAGAAAAATGCAGTATATAGGCAAGAAACTAGTTAGCCTTTTTCTCCCCTCTTGACCTATTCATTGTTTGTCATCTATCATAAATATTTTTAACTTGTAAAAACAAAAATACCAATCGGCGTGTACCTTTTGTTGTCCAGAACTTTGCGAATCTTAACAGTAAGTTTATTAAAAGAAACGATAAATTATATGAGCAAATCACACAACGAATTGCCTCCATAATTCCACTAAAAACCTGTATATATATATCTACGTAATAATTTTTCAATACGTGTTACAGCAGTTTTCGCAATTAATCATGAAGCAAGACATAGTAATAATTAAAGAGCACATAATTACAGAACGGATGGAGGACACCTTGGATGCCTCTAAAAGTATGCACCGCATGATGCCCCCCATCAAAGAATTTTGTGGAACAGTGGTTATATTGACAATGTGCAGAAGTTTTTCTTTTTTTCATCACAGATTCCGTACGCCAAAGAAGAAAGCAACCATATAGATGGCCCTTCTTGAATGACAAAACTGAAGAAGGCTCCATGGGTATCTGATTCAGTACAAATTCAGCAGTTTCTCGCATGTAATGATCGACCGGCAACTGCATGTACCCAAAATGATCAGGCCAACACATGTCATTAAATGTTATTTAAGTCATTTTCTTCCATAATGTGAAGTCAAACGAGTGAAAAATAATTCAGACTATATCCATGCTGTTATGAACAATTATTTTTCTGAAAGTTTCGATACAGCTTTAAAGACTAACTAGGAAACATGAAGACTTCAAAATAGTTGTTCATGTAGGATATACATTCATGTCGAACAATTATTTTTTAAACTTTTACACTAATACAGATGGAAATAGTACAACAATTAGATAGATAACATTTTATCAGCTTTCTCTTTTAATTTAAAATTTATGTTTTGATAATAGTCCTAACTGAATTTTATAATTTTTACTTTTATTTTTAAATGTTTATACTAATACAAATGCAAATGTCTTAATGACAAGATAAACTGTAACATTTAACTCTCCCTTTTAATTACAAATCCATGTTTTATGATAATTTTATAATTCAGGTTAAAGAAATATAGTCAAAAAGCACAGGTTAAAGAAATATAAAATAATTTTTTTTTATTAAGAATGTATAAAACATAAGTATATGAACATTTATAAGAAATATGTTGACTAGTTCTTGTAATATTTAATACATCTTTAATATATTTTTATTTTTTTCAATACCCTTAAGACAATGGTTAACAAAATTTAATAAAAATTAACTTATTTTTAACATAAGGTCAACAACTTAATTTATTTTCTTGCACACGATATGTCATAGCAAAATTTAAAGAAATGTATTTTTCTTTTGATGTCTTAGAATTGTTTTATATTTCCTTTCTTGTAACACGATCTTTTTATGTCATTAAGTAACATTAGAGGATATCGATCCATTAATCCCTCAACTTTATTTCTAAATTAGCAATACAAAATTTATATACATATGCACAAGCATACGTTCTTGCATATGTATGTATCTAAATATTTGTGTACATAAATTAGGAAAATAAATGGTTTTAAAGGAGGCAAAGTTGGTGAAAACAAAAACAATTTCGAGAAGGAAAAAAAAAACATGTAATGTGGGTATCTAAGCTCCGGCGAGTTCTTGAGTTGGTTTCAACTTCCCTTTACTTTCAGTCTTTCCGACTGCAACGCCTTTGTTTTCCACTTCAGTTTGGTTTTCAATCCTTGCAAAGACTGGTTTAGGTTGAGCCATGACCTGCCCACCCTTCAGCCCACCCCATTTGGTGTCTCTCTACAATTCAAAATCAGACAACAGATTAGTTCAAAACCATCAACGAGTAATGGCTATTGATCCCTGGATTACTTAAGTGAGTTTTGTGTGTGTGTGTGTGAGAGGGAGAGAGAAGAAAGAGACCCAGGTTGCTGCATCAAATTGATCCCTGGAATACCCTAGTTGTGCATATATTCTCCAACTCAAGCTTGGAGTAACAGGGCATAGTGCAATTGCAATAATCCTCATAGTCTCTAATATAATTACAAGGTCCTGCTCCAACATCATAGTGAAAATCTGGCTTAGACATCTGTGCTTATCTTCAACAGAGCAACACTGAGTGACTTGTTAAACTTATTATACTAAGTAAAGAAGGAAAAGCAAAGTTCATTTGTTAATCACAATTAATGAAAAGCAAATTGATTATTTTCACTTAATGTAAGAAAAGAAACATTTAGAATTCAGATTCCAATGTCAGGGAAAGAGTTTGTGTGTCAATGAACTATAAGATGTTATTATTTATAACAATGCCAAAAGCAATTATTGAATATGAAATACCTTAAACATTCTAATGATGTATTTTTTTTTATTGATAGCATATGTAGTTTAATACTAACAGAAAACAGTCTATCATGTTTAAACTTTACAAATCCTATATGTTATTCAAGAATCAAGATGGATGATTTCATACAATAAGTTCTAGCAAATTACCTTAGCAGCTGCATCAGAAGCAGTACCACCTTGCTTAAAGAGAGACCATGGTGCACGCTCATCCATATAGGAATTCCCAACATTACCAATTGCCAGAACAGCCTCACAAGCTGATGACAGGGCGAGATTTTCATAGTGAATACGGGCTTTATCAACCTACAGACATAAACATTGGTCAACCTTTGAGATAGAGGCAACTCCACCACACCTTATGCACAAAGGCAAAAAGAATGGCTTTAAAATATGTCAAGTTATCAATTACAGAACCAAAATTTGGAACATAAACTAAGGGTCAGTCTGTTTCTACTTTGAAATTTGAATGAGAATATAAAACAGAAGTTCTAATGCAAAATGACGTACTTTATATTTAAGTTATAGATTATATAAATTGTTTCCTAGAGACTTTACCAGCTTCTCCACGTTGTCCTTGAATGCATTTGCTTCAGCTGCTGAATTGGAATCCACCACTAGGGTTGATTGGCAGTTCTTTTTTAAAAGTCCTAGTGTACGATTAAGAAGATTTCCTGCCAAAATAGTGAAGGAAATACATATCACAATTTGTAGTAGATTCATAACAAAACCAAAAAATATAAACAATATGTTGTTACCGAATATTACAAGTAATCAAAGCAAGGTTAGAAGTACCAATTGTATTGGCAAGATGTGCATTCACAATATTGATGAAGCGCTCCTCTGAATAGTCTCCATCATTGCCAAATTCCACTTCTCTGAGGAAGAAGTATCTAACTGCATCTGTCCCAAATTTATTAACCAAATCATTTGGTTCAAGTGTATTCCCCAGTGACTTGCCCATCTTCATGCCATCCTAACATTTTCAAAATAAAAAGCATTGCTGCATGAAATAAAATTAAATATAAGAAACAGATTTTTAAAACTTGGCAATTTCACAAATTGCCAAATTTAGTTTCTGACCTTTTGCTAAGACCCATATGTTATTGAACTAATGATTGTAAATTTAATTCACATTTGAATTGAATGTATTAGGTTCAAGAATCGTACACACAGAAATAGTTGAATTTGACTATGATAATTTGGTTCATAGATCAGATTTGAAGAACAGTACATCAATTACACAGGGTTTCCCCCTAACAAGGAGTTTCCTACGTCAAAACATCACAAACAACAAATTGACACAATGACTGCCTCCTACAGGCCTGTCACAAAATAGAATAGAACAGAGCTATTATTATAGTTACCTCGTGAAGAAACACAAGACAGTAAATACGTTCAAGAAGAAATACCTTTGTCAAGAATCCATGGCCATAAACCATTTTAGGAAGGCTTAGTCCAGCAGACATTAGCATAGCTGGCCAATAAACAGCATGGAAGCGTAGAATATCCTACAGAGTAACAAATTTATTACAGAAATATAGAAACTCAATGCCATTGCTATCCTTTCCTCTCTTTTCATAATCATAAAAGAAAATTCAATAATTAACCAAAATCAAGGATTGCAAAACCAACACAAAATACAGATGCTTCAGCGTGCACATGCCCAACAAGCAGAATTGCAACTAAAAAGTTCAAGAAATTAGTGTAGTAATTTTGACAAAATAAAACAGATAAAGAGAACAAATACATAAATCAGAAGTTTCCCTTTTTTATGATGTTGTTTGATTCCAAATACAATAAACCATGCAGAAAAGTAGCATCTCGTTGTAAGACAACTCAATGTAAGTCGAAACAAAATATGCAGCCTCTCACAAAGATGTATACATTGGGACTTATGAAAAGATCTTCACAAAATCTTATATAATGACTTGTTAAAAGTATACATATGGTAGTAAAAGGAAATATGGCATCCTTTTTTAAAGGGAAATTGTTTGCATAAAAAAGAGAAAGAAAAATTAAAACAATAGGAAGGAAAACAGGAGACATACCTTACCAATCAAATGCAGTGAAGCTGGCCAACCTGAAGAAACAGCTTTGTGTAAATCAGGTTGTTCCTGGTCACCAGATAGTGCTGATATATAACTGCACATACGAAAAAGATAAAAGAAAAGGCAGTTTGCAACTCATCCAATGAAAGATATTCAGCAAAATAGCTTAAGTCTGAACTTTTTCTTCATCACTTTTTCCATACAAATGGTTGTGCATGATTTGAACTTCCATGCATTTCAGTAATGTATTTCCAACAATAAAGAAACTGACAATAATTGATAATGATAAACAGGAACCAAAAAAGATTATAGAATAGACAAGGGAAATTACAGAAGCACCAGCTATAAATAAACATTCTTACCCAAGTAAAGCATCAAACCATACATATATAGTCTGGTTCTTGTCATCAGGAATAGGGATACCCCAATCAACTGATGCTCGGGAAATGGAAAAGTCCCTCAGGCCACTTTTGATCCAACTTTGAACCTTGAAGATTATAGAAGTAATCAATTTTAAATTGACATTCTAATTGTTTAAGGGCCTTGTTATGTTTTAAAATGTTTAACAAAAGAGAGGGAGCTTATATACAATATAGACAGAGAGAAAAAAGAACTCCGCATTGCAATACCTCATTTAAACGGAAAGATGGCTGCACAAAATTTGGATTTTCATTCATAGTTTCCTCCAATGATTTTTGATATTTTGACAGTGCAAAAAAGTAATTGTCCTCTTTCCTTGAAACACAAGGCTTCAGGTGCACTGGACAACAATTATTATCAAGCAGTTCCTTCTCATCCTGCATCAAATATAAAAACATTCTTAAAGCAAAAGCATGAAACTAAGATGATAAAATTAGGAAGGCAACAATCTCAATAAAAAATTTCCATCGTAAGAGAAAGTTGTCTATTTCTGAATTAAAGGACGGTGAACGGAAAGATACTTTGCGTTGCAGAGGAAACAATAAGGCCCTTCAAAATAGATAGCTTATATAAATTAAACATAAAATATTGCTAGTCCGAGAGCTACAACTTCCTAGTTAAACCTATCACCTTATATTCCTCACAGTTGACACAATAAAGTCCCTCATAATCAGCTCGGTAGATGTCACCCTTGGCAAGCACTCTTGAATAAAATTCCTTCACAATTGCTTCATGCTTGCTATCAGTTGTTCTAATAAACTTGTCATAAGAAATATCTAACTGCAATCAAAAGCAATAATAAAATACTATCACAATACAAATAAAATAAAACACATCAATCTGAATGTTCAGACAAAACTAAAACTTGACTATATTCAAATAAAAAGTAAGGATTAAATTACATCTTTCCAAAGCGTCTTGTAGGCTTGAGATATGAGATTGCAGTGGTCATGAGGAGTGGAACCCTGAGCCATGGCAGCAGTAGCAATTTTCTCCCCATGCTCATCCGTGCCAGTAATAAATATAACTTTCTTTCCCAGTAGCCGCTGTCAAATGATAAAACCTTGTATCACGAACTAAAGGGGAAAAGGGAGAAGAATAACCATTATGATGATAATCTCTAATCATTTATACCAGTTGATTCCAATTTTCAAACTCGACCCATCTTTTGAATTCCACTAAAGTTACATAATTTGTACTAAAATAGAATACAGTAGAGGGGTTCACCTGGAACCGAGCAATGGCATCGGCGGCGATGGTGGAGTAAGCGCTACCCATGTGGGGAGGAGCATTGACGTAGTAAAGAGGAGTGGTGAGAACAAAGGGTTCGGCATTTGAGGGAGTGCCATCGGTGGTGGTGGTGGCGGCGCAGGTGCAGAACAAAGGTCCTCGAGAGGGGAATTGAGGAAAATGCAATTGGGTTTTGAGCTTGAAGGGAGAAGCTCTGTTACGGAAGGAGAACAGGGGAGGGTTAAAGAGGCAGAGGGTGTTTTGAATGGAGCAGTTTATCCTCACTGCCATGCCTTCTTCCCACTTCAACTTCTCAGGAATACAGTTTTGTTCACAATTGCCTTTTGCGGTTTGTTGACAGATACCATTAACATATCCGTAATATCTATAACAAATAAATAATACGATGAAAAAAACTATTAAATAATAGAAAAAATAAATTGGTATTTGAGATAATTCATACAAATGTGCTGCCCCTTCATCTTAAATATACATTTCAACTCCTGTTTTGTAATTGCAGATTGTGCTTACGTTCTTCAAAAATGAATCTAAATGAATTGTGAGCTACACTTATCTTTCTGCAAATCTTTCTTTTTTCCCACTTATTGATTGTGCGAATAGCAAATCTTGTAAGTTATTCAAAGTTATACGAAAAGCAAATTCTAGATATAAAATTAGAGCTATGTGAAAAATAAATTTTAATGGAAGGTCATGCAATGCAAAGATAAAAATTCTACATATTTGGGACTTCCTTGGTTATCTTATCTAAAATATTTGTTTTTTTATACTATACACGCCAAAAATTATATAACTCTGTAGATATTGCACATTGAAAATTATATAATTCCATAGTTACCTACCTCTTGTAAAATCACTAGTTTAATATTGGCGACAGTGAGAAAGTAAATACGTTTTGCTAATATGTATACTTAAGTATGGTGATATAAATGTTACTTACAGATGTTTTTGTGTTCTATGGTTTTATATAAGCTTTATGAATATATAGAAGTGTTTTTAGTAAGAATGCTCTTATGGTTCTTTCCTTAAACGTGTCTTTTGTTTACTGTAATTTCTAAAGTATTTTTTTTTATGTGTGTTAAATACAAGGTTAGTAAGAAATTACAGTTTTCTGTTTTTATATATACAATACAACGTTAAGAAACACTCATTTTGGATCTTATTTTGTTTAAACCCACAATACACGATAAAAATACAGAAAATACAAATTTCATTGGAGTTGCATTAAATAAAAAAATATTTTTTTAGATAATTAAATTCAGATAAGATAAACGAAATTTTAAATTTTATTTTATTAAATTATATCATAATATTTACTGTAACAGGTGAAAAAACAATAAATTATTTGTAAAAAATATATATATTTATTGACCGTTTAGGATTTCCGTGCGGATGGATCTGTTACGCTGTGCAAGGAAATTACATGGGTTTTCGAAGAAAAGAGAAAGAAACACAAAAAATGGGGGAAACGGGCCTGCAATTTCCCCCCTAAAAAAATGGTGAAATTTGAAATGATTTAATTTTGGCAGCACATGCCAGCTCACAATACAACCGGGTCAGTCTATCTACGTACACAGACACAGAGACTCAAATTCCAGTGTATTTGTAAATCTAATGTCAAAAACCAGTTTCCCGTTCTTCATGTTCTTTGATTATTCAACTTCAAATGTCTGCACAAACAACTAGAATTCGTAACTGAGAGTGAAGACGTAACTGAATCACATGTCTTCAACAACCTTCAGTCCCTCTCGGAGCTCCGGACCCGGAAGTTCCAGGATTCAGTTAACTGCCATATCCAGGTTCAGATCTTCCTTCCTCAAGAAGCTTCCAGAACCTCTCCGTCGCGCCGTCGCCGATTGTCTCTCCTCTCCCCTCACTTCCGCCATCGAACCTTCCAGAACACTCCGGGTTCGCTTTTTCCTTTCACCTTTTCTAGGGCTTTCTGCTTTTACTATGCATACGCTCGCAAACGGAAATTAAAATGACTATAAGTGATCCTCAATTTTGGCTTTAACAGTGATAATTCTAGTGAAAATGCTATGGTTATGTTCTGGAAGATTTTCTGAGGATGGATACTTACTTTTCTGCTGCTTAATTATGATTGCAGGACTATCTGGCAGCCCCTGCAACCACGGACTTGGCTTACAGTGCAATTCTTGATCATGCTATAGCAGAGAGGGAGCGAAGGTAGTTGGTGATGTTCTCGAGATTGCATCAAATTGTTCACATGGATAGTCGTGTATTTTTTTGGAGTTATCATACAGTTGTTTTATTTCACGTGATTTAGATTTACATTGTTAATTTTTCATTTTCTTTATAATTTTTGCTGTTTAGTGATTTGCCAACCACTTTGAGTTTTAGTTCTCTGTTGCTAACATCTGTAAACTATTTTCACCAGTCCTGCAGTAGTCTCAAGGTGTGTGGCACTCTTGAAACGGTATCTTCTAAGGTATGTTACTTGAATGAGTGGTGTTCTACTCTATCATAACATTTTATGGAAGACATTATCTGTCTCTCGACCATCCTCATGTCTTGAAACTGCATGTTACTCTGATGTTGACTTATTTCAATTGAAAACTTCAATTATTGGGATATATTCGTAGAGTACTCTTTTTCTTTTCCCTTTTTTTTGGGGGGGGGGAGGGGGGGGGGGTGTATCTTGAAATGCATTTTCTTTTGATTTGTGTTAAACAAGAAACCATCTTTTGTCATTTCCTACTTATGCTATTAAGACTTACGAGTTCTCAACTAGTTAATTTATACAGATACAAACCAAGCGAGGAGATTTTACTTCAGATAGACCGTTTTTGTTCAACCATTACTGCTGAATGTGATATTAATCTGAATCAACCATGGTCAAGATCTTTGAATCAACAAACTGGTGCATCCATGACGTCCACAAATACAACTCCTTTGGCTGTATCAAGCTTTGCTTCAGAGGCAATTGTGAAGTCATTGAGTTATGTGCGTTCCCTTGTGGCACAACACATTCCGAAGCGGCTTTTTCAACCAGCTTCATTTGCTGGACCACCTTCTGCATCAGGACAATTGCTGCCAACATTGTCATCATTATTGAGTAAATCCTTCAATTCCCAACTATGTCCAGCAAGTGTCCCAGAAACAGTGGAGAAGGATTCAGTCACTTCATCGGTTTCAAAGTTTTCAAAACTTGAAAATTTTGATGAAAAAGACAAAAGGTTCATTGCCCATGATGTTCTACAATGGCGCTGGCTTGAGGAACAACAGCCATCATCGATGGAAGCTGACAAGTAAGTAAATAATATCTTATTCTTGGTTTTGATCTACAGTTCTTGGTGTTAATGGTCACTACGGCTTATATTTCTGTTATTCTTATTAATGTACCCCATCTTAAATGAAATTTATTTTGTTTTCAAATGTATTTTAATACAGTGAATATGCTGTGAGTTCGCAAGACTTGAGAGCACATAATTTCTTAGAAGCGGGTGCTGCAACTCTACTTGCTGGAGACATTGAAGCTAAGATGAAAGGGCGACCATGGAAATATTTTGGGACTGATGATATGCCTTATCTGGATCAACTATTGCAATCTTTTCCAGTAACATCAATTTCTAATTCTGCATCAGCTCGTCCCCACCTGAGAGCAATTACAGCATTGAAACGCACAAAAATTGGTCCTCGTCAAGTTTGGCAAGTTTTTCTATCAGATAACTTTTTGCTCTAATATTTTTTATTCTATTGGTTTCATCTTTGTTTTAATTACTTTGGATTCTGGAGTTGTTGAGGCCTTGTGCTAATTGTATGCTAGGAGTGCTATTGTAGTTAAGTCCCTGAACTAATGAATCGTTTTTAATCAGGTCCTTTGGTCACATTTCCATTAGGTTTCTGTTAAGTAAAGGAAGGGGCCCCATTTAAAAATTTTCAACATGGTTCCTGTATTATATGGAAATTTTCAATTAGGTTTTTGTACTTAATGAAACCTCAGCAGAAATGTGACTAGGAACCTAATTAAAAATGATTCTTAAGTTTATTTTAAGGGTCTAATTACAAGCTTTTAGAGTATAAGCACCTATTTAATTTACTCCAAATAGTTCTGGGACTAGCGAATTAATTTAGCCTTTATCATATTCTTCAAATTAAAAAAAATGCTGTTTATGAATTAATTTCTAGTTTTGTCTGGCAATGACTTTGTTCACTGCAAGATATATGAAGCCTTAAGAGCTTGTTTGATAAACAAGATGGGATAAGAAATGATTGGATATGAGAATTGGATTTGGATAAGAATATGATAGAATAAGAATAGGATAAGCTCTTACCTTACTTTACATTTAATGCATACTAAAGTAACTAATTAGATACATAATGTTATCTTATTCTATTTATATCTAACCAAGATCTCTTCGGGTAAAAATTATAGTAGAGGGTATGATAGGATAAGTCTATATGATAAACTTATCATATCCTATTAGTTAAACAAACATTGAAAATAAAATAGGATAGAATAATTTATCTTATTCTATTCTCTTATCCTATTCACCAAACAGGTCTTAAATGTTTTATGAATTAAAATGCTGTTTATATGAACTAGATTTTGTGACAAGAAATCAAATTGCTTTGGTACCGTATAATATTTTCATTTTATGTATTGTAATGATGGTGAATTCTTATGTCTTTTTTCCCCCATTACTTCTGATTTGCTAATCCGAAAATAGCAACAGGGAGGATTCTCCTGCAAGTACATTCCGTCCTCGAGCTCGACAGCTCTTTCAGTATCGATATTACAGGTATAGATAGAGAAATTCTTTTAAATATATATTTTTTCTATATATTCCCTCCATCTCAGAATGAACGTCATAATGGTTTAAAACAGCTTTTCAATTGCTATGATTGCTTTCCTGTTCAGAGGCAGGATTTTTTCCTTGTTCAATTAGAGCTAACTGCAATGAAAATATATAAATTTAATGGCGAGCATTTCTTTGGAAACAATATGCAATCCCTAAAGCTTTTAAATATTACCCAAAGAAACCCTCAATATAATGTAATAACTTGCTCCGGAAAGTATGATTCATATTTATTTATAATGCTCTATATTTTTTAGCAGTCTTTGATTATGATATATGCTTTTCTTCTCAAATTGTCTTTATAATTTATGCTTTTCAAACAAGGAATGTTTTAACTCCCTTCTCCTTGCTTATATTTCCATTGCCTCTTCCTCCTTCTCTTCTTCCTTCCTGTTCTCGACAGCTGTTTTTGTTCATTTTCTTACCTTTTGCTTACTTTTGAAACCCTGTTAATTATTAATTTCTTTTATAATTATTAATTATATTTATTGAATGGAAAGGTTCATATTGCTTGTGTTTTCGATAGAAAAAATCTACATTTTTTATGATACACTGATTATTTATAATTGTTATTCTCTTTTTCTCTGTCTTTTGCTAAATATAATCATATGATGACCAGTGAGCAACAACCTTTGCGATTGAACCCTGCCGAGGTATGTGAAGTTATTGCTGCAGTTTGCTCAGAGTCTTCACCAAACATCAATGTCATGATGAGGTCAAATAGGCTATGCAGTAACAGTGGAAAACCATCGATGGATGTGGCTATGAGCGTCCTTATTAAACTTGTCATTGACACGTATATTCCAATGCACCTCTTATTTGTTTATATTTTATTCCATTCTTGGTTATAGGGATGACTATTGAATCTAGACTCAGTGAATACCATTAAAAACTATCTATGTTGAGTAGTGTTTTTGCCCATTATGTGGGTGTGGGTCTAGATCTGAATATGAATAATTACCAAAAATTTTGGCAGGTATGATTTCTACCTATCCCTAGTCCCTACACATAGCCGCATAATATATTTATTTGAAAGATCTTTAAATAATTTTTTAATTAAATGAAATATTTCTGTTGTAATGTTTTATAATTAGAGATTGGATTATCTTTGAATTTTTTCTCAATATATATGCAATGCTAGTAATGAATTCTCTCTCTTTATCATATTATAATAGCATCTATGCTTTACTAGTTTGTCAAACAAATGCATTGCCGGAGATTGTATTCTAGTTAATTAAAACGTGGGTAATGGGTTTGGGTACAAGTATATAGTGACTCAACCGATAAAGATACGGGTATTAAAGTTGCTAACATTGCGGGTATGAATTTGGTTATTGATATGCTTTTTTTTTAAAATGCGGGCATGAAGATGAATACCCTATATCCAAACCTTATCCATTAACATCCTTATTTGGTTACTGCCTATTTATCCCTAATAGCATCTTTCTCAGTACTAATGTGCACTAAAACTTGACTCTATATTCATGTATTTTTGTTGTTAAGACTATATTTTGTGGGTCCTGCCTTGTTTACAACTTAAAAAACAATTAGGCTGATTTAAAGTAATTATCAAAATACAACAAAGGGTTGGGACTGATTTTGATAGGCATGCTATTCTGTGAGTTGATAATGTATTATGGCCTTAAAATGAATATTGTTTTGTAGGTATATTTTGGATTCCCAGATTGCTACTCCACTGACTCTTACTCTGCTTGAGGTGATGCAGCAGCGAAGTATTTTTTGCCTATGATGGCAATATTTTAAAATGTTTTTGTTGTTACTAATTTGATTTTCAAATACATCTTTCAGGAGATGCTTAGCTCTTCTAAAACAGCTTGCAGGGTTCAAGCATTTGATTTAATTCTAAATCTTGGAGTTCATGCTCATCTCCTAGAGCCAATTGTAACTGATGATGCTTCCACAATTGAAGAAGAATATTCTCAAGAATCCTGTTATGATAGTGACACTCAACTTGTGACCCAAGGGAGTAGAAAAGGAAATTCTCAGAACAAATTGGACACTTTCTCTGCAATTGATAATTTAGAATCTTGGATTTTAAATATTTTGTATGAGATACTGCTTCTTCTTGTGCAGGTATTATTGATCTTCCTTTCCTATAGACAAAACATTGAGCTGAAAAAGAATTCTTATTGAAGATTAATGCTACTGTTTTATTGTTGGGTTTCGTTTTATTTATTTATTTAGTCTATTCACTTAATGTTATGACTTACGTTATGCTTGCTATGATGTCAAGCGATACCATGGATGGGTTGCCCTAATCTTTTTTTGAAGGACTAAAATAAGGATGGGAGTGTTTCCTTTCTTATTTTAAAAGGGAGAGTTATTCACACTTAAAGCTTTTCTTTTTTGGTACTTATTTATTTGTCCAAGTTTACCTTTTCCAATTCATCTTGTTTTTAGTTCTAATTTCTATGCTTCAAATTTGAAGGTTTACATAGAACTGAGTGCTTGCCTTTTGAATGTTGTGCCAATTTAGCAAAGTAACTGCTGATGCTATAGAAAGTCCTTGTTCTAATAAGTACAATATTTGCATGCCACATAATGTTTTATAAAGTAATATATTATATTTGAATGGGATTATGGGAAAGATGGGTTGAAGAATTAGTAGCAAGAATTTAGATCTTCACAATAGATTGGGTTACTCACTCTGTTTAGGAGGATTAACAAAAAATTATTGTATACTTCCATATGAGAATTCTTGCAACAATGGTGTTGTCTCTCTCTGCTCTTCTTATGATGATGGGCTAATCATTATGTTCTCATAACCTAAGATTTTATGCTGGTTAATTGTTTTATACAGACTGAAGAAATGGAGGAATCTGTCTGGGCATCTGCACTCAGTTGTTTACTTTATTTTGTCTGTGATAGAGGAAAGATTCGCAGAAGCCGATTGCAAGTTCTTGACATTAGAGTGAGAAATGATATTTTCCTTTTCCATTTTTTCTTTGCCAGTATAACATGGAAGTCCCCTTTTTGTTTTGTTCTGCTTTCTATAATAAGTTTGTCCCTTCCCTTCCCTTTAATATTCTGTAACTAGCAATGCCAAGCCTCTTCATATTCGTGAAGTCTGTTTTGCTTTCTTAGTTTCATGCTACTTCCTTTTCTTTTTCCTCTTCATTCTTTGTTCTGGTGCATGGCCACTCACTGAAGACAAGTGATTGGAACCATCATTCCTTTCATTGTTACAATCCTAGAAAATCTTCATTTTCTCACTACAATTTTCCATACTTGCCTCTCTTTCTGACTCCAATTACTCTCACTACTTGAATCTTTGGCATTTTTTTTTCATTTCTATCGACTTCTTTTCTTATCATAGTTAAGAGAAAACCCATGTGGAAGTTCACTCCAGTCTATTTGATCACCCTTGCTCATGTAAGAAATGCTCATTGATTTTTGCATTTGAAAGCTTCCAGAATGGCTTGAGCAGTTGAAGTCAATGTCTAGATATAAACATGTCACCAGCGTTTAACTCAGTTCCATTTGTTTGGAATGATAGAATGTCTTATGACTTATTAAGAGGAGAGTGTAGGGGGAAAGAGTGGTGAAGGGGCCATTGATTTGTGTTGTTTTCTCTCACTACATAAACCCTTGTTTCATTTACATGTCACTGGCTTTTGACACATTTTTTTAGCCAATTCTTTTCTTTAAATTTTTCTTGATCCTATACAAAACAGATTTTAAGAATTAAATGGCACAATTAGACTCTAGTTCCAGTTCTAGATTCTAGTTGTTCTTTGGTTTCTGTTCTTGTCCATAGCTACACTTTGTCTTCTTTTCTAGAACACATGACTATATGTAAGTTGTATTGTTTAATTGAATTAAAAAAATGAAACAATTTTTAAGACTAGAGTCTGTGAATTGCCTTGGGTCTCTTCATTTACTTTGTTTTGATTGTTACCTTGCTTCTTGTCAATGTAAATATAGAACCATTAATTATGATTACTCTCTTTAATTTTTTTACACACAATCTGCTTTTAGGTTATCAAAGCACTTATAGAAACCAGCAGGAAGAATTCTTGGGCAGAATTAGTTCATTGTAAACTTATTTCCATGTTAGCTAACATGTTATACGAAGTTCCTGATGAAGTTGTGGAGCTTTTACCTAGCACACCAAAGTTTCTAATGAATCAACTTGATCTGATTGGAGGAGTTCACTTTATTTTCCGTGAGGTATGCATATTTTCAACCTCCAACTTGATATAATTCCAATAGGGAGAGGACATAAGTTATAGGATTTATTATTACTATAAAGTTGTCTATTTAACTCTGTAAATATTGAATACTACTCTTTATATTGCCAACTAAGCTAAACAATGTTAAGCACTGAAATGTACAATCTAAGTAGAAGTAATTGGTCTTGGTCCCAATTTGTGTGTTTGTGTGCCTATATATATATATATATATATATATATATATATAACACCAATTAGGTTGGCTGATATGATTGATGATGGTAAAGATATGTAATTCTAAAATAGAGAAGATCCTAGGAAATTGTGTCCCTGTCAAAATTATTGCTTATAAAGTCTGATTTCAATTTTTAAGTACAACCGACATTTATACTTTTCCTTTTAGGGCAGCACTTAATTGAAATCATACACACAAGACTAATAATCACAACTAAAACTTATATATTTTCAATGGGTATGCTACAACTCAATTTTCAAACTGTGAAATCAAATGTAATGTTAAGCTTCTAAGGAGGGTACATTAATCATAATGGATCTGCCGATTCTGCCCATAAAACTTCTATAAAATAAGATATATATACAAATATATGAAATTACTGAGACTACTGATTATATAAAATTGAAATTCTTAAAGATAATTCTGCTCCTTAAGTTGGAGATCTAAGGTGATGAATACGTTATATACTTATGGTCACTTGCTGTGCCCAATATAAAATTGATTTATTTATAAGATTATCTTTGGTTTTCACAATAGTATAAGATGTAGAATGAAGGCCTGATCTACAGTTCTTGTTATATTGGTAGTTTTTAATTTGCAATATTTAAATGATTTCCCCCCTCTTTTTTCTGTGTTGGATGCAGTATGCCCTTGTTAACTCAAGAGAAGAGAGGAAAAATCTGTATTCAGTGCTTTTTGACTATGTTCTGCATCAAATTAATGAAACTTGTGTAGCTTCTGGAGTCAATGAATATAGTGACGATGAGATCCAACCAGTTGCAAATCTGCTTGCTCAAACAAATGCAGCGGAGGCATTTTATATTTCTGTTAAACTTGGGGTAGAAGGAATTGGGGAGCTTTTGAGGAGATCAATTGCATCTGCACTGTTAAGATATCCCAACAGTGAACGTCTAAATATGGTACTTCCATCCCTTTCTTCTTAGTGTGTAGGCATACGATAGTTAAATGTAAGTCAATGACTGTAGAAAAACATATAAGTATCTTCCTTGTTAAGATGAAAATTACTATATAGTATCCATAAAGGGTTAATGATTATAACTGATTCGTACATTCAAATTTTTGTTGAAAACCTCATTTCCTTTTCATTTAACCTCCTTTCTATCTTGCACTTTTTACAAAAATTCTCTCTTTTGTTAAGATTTACACACAGCTCTATTTTAAAAATACATTACACTTTTTTTAACCTTAATTTTATTTAATAAATAGTGGAAGAATGGATTTGAGTTTTGAAATTGTGATTGAAGTAATGCATATAAAATAGGAAGAGTTTGGTGTAAGTTTTAAAAATAGAGAGGTTGTTAGTTTCATTTTTCTGTTGTGATTTTTTATTTGCAAATTTATTTTATCATATATTTGGCTTAACATAAGTCTTTAAACTGTCTATATTCATTTTTGTCTCGCTTGTTTCTCCGTAAATCTTTGCAGCTCTTGGAAATTGTAACAGAGAAATTTGATGCAATAATAAGTTCATTCACTCATTTGGACAGAGAGTTCTCTCAGATGATTCAGATAACCAAAACTCACAAGTCTCTTGAAAATGTGGAAGTTATAGCTCTAAGAAGTGACATTGATCTGCAAGCAAAGCACTCGTGGGCCACTTTACATTCCCTTCTTCATTCTGAAAGAGTTGCTTACCGTCAGAATGGGTATATCTGGTTGGGTGATCTACTTATTGCTGAAATCAGTGGGGAAAGAAGTGGAACTATATGGTCAAATATAAAATACTTCCAACAGAAATTTGCTCAAGTAGGAAAACAGGATTCTTCTGATATGTCAGATACTCCTTTGCCCATTTCACTTATGTGTGGGCTTTTAAAATCAAAATATAACTATATTAGATGGGGATTTTTATTTGTTCTTGAAAGGCTGCTTATGAGATGCAAATTTTTGTTGGATGAATATGAAATGCAACAATCTAGAAGCAGTGATCTTGGGAGTGGGCAGAAAGATTGGCATCTTGAGAAAGCCCATGCATTGATTGACATAATGAGCTGTGCTTTGTTGTTTCAGATAAATGAAAAAGATTGCACCAATAAGTATGAAACAGATCGCATCAATATTCTGAAAGTAATTATTTCTGAACTTAGAATGCCTTTTCTTTTTTTTCCCCTGAATATCCCTCATGTCATAGCAATATATACGTATAAAAACATGGTGAATCACACTAAGTTCGAAAATTTGTTGCAAATAAATCTGCTTGTTCTTTATGCTATCAAGGAAAGAAAAAACCACTCAACGACATAGTTTGTCAATTGGATGTATTTGGGGATCTATCTTGATCGGAACCTCACATTGTCCTTGTGTCATTAGTGAGTTGAAAGAGCATGATGACTTTGAGATGATTTTGTATTCTTGGAAGTGAGTTTATTTGTTAAGTCAAGAAGCATTTCAAGATAAATTAAATTACTATCTACAAAACCGGAAATCACTTATCACTTAGGTGGATAAATATCTAATAGACACATTAATATTCACATTTATTATTATTTTTTTCTAAACAAAAAACTTTCAGTATAGTTTTGTCAATAATAATGACTCCTTGGAACAACATTTAGAAAATTTGTCTGTATGATTATTTTTGGTCTTTCTGTTTGGCTCAACTCTTAGTTGTTTCCCAACAGATGTGTGACATATTATTTTCCCAATTATGCCTAAGAGTTCCCCCTGCTATGGCCTTGCCCTATGGAGATGATATGCAACATGACAGGAGTTTAAATCGCTTCAGTTCAAACAAAAAGTTTAATGGTGATAACTGTGTCCTTAATCAAGATACTTATCACTTGGATGAGCATAATGAGGAAGAAGCTGATAGAAGAGCAAACTACCCTGACAACTATCATCTTGTTCACGAGACTGCAGCAATGGCAGCACTTCTTCTCCAAGGACAAGCCATTGCCCCAATGCAATTAATTGCACTTGTTCCTCCTGATTTGCTATTTTGGCCACTGATGCAATTAGCTGGAGCAGCAACAGATGATATTGCATTGGGTGTTGCTGTTGGAAGTAAGGGAAGAGGAAACCTGCCTGGTGCCACATCTGATATCCGGGCCACCCTTCTCCTACTTCTTATTGGTAAATGCACAGCAGATCCTGTTGCTTTCAAGGCAGTTGGTCGAGAACAATTTTTTAGGTGGGTGCAAACTTCTATGCTCTGTAAATTAGTTGGCATTTTTGTTTATCGCCTTTATACATACTTATTAAGCGTGGTTCTTCCTTTTGGCAGGGAACTTTTGAATGACAGAGATTCAAGGGTGGCATATTATTCTTCTGCTTTTCTTCTGAAGGCATGAATTTTATTCATTTTTTTTTATCATTATATGTGTATTAGGTCATTAAATTTCATCTATTATAACAATTTCCCATCACTGCAGCGAATGATGACTGAGAATCCTGAGAAATATCAACACATGCTTCAAAATCTTCTTGTTAAAGCCCAACAGGTACTTCCTTTTTTAATGATTTTCTTGGAGCTCGTTTTCTACTATCAATTCATTTGAGATTAACATTTTTTTAACCTTGCATTTAAGCGAGCAGCATATGCAAATTCTTGTTTAATATCTCTAGGCATTTCTATTCTTAAAACAAAGTTCTCATAGGGTCTCTACTGTATGTGCTTCTTTATATTGCATGTTCTTTAAATAAAAACAATCTTATTTTAAATTTCTGTTTGTTTGTTTGCTAGTAGTTTGGTATTTTTGGAGATTAATTATAAATATGTTGCTTAAGTGATTATGCTTTTTGCTGGCACTGCACAGAGCAACAATGAAAAACTGTTGGAGAATCCTTACCTTCAAATGTGTGGCATACTTCAACTGGCAAATGATGTTGGATTTAAGTTGTGATGTTTGAGTCAAGGCTTTCTGGGGTGTGACATTGGTTTGGACTTCTGAGTAAATTTGTTTTGGCCTAAGGAATCATCGCAGCTGATTCTGATGAACGTTCACCATCTATACTTCAGATGACTGAGATTGCCACACTTAGCTGGGACATACTCTTTGAGAGCTTCCTCACAGAAATGAAATTGTGATTTATTTTCAACATGGTGGAAGAGAATATAGGGGTGGCCAGAGGGTGCCAGTGGGATTCAGTCAGCTCTTCAGTGATTCTACTCTTTGTGGGCTATGTTGATCTGTGCAAACATGTCATGATCTTCAGCATGTCTTTCAACCATTGAAAGACAATTTACTTGGGAAAAATTATTGAAATCTGTTCTTCTCCTAAAGGTGTTTGGCTACAAGTGTAAGCAAGTGTTCTGTCCGGGAATGATTTGAATATGCTTGATTTTGATTCAGCTGCTGAAATGTTGCTGATCTAGGCCTAAGCATGTCCTCAGGTACCTTTCTCTCCCTCCCTTTTTCTTTTGCTTTGGTGGTGTTCCGTATGAAATCCTAAGGGACTCTTGCAGGTCTATGATCCATAAATACCCCTCTTCCTTCCCTTGAAACACAAGTTTCAATTAAGATAAGTTTGGGTCTTTGATAGGTGTCAATAGATTAGCTAAACTTTTGTAATATACAAGGTCGCAATGATTTTTACACTTCATCTTCATGAATGAAAAAGTGGCTATATGTTGAACAGAGCTCAAGACTTTTCTTGAAAGCACAAATATGACACCAGACTTGGATATGACGTGGGTTTGAGGATGTCACAAATTTTGAAAATTATAGGAATAATATGTCAATGCAACGTATAAAATTATCATAAAACATGGATTTGTAATTAAAAGGGAGAGTTAAATGTTACAGTTTATCTTGTCATTAAGACATTTGCATTTGTATTAGTATAAACATTTAAAAATAAAAGTAAAAATTATAAAATTCAGTTAGGACTATTATCAAAACATAAATTTTAAATTAAAAGAGAAAGCTGATAAAATGTTATCTATCTAATTGTTGTACTATTTCCATCTGTATTAGTGTAAAAGTTTAAAAAATAATTGTTCGACATGAATGTATATCCTACATGAACAACTATTTTGAAGTCTTCATGTTTCCTAGTTAGTCTTTAAAGCTGTATCGAAACTTTCAGAAAAATAATTGTTCATAACAGCATGGATATAGTCTGAATTATTTTTCACTCGTTTGACTTCACATTATGGAAGAAAATGACTTAAATAACATTTAATGACATGTGTTGGCCTGATCATTTTGGGTACATGCAGTTGCCGGTCGATCATTACATGCGAGAAACTGCTGAATTTGTACTGAATCAGATACCCATGGAGCCTTCTTCAGTTTTGTCATTCAAGAAGGGCCATCTATATGGTTGCTTTCTTCTTTGGCGTACGGAATCTGTGATGAAAAAAAGAAAAACTTCTGCACATTGTCAATATAACCACTGTTCCACAAAATTCTTTGATGGGGGGCATCATGCGGTGCATACTTTTAGAGGCATCCAAGGTGTCCTCCATCCGTTCTGTAATTATGTGCTCTTTAATTATTACTATGTCTTGCTTCATGATTAATTGCGAAAACTGCTGTAACACGTATTGAAAAATTATTACGTAGATATATATATACAGGTTTTTAGTGGAATTATGGAGGCAATTCGTTGTGTGATTTGCTCATATAATTTATCGTTTCTTTTAATAAACTTACTGTTAAGATTCGCAAAGTTCTGGACAACAAAAGGTACACGCCGATTGGTATTTTTGTTTTTACAAGTTAAAAATATTTATGATAGATGACAAACAATGAATAGGTCAAGAGGGGAGAAAAAGGCTAACTAGTTTCTTGCCTATATACTGCATTTTTCTAAAAACAATTCATGTCTACCCTGAAACAAGACAAGTGATTCAATGACCATTGATTTGCGACATTTAAGGTTAGAGGTTCCATATCTGACACTGTACTGGAACTGTAAAAAAAAAAAAAAAAGAACGAATCTTTATTGGATGGTAATAAATCTTCCATGTCTGACTCCGAGGGAAGCCTGAAAAAAGAATACAAGATGACAATGCTCAACAAACAAATCCCTTTTTAATTTGTTATTTACCCCTACACATATAACCATTACCTCTAACTATGACCTAGTTTTTCTTTTTTGGTCATGATCCAGGGTTCTATGTACAAAAATTTGTTATTTCTTGTCCAAAATTAGTAATATCTATGCATTTTTTTAATTATAAATTTTTGACACGTAACAAATATGACTGGCTAAAATTATATAGTCTGGATCACCCAATACTAGACTTTAGAAGCTTGTGTGTATATTCAAAAGCAAGATGAAGACATTATTATATATTGTTTCAACTATTTTATTTTATGTTACAACTTTATTTTTGTTTTGTAAAATTAATTTTAAAATAAAAAGATAATTTAATTTCCATGTTATCTTGACCAATCAAAGCTCCTCTAATTTTTCAAAATTTCCTTTTTAATATTCAAATTTATTCTTTTCACTTGAATTTTAGTTGTTATACCAAGATTATGTTTTAAGAATAATATAACCTTTCAATGTCCTATTTGTTAAAATATAATAAATTTTTTTAATTATTTTTTTTAAGGTTCAGTTTCCCTAATTATAAACTGATATGCAATTAAAAACGTTTAATCTTTGTAACATTTAATTATGAGCACAAAAACTGGTATAAAATGAAATCCAACATAAAGTGTGACAGTTAGTGTGAAGGAAAACAGAAGAAAGCAATAAGCAGAGCTGCGGAGTGCTTAAATTAAGTTAAACCCTACACAGTGAAGAGGCGGCGAAGCGAAGGGTTTTGGGGAAGAAGAGGATGAAGAACTTGAAGCTCTTCTGGGAGGTTCCGTTGGGGCTTCCCTTCCATTCCGAGAATGAAACCTTACGATTTAGCGCCTTAGACATTGAACGCAACCGCCTCTTCTTCCTCTCTTCTCTCAATTTCATTTACACTTCCAATCTCTCTTCTTTCCACGTTCGTTCCAAGTTCCAACTACTTCATTCATTCATTCTTCAATCAACCCTACCTAACATTTTTGTTACGTTGTGTTTCGCAGGAAAAAGGTGCTTGGAGCCGTAAAACCTCATTGCCTGCTGATGTCGGCGCCGTCGATCTGGAACCCGGCGATTCCGTCACTTCCTTCGATTACCTTATGGAGAAAGAAGCGCTTCTTCTCGGAACTTCCAACGGCCTATTGTTGCTTCACAATGTCGACGACGCTCACTCAACGGATGTCGTTGGCAAGGTTGACGGCGCTGTCAACTCCGTTTCCCTTAGCCCTGACGGAGAACTCATCGCCGTAACCACATCTTTTGCGCAACTTCTCGTGATGACGCACGATTGGGATTTGTTGTACGAAACTCCGCTTCACGATCCTCCCGAAGAAGGCTATCACGTAAGTAAGGACTAACCTCCCTTTCCTCATTCATTTCACTTCATCGTAGCAAGTATATTTCTACGTATATATACCGTGTACGCTTTGTGATGGACATATTTGTACGTAGTTGGTTCGAGATTGTGACAGTACTGTGTTTTTCAGGTGAAGATAACTTTATTCCTATATCTTGGCGAGGAGATGGAAAGTACTTTGCTACAATGAGTGGTGTGAGCGGTAGTGATCCGTTGCTTAAGAAACTTACCGTTTGGGAACGCGATTCCGGGGAGTTGCTGGCTTCTTCGGAGCTGAAAGCTTTTGCCGGAGCGGTTTTGGAGTGGATGCCCAGTGGTGCTAAAATTGCGACTGTTTGTGAGGGGAAAGATGAGAACGATTGTCCCTCTGTTGTTTTCTTTGAGAGAAATGGGTTAGAAAGAAGTAAATTTAGTGTCAATGAAGGGATTGATGCAAAGGTTAAATCTCTGAAGTGGAATTGCAGTTCTGATCTTCTTGCGGGGGTTGTTGAATGTGAAAATTATGATGCTATAAAGATATGGTATTTTAGCAACAACCACTGGTATTTGAAGCATGAAATTAGATACTTGAAGCAAGATGAAGTCAGCTTCATTTGGAATCCGACAAAGCCTCTGCAACTTATTTATTGGACTCTTGGTGGTCAGATCACAGTTTCCAACTTTGTCTGGATCACGGCTGTTATGGAGAATTCTATTGCACTAGTCATTGATGGTGCCAATATTCGTGTAACCCCGCTTTCCTTATCCTTAATGCCGCCTCCTATGTATTTATTTAGTCTGAAATTTTCTTCTCATGTCCGGGGTATGGCAGTATATTGCAAAAATTCTAAGAACCAGTTAGCTGCATTTCTTTCAGATGGGAGTTTATGTGTTGTAGAGCTCCCGTCAATTGAAACCTGGGAAGAGCTAGAGGGGAAAGAATTTAGGGTTGAAGCCTCTCATACTGAAATGGCAACTGGATCCATTTTACATCTTTTATGGTTGGATTCCCGTTCGCTATTAGCTGTTTCTCATTATGGTTTCAGTCACAGTAATTTTTTGTTTCAAACCTCACCGAGTGAGGGTGAACTTCGAGGCTTCTACTTGCAAGAAATTGAATTGGAATGTTCTGAGGACCTTGTCCCAGAGTTACTGACATGCTCGGGCTGGCATGCTACAGTTTCAAAGCGAAATACCCTTGAGGAGCTGGTTATTAGCCTCGCTCCAAATCCTGCTAGTAAATATTCTGCATATATGCAGTTTTCTGGGGGGAAAATCCAAGAGTATGTATCAAAAATTGGGATTAATAGAGGATCTCTAGAACAGGAACGTCATGATTTTTCAGCAACTTGTGCCCAGATGAGTGTAGTTCTAGTTGACAGTGCTGGTCTATCAAAACCCGTGCTTTTCGGACTGGATGAGATTGGCAGACTGCATGTTAATGGGCAAATAGTTTGCAACAACTGCAGCAGTTTCTCATTTTACTCAAATTTGGCAGACCAAGTGATTACACATCTTATTCTTGCAACTAAACAAGATTTGCTTTTTATTGTTGACATTGTTGATATATTTAATGGTGAGTTAGACTCAAAGTATGTGAACTTTGTCCACGTTAACAGCAGGAAAAAAGAAGAAAATGAAATCTACATAAATATATGGGAGAGAGGTGCAAAAATTGCTGGGGTTTTACATGGAGATGAAGCTGCCATTATACTACAAACTGCTCGGGGAAACCTGGAATGTATATACCCGAGAAAGTTGGTTTTGGTTTCTATCATTAATGCCTTGGTTCAAAAACGCTTTAAAGATGCATTACTTATGGTTAGGAGGCATAGGATAGATTTCAATGTAATTGTTGATTACTGTGGTTGGCAAGCATTTTCACAATTGGCTGCTGAATTTGTCAGGCAAGTTAATAATCTGGGTTACATAACAGAGTTTGTTTGTTCTGTAAAGAATGAAAATATTATAGAGAAACTCTACAAAAATTATGTGTCTGTCCCCCCTCCAAAGGTTGGTATGCATGCTGGAGCCTTCCAGAATTATCCTGCTGGTAACAAAGTTTCTTCCATTCTGATGGCTGTAAGAAAAGCACTTGAGGATCACATCACAGAAAGTCCTGCTAGGGAGCTTTGCATTTTGACCACTCTAGCTCAGAGTGATCCTCCATTACTTGAAGATGCTCTAAAGAGAATAAAAGTTATTCGTGAAAAGGAATTGTCTCATGCAGATGACCAGAGGGGAACGTCTTACCCTTCTGCTGAAGAAGCTTTGAAGCATCTTTTGTGGTTAGCGGATTCTGATGCTGTCTATGATGCTGCTTTGGGTCTTTATGATTTAAATCTTGCAGCTATTGTGGCATTGAATGCTCAGAAAGATCCAAAAGAATTTCTTCCATTCTTGCAGGAATTGGAGCGTATGCCTGCTCCATTAATGCAATATAATATTGATCTTAGGCTGAAAAGGTTTGAGCAAGCTCTCAGACACATATCTTCAGCTGGAGATTCTTATTATGATGATTGTATGACACTTGTGAAGAAAAACCCTCAACTGTTTCCATTGGCTCTTCAAATTTTTACTGACCCTACCAAGCGGATGCCATTCCTTGAGGCATGGGGGGATTATCTTAGTGATGAAAAATGCTTTGAAGATGCTGCAACAATGTACTTGTCCTGTTTCAATCTTGATAAGGCTCTGAAGTCTTATCGTGCTTTTAATTGCTGGAGTGGGGTGCTTACAGTTGCTGGGTTCCTTAATCTGGGAAAGGATGAGATACTGCTTCTCGCCAGTGAGCTGTGTGAGGAACTTCAAGTGCTTGGTAAACCTGGGGAGGCTGCCAAAATTGCCCTGGAATACTGCAGAGATGTTAACACTGGTGTGAATTTGTTGATTTCTGCAAGGGACTGGGAGGAGGCTTTGAGGGTTGTTTTTATGCATAGAAGAGAGGACTTAATTACAGCAGTGAAGAATGCATCATTGGAATGTGCAACCACACTTAGCAGTGAATATGAGGAAGGCTTAGAGAAAGTGGGCAAGTACTTGGCCCGTTACTTGGCTGTTCGACAAAGAAGACTACTTCTTGCTGCAAAGCTCCAGTCAGAGGAACGTGCAGCAAGTGATCTTGACGACGATACCGCTTCAGAAGCTAGCAGTAATTTTAGCGGAATGAGCGCATACACCACAGGGTATGTAGTTTTCCTTAACTGTCTTTATAATTTTCCAGCTGTAGATCATCAGTTTAATGTGCTTGTATATGTATTCTGAATTGTTTTTCTTTGACTCTGAGGATGGATTTTGGCTTTATAACATGTTAATACAAACACGACAAATCAGACATGATGCCGGTGCCCCTTCCATCAATCTTCCATGCATGAGATAATATACTGTGTTCAATTCTTCAGCAAAAGTATAAGAATTAGATATTATGGTCTTTGCAACTGGAGTCTCTATGTCATAATATTGCTGATAGGGAATACATGAATTTTGTTTTGTCTTCATTTAGAATGATGCAGACTTGAAGCTCATGGTTATCAGGGAGTAAAGTTGGACACACCCCCTTCCCCTCCTTAAGATAATCATTGTCATATTCAAACTAATGTTTTTCTCTAACTTACCCCATTTATGGCCATAAGGCCTTATTTTGTAATGTTCTATATTATTTTACCTGGTCAGCGTTGTGTCCACAATGACTTGATCTCATGCCTTATTTTCTTCAATGTGCCAAGCCTTCACAGCCTATTTCATTAAATAGATGATAAAATTGAACCATGCTTATTTTCTTTTCATACAAAAAAGGACTGGCAAAAGATAATTATTTTCACATTATTATGTGTATTTCTTCTGTTATACTTTTGGTGTGTGAGGCTTCATTTGTTTTCCACATTCCATCAACAGGACCAGAAAAAGTTCTGCTGCTTCTATTAGCTCATCTGCAACGAGCAAGGCAAGAGACGCTAGGCGGCAAAGGAAAAGAGGAAAAATCCGTCCTGGGAGGTATCTTGACATGAGAATTTTCTTGTGCCCCTCCTGTATTATTGTTTTACATTGAGCATTGGTCAACTGCTTAACATATGAAGTAATAGTTTTCTATTCCTTATTGAATAGTCCCGATGAGGAGATGGCCTTAGTGGAGCATTTGAAAGGCATGTCCCTGACAGTGGAAGCTAGACGTGAGGTTAAATCTTTGTTGGTTTCCCTTGTGATGTTTGGTGAGGGTGAAACAGCTAGAAAGCTACAGCAAATGGGGGAAAACTTTCAACTGTCTCAGATGGCAGCAGTTAGATTAGCTGAAGATACAATATCTAATGATATCATAAATGAGTATGAACATACGTTGGAGCAATATACCCGAAAAGTAAGGATTGAAATGCACAATTCAGAGGCTTTCTGTTGGCGGATTAAAGTATTTCAATCGTACGAGTGAATGTTGCAAATTGACATAGAAGTATCTAATTTCCAACTTTATCTCGGATGTCCCTGCATGCAGTTTGATGCTGATGGCATCTTTCCTTTAGGGCTTGTCCGTTCAGAACTATTAATGTACAAATACTCTGAATTGATTGTGCTACACTGAACATCTACATTAACAATGAAAGTTGGTTAGTTCCCGAGATGTGTGGATTGACTATATGGATCATTTAACGGGATAATTTATGGTTGTGACCAAATGGTTCTCAAATTCGAATAATTTGTGACATTCTGCCCTTCCAACTTTAGACTTCATGCTTCGTTTATAAATTTGTTACATCCTGCCCTTCCACCTCTACCTAAGAAAGCTCCCTTGTTACCGTGATTTTTATTTTTATTTTGTATATTCATTTAATTGATATCAACGTTTTATTTCAGTTAACTGTCAAAAATGCTTAAATATTGACCTCCCTCCCATATTTACCGAAAGTAATGCAGAAAACTGATCACGGGTGAAAATGTAATATGAGGGCACACGAAAAAGATAAAAAAAGAAATAATAAAGGGCCCAACCAGGTTCGAACCGGTGACCTCTTGATCTGCAGTCAAATGCTCTACCACTGAGCTATGGACCCTTTCTTGAAAGTTGTGCTCAAAAAACAGAATAAAATAGATAAATGTGACTATAATATGCCGGGTTTTGCGGCGTGAACAACTCCGCACGAATGATTTAAAATAATCATTTTTATAAATGTCGGTTCTACCTATAAATATGTATTCTCATAAAATTAATAATTAAACAATATTTTAACCTCTTAATCTGGAGAATATGGGGGCTATGGAGGTGGTTGGACATTACAAGTTAGTTAACAACTGCCACTCAACACACCCAATCAGACGTACGATTTAACTTTAGACAATTTCTTTTAAATATTTAGTTTTAGCCTTTTTTAATATATCATTTTACCTGAATTTTGAAAATATTTTAATAAAATTAAGAAATTAAAGGAATTGCATCACATATATTTTTTTTTAAAAAAAAAACACTTGAATCAAATACCTATATTATTTGAAAAAGTGATTAAGTAAAATAAAAGACAAAAAACAGGAGATATTTTGGAAAGTTTATTTAAATTAATGAAAAATAATTTATTTTTTATAATTTTTAGTTTATTTAATAAATTTGATGAAGAGGTCACGAAATAAAGTTTTCAATTTATTTTATTAAAATTTTTAATTAAATTATATTTAATCAAACTGCTTGAACATTCTCCTAAAATAATTATAGAATAACGCTGTAACCATCCAGGGTATTCAACGAAGAAAGCAATTATTGTGCATGTTCTTCCTGACGAAAGAAAAAACGTTACGGCAACACGTAAATTATGAAATGACGTACACTATTTAGTTGGTCATGGATTAATTATAATTATATTATTAAAAGAAAAGAAATATCATTCAAATTATTGAATTGTGCTTAAACTATTATCTAATTAGATGAAAGTATGCAATTTTCTATACTAGCATTATATTAAATTCAAACTCTCTAATCTTTATAAAAATATAATTTTTCATATAATTCCATTTACCTTTCTGTCATACAAGTCGTTTAAATTCTCCTCATAATGTAATAAATGAAAATATTGATAATTTATTTGGCTGTATAAAATAAATATTTAACCAAAGCCTCAATAATTAAGTTTAATTTTTTTAGTAGTGACTGTAGAAATTTATTTAATAATAAGAAATAAAAAAACGGAAGTAGATAATCTTTTGCATGAAAAGTTACTGCAAACAATTAGAATAACGAAATTTAGTACTGTTTAGTATTTAATAAGGAGGAAGTCACTCACATGTGGCACAGGAACAAGAACAGGATCGATTTTGTTGTTTAAAATGTTGTGTGTCTTTTGGCTGTTTCTCGTACTTTCTGCTTTTCTGACAAACCTTAACCTTTGCACTTTGATGACTTTTATTTCTCTCTCTTATCATCATAAATTCTTAATCATCTGTGTGAGAGAGAGAGAGAGACATGGTGAACCTGATGGAATGGCAGAAACAGCTGCAGAGTGGGAATGAGAATGAGAATGGGAATGGGAATGGGAATGTTGATGCCAATGGACAACTCATGTATGTGAAGGTTATGACTGATGAACAGTTGGAAACCCTGAGGAAACAAATTGCAGTTTATGCCACCATTTGTGACCAACTTATTGAGATGCATAGAACTCTCTCAGCTCAGCAGGATCTGGCAGGTCATCATCATCTTTTTTTCTATTTTTCTCCTCTTTTTATTTTTTAATTTTGTGAATATTATTTTTATTATGGGCTATAATAATACATGCCCAATATTTGGTTCTTACATTTGAATCCTCATATCCTGTCACCCACCCCTTTGGTTGTTAAATCAAACCCTTCGCTCATAAGGTTTTGAACATCTCTTTACTATTTTTGTCAGTCAGATTTGTCTGAATCATGTTTCATCCATTCAATTTCAAAGTACCACCCTATTAATTTCCTTTTTTTTTTCCTTTTTGTTTCCAAACTATTTAAGCAACCTGTTTCTACAAATCAGAAAATGACACAGGGCAAAATATCAACAATACTTTTTTCCCCGACATACAAGGCACACTGGATTTCAATTTTCAATTTTAAACTTTTATTTTGTCATCATAACCAGAAAGTTTCTTTTAATAAATTGTTATGCTTTTAACATGTTAAATTTTATAAACTATTTGAAAATGTTATAATTAAGAAGATGTAGCACAACTTACATCCCTCATTTTAAGATTACAAATTCATTTGATCATATCCTCTTTTCATTCCATAAATATTATCCCGTTACACTTAATAGAAGTATTTTAACTAACAGTTATTTTCAAATAGAGGAAATTTCTAAATACCAAGCTGGTCATTTACATAGAAAAACCAAAATTTGTTGATTTTTATCTTACTATTTTGCTTTGGCTGTTTCTGTCATATAAGCACAGCCTGGTATTACAGTAAATTTTCAACTTCTTTTTTTGTCTTTCCCTTTCAAATAAGAGAGATAGATTGTATAATTAGTGAAACCTTACAATTTCCCTCACCCCACCATAAAGAATGAAGTAAAATTATTTCTTTTTCTAGGCAGTTGGCATATAGAAAATGACATATGATCACTAAGATCTAGCATTCCCTAACGAAAACATTGATGTTTTGTTCATCAGGGGTTAGATTGGGTAACATATACTGTGACCCATTGATGACATCTGGTGGCCACAAAATAACATCTAGACAGAGGTGGACACCCACACCTGTGCAGCTTCAGATTCTTGAACGAATATTTGATCAGGGAAATGGAACTCCAAACAAGGAAAAAATCAAGGAAATCACCACTGAACTGGGCCAACATGGCCAAATTTCTCAAACCAATGTCTATAATTGGTTCCAGAATAGGCGTGCTAGATCCAAGAGAAAATTGCAAAATGTGACTCCTAGCAACACTGAATCAGAACTAGACACTGAGGTTGATTCTAAGGATAAGAAGACAAAACCAGAAGATATTCAATCCCAACATAACATAACAACTACAGGGTCTGAAAAGTTGTGCTTCCAAGATCCTCAAGTATGCTCTGACTTGCAGTACTTGAACCCAAATTCTAACAAAACATGTTCCATGTTCCCATCAGATGCCACTGTGAAATCCACAAGAAATCTGGGTCGTATGTCTGTCTTTGATGAGGTGCTATCAAACTCAAGTATGTAACATCAGTTGTCTCTTTATTAGCATTTTTTTTTCTTTTGTGTTCATTTGGTATGTCTTACACAGGAAACTAATTTATATTCTGCTTTGAATTTTGATAGACTAAATATTACAGTTAAAGAGCTCTGAAAACTAGTATCAGATGAAATCATTAAGCTAGTTTTATCAAAAAGTGAAGGTATCTTGATTCTTAACTTGTCAATGTAAAAAAAATTGAGTATAATTGATTTTTGTATGTAATTTGAGTCCATTAATATTGTGATACTTGAAAAAACCTTAGATCACTACATCTTCATAGATGAGGCTCTCTCTATTACAGCAATTGACCATAAAAATTGATTTGACCACTATTTCCCTTTTTTTTTTGTGTGTGTGTGAAGGGAATGATTATCTGGTTGGGAAAATGGAAGTAGCTGCAACTGGGAGTTACAATTTATATCATCACCAAGCAGGAGACTACAATCTGGCAGGTTGATCACAATTTATATTGAACTCATCAAAACTCTGTAATATTTATCCATCTTTTATAACATTTGCTGAATATTTGACCAAAGAATCGTATAAAAATGTTGCTTCATGTTGGGAACTTGGTTCCTTGGTAACCGCTTCACTATTTTTCTTCTTGAAAGTGATACATTTTGTCTTTGATAATGTCAAGTTTTTTTTATATATATGATCAAGAATTACATTTGGTTAACATGGTTAAAAAAACTCAACTATTTATCAATTATATTGGTATTTTAAGTTGTTAATATCCTCTTTTTTGTTTGTTTAATTTCTTAAAAATATCAATTTAGTTGTTTAGTAAGTATATCATTCTTTAAAGTAATTTTTTTAAAGAGTGAATCAATAACAAATATGCATTAAAGGTTTATCAAAAACCGGGTTGTAATATTTTTAACTTTAATATACTATATATTTGAAGGAATTTATACAGTTATTTAATAATTTTTTGTCACATTATATAATGATAACTTTAATTTTAATGTAATTGTTTTGAAAAAATTGCATAATTATTGAATGATATATAATCATTTCATTTATAGAATTTAATATACTCTACTTAATTTGTGAACCTGCCAAAACGAAATTATCGAGATCAGGTTTTTCCGTTTTCTTATTATGCTTCACACACATATGTAAAATTTATATTTAATATCAAATATGTAACACTAAATTAATAGTGAAAATCTACGTGACATGTCATTAGAATGTGAATAAATTAAGATCATTTCTCGTTAATTTCAGTTATCTTAGGAGAGGAAAACTATAAAATAATTATATTATTTAAGTAAAAAATGATATAATAATAACATGAATTAAACTCCACTTACAATTTTAAATTAATTATTGAGGATCAACACAAGATTCTATTAAAAAGTATCGAAATTAATTTTAACATTTTTTTATGATAAGATATTAAGAGGTGTTTCTAAAATTAAAAACTAAACATAATTTATCATAAATCACTTCACAAACACGAGGTAAAATTTTTACCGTAAAATGACAAAAAAAAAATTCCTCATATAAATTTATTGTCAATTTTATTATACGAATGGACCCATTTTTGTTGCAATTCAGAATTCGGTCATGACCGAATTCTGAGTTAGATTTTTGTTTTTTTGTTTTTTTTTATAATAAATAAATATTATTATTTAAATTATATTTATATATTATTATTTTGTTAAAATAAATATTTATAAATATTTTATTATTTATATATAATAAAATAAATTTTATTATTTAAATTTTGTTTTTATTTTAATATTATTTAAAAATAAATAAAAATATTAATAATATTAATTTTAAATGTTTATTAAAATTTATTTGATATATTTAAGATAATAAATAATATTTTTATTTTTCTTATTATATTATTTAATATAATTTTTTTTAAATGATATTAATATTATATTCTAAAATTATATTTTTGGTTATTTAATATTATATATTTATAAAATAAATAAAGTATTAAATAATAACCATTTTATTTATTTATTATGATATATTAATATTTATTAAAATTTATACATAATTATTTATTTAAAAAAATATGTTATTAATAATAATAAATATAATTAAATAATATTATGTAGATATATATATATATATAATTATATATTGAATAGAAATTACAAATATTAAAAATTTAAAAGATACAATGACATTCATAAAATTAAAAATAACATGAAGAAAATTTTAAAATAATAACAACAACATAAATTAATGGAGGGAACTAAAAGCTTGACCGATATTTGGACATATCTTCCTTGTGTGATCAGGGGTATGACAATAAGAACAATTTTTTGCCCGACTTTGTTGTTCTTTAATGTCCATCTCTGTTCTTATCCTACTAGACTTGGGTCGACCCTTTGAAGTTCTTTTCAGTTCTGGATTTGGATACAAAGTTGGGCCCGTGTAATTTGGCCAATAGTCTTCGTGTCTGAGTTTTCCAAATTGACCTTCGTATACCCTAGAAACTTGTTGTAAGGTATACACAGAAGATATGTAGATGTCAAAGTTGTGGTGTATGTGTAAGCATGAAGCAATTACATGCGAGCATGGGATGTGAACATATTGCCATTATCAGAAGAACCATCTGAAGAAGAAGTTTACGCCCATTGTAGAGCTTATATACTAGGTTTAATTGAAGGTGTTTTGATGTCTGACAAAACAGGTAACAAAGTACATCTTATGTATTTAGCTTTATTAACTAATCTTAGAAAAACAAGACGATATAGTTGGAGTTTTGTTTGTTTAGCTATGTTGTACAGAAAAATGTGCAGAGCCACAGAAGTTGGTAGAAAAACAATGGGTGGTTGTTCATCACTGTTAATGTCCTGGGCATGGTATCGCATGCCATATATTGCGCCAATTTCTAGTAATACACCAACATACCCTCTCGTGTGCAGATGGAGCAGGAGTAGAGTATTAAACTTTCGAAATAAACCTCACAATGATGTTGTGGGGGCACAAATCAATGTTTGATCACATTCAAGCTAATCAAGTAACTCGTCATATTTATTTTCTTATCTTTTACACATCATTTTAAGTAACAAAGTTAAATATATTTGTAGTTTTTATGGGCGCCATATCAAGACTTGCAGACATCAATACCCATAGAAGCATATAGAAATGTCCAACTGTGGACTTCATGTACCGCCATCCTTTGTTTTGCAATTGTTGAATGGCACCAAACAGATAGAGTCAAATTATAGTTTCGTCCAATCCTAGAAGTCCATTCTCCACCGAATAATTTGAATAACCTCCACAAAATTGACATGAGAGGAAGACATGATGAAAATTGGGTTACAAGACATGCTCAATGGATCGAAATATGGAATAACAGACGTGAGCTGACAATAACAGGTCATCCAATTCAAGGCCCATTGTGTCACACACAGGAATACATGGAATGGTACATTGCTAATTCTATCTATTTTTTATTTATGCCACAACTACTACAAGATCTAAGGACGAGCGACCAACAACAAAGGACTATCAACACATTTGAAATGGGTACGACTTTCACACCGTCGTACCACGAGACTGCATCAATTCCTCTGAACATTACGTCAGAAGCAAACATAATTAACACAAGACATTCGTTTGCAACAACATCAGAGGATTTTTTTACAAACTTATTTGGAGTTGATTTTACAACTCCATCTTCAGCACAAACTTATATGCAGTCTCTTTACCAACTGGATTTTGCTAATGAATCTGGTAATTCATCAAATGCATTCCAAAAACTAGACCTTTATGATGATCTAAATCATCCACAAGTTCATCTTGAAATCCCAGAGCAACAGCCACAACGATGAAACCCACCACGTCACAAACGTCGCCCTCGTTGTGGAATTGACCACCATTACGGAGATAGTTAATTATTAATGTTGTTATGAATTTGTTATTATCTTTATTAATGTATTTTGTCTTCATCAATATTACTTTAATAATATGAAAACGTTAATTTCAAAATATTTGTCTCAACTATAAATAATTAAATTGTAATTTAATATTTTATTTACTTTTTAAAAATAAATTTTTTATTTTCAAATAAAACTTATTGAAAATTATAATAGTATAATTTTAGAGTTTAGGATATTAAAAATTATAATATTAAATAATAACATTTTTAAACAAATAATTTAATTAAAATAAAATTTTTATTCAAAATATTATTTTATCATACTAATATTTAAAAATATTAAGTCAAAATTACATATTTAAATAAATAAATAAACAAAATAATATTTAATATATTTTTTTAATTTTAAAAAATATATTTAGTATTCTTTAAGTAGAAATTATTTAAACATTAACATTATTATGTAAAATAATATACTTATTATTTAAATATTTTTTAAAAATTAACTAAAATAATTTACTTATTATTTAATTATTTTTTAAAAATTTAGTTATTATTGTTTTCTAAAAATATTATTTATTATCTTAAATATGTCAAATAAATTTTAATAAAAATTTAAAATTAATATTATTACTATTTTTATTATTTTTAAATAATATAAAAATAAAAATAAAATTCAAATAATAAAATTTATTTTAATATATATAACTAATAAAATATTTATAAATATTTATTAAAATAATATATTATAAATATTTATTTTAACAAAATAATATTATATAAATATAATTTAAATAATAATATTTATTTATTATAAAAAAATGAAAATCTAACTCAGAATTCGGTCTCAGAAGACCGAATTCTGAATTGCAACAAAAATAGTTTCATTTGTGTAATAAAATTGACAATGGATCTATATGAGGAATTTTTTTTTTAGTCATTTTACGATAAAAAACTTTCACAAACACCCGATGGAGAGTGAGTAATTTTTATTTATATAGATAAGACACTCTGTTAGTTAACTTTAATAATCTTGTAAGATATTATGATTTTCATAAATTTTTTGTCAAAAACAAAAGTGTCAACATATTAATGACTCAAGATGACACCAATATCATATCAAATTAGGTAACATACAATCTTACCTTTTTTAAAATTAATTATATAATGTCACTCTTTTAATAATTTAGTAATGAACTTCTATCCTCCTCCTTCAATGTTCACTTTTCTTGAAAAAAAATAGTCATATACAAATATATTTTAATTCAGTATTTTTTTAATCAATAATCTAAGTAAGTTTATGTTTCTTTAATTCAGTTTTAACCATAAAAATGATTTTTTGAATAGGAGTTAACAATTTTTATTTGAAGAAAACATGATTATATAAAATTATGATTTGAACAAAGGATTGTGAATCTAAGAGAGGGGGCAGAATAGAGTGTGGGAAGGAGTATCTAACAGGAACTTTGCTCTGCTCTCTGGTGGCATAACCATTTGGTTCGGTTTGGTTTGGTTCGATCCCTTTCGATTTCGATGTCGGCGTCGAAAACCTTCTCTTCCTAACCAATCTCTTTTCAATTCCGATCTGTGGCGATGGCAGCAGCACCCGCTCGAGCTCGCGCCGATTACGATTACCTCATCAAACTTCTTCTCATCGGCGACAGTGGTTCGTTTCTTTCTTTTCTTTTCACGCTTTCTAGTGTGTGTGTGTGTGTGTGTGTGTTATTTGTCTCTGTTTTAGGTTTTTTGTTTCTGATTCAAAAGTATTTTGTAGGTGTGGGGAAGAGTTGTCTTCTCTTGAGATTTTCTGATGGTTCATTCACAACCAGTTTTATCACCACTATTGGGTTTGTTTGTTTCTCTCTTCTTTCAACATTCACTTTTCTGTTCTCTACCATTGAATCTTACTGTATAATGTATGGCAGCATTGATTTTAAGATAAGAACCATTGAACTTGATGCCAAACGCATTAAGTTACAAATCTGGGATACTGCTGGTCAGGAGCGATTTCGAACTATTACCACTGGTATCTTATTTCTCTTGCAATTTCTATATTCATTTCTCTCGTTATTGTCTTACGTGCTTTTTTGTTGCAGCTTATTACCGTGGAGCCATGGGTATCTTGCTTGTTTATGATGTTACTGATGAAGCATCTTTCAATAGTAATCTCCTTTCACTACATTACATTCTTTTCATGTATTCATTGTATGATTTATTTTGGATTTTGCTGACCTAGTAAATTGTATTTCCTTCATATTTTCCCCATTTCTTGTATTTCTCTTTGATTTACATCAATCAAATAGGTACTCTTTTCCTTCATATTTTCAATGTTGCTTGCCTTTTGCTGGTCAGATATTAGGAATTGGATTCGGAATATTGAACAACATGCTTCTGACAATGTAAACAAGATACTTGTGGGCAACAAGGCTGATATGGATGAAAGTAAAAGGGTACGTGCTTCTTGGTTTATGTTTTACATCGTAGTCGGATGCGGTTTGAAATTAGTTGATTAAGCAGTTGTTGCATGATTCATTGATTCACTGATCTGAGATTAAGCTATCTCTTTGTGTGCTTTCCACTGTCATTATGTTAGTATTCTTCATTAATACAGACAAATGTTTTTCCTTTCTCTCCTCTAGGCTGTGCCTACGTCCAAAGGTCAAGCACTTGCTGATGAGTATGGAATCAAGTTCTTCGAAACTGTGAGTAACAACATGCCAGACAATCACATTTTTATTAAAATTATATGCAATTTCATTATATTTATGTTGAAGAACCCATGCAGAGTGCAAAAACCAACATGAACGTGGAAGAGGTTTTCTTTTCAATAGCAAGAGATATCAAGCAAAGGCTTGCAGATACAGATTCAAAAGCTGAGGTATATTGTCAACTTTTTTCATATATCCTTTGTTTTTTTTTTCCTTGAGAAATGTAAGTGCATGCGTGAATCAGGCCTTCTTTTTCCCTCTGTACAAATGTTTTCATCTGGGAGATCGTGTATCAAGTACTTAAAGAAAAAAAAATTGTCAGGAGGCATTTGGGATTTTCACGATACTAACTTTCAAAATATGTGCATAGATTTGCTTCTTATTTTGAACTGCTCAACACTGATATTCTCTTATCTTGTGGTTCAGCCCCAGACTATCAAGATTAACCAATCAGACCAGGCAGCCGGTGGTGGTCAACCTGCACAAAAATCAGCTTGCTGCGGTTCATGAAAAGAATGAGTGTCTGCAGCAAAGAGGGTGCAGGTCTGATGACATTATAAGTGGGAGCGTGCATTTGTCCCTCTGTATCTGCCAAGTGCAGATGTCGTGTTTTAAAGTTAATATTTTTAATTTTTTGCTCATTTTAGTTGCTGGAATTTGTCGTGACTAGTTATTTGGTTCACTTTCCTCTTTCATCTGTAGTCTGGCTCTTAAAAGGGTATCATCTTGATTAGAATCGGATATATTATCACAAGTTCACCACACTTTGATCTAGAGACAAAATGTTTTTTGTTGGCTTAGGAATATAGAGACAAAAGTAAGAATGTGTTTTTACATGGAAGGAAGGCCTTACTATTTCACCTGCATGCTTCAGTGACATACTTACTAAAAACGGTCCCCAGGTCTAGCGATGATAATATTGCTTGATAACGTTGCAGTATTTTTACCCACTCTGGAATGGTTTGGTTCAGAAGGTGGAACCGAGTTTCTTGAAGCTAAAATTTTGCAAATGTTAAATCATTGTCTAATCCCCTTTCTGATTCACATTCGATTGAAATGAATGTTTTTCCCTTTTCAAAAATGTGAGTTTAAACCATTGTAACTTGGAAACAATCAAGTGCCCTTACTACTTTATCATTTCCCAATCATAGAGGTTTGCGAAATCCGTTGCTAATTAGTTCCAAAATTCTGAAACACTCGTGAACTGAACTGCATTGAACTATCAATTACATATTGCGAGACCGTGGCATCAACAGTGAAATTGAAATCATCAAGATAATATTACTACAAAATCTTTAATTGCCAACAGTTAGTAGTGTGACGTAAAAATATATCTTTCTTTCTCCTTAACCGCTGTTAAATGATGTAAACCTTTATTATGTAGCGGGGAAAAGAACGCCGACTTGCTTAATCAATGTTGCCAAAATGAAGAGATGAAATGGTATGTCAACAATTTTGATCAAAAAGATTTGGGGATGCTTTATTTTTTAACTCTATTTTTCCTTTTTGATAAGAAAAACATAGGTGAAATGTGAGTTCACATATTTTTTTCTACCAAACACAAGTAGAAAATGATGAAAATATTGGCAGATTATTCATACCTAACACACATTATACAAGAGACAAACACCATTTTAAAGGAACAAATCATTCATTTAAAGGCATCCATTACAGAACAAATACCATTTAGCTTAATTGGATGTTTGCCCGTCAATTTCACATCCAAATTCTTTGTAACTCACAAGAAACATTTTTAAACAAATTCTCAGCTTCCCCTTCACCGAAAACCTACCAAAAAGGCGCGCAGCCTATATCACTCGTTAACAATAACACCAAACAATCTAAAGATGAAAAGGGGTTGAAAGCATTCATTTAGCCCCGAAGCATAAAATATTCGAAAAAAAGGAGGAAAAAAAAAATCCAAAAAGAGCATTCATCTGGATCTCTTTATTATCCTCATCCTGGACTTAATGATTTGCTTCAACACTTAAATGTTCTTGGGTTCTGCTGGAGAGTTTAAATTCCTCAAGAGGCTGTTGTTGGATTCTCTGAAAGTCCTCTTATGTGTATATTTATGAAGATAATCAAAGTCGAATATTCACTATGCCATGGGTAAAAAAAATTCGCATGGGTTCTGTACATTATATGCAGCATGCTGAGTTATGTGAGCTTATAGATAGGTTAAACCCAGCTTAGATTGTGGTTTTGGAAGTTTATGTATAATTTGATTTCATAGAGGTTATCCAGGTGATTCATCCAGACTCTATGACTGAGGATATAAGTTTCGTTCCCGTACAACCAAGTGTGAAAGAGTTCTACTCATGCTTCAGAAGGAGAGCATGTTGCATTTGTTTCGAGTTGAGTTGAAGTCCCACATTGACTAAAGCAATAGATAAAACTAATAGAAGCTATTATATAATGACTTGTCAGAAGCAATTCAAAAGCATCTTTGCGCTTGGGGCAATGACGCAGCTAGTGAGGTTCTAACCGAGGCGCGTCTATTGCTGGTTGAAAACTATTTCCAAACCCCCTCTTAGGCCTGGGTTAAGCCCAGGCCTTCGAGAATTTCTGGAAGGGCTCCCTTTTGGGTAAAGCCCTACATTTCAGTCCTAAATTTTCATTCATAAACATATCTAGGTGGGGTCCAATTTTGATCAAGAACCCGTACCAAACGTGAAGGCGTGATTTTGGTTATACCTCGTGTTTTGCATTGATAACAAGTGTTCTATGGAAGGCATTGGTACAACTATTATAAAACAATATTATTTTCGTATAAATAAGTTTAAAGTATTATTGATAAAATATACGAATATTGAATTAAGTATACATATTATTCATCTTTAAGGACTTGGACAAAATGGTTTTATAATTATTTTAGAAGTGATATATGGTGCTATATTAATGTATTTTTCTATTTAAAAACTATATATAAGAAAAATATAGTTTTATACTTTTTTAAAAATTTAATAAATCTCTTATCGCCAAATTTTGGAAAAAAAAAAAGAATGACTATAAAAATACATACAAAAAATTAAGTTTAAAATATTAGATAAAAAATTAAAAATATAAATAAAGTAAATAAATAATTAATGAAAGATAGATAACATGATAGATGAATGTTAACATTATATATAAATATTTTTTTAAAAAAATAATGCATGTTATATTAATATTTTATATTCTTGGAACAATATTTTGATATATATTTACTTAAATAAGTCGTGCAATGTTATTAATAAAGTTATATGTATATAAATTTATATTATTTCGAAGAATATTTTTAATTTATATATATATATAAAATAAAAATACAAATATTAAAGAAAGAGGGGGCGGGAAAACAGTGACCTTATCAAGGAGGAACACGTCAACGTTTAAAAGGAAGCTCTAGAAAGTGTAAGAAAATAAAACGAAAAATGATAATATTAAATGGCATTGGTGGGATTTGGGACCCACGAAAATTGAAAAAAGTGAGAAAGAAGAGATAGAGGGATGGTTACGAATGCATGAGCATAAGCATAAGCATAAGCATCAGCGTCTTCTGGAACCATTGAGTTGCCATTCAAACACTTCAATTCCATTACCATTATCATCACAAGACCATGTTGATGCCAACTTCTCAGCGTGCAATTTCCTGTAACTGTAGTATTGTCTCTACTCTACTCTCTTCTCTTCTCTTCTTCTACTTGCAATTGCTGTGTTGATTGATTTTATGTATGCTCTTTATTACTCAGTTCTGAATTTGATTTTACGAATGTATGTTCGCGTCAATAATTTCTTTGAGCGTGCATTTTCAATCTCGTTGATTCCTTTACACTTTATGTCTTAAATCCACCTTTTGTCTGTTACACTCCATCGTGATTATTTCGTTACTAGATTTATGGAATATGCTTTGTTTTTGGCCCTTTTTCTCAATCTCATATCGAACTCTGTCTTCTTTTTTTTTTTTTTGTTAGTTTGGTGATTGATTGGAATGAGTGATGTATGGTGAATGAAGGTAGAGCTTGAAGAGATACGATCATTGAGAAATTGTTGATATTCTTGAGTGGTAGAGAGTCATGGCATGGTTTAGAGTTGCTTCCAGCATAGCAAAGCATGATGCAGTTAGGAGAAATATCTATAGAGGTGGATCATTATGTTATGTGAGAAGGACCACAGTCCTTCCATCAGCAAGTAGAATTAGAAATTTTCATGCCACAACTTTGAAATCCAAAGAACAAACTGCACCCGTGCCTCGCCCTGTACCCCTTTCTAGGTTGACTGATAACTTCTTGGATGGGACGAGCAGTGTCTATTTGGAGGAGCTCCAAAGAGCTTGGGAAGCTGATCCAAACAGTGTTGATGAGTCGTGGGACAATTTCTTCAGGAACTTTGTTGGTCAGGCTTCCACCTCCCCTGGGATTTCTGGACAAACAATCCAAGAGAGTATGCAGTTGCTGTTGCTAGTGAGAGCTTACCAGGTTAATGGCCACATGAAAGCCAAGCTAGATCCTTTGGGTCTTGAAGAACGAAAAATCCCTGATGAGTTAGACCTCGGTCTTTATGGCTTCACTGAGGCTGATCTTGACAGGGAATTCTTTTTGGGGGTGTGGAAAATGTCTGGGTTTTTGTCTCAGAATCGTCCAGTACAGACTCTTAGGTCCATTTTGACCCGGCTTGAGCAAGCCTACTGTGGAAGCATTGGCTATGAGTACATGCACATACCAGATCGCGAAAAATGCAATTGGCTTAGGGACAAGATTGAAACTCCTACACCTACACATTATAATCGGGAGCGTCGTGAGGTTATTTTTGATAGGCTTGCCTGGAGTACTCTTTTTGAAAACTTCTTGGCCACCAAGTGGACATCAGCAAAGAGGTTTGGGCTTGAAGGGGGAGAGAGTATTATTCCTGGCATGAAAGAAATGTTTGATCGAGCATCTGATCTTGGGGTTGAGAGCATAGTTATGGGAATGGCACATAGGGGAAGATTGAATGTTTTGGGTAATGTAGTCCGGAAGCCACTTCGTCAGATTTTTTGTGAGTTTAGTGGTGGTCAGCCTGCGGACGAAGTTGGACTCTACACAGGAACTGGTGATGTTAAATATCACTTGGGAACATCCTATGATCGCCCAACCAGGGGTGGAAGGAGGATACATTTGTCTTTGGTGGCAAATCCTAGTCACTTGGAAGCAGTCAACCCACTTGTTGTTGGAAAAACTCGAGCAAAGCAGTATTACTCAAATGATGTCGACAGAATGAAAAACATGGGTGTTTTGATTCATGGAGATGGTAGTTTTGCTGGACAAGGTGTGGTCTATGAAACCCTTCATCTTAGTGCTCTTCCAAATTACACTACAGGTGGGACTATACACATAGTGTTCAACAATCAAGTTGCATTCACAACTGATCCCAAGTCAGGAAGATCTTCACAATATTGCACTGATGTTGCCAAAGCCTTAAATGCTCCCATCTTTCACGTGAATGGTGATGATGTAGAAGCAGTTGTTCATGTCTGTGAACTTGCAGCTGAATGGCGCCAGACTTTCCATTCAGATGTGGTTGTTGACTTGGTATGCTACCGTCGATTTGGGCACAATGAGATTGATGAGCCATCTTTCACACAGCCTAAAATGTATCAGGTTAGCCCTTTTGCTTATTATTATACATATTTCTTTTTGACAAGTTAATCACATTTTCAACTTTTATGTCTGGGCTTATATATAGGTCATCCGGAACCATCCATCAGCTCTTGAGATATATCAGAAGAAACTTTTGGAATTGAGGGAGCTGACACAAGAAGACATTGATAAGATACATAAGAAGGTCATGTCAATTCTAAATGATGAATTTTTGGCTAGCAAAGATTATGTTCCAAAAAGAAGAGATTGGCTTTCAGCATATTGGTCTGGTTTCAAGTCACCTGAACAGCTTTCACGTATTCGGAACACTGGGTATGATACATCAATGTTAATATTGCTTGAATCTTTTCTGTTGGTTAAGTTGAAATCTATGATCTATCCTGTGCAGTGTGAAACCTGAGATCTTGAAAAATGTTGGGAAGGCCATCACAGTCTTACCTGAAAATTTTACTCCTCATAAAGCAGTGAAGAGGATTTATGAACAGCGTGCCCAAATGGTTGGAACAGGGGAAGATATTGACTGGGGATTTGCAGAGGCACTTGCTTTTGCCACATTGATAGTTGAAGGTAACCATGTTCGATTAAGTGGTCAGGATGTAGAAAGAGGAACATTTAGTCACCGCCATGCTGTAGTTCATGATCAGACAACTGGAGAGAAATATTGCCCCCTTGACCATGTGATAATGAATCAAAATGAAGAGATGTTTACTGTTAGCAATAGGTAATATGATTTTACACACATACACGTATTCCATCATGGTATTAAAAGAATAAATCAGGTTTACATGATTATTTTTCCAATTCGGACTTGCTCATGTGTCTTAAGCTTCTGAAATTTGAATCGTATCTTGTTCAAGTGAACATTGATATTTGCTTATTTTGTCTTCTAGGACTAATTTAGTTTTAATTTGTCACATGGTTTGGAATGAATAGTAAAGTTTGTGATTTTTTTGTTACAATGGATATTTAGGATTATATTTGCCAAATTTCTTAATGAAATTTATTGTTGAACCTTCTTGTAAACCATTAATGATTGTTATTTAGACAGTTCCATTGGATCTTTATTTCTTCAAAATAGATAATTACTGCTCTAGCACCAAGTGCATTTCAATATCAATGTCTCACCTGTGTCTATGGTGGTACACTATCATCCCAATTATCCATCAACTTATACTACATAATGTTGCAAGCTTTTATCTAGATGACACTAGCTTTTATCTCTCATATTATAAATGTCAGCATTGTCAATTTTATTCTTTAAAAAGCTTCATATGTATGTTTAACTAATGGTAGATTGTTTTCTATTAGTCTCTTATTAATCGTTCATACAATATGCAGCTCACTTTCTGAGTTTGGTGTTCTTGGATTTGAATTGGGTTACTCAATGGAAAATCCTAATTCATTGGTGATCTGGGAGGCTCAATTTGGTGATTTTGCTAATGGGGCCCAAGTTATATTTGACAATTTCTTGTGTTCGGGCGAGTCTAAGTGGCTCCGTCAGACTGGGATTGTTGTGTTGCTTCCTCATGGTTATGATGGCCAGGGTCCTGAGCATTCAAGTGGAAGATTGGAACGCTTTCTTCAGGTGCTGTGTTGTGAATCCGTGTTCTAATTTCCTTGAAACTTCTTTCAAAGGTTTTATTCTTTCTGCATGATTCTGCTTGCCAACTTTTGTCTACTTTGTGATTGACATACTACTGCACAGTATAGGGATCTGGCATATTCAATTTACTTCTTTGATTTTTTGTTGTGCTCAGTCATTTTAAAACATAAGCTTCTTGCCATTACTCGATGGCACTTGGAAATACTGATCATTTATAACTGGAGTAGTTTAGGGAATACCAAAGGTACAGGTTAATGGAACAGCACTGAAAATGAAATCTGACTCTTTGAATTTAGCCACCTTTAATGGTGGAAACTTTTAGTTTCATAGAATAGAAGGGGGAAGGAGAAAAATGAAACACTTTTTTTTGTCTAATTCAGATTGGTGGTTGGGATCTTATGTTTTTATTGCAACCAAATAATTTGAACAATTAACTCTAGCTGCTTGCTTTGGAAGGTCTTTTCTTTTTTTGTGCACATGCCTCATTCATATTTCAATTTTACTCTTAATGATATTCAAATAACATTTTCGTTAATTTTTTGGCAGATGGCTGATGACCATCCTTATGTTATTCCTGAGATGGATCCGACACTTCGGACACAAATTCAGGAGTGTAATTGGCAGATTGTGAATGTTACAACTCCTGCAAATTTTTTCCATGTCTTACGGCGACAGGTTTGTTGTTGCTACAATGATTTGATTGATGTTAGCTTGGTCATTTAAATTTGTGTTGCTAAATTTCTCACTGTAGATTTTTGTTCTCTTGTAGATACACAGAGAATTTCGTAAACCTCTCATTGTAATGTCCCCTAAGAACCTGCTTCGTAGTAAGGCTTGCAGATCAAATTTATCAGAGTTCGATGATGTCCAAGGACACCCAGGTTTTGACAAACAGGGAACAAGATTTAAGCGGCTCATAAAAGATCAAAATAACCACTCAGATGTTGAGGAGGGTATCAGACGTTTAATACTCTGCTCTGGAAAGGTGTGTGTGATACTGATTGGATCTAGCTGTTCTCATGTGCTTGGATGTTATGCTCTGTCACCTGGTGGATTTTATATTAACTGTATTTGTGAATTTTATATGTTGATCTTATTACATACATGTTTTCCACTTAGGACTTAACATTGTTTTCAAAATAAGCTTTTTACAACTATCAATGTCCTGTATTCCTTGCAGGTTTACTATGAACTTGATGAACAACGATCAAAGGAAGATGCAAAGGATGTTGCAATATGTAGGGTGGAGCAGCTTTGTCCTTTCCCTTATGATCTTGTCCAACGAGAGCTTAAACGATATCCAAGTATGTATTCTCAAAATGCTCTTCTGAAGCGGATTCTTTTTTTTTTTTCCATGTTGAAGCTTGAATATGTCTGTTACTGTTAGTAGTGTGGGAAATAATTCTCGTTTGTGACCTCTCAACTGGACAGTCAAATTTATATTTTATATCATGACTGTTGCCTCTTCTACCTTAGTTAAATGATCAGCCATGCGGAAGCAGTTGTTTTCTTGCTATCAAAGCAGGAGTGACAACATTGAGTGCTGGCTCGTTGGGATGATTCGATAGCATCTATGTTTCTGTTTTACATAATTTTTTGGCTCCTACCAGACAAAGCCTGATTGAAATTGCAATGAGCGCTGCCGCTAATTGGTTTCTAGGATGTCATAAAATTGTAGTTAAAAGCAAAAGGTGTCAATTTATTAGTGTTATTGAATTGTAGTTGACGTTTCTCTTAATTTGGACCTCGCTGAATGGCAGTGTCATTATGTGAACTTAGTAAAACATTTTGGTTTTGTCTTCGTTGACATTTGGGTTAAGCATTATAGATTTAAAATGGTAGTATATTATTGTTAATAACGTTTATTTGCATGGTTATTTGTTTACATTTTATTTTATTTTGTTTCTGCTAGATGCTGAGATTGTTTGGTGTCAAGAAGAGCCAATGAACATGGGTGGATACACATATATTTTACCGAGGCTTATAACTTCCATGAAGGCTCTAGGCAGGGGCGGTTATGAAGATGTCAAATATGTTGGTCGTGCCCCCTCTGCAGCCACAGCTACTGGTTTCCTCAAGTTTCACCTTAAGGAACAGGCTGAGCTAGTTCAGAAAGCCATTCAACGTGAACCAATCAACTTCCCTTACTGAGGCATAGCATATACATTATTTCTTGAGAGTGATGAAGGACTTGATTTATCCACCTTTGGGGCAACAATTGGAGGGTATCTTGTTCGTAATATTTGATTCACTTTTATGTGTTCTGCTTCTGACAAAATGCCAGGTAAACCGGGTATTTCACGTTGTACTGTTTGCTTATGCTGAGGTAATTTTTTTCTTTGTTACAAAGTGGTGGAACTAAGTCAATGGTCCTCCAATATATGAAATTTGTCCTTTTTTTGTGATCATTACTATTTACTAGTTGCAATATAGAACAACTAGGTTTCAAAGACCATTTAGAAGTAGCAAAATAGTTACTCAACCCATTTTAGAGTCCATCAATGTATGCAAAAAATATTGACACACCTACGTATACTAAAATTTAAACTTGTAACTACTGGTTAAGATGAAATAACTTTAATAACTTTTTACTATTTGATCCATGTGTTCAGTAACTTAACAACTTTTTACCATTTAATCCACATGCTTAATGGTACTTCAAGGTACTATTATTACACTTTAGTATTCACATGCCCAATTTGTAGACCATATCAAATTTACAATTATTTTTTTTAAAGTGGATATGTGCCCCCCAAAAAGAATAATGTGCACAATTTTTAGTGATAAATAAATAACACATTTACCAAGTTTCAATTTTACTTAACCGCAATATTTTATGTCGTTTAGTGGGCGCACCGTAAAGGATATAGCCCATGTTTTTTTCCTTAAACGTAAACTGGCATGGGATCATTGGGATGAGCTAACGGCAGCCAAAAAGACGGTCATATTCAATATTGACCTAGGATCCTCTCAAATATTCAAAATGAAAACGATTTCTTGCCAGAAATTAGGAAATGTGGTCATATATATATATATATATATATATATATATGCAAATTGTGAGGGAAAGAATCAACAAACCATAAAATTAACTTCATTTCATAAATAAACAATAAAAACCTACAAGTATGCATAACCTCATATTTTTCAATTTCTTATAGTCATAAACAACTATACAGGTGCTATATACACAATGAAAAGATCACATACAAATCATTATCATTCTGAACTTCCAAAAAGCTTAAAGTTTGAGCTCAAGATGGTATGGTGACTTCATCCTTTCCATAGATACGCTGGAGCTCCCTAGTAGCAGCTTGGTATGATGCTGACAAGGCAGAAAGTACATTTAACAAAAATATATTGAAGAATTTATTCCGTATTTATATTTACAGGCATAACAACTAAAGCTAGTTCAGTTTTCTTATCCACAACCAAACAAACGGAAAATTATCATTACCTTTCCAGATACGAAAATTCTTTTGGTTGATGGTAGATCCAGTCACATTTTGAATTGCATCAAACAGCATCTCCTGAGGAGTGTTTTTCAGCTCTTGAACAACAGCATAGATAGTTTTTCCGTTGTCAAAATATATGTGATTGTTGGGGTGTTTCGTCTTGGCACCAGCATGGCGCTCAAACTCATAGGCATTGAGAGCCTTCATGATAGGATTCAATATATGAGTACAACCACTTGGATCATAAAAAATGCCAAAGAAGAGATGCTAACCTTGGACTGCTTGCAGTCATCACACGAGCACAGATACCCGGTTCCCTTTATGATTCCTCTAAGATTTCTCTGCCAAAATTGAACAAATCAAAAGAAATTATGGATTACATAAAACTGTGATACCCAAGGGAAAAAAAAAAGATAAAGACAAAAGTAAAAAACAGTTTACCTCTCGTGACCAGGAAACATATTTCACAGGTACACCATCAAAAATACCTGTTGACAACAAACTTTTAACATTTGAAGGGAAACTGTTAGCAGGAGCCTTCTTGGTTATCTTTGGCTCTTTATTCTTAAGGATGATATCAGTTTTGAGGTTTGATTTTGGATTGCCATTTACAGGTAGTTCAGAAATTGAGTCAATTAGAACCTTCTGGCCATCTAAACCCGGATCCAAGGTCTGGTTGCCCATCAACAGATCGTAGCCACTAATTATCCCTGCAGAGGGATTTGATTCAGCATCATCATGAAAACCTCCAAAAGATATGGTAGTTCCCTCGCCCTTATTGTGGTGTTGGCCCATAGGTAAAGAGCCAGAGTCTCCTTTGTCATATGAAGGAACTGTTGATGCAATGTTTGAATCCACCTTATCATATGTTGGACCTACCGAGATCATATGATCGGTACCCTTGTCATAGGAAGCAGCAACATTTATGAAATTTTCTCCTGATTTGCTATAGGCTGGAACCATTGATATAAAATTTTCATGCCCCTTGTCATATGAGGAGGTACTCAGAGATATCATATTGCTATCTTCTTTTTCATATGACTGACCCATTGATATGAAGTTTCCATCGCCTCTGTCAAAGGGTTGGCTCATTGATAACATATTTTCATCTCCCTTGCCATAGTTCTGGCCCATCAACATAAAGCTCCCATCTCCCTTATTGAAGGTGTGACCCATTGAAACAAGATTGTCATCAGTCTTGCTTAATGTGGTCCCTGTAGAGATGGAGTTATCAGTTCCATCGTTATAAATAGGGCCCAGAGATATGTTGCCATCATTCTTACGGTAGTCAACCCCTGTTGAAATTGTACTATTGTCAGCCCCATCATAGGAGTGCCCCAAGGATGAAGACATGCAATTGTCAGAATCCTTGACATGATTAACTTTAACTTTTCTAATGCCACCAAAACTGATACATGATGAAGGGTCCTCGATAGTATGAGATATTGATAAACCCACTGATGGATCATTACTATACTGATGCTCAAAATCCTTCCTTCTCAAATTCTGATTTCCACTTCCAATTGATGACATGTTCTTATCAACCATATTTACAGCCCTTAGTTCAGACCCAAAGAGACGGTCAGAAAATTGACCTGCAACTGAGTGAAATCCTGAATTGGTGTCCCACGAAGAAATATTTGCTTGTGAAACTCCTGAAATTGGGTTTCCACCAACAGCTTCAATTGCTTGCTTCTTCTTGTTGCTGAATACTTCTGTTTCGCCTGTACTCAAAAACCACTGATGGTCACGCTTTGGTTCAGTTTTGGAAGAATGATCATAACCCATATTCTCTTCAGCTAAGCAGCCAGCATCCCGTGGCATCCAAAAGTTTTTATGCTGAAAAGACCGCCAAAAACCATAGCTTAGAGTTTTTTATTATTGACGGGACATGGAGTGTAAAAATAATTACCAACTATAAAAAAAAAAATGTATATCACAGCAGACATTTCTCCCAACAAAGTAGTTATTCTTTAAGTTTCTGACATTGTTACTATGCACTCTGCAGACATGAAACAGGAAAATGGAAAATCCTATAGACATCAGGAGTTAACACTTCAGATTTTTTGTCTTGGGCATTTCCAAGACAGAATCTCGACAAGAGATTTTTATCATTAAGCTCTTAAATGCCTTCAATAAAAACAACAATTACGTAACCAGAAGGGAAAAATACGAAACTATTGCCATGAAAGGTTAAATCTTTACAAGAGTTTCCAGGCATTAGGTTCCTAGGTGACACTAAGAAAAATAGAAACTAACCAGGAAGAAAATAAGAAATTATTGCTATAAAAGATAGAACATTGACAACACTTCTTAGCACTATGTTACTAAGATAAGTCAGTGGCCATAAGAAAATTAACAATAACTAACAATTAAGCAGAAGAAGAATAAGAAATTTTAACTCTGAAAGATTCAGTGCATTCAGAAAAAGAGAGGAACTTGTTTTAAAACCCGGCATTTGCATGGAAATGGCTTCTTAATAGTTCGAACCTACCATTTTCGAGTAGATGTTTCAAATTCAAATAATCAGAACTCAATATGATTCAATAAATCCAGCCACTGAGTGATGCAAATTGAAAAATCAATACTCTATTCAACTCCGTCAAGTTAATCTGCAAAAGCATAAAAAGAAAAGAAACCTAAAATAAAAAAGGAACAAAAATTAATATTCGATGACGATGAATAACCGATTAAAACGAAGATAAAAATTGGAAAACCTTGAGTCGATGAGTGGCGGAAGTAGGTAGCGCCGTGAATCGTCGCCGGAGATAGAGTGAAGTGAAGCTGTTGTGTAGAAGTGCGACGGAAAATGAGGGAGTCACGCGAGAATGATACAGTGCACAACTTCATCATATATTCTCCGTACACATCTGTTCAATACGAAATCTGAACCGTTCAAATTAGAGGTATGGGTTGGGTGGGTCATGATGACTTACGTGGCGAAGGACCATTGGTTTGATTCTGTATTTTTGGTACTTAACATTCTTGATTTTTAAGGGACTGTATAGAATCAGAAAAGCTACAAAGAATTCAATTCGATTCATGTTCTCGTGTATAAAGTTCTTATAAGTTTTTTTTAATGTATAATTTTTACGTTTAAAATTAATTAAATTTACTTATATGATAATTTTTTAATTAAATTTCTTATATTATTATTTTTATATCAATATTATGAATTCATAATAAAATTGACATATTACGTAATTTTAAAATTTTGAAAATTTAATTTTAGTAAAAATTAATATTTTAGTTGATAAATTTTGCGTAAAACAAAATTTAAAATAGTTTAAACCGTCTAGTTTATGTTAAAAATTATTAAAAAAATAAAATTTGAAATAAATTAAAGAAAAATCAATAATAAAATCACATTATTTAATTTTAAAATTAATTAATTAATTAATTGACGATTCGGGTCATCGCAACTAGCGCATATTAACATGCACCCAAACTGGGCCGTATTTTGGAGAGATGGATTAAATTGTTGGTATAACTGTTTGGAGAAGTAAGGTTTGGACAGCAAAAAAACAAGGGAAAATATAATTATATTAATTTTTAAAACTATAAATTCAATGTAATTAATTTAAAAATTACACCGAAACAAAATATTATTTGGTCACTTTTTTTAAAGAATAAAGGGTTAATTACACTTTTGATTCTTATACTTTAATTGCAATTTTAGTTCTATTAATTTCAATTACTCACATTAAAGTTTTAAACTTTTTAAATATTTAAATTAAGTCTTCTACCATAAATAATTAATAAAGATATGATATTTTATTGATTTATAATAAAATAAAATATTTAAATAAAAATACAAAATAACATTCTTAATTTTAGAGGTGATGAACTTAATTTAAACATTTAAAGGATTAAAAAAAAATATAAATAATTAAAACTAAAGATACTAAAAGTCACAAGTAAAAGTGTTGTATTATTCTTGGTAAGACAGACCATCCTATAAAGTCTTTCCTATGTGTCATGGAATGGAATAGATAGAGATTACCTTCTAAATTAATCAATCATATGTATCATGGAAAGGAAAATAGTGAATTAATTATGTAGACATAATTAATACTTAAACTTTTTTTAGGGTTTAGGGGTATAATTCTTGAGTACGATATACAGAGCATTTTCCTTGGTCAAACACAGTCTAGAAGAGAAATAAATTTCCAAGTACCAGCGAGTCCAATACATGAACACTTAGCTTTATCTTCTAGCGGCTGCCATCTAGAAGCCCTTTTATTTTAAACTGCTTAGTTAATTAAAATCAATTCAAATTTGAGTTGAACAAATTTAATTAATTAATATAAAATTATTGTTAGTAGCTTGAATTAGTTGATTAAATACTAGCGTGGATCACCAATCACCTAATTAACCAATCATGCTTACATCAAAAAATCTAGTCAAAGGAAGAGCCCTAATTCAACGCATCCAATGGATTACTTTAATATTGCTCCATTACTCGTACTTGCTTACGTAAGAGGAATTCAATTCAAAGTCACAACTCACAAGTTTAGTGTTACAGCATGTTCATACATGTATACATGCATTCTGAAACGTCAACTATTAACTAGTAGTATCCAAAACTCTCAATCAAAGCCTTATAAATATCACACCCTCAAAAGTCTCATAGATCAGTTCCATAACCAAAGTTTTCTTTTCTTTCTAAACCACCCCTCTTTCTATTCCTCTACTCCAATATTTGACATTTATAATAATAGCAATTTCTTGAGTACTATTGAAAAGTGATCATGAAGAGAGAAAGACAAGTTGATAGCATAACCATGGCCAACTACTTGATGTTGCTATCTCGTGGAGGAGAATTTGAGAGTAACAACTACTACAACTCTTCCAACAATCGTGTCTTTGAGTGTAAGACATGTAACCGACAATTCCCATCATTTCAGGCATTGGGTGGCCACCGTGCAAGCCACAAGAAGCCAAGGTTATTGGGAGAGGGTGATAACCAACAATTGCTTCTTGATTCACCACCCAAGCCTAAAACACATGAATGTTCAATTTGTGGATTGGAATTTGCTATAGGACAAGCTTTGGGAGGCCACATGAGGAGACACAGAACAGCAGCTTCAAATGGAAACATGCAAACTTCTTTGATGACTATGAGAAGTGGTAGCAGTGTTCATACTTCACCAAAAAACACCAACAAGCTGGTTAACAACAGCAAGAGAAATCTGTTTCCTGATTTGAATTTGACTCCTTTAGAGAATGATTTGGAGTTTTTGAAGATTGGTCCGCATGCAACTCCTTTAGTTCGTTGTTTCAATTGAAGGTCCAAGAGATTTAACTCTTTGGAAAGTAGGGTATATAAAATTAACTGTGTTTATTTTTTCTCCTCAATTTTGTATTTTAATTTACTTTCACTGTATGTAAATTAGCTGTTCGATCAGTTCTTAGATATAAGAAATTCATGTTATTCCTAGTAAAAATAAATTCCTTATTTTTTAGACTCAAATTTAAGGATAATGTTTGTCTGACATCATTTGTAAAATATAAAATGCGTGATAGAAAGAGAAAATAATTAAAGCTGAAAAAAAGTGGTCAATATAGAGCTGCAGTACTTTCAATACTATAAAATGCTTGAAAGATTTCGAGCTTCTCTTAAATTCTAAAATTTTTTGGCGACTATAACATTTAACATTTTATTCACAAATTAAGGTTCGATTAATTCTATTTTAATTCAAATGTTCATGACATGCATGATCAACTGTGCTCAAGGAAACGAAACACATAAAACGGATTTTTATCGAACGTTTTTTGGTATAATAATATTCAAGTTAATTATTATAATAATAATAATTTTTTGCATGTTTTATTTATATGAATATTTTATCATTTTTTATAATCTAAAAAATACAAAACAAAAATTAATACAACCTATTAATATTGTATTAATTTTTAATATTATTTTTTGATACTTTTACAATTATCATAGACCTATCGAATCCAATTGTGAAACCCTATAAATTTTAGAGAATAAAGAGCTAGATATCAAGTTGTACAAAACAATTTAACTAAAATTATTTTAAAATAATAGCATTTACACGACATAACACTTTCCCCTTCTTATTTTATAACATTAAAAAATAAAAAGATATCTCTTTATTATAATTAATCTAAATATATAGGCTGTTTATTTTTGTTTTCTCTCGTAATTCTAGCTGTACGTATGCAATGATGAACATTGGATTGCCCGCGAATATTTAACTTCTCTGTCATGTGATGAATATTAACTACTGATTTGAATAAACCTTTCACCTAATTTAAGTATACAATATTTTTTTAATAAAAATTTAAAATTTTCTCTAATATTATTATATTATTTAATAAGAAGAGAACATCTTAATCCCTATATCGTACCTGACAAAAAAGACAAAGAAGGTTTGTATCTGGTTACTTGTCTTATTAGTTATAATATTATATTGATCAACTTCTTATTCAATGTAATCAGCAAATAACTAATTCAATTCTTTAACTTAGTGAATGAATCTGTCACTTAATAGAGAACAGATCCTTTATCAGAATCCATAGTTTTTATAATATAAAATATGAATAACAATACGTTGGAATGATAGGTTAGTTTTCCATTTTCTCTGGTCATACAATCTAGAAAGGAATTATTTTCCAAATAACAGTGCCGTGTGGTCGGATCCAAAAAAAATTCATCTTAGCAGCTGCCATCTACAACTCGTTTCACTATAATAAAATTGTTTCATTCGCAATTATTTCAATGTTTCTGTTCAACAATTATATGGTCGGTATCTAGAGTAATTTAAATTTAATCATTACCACTGATTAGGAGTTTATGTTCCAAGTGAAAATGCGAGATATATGATGATTTTATAAGTGAAATGATATATGAACATAGATCTTGTGTCATTTAGAAAACTTTGGTATACGTTTCTTTTTTAATTTGGTAGTTAAATATAAAATAATTCATAATAAAATTATTAAGAAATCATTTTGAAATAATTTACGTTTAAAAAGTATAAACTACGCAGTAAAAATTACACAGCACTCTGTGAGAGTTAGAATTTGAGTTTATATTGATAAGTACAGCACAGAAGATGGTGAGAATTTGGATAACACTACAAGTTACGTCACCTAACTGCACGAAGATATATATCAAGAAAATTTGTTTTTTAATCTTACACACGCAAACATGCATGACATATTATAAAGTAATGGGTTGAAATATATAGTTTTGCAAAGTCTCAGATTTAGTCTGCCAATATTTCCTTCGTTAACAACACATTCAACTTTAAGATACTGTCAAAAGCTTCTCAGCACCAGTTTCCTTCGTTTTGCTTAGTCAGTTCACATTAGAGACTTCGGATATACACTGCAATTATAATCATTAGAGAAGTTTCATAATTAACGTGTGAATTCGAGTTTCAGTTTATAATAATTCTATCTAGTTTAAATAAGATTATGTCTAATAATAAATAAATAAATAAATAAAAACAAGTCTTTAGCAAGAGATAGATTGAAGAAAAATGTTTTATGGGATGCTTTGTTAAAGTAAATGACAATAATACTTAGATGCTAAAAATTGAGATACATATTATTGTCTAGACATTTAAAGACTATTTATTGACTATCTCAAAATTAGTTCACATTAACAATTAAGACTTTTTCTTTAGGGTTGCTGTGCTTATTTTAGACTTTTAATTACTATTATATAATTAACTTACTTTCCTTATTTCTTTTATTTTTCATTTAAGGTTTCGGTACTAAAAATTAAAAATATAATTAATATTCTATTTTTTAAAATAGAATCAATTAATTATATATCATCTCCTTATTTCGGATATTAATTATTTTATTTTATAACAATACACATCGATAAATTGTCAAGTGTAAAATAAAAAAAATCATAATACTGTAAAACAACAATTGAAATAAAATAAATACTAATTAAAACGTTAAACAAAAGGAAAAGGAGGGAGTACTTATTTGAATAAATATTTTGACTTTCTCTATAATCATGAGTCATAGAATAAAATACTTATTCATAAATTTTGTTATTAGTTGGTTTTTTTCAACATACTTAATTAACTCATAACCGTGACTGCTTTCATTAAAATTTAGATTATGAAAACAATTATAAACTGATCGAATAAAGGTTAATGAACTAACAACCGATAGCTAGCTAAAAAGGAAATAGGTAGCATCCAATAGTCTAAAAAGAGCATGAATAAAACAAAAAACTCAATACAATATCTAAGTTACGAGATTCTTTCATCTAATGAACTCTCCACTTTTTAGGTTGTGTTCTTCTTGTGTGCTCAATCATAGTCATTGCTACAGTGTATTGTTAACTATTTCATTTTGTTAATTAAACAGTTCTCTAACTCTCTTGGGGGGTTATTTATTCGCACGTCACTGAAACGTGTTTGGGGTAAACGTTTCTAGAAATGGTAGTATATATGCGACCAATGAATGGGTATAAGATTTGGTAGCTTGCTAGACTTTTTTTGGTTGATGAGTAGTTTGATCTTAAATGTTGCTTTTCATTAATTTGGTCAATAAAAGTTTATATTCTTATTCATATTTCACACAAACCACTTCAGAATTTATGTTTTGGTATGAGTCTCCAAGTTGAATATGACCAACTTTGAGAATAGTAATGCGACTTGTAAATGTTCCATACCATGCCAAGGAAACGTCACAAATCTTGGGTGAGAACATGAAATTTGCATCTTTTCTTCTATTGTCATAAATGTGAGACATTCCAATAATAAATGTGAGTTTAAACCTAATTAACACTTCTTTTCAAAATTTGTATATTCTAAACATCCAACAGGGCTAAAGAACTGTGGAAATTTCTTTCAACTTATGAATCACATAATAATAAACGTTAGAAATCTTAAAAGTATTCTTTAAAAATTCCATGTCAACTGATTTGGTAATTATTATATTATATAATGATTGTGTCAAATTATATGCCTATATATTATTTTAGTGTCATATAACAACGCTTCTTGTGTTAAGGACTTGAAGTTGTTGTGTTCAAAGATGTACAAAAAAATGCAACTATTCACTTGTTCTATTATTTTTAGCCTGGAATTTTTGAATTGCTTTCTTCGTATATGGAGTGCCGTATTATTTTTTGTTTTGCTTATCATTCTTTATGTGCATTTATTTTATTGTTGTTGTTATTTAATTGTTTTGTAGAGATTTTACTCTGTTAAAATAAAGAGATATGTAAAGTAAAAAAAATAAAATAAGAATTCATCATTGATTTAAATTTAATATTTATAAACATAATTAACTTTAAATCAATAATAAATAAATTCACATTTTTTACTTTCTATATATATTTTCTTTAGATGAATAAAATTCATTTTTAAAATATATGTTGCATAGGGTGTATAAAACCTTACGTAATCCATGAGCTGATGAGCAAAATGCAAACCCACTTGATGAGTAACTTGGAACCGTTCAGCTCCTTGATAATAATAATAATAATAATCTATATATAGATTTTATATATAATTTTCCATTTATTTGAAAAATTAAATGAAATAACATAAATTAATTGAGAAACTGATTTTCTAGGGTAATTTTGACTGAGTTTTGCTTCATTATTTTATAAAATGGTATTCATTTTAATTATATTTCATACAATCACAAAGACCAATCTTACATGGATGCAAAATAAAATTTCATTGTGTTTAATATCTGTTAACGTGAATTTTTGAAGTATAAAAACTAAATAACAATTTACCATAACAATAATATTATATTCTACTTGAACAAAAATACCAAATACACTCTCAACATCTCAAGATTAACGCTTCCTGTGGTTACTGGGGCATCCATCGTTCTGGTTAACCGTTCTCAATACCTAGTGATTAGACGACACAGAGACAACAACTCGCATTTATGCGTTTTGGAATTTAGGTCTCAGCCTCCCATCACATTTGGGATTCACCACTTTTGAATAAAACGACATTGTTGCTCCATTCAAACAAACAATTTGAATAAAATTGGGTTATTTGGCATGAATTAACAACGAAAACAGCAACAGCATAATTGATAAGATAAGAAGTGAAAGCATATAATAGAATACAGATAATTAGAATTGGAGATAGAAATGGAAGAGTTCAGTTTTGAGGATGGTCTTGGGAGGGATCAGGGTTACCGAATTTCTGTTTGAAGGAATCCTGACGCTGCAACCACATCATGTGACCTTGAAGTGCCGCAGCCCACGCGATGAGGAAAGAAGCGATCCAGAATTTCTTGTCCTTCACCACATTCTTCAATTCCATTCTCTCATTCACTGCTTCACCAGACCACACAGACACCTTCCACTTCAAGGGTTCTTCCAAATTCGTTCTTCTTCTACGCTGTCGTTTAACAAGAATCACAACACTGCGCCCCCTACTCAGCCCAACAGTACATTTTCGCTCTCTACGGCCCAAATGCTAAATGCTGCTAAAAAAAATGAAAGTAAGGTTAGCAATATACATTTTATAATATATTCTTTTATTGTTGATTAAAATTTATTAAAAATTATAAAGAATATATAAGTTATACTTTTTTCACTTTTATATTAATATTTTTATTTTTTATTTTTAATAAATTTTAGTCAATAATAAAAAGTTTGTTAAAAAATATATTGTTAACATTCTTCTAATATTAAATTTTGCTTAATAATTGAGCTACTCTTTTTCAACCACAGTTAGTATGCCACTAATTTAAAATAATATTTTTAAAATTAAAACAGATATCGAACTAACTAAAGTATGATTTACAATTGATTAGTTCAATAAGGATTTAAGTAGATCAATCTAATAGTAGTAAAATAGATTTTTTTAGAAAAATATTAGTAACATACTTTCTAATACATTAATTTAAGAGTAATATTCACTTAATTTTTGTAGTTTTCAATCAATTTTAACTAATAATAAGAAGTATGTTACAAAAAATATGTTAAGAGTATTGCTAGCATTACTCATATTTTTAGTGATATATAGTATGTTAAGTAATAAACTAAGACAATTAAGTTAACTAAAAATTTAAACTAATATAAAATGATTATATTACATATTTTATAAGATTTAAAAAATATGATAAATAGTTAAATAATGATAATTTATATGACATATCATGTATAAATTTTTATTTATTTTAAACCTATTTTAGAAGAAATGAAAAATTCAAAATAAAGAAAAAAAAAAACTTTTTTTATGTGACCGATTCAAATTAGTTTTTTACTTGGATTTTGATAAATTCTTGATGATTTTTTACACTACTAATATTTTGAATTGTCCAAATTCCAAACTAGCAAAATCAAAGACATAATTATCTAGCAAGTAAATAGATTATGCAACCAAAGGTAGAATTTTGATCCTCCTCTTCAGCTGACACTGAAGCAGAGGCAGCTAGAATTTATTTCTGTCTGAGTAAATTGTCAACCAATAACATGTAGATGGTAGTAAAAATCCATTTTTATATGACAATTAAATTGTAACAATCAGAAGAAATGATCTTTCAACTTGGCAGTTTGCCAGATAAGTAGAGAGAAAGCTTCTCTCTCATAGTGAAGGCAGTATTGTCGGCAAATTCACAAGTTTGGTCTTGATATCCTAAATCATGCTGGTGGCAAAAAGGCATATTATGCAGTACTTCATCCTCCATATCAATAACTATATTATGTAGTATGCAGCAAACAAGAACAATTCTTGGCAACTTGTGCTTATCAGGCTTCCACATCACACCTTGGATTATCTTCCACATCTCCTTCAGTCTAGCCAATGCTTTCTTGGCCACCATTTGTGTTGCAACAACCCTTTTATTAAACTCAACCTGAACATTTGAGAGTCCTTTACCTTCATAAGGAGTAATAAGCCATGGCAAAAGGGGAAACCCTGTATCCCCTACGATATATTCCCTCACCACTGTTCCCTCAGGAAGAGTTCTCTCCCCCCCATTCAACCTTTTCCCTTCTTCAGCAAGTCTGAAAAAAGAAGAGCTTCGAAGCACGTGATCATCGCTCATACTTCCTGGCCATCCAGTAACTATGTCACAGAATCTCAAATTTGGATCTACAATGGCTTGCAAGACCATGCTGCAATTCTTCTCGCGATCAAGCCATACACTATTCAAAGAGTCTGCAGAAGGCAAAGTCATCATTATGTGTGTGCTGTCAATGGCACCACAGCAATTAGAAAGGCCATGCATATTCTCAAATTTGGACTTCATCTCTTCCATTTCCATTTCGGTGGAAGGCCAACTAAGATGGTAGAGCCCTCTCTCTTCCATTGCTTCCACAAACCGCCATGTTATTTGGGAAACAGTTGACTGGTTCATCCGAAATGAGTCGCCAATGGTTGACAATGACTCACCAGAGCTAAGCCTTCTAAGAGCAACAGCAACTTGGTCATTCAAAGACAAACGTTTGCCACTTATATCAACGAAATTTGAGGATCTGGCCAGCATGCCTTCTTCCACAAGAGAACATATATAGTTGAACGTCTTCCTTGAGATCTTGAAAACTGACTCAAATTTCTCTATATCTTTAGAATGAGCTAAATGTCCTAAAATTAGTAACATTAAGGCATGTGAATATCAGATGGGCAGTTGGATTTTGCAGTAAGAAATAATGCATAAGATTAGCGCATTGCGCAGCATTTTCTAATGTACAATGAAAGGAAGGTATTCTACATGCAATAAGAAGCAATGGCAGATACAATATTCTTTACATTCAGACACAGGTGTAATCAAATTAGAAATAAACGTGCCAATTCCCAATAAATTAGATGGTTAATCTAAAAATCAGTTTCTCTCAAAGATATGTTGGAAAAATCCCTCTCTTCTTCTACAACTCAATCTACTCAATGTCACAAAAGCATAAATATTAAGAGTAAGGACACCTATCGGCTAATGTGTGACAGAATTTTGATTAAGAAAATCAGCATAGTAACGAATTTACTGAAAGGGTTCAACTAAAAAAACTGAAAAAAGGGTTCATACCTCTGGATTTCTGATTTTATTCTTCTTTCAAAACCTCTTCAACTGTCAACCAGATTATCAAGTTTTCAACTTATACAACTGCTTTCCTTTTTATTATATTGACTATATCAGTCTAATAGTTATTCCCATTATCCTTTTAGGTAGAAGTATATTGATTTTCTTCAAGGGCTTTAACAAAATAATCATAAACACATTCTCTCTCACATTTAACCAAATAGCTTCTACAGAATCTATATAACTCTATCTACAATCAATTCAATAAAGTCACACAGGAAAAACCTATTTTATAAGTAGTTTTATTTTATTAGTTAGAATTTATCATGTTGACCACAGGCTCGTAAATCAAGAATAAGGGAAGTTCACCTAAGTAATCTCACAGCCCATGTATTTGGTAATTAGTATTGCCTGACATCTATGCATAACAAGAGAAAGAAGCTCCACAATTCAGGTGAAAACAACACATAAAATACCCAAATTGTTATGCACAGTGAATTACTGCAATAAGATAACGATAATGTAAAAAAAAATAAAAAATTGGACAAAGAAAAACTGAAATAGTTTAAGCGGTAACATCCCAACAAGAGCTTTCACAATTTGGATGGTTAAGCTACAGAATAAACAAATAGCCAAGCAAAGATATGCAAACCAAAACATGAGTAATTGAACAAAATTATAACCAAAGCCAACGGTAGTTCCTAAGAAATAACTTCCATATGCAATACATACACAATTTCGTCAAAGGCACAAGGTTACTTTCTTTATCAAGTAACTCAACGAGATGTAAGCCCAGCTGCAACAAGAATGTGAAAAGTCCAGTAAAGCCAAAGATATAGATAGCATCAAATTTGGAGAAACAAAGTTGTAATCATTATTCTCCTATTAGCAGAAAGCGTATGATATAACTTCTTTGCCCTACATTAGAAAAACCAAAAAACAACTATCCCTCTTGATATACAATATTAAGCAAGTAAAGAGCAATATCACCCACTTATCACAATATCAAGCAATACCAAGGATCCATTAAAAGAAGTAGTACTTCGAAGAAACCCAATGTAGAAAATTTGAAGTTATACCCACACAATCAACAAGTACCCACAAAAGCAGCATCTAATTTCTATATATGTAATCTACAAGAGAACATTGGCTAAGCAAGGTGGTAGAAAAATGATGAACCGCAAGAGAAGAATCGTAGAGGATATTGCAAGTGTACCTGAAATTCTCTGGGAGAAGTGATGCCACCAATCGAAGGGTTGAGAGTACAATGGGGTTGCAGTGCCATCTTGGCCATCCTTGTTATCAGCCTTCTTCCTCTTCTTGATACCTCTGATGGAACCCATTCACAACCCAAAACACTTAAAAGTTCTTCCTTTTCCACCAACAGCACCAAAGAAAAGGAAAATCGCAAAAGGGTCTTCAACAAAGTATTCAGGGAAGAAAACTCATTAAGCACAAGCCAGATTTCAACTCCGTGGATGAAAAATCAAAGGTGGTATGGTATGTGCAAATTCCAAGTATAATATGAAAAGCTGAAGGAAGTGAAAAGGCATAAAAGAAGGGTGAAAGAAAAGAATGAAGAGCACAGTACGTGAGTAACGCGTGCTGTGATATGTGTATTGGTGAAGGGAATCAAAGAATGTAAGGAAAAGGAAGAAAAGAAAGATGGTAAAGGCGAGGCCAAGTTCAATGAGACCAGTAGTTTCTCTCGTAATGGACATGAACGATTGATATTGAAGACTTCCTCGTTTATGGTCTTTCGATTATTTTAATGAATTTTTCCTCTTTTATTGAATGTGATTTTGCAATAAAATTATGTTTCAATTTTTGCTTCATTCATCATGGTTCCTGTCTCGACAACTATATTCATTTGCAAATATCATTTTCATTTACTACTATTCTTTTTTGTTGGACCATTTTTATTTTCACATTATTATGATGAATGCCTCTTTAACTTAAATACGGGTAGAAATTCTTTCTTCCAACCAAAAATACCGAAAAAAAAAAAGATTGAATTGTTGTTTTTTTTAATAAAACAATTGATTATATCCACTAACTATATTTAATGATTAAATTATAATTTTTATTTATTTTTTAAAATTTTACTAATATTTTAAATGTATTTTCATATAAACAAATTTCTTAACAGTAATAAATAATTTCGGCCAAATTTCCCAATTTCTTTTTGTTCTTGCTCAGGATGGTTAAAAAATATTTTTACACTCTTATTATTACCTTTGTAATTTTATAAAATGAAAAGGAAAAAGTTTCTAACACTCCCTACTATTTGCTATTGGACTTCAATCAAAATTTTCATAATATTCTTTTAAAAAGCTTTAAAACCTCTAATAGAAGCTCAAAATTAATCAACAAATGTAAAAAAAAGAAAAAAAAACCACGAATTTTCTTTATATTCAAAGAGATTAAATTATAATATATTCAATCTCTTAAAAAATACACAATTGTATTTTATTAGGTGTGTTTGACTTCACTTATTTTAAAAACATGATATATTTTGCTAACTTATTAAATAGAATTTTAAAACCATTATCCCATAATTATTGTTCCTATCATGCACTAGATACCCAACTTATTGACTCTAACAAGTGTCTATCTGGTTTCATGCTACTCTAACGTGACATGTTTTTCCATGAAATGTTAACGACTCGGATCAACTAATGTACGAATTATGGGACACCATCAACAGACATTGCCCCACAGTAACATTTTCTTTTGCTGACAAAACATGGTTTCCTATTAAGAAAGGAAAGTATTTCTTTAATTATTAGGAAAATAAATGTCTCTTTGTAATTGAGATGCATTTTTTCAGATCCGTACATACAAAAGAAATATTAAAAAAAAGTAAATGAAAGACAAAAACAATAATATATAGTATCATATACAGGATTTATTTTTAATAATTCAAATAACAAAATTAGTTTTAAAAAGGCCTATAAAATATACAAAAGAGGAGTGCATTTATTGCTATAAATTTCAATAAAAGCTACACTTTTTTGTTTGAAGTTAATCTTATCTTGACAGAAACCCCTTCAAGAAAGAAGAAAACATAAATTATTGCGGGGCTTTTGTATATCATATAATAATTTATATTCCAATTTTTAAGCAACCTTGACATTTGCCTGATATTTGGAAGGCAACCACAAGGAGAGAAAATAATAATACAAAATTAAATTTCAAAACTGTCCAATCTAACTAAAAAACGTACCAAATTGTTCAATCTAACTGGTGGGTGCAAATCCATTCCCAAATGATGTTTTAGTTGCAGAACCCAAGTCTTCCCTTACTTGGAATACACCTACAACATTTTTAAACAATAACACAGTAACAAAACCTATACTTTTACACCAAAATCAGAGCATCTAGCCAAAAGAGAATGCTACCAGTCACACTATTTTTCCAAGGCTAGCTGTTTACAACAAAATCAAAAGAAAATGCTCAATGAGAGATATACTCTTGGGACAACTCTGCAAATAAAGTACAAATCAGATGAATAAAGAACTAAGGGTTTTGAGTGACAGTAATTTCAGAATTTCTGCATTAACCTATGGTTTGATAATCAATATCGCTTCCTTTATAAAAACTCTCGGTGGTTTGATTGTTGGTGCAAGTAATTTATACACAAGGAATTTTGAGAGACTTGTTCATATTTATCAAGTTGAGTTGATACAGCATTGTGCAAATTGAAAAGCACTTGCTCCAGACAAAGATCATGCACCTCAAACCTATACAACATTGGGTGCCGAGATACATGGAACAATAGTTCATTTCAGTTTGATTTGATTGAAAGGAAGCAAGTGATAGATGTAGTAGCAACAGATCACTCAATTTATTGTTCCGTCTCTAACTTTATCTAAAAATTGCATAACGAAACCAATTTGAGGTGACTTTAACTTACACTATCTTACTCACAAGTCACAATATTTATGAAGCTTTAAGATCATCCACACCTGATGAACTGCATCAAAACTTCTGAAGCCTTCATCCTCCCACTTGGACGTTCATTCTCTACCCTCTGGCTTCTGATATCTGCTGATGCACAACCCTCCAAAGACCCTTCCGAAGCTCCAACACTAGAAATAGAAAATAGCAAAGACCCTCCGTTCTCACTGAACTCCCTTGCATCATTCCCCTCACACTCTTCAACTTGATCCATTTTTATCCTTTCCCTACTCTTATCCTCAGTCTGAGTTGAAGCATTAGTAGCTTTCCCCCCAATCTCCCTGCATGTCTTTGCCTTGTAAAGCTTGTAATCACACGAGCTAAATGACTGGTTCCACAGCTTCATGGTGGTTGGGGAGTCTGCATCTGTGCTAGAACTGTTCGTTTCAGTGGAACTTTTGGAGCTTGGTGTTGATGTTGCTACATAGGATTGAAAGCTCAAAGAGGTTTCTATGAGTTGTGTTCCTTTGAGGACATACTCATGACCACTACTTGGGTAAATGAAATCATTCTCAGACAAATCTTGCCACACAAACCCGTTCTTGTAACTCCTAGTATGAAAGATGATCAACATTGTATGATAAACATTGTTAGTTGCAAGAAGTTTGAACTTATGAACTAAATAAGACAAAGGGGTCTAATGGGATTGTGTGTTCCAAGATTCTGAAGAGCACATGATTGGATATACCTTTTTGTTGACCAAGCATACATGTTGGCCATTCCTTGTCCACGGAGGAAACTCAATCTATTTGTCACATCTGATCAGAAAAGTAGGGATAAAAAATATATTTTCAAAAAGCGAGAAAGCATATCTAACATAAATCATGTTGTAGCATTTACCTTTCAGACATAGCTTTCCATGTGATGAAGAGATTGGAACCTCCATGAGATGTGGATGCTCAAGCTGGCCATTACGGGAAAGGTAGTATATTACTGGAACTTTCAGCTCAGTTGCTTCATGCTTTGGTTCAATCCAAGCTCTTTCTACCATTTTCATTTCCACAGAAAGCTCTTTATTTCCTACTGATTTGGTTCCCATTTTTTGTGAATTAAAAAAGACAAAACAAAGGAAATTAAATTAAAGATTCCGAGTGCTGAATGAGAAGGTATTACTATTATTAGATTTGGGAAGATGGTTGTAGAATTGTGGTTTGTTCAATCAGAGGGAGATTCTTGGCATTTAAAAGCAAAGGGGGCTAGAAAGAGGGAATGCATTTGGCTAACTAGCTAGTGGCATGACATGCATAAATTTCACGGCAACATGCAATAAACACCAAAGGGGGGCCAAGAAAAGGTGTTTCTTGCTCAGCTACTTGCACGTTTTGGGTCAAATGATGTTTACCAATCAATCATAGTACCTCACTCGCGGGCCAAATTGAGCTGAGGACAAAAATCTCATTTTCTTCGAATGAAGTCAAATTAGTCCCGTGAAACCATTACACTGTTATCAGGGAAATCAGTGGACATGTTTCCCGGCAACCAAGCAGAATGTGCGGAAACTAGTGAGGACTTGGCAGTGAGGACTGAGGAATAACGTGCAAACAAAGAGGGATGGTTGGTTTGCTATTCCTTCAGATGGAAAAGATTAATCTTTGACAAAATGTGAAGGGTATTATTTAACTAAAGATATCGTTTCTGATTCCAAGAATCCAGGCATCAAGAAAAGCAAAGTGGGTAGTAAAGACAAGGAAATTGTCAACTTGTTTAATTATAGATACTACCCTATATAAAAATTTATAGAAACATAAACTATTGTCTCGTTGTCTAAAAGAAGAAAAATAAAATAAAATATTTTGAAGCTTTCGGCATGGTTTAGCTTACAGTTGAAGAGACTATTAATTTTGCAAACAAACTGATAAAGTTGGAGTTTTGAGTAATTTTAAAAAAAAATTGAAATGAAAAATTAACATAAAAATTGGATAAATTTATATTTATAGATCGCAGAACCCTTTAACCTAGTTTGGAGGTAATTTTTTGGATCCGACATGCTTTGTATTTTTTTCAAATAATAAGTTCTGCTCCCGTTTGATCAACCAAAACAAGTATGAAATAGTTACCATTTTAATTAAGGAAAAGTTGAAATGTAAAATCAAAAGGTGTTTATTAATTTATCACCTAACATGATACCAAGGCACCACGCAAAAGAAGAAAAAAAAAGTGAGTTCGAATGTTTTAAAGTGTATGTTTAGTGTTTAAATTTATCTCAATTTTAAACTATACTGGAGTGTGTATATTTTTCAATATTTAGAACGTGTAAGAATTAATTTTCTAACATCAAAATGAAAAAATTATCGTATTTTTAATGGGTTTTTTTAATAATATTACATTATTTAGTAATCAATTGTATCTAATTTGAGTAGGCAGAAAAAATATCATTGTTATAAAAAAAAAACCTTAACCAAAGTTTCTAATGAATTAGTATTTAAGTCGGTGACTATCGTATACGAAAATATTAATAACTTAAAATAAATATTTATTTAAATTTACTTTTTGCAACATCTATAACAAAATGGATTACTTATATTTTTTTTACTGAGTTAATTGTTTAGTTATTATTCACAGTCAATATAGTTATAGAAAAGTGTTATGATTAAATCCAATACGTGAATGATACTTAATTTCTTTTCTTTTTCTTTGTATCTTTTTAACTATAAAATACTTTTTATCATTTATATAGTCTTATAAAATATCTATGAATACTTTTTCGAAAAGCTTATGTAAAGAACGAATATTATGATTATTTTATGGTAAGCTTGACATTATAAAAGATAAGGGTTTAAGTGTGACAGCAAATGTAGTGAAAACAAATTAAGTAAAGAGGAGTGTCTATGAAAATTCATAAGCTATTTTTCAATTTATTATTTAAAAAATTATTAAACATATTCAAATAAACAGTCAAGAATACTCCCTTAACCATGATCTCAAATCTTAATCTCCCACATTTGTTTTTGGTCAACAAATCTCCCACTTTTAATGATAGATACTCCTACGCAAGCCCAAATACCAAACCAAAACCCAATCAATGCTGAAGAAAAATGTAAAAAGTCAAGAAGAATACTGCAAACTCTAAATTATTAACTAAATTTGATTAAAAATTATAAAAATCACTTATTATGAACTAAATTTTATTAAAAACTATAAAATCACGTGTTAAAAAAGTGTTGTTCTTGACCAAAACCGGTGTTAGAAACTGCTATAAAATTGTGATAGGAACGAGGGAAGAAAGTCCTCTCGGTGAGAATCACTCAACAAATTGAGAGAGAACGTTCAGCAAACACACATTTCTTTGCTAATATCAAAGATAAAGAATTTTCATTTCAAGGAAAAAAATGATAATGATAAGTAGGAAACTGTTCATTGTTCAATTATCAATACAACCCTTTTATAAACTGCAATAACAGTCTACAAAAAGAAACAAAAACAATGACATGTTTGAGTTCTCTTACATGCTTTAGGTTGTAGTTGCAGCGACTGTTTGTTTCTTTGGGCATGCTGAGAGAATATGTCCTTTCTCACCACACTCATAGCATGTCCTCCTCCTCATCTTGCCACTTCCAGTGGAACTTGATTTCTCACCATCAACTCCATTGACCTTGGACACTGCGCTTGTATGAGTTCCTGGATTTTTCTTCAAAGGAACTGCACAACTTATCCTGACAGGCCTCCCAAACAAAACATTTTGGTCCAATGTGAGTGCTGTTTTCAGTGACTGGCTATCACTGAAATCCACATGAGCATACCCTTTAAATTCTCCTGTGTCCTTGTCCATACCGAATCGCAGTGATGTTATTTTGCACTTTTTGAAGAATTTCCTAAGTTCTTCCTCTGTTATATCCCAAGACAAATTTCCAACATATATTCTATTGTATCCCTCCATAATTTCTGGAGCAAAATCTGCTGCTTTATTGGCTCGAGTTGCTTTATATGGTTGGATTTTAAGAAAGAGCCCTCCCCTGTTATGCATTTGACATTTTATAAGGATGACATGAGAAATGGGCAAAAACAGTGAATCATTTTTCTATGAAAGAAAATTGTCAGTGTTACTAACATGTCAGCTCCATCAAGAGCCAATGCTCGTTTGGCTGCTGCTTCTGTCTGCAGGAGGAATGCCACAGAAATGTTAGCAACTATTGAAATTGCCTGATGGTTCTAATTAAAGGTAATAATAAACTTAAGAAAACAACAAACCCATTAATGGAAGGAAAAATATTATGTAAAATGTATTGCTAGTACGTATAGTCTCCTGAGAAATCTTAAGGGTTCAACTGAGATTCATAGTTTATAATAGATGCCCAACAAAGTCTCTATTTCATTGCAATCAATCCTAGTATCCTACCATATAAGGATGCCCAAAATAAGTCTCTAGATTCAACTTGAAATTGCAGAATAACAAAAGGGGAAGTGTGAAGGGAAAATAAAGAAAAAAAAAAAAGAATTGAACACTGCTTTAGTCCTCACCTTAAAACTAATAATGGCAATTCCCCTAAACTTGCCACTTTCAGGAAAAGTCATGCAATCAACTTCAGTTATGGTGCCACAGCTTTCAAAATAACTCCGAATATCATCCTCAGTTGAATAATAGGGAATCCCTCCAACATAAACCTTTGTAGGAACATCACCATTTTCTTGACTAAACATATCACAGAACAGATAAACATTAAAAAATAAAAATGGATATAAAAATCTTATACTGGATATGGAAAAACACTAGTTAAAATGTTATACTATCATTACCTAGTAATGGTATTGGTCTTAGTTAACTCTGTAGCCTCTTGCGTTTCCCCTCCATGATTAGAATTATCTTCTTCCGCGGTTTTGGCTTTCTTTTTCTTTTTCTTGTTCTTGTTCTTCAACTTCTTGTTGTTCTTTGATTTGTTGGGAACCCCATTTGCCACGTCATCATCCTCTACCTTCCTCTGTCTCTTTTTGTTCTTCTTAACGCCCAAACCCTCTGTTCCACTTTCCTTGTTCCCTCCTTCATCTTCTTTGGGAAGTTCTTGGGGATGAGGGGGTTGCAAAGATCGAATCTTTCGGAGTTTCTCTCTCTTTGACAATCTGGGTGTGTGAGTGGCAGAGTCAAGAAGATTTTTTAGTGAGTCAGAAGAGGAAGGGACATCGACAACGTTGGAGTTGGTTTGGTTTTGTTGTTGGGCTAATTCAGCTCTAAGCTTCAGTTTGAGCTTCTTGTTTGATAGAACCATTTCCCCAATCCCAGGTTTCTCTTCAAAATTCGCAGGTAGCAGCTCCACCACACCCTCACGCCGTTAACAACCCAACAAAAGGGTTTTGGGGAAGACGGAACAAACGACGCCGTATACCTTTTCTTTTCAAACCCAAATCCAAAAGAAAGTGTTTTTGGAGGGTTCATCAAACAGACTTTTTTGGGCCTTTGGCAAATTTGTTTGATATTTAGGCCTTAAACCCGAGTTGAGAAATAGGAGAAAGGTTAACCATAAAGAGAGAGAGAAAAAAAATGAAGAAAACACCCTACCAAAACAAGGGGAAAATAACAAGGTTTTAATGATTTATCATCACTGACACCCAAAAAAAAAAGAGAAAAAGCAAGGCTTTATCATCTGTTGCATAGCGAGAGAATTCATTAATTGTTTGGATGTCATTTGCGGATTGATGTTGTATGAATGAATACATTTAATTTAAATTTATTTGTTATGAATGAATTTAAAATCTCTTTCTATAAAAACAATTGAAATTAGGAGAAGGTTCGTTTCATGCAAGATTTGAGAATGTTGAAAATTCATAATGCGATTACGCATTGCTTACTGTCGTGTGACCTGTATTACAAGCCTTAAATGGTTGGCAAATGGAATTATTTTAGTTGTTAAACTAACGACAAGAGTAATAATTTTGTTTGTGTGTGTGTGTGTGTTTGGTTAATGCAAGAAATTTGAGGTAAGATGAGAAGCTCACGTTGTATATCTTTTTATTTGTTTTATCGATGCTCACATTGTATATCTAAGTGAAATTCTTTTGTTCAATTGAAAAGAAAAGTATTTAGAATTAAGTCAACATTAAATATTAACACACCACATTACCTATACATTACTGAAATAAAATTTTAATTCTAAGTTTTATTCAGCACGAAATCACATAGATATGTCGCCCCCACAAGATTACAAGGAGTAGAGCCTCCAAAGATGACAAATCTATCACTAATAGTATGCCACCAGGCTTAGGAAATGACTTGTTTGTAACATTTTCTTTTCTTAGATACATATTAAAGATCACCGCACAAACAACAAATCCAAGCAATTTCCATCCGATGTCTCTATCTTGGGAGGTTTTCCCTTGACTAGTTCAATTAAATTTTTTGCCACACAGATTTCATCCACTCGATTTGTGAATCCCATTAACTTTATCAGTTTTAGATGCTCCAGTTTTGTATATTCTGTTGCTTGCGTTAGGCATGTATTGGACCCTGGAGCCAAATAACTTTTAGGATCAATCTGCACCCAATCAGTGGATTAAAAAATGGTCAAAAATTGTAGTTTAACTTATGCAAAACAAGAGCATCAATTACTTCCAAGTAGAAAATCTACCGTCACAAAAAGTTGCTCCAAGGCAGGGCATAATTTCAAAAAGGAGACTAAGGCATTGATGCTGTTTTCATCCTTATAGTTGTCAATCCACCACAACTCTCTTAATCTATAGAATATGAAGTTCCCACTTGAAGAAGAAATCGAAGGCCACATCAGTGCCTGCAAGAAAATCCCTTTGGAGTTAAGTTGTGCATAATTGAAAAAAAAAAAGTCATTATAACTTCAAGTCACGGTACCCCTTCTCACCTACCAAAATAAATGTATATATAAACAAGATAGATGCATAAAATCAGCAATAGAAAAACCATTGCAGTTAGCATACCTCAAAAGTCCATTCGCACAAAGTGAGAACTTGAGAATTCTTTATTGTCAAAAGTGTTTCATTGAAATCTTGTGCCTTGAAGTGACTGCAGTTTGGGCCTTGTCTGAAATCAAGCATGGCATGACTCAGGTTGAAATGGGATTCTGGCCAAATCCTAGGAAGGGGTCCACGGTATCTGAAAGATTTAAGCTTTGAAGTTCTAAGATGAAGAGACTTCAACTGAAAACAATCCAAGATGGTTAACTTGTGAAGCTTTGACTCAGACTCAATGCACAAAGATTCCAACCCTCTACACTCAATGATTATCAAATTCTCAAGATGCTCCAAATTTGAAACGATGGAGGAAGCAACTTCACATGTCAAATAGCTAACTGATTTCAAATAGAGTGTTTTGACTAAGAAAGTGGAGGGAACAAGCTGGTGGGTGATTTGATGATTGTTGAGTTTGAAATGCAGTTCAAAAAGCCTTTCAAGATCTTTGTTCTCAGTAGAGAAATGAAGAAGAAGCTTACTATTAGTTGCAATAGATGCAAAGAGTGAAGTGTCTTGAGCAAAGTGAAGTTGAAGCTTGCGGGGATGCTTGAGTGGATCAAGCTCATCAAAACAAGCAAGAAACCCAGCAACAACGCCTGTGACATTATGTGTAGTTCCATGTCTAACAAGGACTTGGTTCCATAAGTCTCTCCACCTAGTAGATATGAGGCTGGTTTCTAGTGCATACTCATTTGGAAGAAAAGAAACTATGCAGCTTAGAATTTCATCTGGCAAATTGTTAAATAGATCTTCTACACTCTCTTCCATGGGATTTCTAATGTTTCAAAACTGGGTTAGGACTTAGGATTAGCTTTATGGGATCAAAGATGAGAAGACTTAAATATTGATGTTGCTATCACTGCTATAAAGCTATATGGATATTTTGTACACAGCTTCTACCTTCCAGTCTATATCTACTGGTCTTGGAGTTTATTCTTTCTTTATGTTGAATTCAACTGTAAGGACTAATCTTGTGCCTTTAACCTTATCTGCTATTAATTTCAATATGATATTTCAACTAGAAGACCAAAATTGTTTGAAAACAATGTTATTATAATGGTATCTGTATTTATATGTGGATGTGGATTCGGCAGCCTGAGATAAGATGATTGTAACATTGTTTTTCAAAGTCAATATGATTTTGAAGAGGGGAAGTAACATTGTTTTTCAAAGTCAATATGATTTTGAAGAGGGGAAGTAAAATAGCACAACTAATTATGATTTTCACTCCATGTTTGGACTTCAAACTGAAAGCAAGTTTTTTCCCCCGTTTCATAGTTAAATCTTATTGTGAATTTTAAGTTGTTTTTGCCTTCTAACCTTTTTTTTTTAAGAATTATGAATTATTGGATAATAAGTAAAAGTTGTAAAGCTAAAACGTTTATATAAATTATTCACTATTTTAAAACTATAAAAAAATATTATATATATATATATATATATATATATATATATATTATAATAATTAATATAGTATGTTTAATTCTTCTTAATGTATTTTCTTATATACGTCAAAAAATTGATAAATATATTACTCAAAAACTAATCATGTGAGGACCAAATTTTGGATTTTATAGGAGTCAGCAAAGTTCTTGTTCCTCTTCCAACTGCATGCATTATGACTTTTCTTTTGGTCTTTTAGCATGCTGCTCTTTTTGACTTGGTCCTCAAGAACCTTTCATGCTCATTTCATGAGTAAAATTAGCGCTAGTCACATACAAGAATATTAAGCCACATGACATGGTCCATGCATGGTGAGACATAAAAAAAATTTCTTATTATCAAACTAAAAAATATTTATTATCAATCATCTAAATTATAAATTGAATATATTAATAATATTAAATGTTATAACTTTGAATAAAAAATTATTTTCCTTACCCAAAAATGCACGTTAAAATAATCGAATTATTAAAGATGATTATAAATATGACGCATTGGTCCCTAAACCCTAAATCCACATAAACTGTTTTTGTTTGACCATTTCAAATGGCATTAAAATCTCCAACACTTATCCGCAGGATCTTTTTTTTCTTTTGAAGAAATAATTAAGATACAGTGTCAGTACATTTTTTATACTTCTTACTATTATAAGTAAGCATTTTACTGACAAATACTTTTAGTATCAATTTTTTTAATATGTACTTAAGACTACATAATTTATATATAATGATTTTCTATTATAATTTTTAAAAGAAAACTATTATTTGTGTTTCAAGGCACAAAATCAGAAATTCGTTAGCTATTTATAGTTTGACAGGCACTTAATTTACTAGTTATACTCTTTGGTAATAACTCGCTCCAATTTTTTCAGCTGTTGACATTGTCAATCCGTTTGGATTCAATTGCACAAACATGTCCAGATTGATGAATGAATGCTCAAAAAATTGAAATAAAAAAAGGTGCTAATATTGTTGTAGAATAAAGGACTATTCATTGATTTGACATCTAAAAGTTTCATTGAATAAAAATGCAGAGCAAGAGATTACATCCATAATAGAAAAAGTATATTCTAAAAGTCACTATTTGAAAGGGGTTCATGACCATCATCACCAATGAAGATATTATCATAGAGAATGGCAGCAATGGCTGATCCCATGAATGGGCCAACCCAATAGACCCAATGATGAGTCCATGACCAGCTAACCAGAGCAGGCCCAAAGGACACAGCTGGGTTCATAGATGCACCATCAAAAGCACCACCAACCAAAATGTTGGCACCCACAACACAACCAATTGCAATTGGAGCAACAATACCCACATTCCCCCTCTTTGGGTCTATTGCTGTGGCATAAACTGTATATACCAAACCAAAAGTCATCACAATCTCAAAGACTAATGCATTCCACACTGACACACCATTGGATAGAGAGAAAGCTGATGTTTCCTGCACAATGCAAACAAAATAGTTTCAAATTCAATCATGGGATGAGTGCATATCATTGCTTTCAATCATGATGTAAGTGATTTAAAAAGGTGATGAATGTGTGGTTACCATCCCACCAGTAGCACAATTTAGAAGAATGCAAGCAACAACTGAACCAAGCAACTGTGCAATCCAATACAAAATACTTCTTAACAAAGTTATGTTCCCTCCTAAGAAAGCACCAAATGTGACTGCAGGGTTTACATGACCACCAGAAATGTTTGCTCCAACAGAAACCGCCACAAAAAGACCAAATGCATGTGATAATGATGCAACTATGAGACCAGCTGGAGTTGCAGGACCACTGTTGGTGAGTTTGCCTGCCACAATAGCCAACATATAGTCACTACAAATGCTTCAGCATCCTAAAATTCTTTCTTAGAGAGAGAATAATAGTAATAGTAGCAGTAGTAGATGATTTCAAAATAAGGACAAATAAACATTACATTAGCCTCCTATTGTAATTGTTGTAAATACATTTTCAGCTTCTATTGATGGAACCAAAAGAAAAAAATAACTTGCTTTGGGATAAAAATAAGTCTCTAAAACACATTTTTTGAGTAAATGGAATTATGAAGGATGCTCACTATAAGCCATGCCAGAGCCTTGCCCAGCAAAAACAAAAATGAGCATAGAGAAGAACTCTGAAAATGCTGCTCTAATTGCTGCAGGATGGCTAGCCTCTCTAGGCCACCCAATTGCAATTCTATAGATTGCCATTAGCTAAGTAATCAGAACCTACAAACACAAGCTTGTGTCTATGATTCTTAATTTTGTATTTTGATTAAGAGTGATCAATGAGCATACACTGTAAGAGCTTTGTTTGCTCTTTAAATAACAAAATTAACGGCTAAGGAAACGGTCCAATTGTTTGCTCTTAAGTCATGCAAGCATGTAGCCTAAGAGTACGAAAGGAGGGGGCTTCATGCATGGCCATGGAATCACTTTTCGTGACTTGATAGCTATAATTGGCCATGGTTTTGCCACATTTGTGGCTGTGATGTGATGCATCTGCAACTGCATGGTAGATCAAAGGATTCAGATATCCACACATCTTCATACAACAATTTATCGCCTAAAGTTTAATTAGTTAGTACAATTTATCCTCGTCATAGTCTATATTTATGTATAATTTATCCTTGACAATGAAAATTGACAATTAATGGAAATAAATTGAATCTATTATAAAATTAGGTGTAAGTTGTTACTTTGGTCAACAATTTGAATGTCAATAGTAAATTGTACCAATACAAAAAAATAATCCTCGATGCGATGAGGTCACTTAAAACTAATTCAAACTTATAACATGGACTTTCTTCTTCTTCTTTTTATTTTATTTTATTTTGGTCATTTTCAATAATCACACTCTTAAAAAAACAGAATCATATTCAAAATGAAGGACCAATGTCGATTACATACTTATATATATATATTATCGTTATCACCATTATAGCCTATGGCTTATATATATAATATACTTGAACTCTATCCACCTTACGGCAACAAATAAAAATTAACTACCTTACAATAAATTAACAAATAATTTAGGCAAACTTGATAAAGACATTAGAGTAAGTTTGTTTTCTGTCAGGAGAGTAAGTTTAACTCAAGTATCTTATATGTTCCTTGTATCAATTTTTCAAAAAGCAACGTAGAGCGTAATTGTTCATAGAAGAAACTTTCATAAAGGTAGAAGCATGGATCTTTTTATTATTATTATTATTATTATTATTATTATTATTATTATGAAAATCTATAAGTAGGGAGTGAAAGTATAACTTTACAATAATTTAGATAAATTTATAAGGAAATAAATTAAATCAAACTTCTAAAAAATAAAATCAAGTTATGTACTTCAACTTTTAAAAAAGTTAAATATAAGAGTCTCTAAATATCTCTTCGTGTTCTTGTTTTATAAACACTTATTAATATGTTTATTCAAATTGTTTTTATTTTGTCATTAAGAACCTTATTTTATAGTTTTTAGTATAGCTAGATTTTTTAGAAATTTTATTAGCAAAACTGACCCAACCCATTCGATAAAACTTGGGCTTTGTGTCATGCCTTCTGAAAACTATCTTTTTTCAGTGACCAAAAATATTGTTGTTTATGGGTAAAAAAAGAACAAGTTTTGGGCTCTAACTGGAAATGAATAATTGTCTGATTGTGGCATTATCCAAAGACAAATAATAAAAGAAAAAGACAGTTTCATTGTCATATGACCACAAGCACATTCCTAGCCACATCAAAAGGCCTAAATTCAATTATCCAGTATTCCACTACACACCATCTCAATAGTGAAGCTCTAAACGACTGTCAAGTATGGTAGTTTCTTCGTGCTCTTTCAGCTGCACTTCACTTTACTTATCCCATAAGGTGTGTGTTGAAGAACTTTTCTATTACTTTCAGACAATTTTCTTTATACACAGCTCATGCACCCGTACTGTACTTTGCACTGTTTCAGCTAAACTTGCCACGTTCAAATTATTTGCATCAAAATAATGCAACTTCATCTCCCAACACTGTCTTTTGTGCAATGGAGACACCCGCCAGTGGAGAAAGTAAGGACCTAAACCGAGTTTCCTGGTGCAACTGTGCTTGAAAATACTGAAAATCATGATTCAAGGAAATTCAGATCAATTTTACTATCACTTTTAACTTTACAATGAGTATTTCAGTGGCTGTGACAGTCTCAAGAATCATTACTTACAAGTATCTATCTACAATTCTGTATTAAAGCTTGATATTAATTTTCACTGTAAGTTCACTTTGACATTAAGATTAGTAGTAGACCTTAAATTCGAATAATTTTCTAGTTTTCCTTTTGGTGAAAAATGAGAAGTAAATGATAAACGAAGTTACCTTCTGTAGTGCTAGATTTTGTGTAGTTATTATGTTGAAAATTTTTAACCTTAGAAAGAACTTCTCTGATCTCCTTTCTGATTTTTCAGGCCACTGTCAGAGAAGACCACTATTGTTGGGTATTGGAGCATTAACAGCAAGTTTACACCCAGCAAATTCACTCCTTGCTCAAGGTATTCATGCCTCGTGAATTGAGCTTCACTTCACTAAAAGGATCTTTGTTAATATGTAAAACTGAGACTAGTCATAATCTTCTGAAATTCTATTACTATTGTGTGGAATTTCCAGACAGGTACCGAGCTTTTGTGGACTATGAAGATGGGTATTCTTACGTATATCCAATAGATTGGAAAGTAAGAAATAAGAATCATATTATTGTCACAGAAATTTTAGTTTCAACCAGATAATTTTCTCCAAGTCTGAATGATCCTCCTCCCTAGGAATTTGACTTCAGGGCACATGATTCTGCATTCAAAGACAGAATTCTTCAGTTGCAAAATGTAAGGGTGAGATTTATACCCACTGAGAAGAAAGACATCAGAGATTTGGGTCCATTGGAAGAGGTGATGAAACTGCAAACTGTATCCTAATGTTCTATACTTTAATTTATACTTAACCAGTTTGTATCTTAAGCAGGTTGTATCCTATGTAGTGAGACATAGATATGCTGCACCAAACCAAATACCAACAATATATGAGATGCAGGAGGTTTCTTGTCAATCTATTTTTTGTTTTAAAAATAAAGTTCCCAGGTCTAGATGGTCAATATAGAACTATCAACTATTTTTGAATTCTGAATGCAGCGAACAATAGATGGAAAACATTACTATACATTTGAATATGTACTCACATCACGAAATTATTCTAGTGCCTCCTTTGCAACAATTGCTATAGGAAATGGTAAGTAACCAATCATCTCCAACCTCAATGTGACATCTTCATAAATGTTTTCACAGTCCTACTGCTACCTAATAACGTGCACTTAAATTTGTACAGGAAGGTACTACACGTTGATTGTGGGAGCCAATGAAAGGCGATGGAAAAGATTCAGAGATCAGCTTAAAGTGGTAGCAGACTCCTTTAGGCTTCTTGACATTTGAAACATCACAGGAGAATGCATGACATGTTCTAATTTTCCCACATATCAAGTTTGAAATGTGTATATCAAGAGCCAAATAAATTTTTGCAAGTGAATGATATAATCTATCATACTAATACATAATTACGTAACTGAAAAATTTAATAATAAACTTAATTATTCTTAAAATATTGAAACAACTTATTAATTATGATACTAATCTAATAAATTGAAATAACAGAAAACAACTTACACAGGTATTTTAAAAATATATTGTTAACGTATACATTGAAAGCAGAAGAGAGGTGTATACTTTAACACCATATATTACACGTGTATATAAACTTCCTCCATCATTGAGAATGTCGAAGGGTTGCACTGAATGTCGTGCTATCCGCTCGCCAAATAAGGCTAGATACCTATTCACGTAGGGTCAAAGCAGATTGAATTTAAAAGGGAAAAGAATTGTATACTTTTGAGCCACAATTTTTATAGTATTTTCCTCCTTTTTCAATACCTTGAATGACGGGAATCCTCTGAATTGAGGTTTTTTGAGCCTCTTTTACTTTGTTCATTTGTCCTCTCGTTCGAATAAAAGAATTAGCCCTTTCTTTTCGATCGTTTCATAAGTCAATAGTCAAACAGAGAACCTTCCTCCTTAACAATCCGCTTTGGAAGTATAAAGTTCTTTTTAAGTCTTTTTTTTTATGACAATTTGTCATACAATAATGACATGCTAAATGATGCTAAGGACACATCAATATTCCCTGAGTTGTGTCATGTGTCGTGCAAACTCGATTTCTTCCTCGTCTATGTATACATTTTCCCGCTGCTTCTGCTTTATGGAATTCTTGGACCATTTTAAGTTGACTAGTTTTAACAAAAAGCTAGGAAGCCAAAATTGTGGTAATATGTCATATTTGCTGTGGCTGATGCGCTGCGAGTTGTATGATTGACGTGTTAGTAATACGAAATTCTCTACACTTACCACATCATCCACACTATGCTGATTTCTTAGCTCTTTCTCAAATTATTTATTTTTCCTGATTTTCTCACATTCCAACCCTTATTACTGACACTCGTCTGTTTACAAATTTTTATATCCAAACGGATGCCTAATCTCCACACTAGTATGTTTACACAGGCACTGAGCAGAAAAGTTCAAAACAAAATTGTAAATTAATTAAAATAAAAACTGTCAGAATTTGCATCTTTTATATAACGGCAAGGGGAAAAAAAAGAACTCGACAATTCGTGTAATTCAAGCACTAAAAAGCAATGCCTTCTAAACTATCGCTGTGTATATACAGGGGTTACAACTTACAACACATGGGGCTGTATTTTCTACAATTTTCACAAAAGAAAAAAAAATACCGTAATGAACAAGTTCATTGTCCACGCTTGAGAGACAGGAAGGAAGAGTGACAAGGAAGTCCAAAAGGAGTCATAACTCAGCTGAATTAGTGTTGATTCTGCCTTCATCTGTTTGAAAAACAAATCAATATACCATGGAGACAACACCATCAGTCTAAACTGCTTGCCTCCAAAAGAATATGCATCTACAGCCCCAATTCTCAAACCAGCCAAACTGCAAATTTCTATCTTAAAATCCTACGCTATCCCAGTAACCTCTTCCTATGCCTACCAACAAAGACTGCTAATCCAATATTCCCATTCTTGCTACATGCAAACCTCCACCTGACATTGGAAAATTCCATCGGGGGCAGCAATTACCATTGATTCAACTCAAGCAGAATATGGAACAATTCTCATGAACCAACATTAGTTGCAACTACTCACATCACATAAGTTTAAACAAGCCGATGCTGACGCAAAGCCTTACCAAAATGAGGTTGCATCAATCGAACATACAGACCATTTCTTGCCACCAATGAATCATGTGTCCCCTCCTCCACTATCCGTCCGCCATTAAGAACTACTATGTTGTCCACATGCCTCATCATTGCAGCTCTGTGCGCTATTAAAATAGTGGTCTTGTTCCCCATTATTAGGGTGTCTAGAGCCTCCTGCACCACACGGCTTGACTCAGATTCAATTGATGAACTGGCTTCATCCAACAACAAAATAGGTGCATTTTTAAGCACAACCCTCGCAATTGCAATTCTCTGTTTTTGTCCTGGAGTTAAGTCAACACCTCTCATCCCAACATGAGTGTCATACCCATGAGGCAAGCTACTAATGAAATGATGAGCATTTGCTATTCTTGCAGCTTCTTTCATTTCAGCTTCACTGGCATTATGTCTGGCATATATGATGTTTTCCCTTATGGTTGTTGAGAAGATAATAGGTTCCTGCTGAACCAGACCAAGGTGGCTCCTCAACCATCTCAAATTATATAGTTTTAAATCCCTCCCATCTAGCAAAACTTGGCCAGCAACTGGATCATAAAATCTCTGGATCAATGATATTATTGTGCTCTTTCCTGACCCTGAAACTCCCACTACAGCGATTGTTTGTCCTCCATTGACTTTGAGACTAAAATTACTTAATACCAATACTTCTGGTCGAGAAGGATAACAAAAGTCAACATTTTTCAACTCAATGCTTCCGTATACATTAGGTGGCTTTAGTGCTGAATTATCATCAGGATCAATTTTGGGTACACGATCTATAATTTCAAACACTGAAATGAGAGATTTACGCCGCTTGAGTATGTAAGGAGCCAATCCAAAAGGTTCCACAAGGGCAAATGTAGCAAATGAGAAAACCATGTATTCCTTGAGCGCAGTGGGTGGATCTACATAGCTTCTTTTTATACATATTGCAGTGTACCAAAGTAGAAAAGCATTACAAGCAAAAAGTAGAAACTGCGACAAGCCAAACCCAAAACCAATGGCCACTCCATGAAGAAAGCTCTGCTTGAATATTTTATTTAACTGCAATCGGTACAGTTCCATTACCTTATTACCAGCACAAAATGCAACAACAGTGTAAATATTTCTAACCGCATCTTCAAGAACCAAAGATGCCTTTCTATGCATCTCCTGTATGCCCCGCGAAAATCCAGCAAGCCACAATTTCTACAAGATCAACAAAGCAGCCTTAAATACATGCACTATGCAAAGAAAAAGCAAATAAAAAAACAATAATAATGATCCTCTGCCAGTATTGTTAGTCATTCACATAGCTAAGCAAAGCAGGCCAGTTAGTTTAGTAATGGAAATTGAACATAAACTGACATCAATAAGAATTTCCATCAATGAAAACGAAAGCCCCATAAAACAGGAGGTAAAATAGCATTCAATCAGGATAGATACCCTCCATGCTGTGAGGTAATAAAATGAAACAAAATTTTGATTTACAAGTACTAAATCTGTTGAAGAGTAAAATTAGCAAAATAACTGCCAAATTGCACTCATAACAGACCATTGATGAGCTAACTTAAACATGAAAAGATATATTACAAATTATAATTATAATTACTGCAATGCCACGGATAATTTCACTATCAAATTTATCAAAACAACCAAAACTGAATACTCATTTAGTTATCGTCATTCAGGATGCATGCATTGTTGATTATAATTTCACAGTGAATGAGACACAGATGAATTGCACTTAATACAAACAAGTGAAACAGTGCCCTTTTCTTCCTTTCTAAACATTAGCAAGTCTCACATATACCCATACTATCAGACATTTCAAGGGCTTGGATTTGTTATTCTCTTCAACATCATTCATGAGGCAAAGGAGACATCAATTACAATAGGTCAAATACCCTGAAATGTTATCCACCTAACTTGGCTTCTAACGAATGAAATAAATGAAAAGGCCAAAAAAAAAAAAAAAAAGGAAAACAGGCCACCAACATATGTTTGGAACAGATATAGCACAATTCAGTATAAGCATCCACATTCCATTTTTCATTCAAGACTTTTAAAGATTCCCAGCTAGTGGGAAAAGACTGCTGTTGAATATGAAAATACGTAAACATTATGAATATCAAAATCACTGAATTATGCAAAAGGTATAATAAAATTTTACAAACTGTGTTGACATGAAAAAGAAACAAATTTCATTGCAAAATCAGATCAGGTGCAAACCTGGGCAACCGCAGAAACACAGAGAACCGGAAGTGTTGCTAAAGCCACTAGTGCTAATCGCCAGTGCAGCAAAACACCAATCACAAAAGCAACAATAACTGCAGCACTATCCTGTATAAATATGGAAAGTCGATTACTGAAAGCAGCTCGCACAAATGTAGCATCATTGGCCAAGCGCATGGATAAATTGTCAGCACTGTTTTCCTCTTCATCGAACCATCCAATTTCATTGCGTAGCATGGCTGCCGCGTAATAAAAACCAGTCAAGTACAGTTCAAAAATCCAATTTTGTTTTTCCAAAAATAAAAAACTTGAAAAGGATGTACCCACCTGAGAACATCATTCTCCTAACTCTTTCGGTCATTTTCTCCCCCATGATACCAAAGTAGAAATGCTGTAAAAAGTTGGCAACAACTGTCACAATACCCATGCAGGCAATGATCAAGCACCATTTGTCTATCTCCCTTAGCAAGTGATGACCTTCATCAATTCTATAGTAAGCTGTCACCACCAGGCCAATAACATAAGCAAGAAGGGGATTGAAAGAACCAAAGATAGCAGCACCTACGCTTCCTAACACTGCATAAAGCCACTCTGCAAAACTAAGCTCTGCCAGCCTCCAAAGTGAGGGTTGTTCTCGATGCTTTGTATCCTTTGTTTCATTCATTTTCACAGAAAAATCGTCAGAATGACTATCAGGTCTGCTAAAAGTCTGTGAATGGGAGCGTTCATTTTTAGGATCAGATGTTAAAAGAGGTGAAACAGGGGATTCTGGATCAGAACCATTTGATGTTTGCCGATGCACAGACTGAACATCAATCTTGGGCAACTCTGGTAGTCTCATTTCAAAACTATCCTGCCTTTTAATTGATGGTTCCTTATCTGATGAATCTAGAGACTGACCATTTTCCATCATCTTCTCAGATGGTGGGCTCCGAACTTTTGGTGATTCTTGTGAGTTAAAGAAGCCATCTGAAGGCCGAAATACGGCAGAAACTCTTTGAAGAGAGGGTGACTTAATCATTCTAGGAGATGAAGGTTCTTTGAAGCTATGATTTTCTGATGAATCTTTCTC